AGTGGAAATTATTAGAATTTAAAAAAACTTTGGTTCATCTATGTATTATAACATATTAACAATCGATTTCAAAAATTCACTAATACGAATTTAGACTTATGATTATTTTCTACCAGCTCACCTATTAGTTCATATTTCTTGAAATGTATGAAGGAGGAAGTAGGAAAAAATTTTATTTTCGGTATTTAGATCATTTTGTTACAATATATTTTATAAGTTATAGAACGATAAATGTTTACCTTGGTGCCAATATCATTTTCCATTTACATGAATTAGTAGTCGTTGGCATTTTTAGATTATTTTTACTTCTTTATATTGCTGTTTTAGGATTTCATTAAAAAATGTTTCACGTTTTTGTATCAAAGTAAAAATCATGTAAATTTTTCTTGTGATAGAAATTTACTTGTTATACGTTATTTTTATGGGGAATCCAGTGCGGAAAGTTCAAAGGATCACCTATAACTAATTTTATAAATCAAAATGTGTTGAATCCAGTAATATCATTATTTGTCCTTGTAACCTTAGAAAATTTTGAGATATTTTTGAGATCTTAATTTGAATGATATAACATAACTCAAAATTTAAAAATGTATAACCCGACATCCATATAGTAGCAGGGGCGGCAGAAGGCAATGATACAGTAGGATGAAGTGGTTGATCACATGGCAGTACTCGATGGTGAGTGGGACGTGATGAATGACTCGTTGACGTCCAAGATAAATCCGACTGATCAGTGTCTGATGAACTCGGCAATCACAAGCTTTCTTGATGCGTGCATTTATGCTAGCCTGTCAATTGACTGAGTTTGACTCGGATATATTGAACGCATTATAATGGTAAAAACTGATATGCGTGCTAGTTATAATAATTATCAACATTTTCTGAGCTTTACTCAGATTTGAACGCATATATTCGTAGATTTGAACGTATAAATCTGTAATAAAGAAAAAATATAGAAAAGTTAGTTAGAAAATTAATTTTGTTTACATTTCTTGTAAGCAAAGTTAATTTTTGGAATGACGATTGCAGGCCACGCTATAAGTGAAGAGAACCACATTGTTTTCTTTTATTTTACTTCGAAAAATTGTAACACGAAGGCATAAAGTGTATAGGATATTACGTGCAACGTGATCTCGAGGAAGAGAACATTCACCGCTTCTTGCTGTCATTGTACAGCAGCAGCAGTAGAAATCGATGTTGCTGCATTTTATTTCTCTATGCGAGGCTATTTATTTGTATAACCTCTGTAATTATTGTTGATTTTCCATAAAAGTGACTGTTGAACTACCAATTAGTAATTACTAAAGTAGACAATCACATATTTACGGAGAAATGTAGTAATTCTTCATAATCTTAGAAAGAATTGTTAGGATGATAGAAAGGTACTTCTGAGCGCAATCCCTCCAAGTTAAATTTTACATGCGATAAAATATTCTTCGAATTTAGAAATAGGACGCGTAACTAAGAAATCAACGATAAAGGAATTATATTAAGGAGAATAACTATAAAAGTGTAACTATAAAAACATAATAAAACGACCAAAGGTAGGTGGAACGTATTATGTAATGTAAAATTAAATGAATATGAGTTTTAAATAAAGTATATCGGACAGATTTATTGACCGATACATTAATTATATCATTGAAGAATAAGTAGGTTTTTTATTTTTCCAAAAATATTCTAAAGTTAAAAAGTTATTAACATGCAAGCTTAGTAAAATACATCATATTTTTCTTTTTAAAACATTGTTAGCTTGAAATAACATGCATTTTTTAAATAAATGATGTGAAACCTTATCCTTTTAAAATCAGCCAAATGATCTAAAAACAAAATTTGTCGAGATGGAAAAACCTAATAGGTTTATAATTTGTTTAAACATTTGCAATTTAAATAAAATGTACCATTTTTCTGAAAAACTAACCGTAATATTAGGATTCAGCGGGTCAAAATACATAAGAATACATATTTTATTTGTTTGGAAATATTTGCTCCCAGACTAATAGCCACGAATCATCATCCGAGTACGCAACAAGTATCAGGGTAGCAAGCTAGAGTGGAGCTGTGCCTTTTGGAGAGAGTCGCGCTCACATGCACATTATGCGATACTTCTAGTTATATAGTCACGACGCGGAGAGAAAAAGTAGGTATATAATACGCGTCGCGCTTACCACGGCTCTCTTTATACATAAATATTTGCCGTTGGAGTATGCGCGCACTATATGCACGCGTCGTACAACGTGCAATATAAGTTGGAAACTAAAGTCTTTACTAGGGTAATATCAACAGTTGCAAGAGGCGTTCGCTCTCTCGATAGCTCGTCTATATCAATTCCTATACTTTACTTTTCCGTGCGCCAAGCATTTATTTATCCGATTCACAGAGATTGCAACTATTTATAGCCGTTGCAAGCCCATTGCTCGCGTGCAGTCAAATAGTTTTTTCAACTTTGGCTAGTTTTCATTTTTATGCATAGCGAAAATAAATATGTACATATAATACAATAATAATTGATTTACCGCAATGAAATCTGAACGTTAATTGTGTATAATATGCTGCGCATATTATATTCATATATATATATACTGGACAGTTTTAGAATTTCTAACAGACTCGAGGTAATTGACATACTTGTTTGTGAAAATCTAGCAGTGAACCAGCTTGTACTTCTTCATCGCAACAAGAAACGTAAAACACTTTTTAAATCTATCAAATAGTAATTTCGAAAGCTAATCTTGATTAATGTTTTTTATATTAAAATATCAATTAAAAAAACATGAGTATTATTCAAAAACGTCCGTGTATTAAATAACAGAAAAGGATATAATTTAGTGCGATTGCATAATTAATTGTCGACTGTTTTAAAAAGCAATTATTTGAATGCCGTACTGTATTTCTATACTATTGAGATTAACGAGCCTCTTTTTCTTTTATGCGAGTGAAAAAACAGTTGTCAGTCGCTCAGGCGTCGCGCTCGCGTATCATCTTGAATTTTATAAGTAGGCGGTATAAGGTACTTATTTTATAAATCTTTTAACAAAGTGATAACAAACATAGATAGTGTCAGTAATTAATTATTAAGTTTGCAAAATTGGAATAAAGACTATAAGTAATCCAATGCAATATGAAATCGAGAGAAACAATATTTCGCAATAGGCAAAGCCTATTAAATGTGTGCATGATTGGACGCTTGTATCTTTCTTGTTTTTATATGTACAAATATTATGTCATCGCATGCGTATATCCTCCTCTCCTCATCCCCTTATAAAAAAGTAATGGATGACATGTTAAAGCATTTTATTCGTGATCTGAATGGCTGAGATATAGTCACGTGATATGCTGTTATTTTATTCCCCTTATAAAAAAGGGATGGATGTCATGTTGAAGCATTTTATTAAATTGTTTATAGCAGTTTTCGATATGATAAATCATGAATTTTGAATACGCGGAATTGTTTTATTAAGATTCTGTCTAGAGGGTGAGTACCTTCGCCATTGATCTTTTCTTGTTTACTTGTCGCGCGCAAAAGCCGGTAAACTCTTATCAAGCGTGAAATAGTACACTACGATACAAGTGCGGGAAAGTAGAGTCTTGTCTCGTGTGACATTTACACCCGGGAGCGAAGCGAGGGTGGAAAGGTACACGAGACGAGAAACTCTTTCCCGAACATGTGCCGTACCGTATTTTTTGATACGCCGTGTGGAAAGTGCGATTTTCAACGCACGTTTTTTACCGAGCGTGCGGGAAAAACGCACTTTCCGCACGGAGTGTCGAAAAAAATTTTCCGTTTGGTTTCGCGTATGAGTGGAACCTCTTCGCGTGCAAAAGTAAGTGCCCTTTTTCGTAACGCCGAGCGATAAGCCACGTGGTGTTTTGCAGTCGAAAAATGAGTAGAAACAGGCGATGATTAGTGCGTTGCCGACTTTCAGTTTTCGCAAGCGGAAAATATAATTTGTTAGCCTGCAAATAATAATTTATTATTAGGATAGGGATTAGGATTAGAATTAGGGTGCTATGGATATAAATGTATCCGATTGTGCAAAGGCTCTATACTGCAACTGCCCAATGTGCAGTTGCTACTGTGCAACCGGACTTATGCATCTCAATAAAACCCCAGTAATGCATCGCGTTGCTGTTTGTGCTGGTTTTAATTCTAATTTCATTACGGACATAACAGTGACAAGATTTTTATATTTGAATTAAGAGTGTTGTACTCGAAGCATAATAGTTTAAATTTCCAAGTTCTAACTGTATTATTAAAAAATTATTTTTTTGACGCCTATGACGATTGATAAATATTCGCCACTGCATTATGTCTTAGACACTTTTTTGATGATATTTTAGAAATATGTTGAATAAATGCTATTAAGCAAGCAACGTTACCATCACTAAATACAAGATTGTTTGAATGTTCGGCTTACTGATAATAGAATGTTACAATAATAATAATAGAATGTACTATTAAAAATTGCAAGTAATGGATTCTAAACAAATTATTTAAGTTTCTTCTTTTGCTACATCATTTTTTTTTATCATATATGCCTTAACAACAGATTATCAGCGGTTGTAAATTGTTTCTTTAAATGTAAAACATGAAGGTCTTTCACAGTCTCAGGTAAATAATCATCAAAATCATACATTTTATTATTTTAACCTAGTTTTGCATAATATCAAGGATTAACGCCAAATTACTCGTTGAGAATTATTTCGCCTGCAAAGTTATTCGTAAAAACAATTTGTTGCAAAAATGCGTTTTTAATTATAAACTTATTATTAAATTTTTTTTACATTTCATTTGCTTGTCATTGCAGGGATTTTTTTAAGTACAAAAAGAAAATAGAAAAATTATAGATCCTGCACTGATTGCAAATATACAGTAATTAATCAAATTAAAGTGACCATAACATCAATACAAACAGAATTTTCAGACAAACATGGCATAAAATTATTATCTGAAGATATCCAAAATCACAAACAATTTTTAATAAATAAAAATGATGATAAATTATCGCAAATAGTCTCAGTATTAATAAAGTCATTTTCTAGCTTTCATGCGTGATAAGTAAACAAGAAAAAATCATTAGCGAAGGTACATTTTCGCATGCGAAGATGCATCTCACCGCCTAGACATACTCTTTTATTAATACACGTTTTACACTATGATCAATGTTTTGTAAACATAATTGAAAAATCCAGCTTTGAAAAAAGTGTTTTGCATTAAATTCTTGTCATATTTATCAATAAAACAAGAAATGAAAAAGAAAAATGAAAGCGCGCGAAGCGCATCTGATGTTCTTATAGTTATATAATGTAAAGTCGACTCACGTATATACATATGTAAATACGTTACTCATGCATTCCGTTCACGCTCTATAGCTGTCGTTCTTGAATCTCGGCTGTTGGCATTTGGCATACCTATGCGGCATTTCAAAGAACAACGATATATATGAAGAAATCGCAACTGAATTCTTAAGCTTGTATTTATCTTACGCTCAATTATTGGCTTTATGTAGGTTATTATTAAATAGGTAAGTTCGTTTATTTTTCCTGGTTTTGTTTTATTTAAACGAGCTGTACTTACGGTTGAATATCTGAGCTGCGCTGTCCTTCAATTTTGAGGTTATCGTATAATGCCAAATATTATATCATCATTAAATTAGCCCTGAAACTAAACTCGTATAACTCAAACTGTTATATCAAATTAAAATTTAGTTTAATTATAAACGATTGATTCGCTTGCACTTTTTCCAGTACATAAAATGCGACTGTTACCTCAACGTATGCTTATTCCATTGTTAGTGAGTTTTTCAATAACTGGAGCTACTGTAGTATTATTGTATTTCATCAATAAAAAGGTTAGATATATTTTTAAACAGATTCAAAACTATTATATATAGTTTCATATTTATATATTTTATTTTATTGTAGAAGGATGAGGAAAATTTTAAATCTGGACAAAAATCAGAAAAATCAATCAAAATCCAAATTCCTCGCCAAGTAGTTCCTCTTGTTATTGGGCGTGCAGGCTCAGTGATTCGTGAATTACAGGAATCTACAAATACAAAAATTAGCTTTATAGAAGATAATGATGTTGACTTACCTATGCGAATCTGTGTTATAACCGGAGATCCTAAGAACTTAATATTAGCAGAAAAAAAGATTCAGGCTGTATTGATCAACCAACCATTGATTGAAACTTATGAACAATGGGTGCCCCAGCGAACAATTATGAAGATGACTGAGAAAGGGGAAGTTTTGCTTAAACAAATTCAGAATTCATCAAATGCGAAAATTATTCTTGAAAATTCATTTAATGTTGCTGATTTAGGTAAATATGAAAATGAGAGAGTATGCATTAAATTCTCTCTCTCCTTCCCCCTGCTCCTTTTCTCTTTTTCACTCTGTAATATTTCATTATTTTATTTTTTGACAGATACCAAGAAAAGAGTAATAATAAAAGGTACTGCGGAGCAAATTGCAAATGCCTTATTATTAATTGAAGATAGAGTACGAGAAAATAATGAGTCCAAAGCCAAAACTGAAAAAGGCTCAATCAACAGAGTTCCTAGAGTTAAATCATTACCCATTGCTACTCCCAATGATTCCCCAAAAAGTACAGAAAACTCAAAAGAAATATTTGATATTCAAAGTAAGTTATTGTATAGTGTATAAGATTTTATCAAAAATAACAATTTATTAAAATAAAAATTTTTTATTATAGATAATGAAGGAAACATGGATGTTTTTGTTTGCTCTGTGAATGATCCAAGTCAGTTTTATATTCAAGTTATTAGTGATACAAATGCAAAATTGGATGATTTAATACAAGATATGCTTCAATATTATGAAAATGAAGAAAACAAAGAAGTGCATGCCTTGAGAGAAGTAAATAACAATTAAATATAATATTCATTATATATTTAATTAAAAAATTTAGTTGCCAAGTTTACTTTATCTTCTTTTCAATAGATAACCATTGGACAAACCGTTGCTGCTAAATTCTTGGATAACAAATGGTATCGCGCGGAAATCATCTCACACCTTGACAACGGCAATTACGACGTGTATTTCCTCGATTTTGGTGATCGCGATAGTGTAGAGAGTAAAAATATCTATGAACTGCGCACAGATTTCTTGAGTCTCCGATTCCAGGCTATCGAGTGTTCTCTATCAGGTGTCAAACCTAAGTGAGTAATCTCTATCCTAATAAGCTTTTTAATAATATCTTTGACATATATACAATGCAATTTGCCGGTACAAAAGTCATCTTATTTATAATCAATTACTCAACTCGCTGTCATCCATGTTACTTGATCTGGAGCTACTTATTCCAGCTTCGCAAACTTCCATAAACAGCTCGGGATTGACTTGTTCCATCATCTTCCAAGCAAAATTCTTCGTAATATTCATCGCATTCTCCTCGCAGTATGCTAAACAAGCTCTCTTCAATATGTCACAGTCAAACTCATCAGCCAGTAATAATCGCGTGGCTATATTGGCTGCTGTTATCGTTTCTGTCAAGCTTCTTTCGCACAATTCTTTCAATCCTGAATTTTACAAATGACGTTAAAATCAACATCTTTGTGGAATTATTAAAAACGAAGATGTTTACCTTGCAATTTAAATCTCAAAGATAGTGCGAGCAGCTGAGGTGCCAAGGCATCAGTGTTATCGACATGATCGGTATAGATATAACGTAACAACTCGTCTATAATATCTTTCGATAGATCTAATAACTCTATTTTTTGTTTAATCTATGGAACAAATATTAACAATCTTTTTCATGGTTCAAACAAACAAATAAATTGCAAACATTTTAGGAAGATTAGTCACTGTTTTCAAGATCCCATGAAATGAGTCTCATTAGTAAAAGATGGAAAGATCTCGTGCAACCGTGTGGATATAAAAAATGAGATTCTAGCTTTAGGTAAATTAGAAAGCGGCGATCACAGTCAAACTATTGAGACATACGTTGTCGGTTGCTTCTTCCGTCGTGCCATTCTTCTGTTCGATTGGCGTTATCATGTTCGCAAGCACGTCGCTACGAGCTAATATGACACAGCTGTGCACTGGGATCACCATATTTTCTTTCTCGTTTTCACCCTGGCAGATTAATTTTGTGTCTGCTACGTGAGGATGCTTCAGTAGTCGTGCCATGTCCTGCGACATTGAACATGTTGAAAAAGAATAATTTAAAACGTGTTATTGACAGAGATGCGTCCTTTGATCTATTAAGTATTTTAGGAGTTGATGAAAATTCCAGTGATCAGTGTCGGTTGTCCGTCAAGTATCGATTCATTACTTCTCATTTATCGAAACTGCTAAATTAATAATGATGAAATCGAAATCGATTCTTCACTTCTATTTTGAATCTCTCTAAAGTAAAAATTCGCGAGTACATTAAAAATGAGTTATTATCGACGCGATTCAGAGATTTGTCAGTGCTCGAAGTCTAAGTGTTTGGTAATAATATTTGCAAAATAATAAAAGCAAAGAGGTACCTGTGACAAGCTATGTTTTTCGCTTTCGCTTTGTACGATCTGTATTTTGACCATAACGCATAGCTCGCCGTTTTTCTTGAGGTGTCGATCAACAATTGACAAATCGCTATAACCCAGCGATATAATGTCACGAATTGCACGCAGTTCCAGCACTGTACGGCTCACGTGACAATACTCCCAGTAATTGACGTCCGCGTTGAAAACCGCGAATTGGAAGCGAATCCTCGCCTGCTCGACCTCCTCCACCGTGCAGTTCAAAATGTTGAGGCACAACACCACGGGATTGCTTATTCGCTTTCCTTTCAGACAAGTTTCTCATTAATTGTGCTGCGATTGGATGCGTAGTCTGACTTTGTGGAAAGTCGCGATTATCGGTAAATTAACGACATTGCCGTAGATGCATGAAGCTGAGGAGTCAATAATAACTCGATCTAAGTAAAAAGACACAATTTTCTAAATAATCGTCGCGCGTCGCTCAAATCTTTCTCAAATCTCTAATGAACGTCCTCCGCAAATTACGCTATGCCGCGGTGCTGAATTCCCAATTGTCGAGTCTCTGCAAACAGACCGTTAACCGAGCAAAGTAGAAAAGTGCACTTTTGCCGAGCTACATTGCCGACGCGCTCGTCGCTCTGCTACAGCTCGAGTGCAGGGCAGATTTTTCGAGAATGAAAGAGGCGTGCGTGCGAGCGATATACCTTCGGGTCCTTTCCAGAACCTAATGGACAGATTCCAGGTGCTGCGTATGCCGTTGACATTGATCTCGAAACTCGGGCTGTCGATGCTGCTCTTCTTGCTCACTACCTTTTTGTAATTGGCTATGGGCCATGCGTACTTGAAAATCACCTGCGACACCGTCGGCACCAGCAGTTCCATCCTCGCTTGTTCTCTTGTCGCGCCTCTTGGCTGCTTTGCGACGTGCCTGCGAAACAGCTGCGTTTGTACTCTTTGCTCAAAACCACCCACCAATCGAGACTAGTTTAATGCTCAAGCGGCGCGAAAGTGATTCTACTCGGCTTAGAGATGCTGGTCGAGCCTAGATCTACAAACTCGGAACTCGGCGCGCGCGGACGGATCTGATCCTGCCGAGCGCTGCTGCCTCTTTCGATTTTTCCTTACCCGCGCTGCTCTCTCATCGAGCTGCATCGGCGCGGACAGCGAAGCGCAGAAGGTCAACGCAGCGATCCGAGCTCTGGCAAGCTCATCGTTCTGCCTGGCTCTGCGCGAAGGCGCAAACTTTGAAGAAAAGCGTTGCCGTACTATTGGCGAACTGCATCGGACGAGGATTGAACCGCGAGCTCGCATACCAGTCAACGATAGCAAAGCCAAAACTTGCATCTTCGCCAATTGTCCGTGTTCACTGGCAAATCTATGAAAATCGATGAATGACTCGGCTACAGTGGCTCGTTTGGCGCCGCAGGCTTCAGAGCTTTGTCATTACGTTGCGCTAGCGGCGCGCGCCACCGCAGCATTACACCAACCAAGTGAAAGTGCCTCGACCGCAGCGGCAACCAACTTGTGCAAAATCTATTCTCGTAGCCGCGGTTTGCATTGAGAATAAAGCGCCACTCAGCAGGAAAAATTAACGACGCTCTGGCAGTTTCCGTTCGTTATTGACATGATTATTCCACGGTGTAATAAGCAAAATATGCACTTTTGTCACGAACTGAACTGTTGAAGCTTTCCGGACGTCTTGATTATATTATATATATATATATATATATATATATATATATATATATATATATATATATATATATATATATATATATATATATATATATAAAGGAACGTGAGTAGGTTTCACACGTTCAGCTGTGTACAATATTTCGAATAAACAAGGCACTTGTTCCGTCAACTTACATAATGAGTCGATGATCATTATCTCGAAAAATTCATATTCTTCAAAAACTCGAAAGTCGAAAGTAGGTTTGGGGTCAGTAATTACGACGTAACTTGGTGACGAAGAACAAAGCTCATCACAGCTGTGATGTCAAAATTTTGGGTAGTCCAACGAAAGTGAAATACGTACTAAGAAGGAAGAAAAATGAAGCAGCAGCAGTAGCAAAGCGCTTGTGATTCTTTCTCTCTCACACACACACATACACACACACACTCATACTTCATATACGCGCGACGCTCACCTTTTCCGCGATAGCGTAGTTCGAGCGACACTGCGTGTATAGTTAGCGTGACGACGACGACGATGATCGGTTTTACTTCTCGCGCGCTGTTAGCGCTCTCTATATATCCAGATATAACGCACGTGGTGCTAGCGAGCGTAAACATCAAGGAAGCGATGCGTTTCGATTTTGCCAAGGTTTTCTTGGATTGCGTTAGACAGAATATTGATGACGTTCATTGAGTGCAAGACTATGCTGCTACTTAAAAACTCGGTTTTTGAGATGAAAGTTTGCTATAAACGAACATTTAATGGAAGATCAATAGAGTGGTTGTTGAAAGGAATGTATGTATTTTTTCGCACTGACGAAACTCATGAGATTTTGTCTGTGTCTTTCATCTTTGATGCATGCACAGCACGCTTCGATACTAGTTTGAGAAAGTATTTTCAGCTTCTTGTGGGCGTTTTTGTCAGAGCGAACAGAGCGACGTTTTTCACAACGCGTGCGGTAAATACAACTTAACCTAGTTACACTTTCTGTCTCTGTCTGTCTGACCCCCCCCCCCCTCTCTCTCTTTTCTCTCGTATTTTTGGCAGCTCTCCTGTCATGTGACATGCCATACCAGCTTAACGAATATTTATCGGCAGGTCGTTCTTATCCTCTTTGTCAACGCTTTCCTCTGGTAACTAGTGGAAAATAACACTAAACGAATATACACTGTCCACGCATATTCAAACAGCGCGCATCGCATTGGACACAAAAGAGACCAGAGATACTGTTTCACTCTGTTGGTCAGATTTGAATCAGGCGCAAAACAAGCTAAACAATTAAGTGGCTTCAAATTGGAATCCTGTTGATGATCTGCACTGCAGATCATCTTATGTTTCTTCAATCACAGTTCACTCCTATTTCTATGCTCTTTGTATTATTTTTAATGAAATCAATGCTCTAATTAGGCCTTCATTTTCCTGTTTCCGTTTTTAAAATACAAATAAATCAGCTTAATTTCGATATTGTGATGGAATTTTAAATCGGCTGTCAAACATCTTCTTAAAGTGAAAAAAGACGAAATTCGTTGATGCTAAGATTCACTTACATTATGTGAGAAATCCGAATGGAAATAATAACGGTTTTCACGTTTTCATGGAATAAACAAGCGGCAAGCTTTAAAAATCTTGTACACTATGTGATCATAACTTTTGATTTTCGTCGCAATTCGTCAGACTTCCAATAAGCAAAGATGTAACAAGACGAAATAAATGTTCGGGGCATAGAGTAATAGATGAGTGAGAAGTGGTAAAATCCGATGTGATACTTTTGCTGCAGAAGTGGCGAGTGGAGCAGCGAGGTGACGGACAAGTTCTCGCAGCTGTGTGCTCTGGGCCAATGGCAGCCACGTGTCGCCAAGATAAGAGGCTACAAGGAGCGAGCTTTTGGCTGCGGCTCGAGTAGGCGTGAGGGCTCGCCTATTCCCTCGATTGAGCTTTACGAGCGACGCGACGAACAAGTAAGTTGTCAATTATCCAGGCTTTCTTTTACAAATGCGACATTGCCGCGACGGATATGGCTGTTCAGTGCAATGTTGCCTTTTAACTGGAAAGATCGGAAGCTCGAAAGCTTGAAATGATTCGCCGAGTTTGGCGTCACACATTGGCAAGCTCGTCTGGAAAAACCGTCGCACAGGGTCCCGCAAAAAAGCACTCTGTCTCCGTTAATACACAGTCCGAACTCACGGTTTTAGCTCATCAACATCAATAAAGAGTTGATAAGGCTGGACTTGGCAGTCGCCGAAAGCGAGCCCTGGTCAGCAGCCAGCTCAACGGTGTCGTTGTCGCGATGTGCCAAGAGTCCGGACGTGATCTCTCTAACGAGCAACGGTAGCAGTGCCCACGGCAATGCCGGCAAGCATTCGATCGAGCAGATTGACTTGACATTCACGCCCAAGTCCAAGGTATCATCGCGATTACTGCATCCTCTATATTACTTCTGATCTCGCGATTGCGTTTTCTACTCAACTTTACCTTCTTGTCTGTTGTCCTGCAGTCTGGCAACGTCGACGTAATCGATCTGACGACACCGACTGCACTCAAAAGCCAACGAAATGGCTCTTCGTCTTCGTATCATTTCATCGAGAATGAGAGCAACGCTCATAAGCCACGACCCGCCAATCCTTTCATGAGAAGCTCTCAATCTGTAGTACGCAACATCGTTCCAGCTGGCTTCGAGGATGAAATGTCGGCCGATGAGTCCGACGGATACGACTTTAATTAGAGCTGGTTTTCTTGAGCATGTTTTATGTGCCATTATTTATCGGAATGATTCTTGCACTCGGTCCTTTTATACTTTCACGCAAACAGTATTCCGAGCGCTCATTTCTATAACGATTTTTATTTCGATATTTCTATACATATTCTCTGTCGATGCTTTATCTTTCGTCTACCTAATAGATTGCAAGAAATTCCTTACTTTCAGTTTCCTTTTATTTTCAAGCCGTCAATTATTATTTAGATAAATTCTAGATATTTCATATATTCCACGTTACTGTTCATTCAGTCGTTCCAGTCCCAACGAAATAAAACATATTTATGTTACCTACAAAGGGCTAAAAAAATTTTACCAACATTCAAGAAATATAATTTATTGTGATTTTATGTGATTTTATTTGCGAAACAAATTGAACAATTTGTTTATGAATAACAAATGTTGTGAATAACTAGGCAGTTTTAATAAACTAGCTGCTCTATTGCATTATCAAGTGGATTTCAAAAGATTCTAGGAGCACTAAAATTTTTGAAAGATTTTAAAGTCGTGATATTGGCATAAAGATATCAAAGATATCTGTGAAACCACTCAACAGTCTTCCTTATATTATGTAAACATAACCGTGATACCTTTAAATCATTCAAGTACAACAAGTTGATTGATTATGCACTACTTTCTTGTTACGTAAAGGAAGTTTTGATTGTTCAAATACGTGATCGAATATCAATGGTCTTCCTTATGACGAAAAGATGGCGGCTGGATCGCTTATTAATCCTGTAAAAACTTAAATAAGAGCTGTGAAAATTAATTTCCAATTAATTAACTTCACAGCTAATAATAATAATAATTTTCGACAGTATCAACATCAATACTTTTAATTCTAAAGTCATATATACATGAATTTTTTTTATTCTTTTACTTTATTGAATTAATTGTCGAATTTGAAAGCATAAAATTAAATCTAATAGTAATTTTGTATTTAAAAAAATTTAATTTTTTAAATTTAAATTAAAAAACAAAATTTATTTAGTTTTTTATTATTTGAGTCATCTTTATTTAACTTAATTTTCCATTGAGTTCAACTGAATTGTTGAAGCTGGCAATTAATGTGCCTTAAAATAAGTTTTGAGCTGCTATTGTGCTTTGAACAGGCCAGTGCGATCTAAAGAGCTTTAAAAAGCATCTGCGATGCTAAATTTAATAAAAATATTTTTTTTACTCTTAGGCACTGTATATTTTTGTACCTTACACTTTATTATCCTAAAAGAAACGGATTCATTGATAAATTAAGGTTGTAAATTGTAAATGATTCGAAGCGCAAGTGACATAAAATAAAAAATAGCAGCGGTTCGCGCTGTACATCAACAAGAAACAAATACTTGTTCATTGTCACCTTTCATTACAAATTACTACTATGATTTCTATTGTAAAATTAACGACTGTGACATTAGTAACTGAGTGATTCTATAAATTTTTAGCAGTAAACTTTACTTTAAATAGAAACTGCGGGCATTAAACAAGTTTAGTTTTGTACAGTGTAGATTGTTATGGAAGTAAAAAGAAATAAAAACAGATCAAATATAACCATCATTATTCACTACCTATCGATATCATTTGATACCTACCTACCTACCTACCTACCTACCTACCTACCTACCTACCTACCTACCTATCTATCTATCTATCTGCTGCGGTTGTCAGAGGAAAAAGAGAAGAGAGGAAAAAAGTCGAGGCGGAAGATATGGACGCGCGCGCGGCTTGACTGTCCCGCTTTTTCAACGCTAAAAAACGTGATCGGAAGTAAAATGGGTAAAAGATCTTAACTTAACAGGCATGGGTGGGGAGAGAAAAAATTAAAGTCCCAACGACGACGACAACAACGACGTTGGAGGAGGATTTTTGCCACGCAAGACGGGCGTAATTAAGGATTCGATATCGTGGCGAAAGCTGCGGCGACCAAGCGAAACCGTATAAAATCAACGACGCCACGGACTGACTTGTTCAGTCGAAATAACGTTTTCGCCCGCAAAACTTGCCTGTTTTACCGAGAAATATATCAGCATGACGCCCCTCAACTCTTCATCCGCTTATCTGGTAACGTTCACTTTCCTTTATTGCTTTGTTTTTCCCTTCATCGATTTTACAGTTTTATTGTAAAATAGTGCTGCAATTTATTTCAGTATAATACGTAGAATTGATTGTTCGATTAGTTATATTAGTGATTTAAACGCACTGCAATAAATGAAAGCTATTACAGCATACTTATTTGGGAAAATTGGGTATTGATTTTTCTGAGAAAATGAAAATAATATCAACAATAACTAAAGTTGTGAAAGTAGAATCGAACTTTGAGAAACTTGAGTTTATAATATTTTGCTAATTACTCCATGACATTTTCCAGCGGTAAGAAAAAGTATTGTTAAATTGGCTAAGAACGAGTTTGTAAGATTTATGAACGTCGACGTGTTAGGTACAGGGAGAAACAAACTTGAAGAGAACGCAAATAGGGTACTGTTGCGCCAACCTTGACAATTGCTCATTAAAACTTACATCTCGGCACTCCAGTCTAATTACTATATTATGAAGTCTCTTTCCGACTCCCAGTAAAGCAAAACTCTCTCTTTCTCTTTTTCTCTCAGGATTGCCAAGTAGAAATTTTCTCACCCTTTGCAAACTTTTCAGCGTCTACTGTCGGTCGCATGCAGCATCGCCTTGACACTCGCTGGTCCTCGTTACATTGCTATTCCTATTGACGGAGTCGACGTGATCGAGTTGAATCCCATCTCAGCGTCGTCCTCTGCCAGTTCTCGATTGCCACGGCAAGCCGAGACTTATGTCCCAGTAACACTTTATCACGAATACGAGCAGCAACCAGTTAGGACTGAGAGAGCGACTGCTCACATTTTGGATTACGTTGATTTTGGCGCTCACACCGGGCCAAACGGAGCCTTTAGCTGGTATGCTGATTACCCGTCTCATCATTGATCCAGCACCAATTTGGGCTTCGCGTGGATTAATTTTCCAAGAGGATGAGGCGGGAGCTTACTTTTTTTGTTTAAGATACAAATGGTTGGGAATGAAAAATGTGTATAATGACATTTGTTATGTGCTTGACGCGTAGGTGGAATAAATTTATTGGCTATTGTATAACACTTGGTTTTGTAGACAACTGCAAACAGAAAAAATTCATACCGTCTATCCAATGGCGACAATATCATTTGATACAATGATTACATAAATTATTGTAGGAACAAGTTAATATAAATAAATATAAATCGTCGGACGTCACTTATAATCAACAACGCTATAGCAATGGCTGTGTATTTCAAATAGCATTGATTTTCTTTTGTTTAAATGTGCCGAGAGAGAGAGAGAGAGAGAGAGAGAGAGAGAGAGAGAGAGAGAGAGAGAGAGAGAGAGAGAGAGAGACAAACCGCCACAATGTGAAAGCTATAGACAGGAAAAAAGGTATATATCCATTACGATAATAATATTTTTTATTCACTCCATAGTGGTACACTTCGTTTTCAGCCGTGAGCTATCCCTTTGTGATATACAATCACTACACAGCGACGGAACGACGACCATGATTTCTTTTTATTTAATTTATTCAACGATTTTTCAATGTTTGAGGATATTTCGATTTTGAAATACACCCGTGCATGTGCGTAAACGAAAAATCAATTAAATAAAAATTTAAAAATAACTGCGCAATCCTCGTGTCATCGTTGGAAAGCATACGTAACGCCGTCCTTCGACCTATTTTGCGTTTTCTTTTTTCAAGAAAATTGGAGTCATTATTTACCTAATAGAAGATAATCACACGAACATACTCAAATTTTAATTCAAATCATCGTAATCAATATATCTCTTTGGGTCCAACTTACAATCTGTACAGATCATATTCTTCAAAATCAACAAATTAGCTAGGTAACGATTAATTATGCTCGATTGCTAACCACAATACAACAAAGATTTGCCTGCGCGAACAGTTTCATTTTTACACTTGGCTAATTTAAGTCTGTTTGGCGGGCACATTAATTCCTCAAACATTTTCTAATCAATAGACATATCCGCTTCGATACTTTGAATACTACGGATAAAAGCTCTGCCAATATATCGAATTAACACATTAAGAAAAAAACTTGGAAGCTGCGTCTTTTTTCTACATATATTATGGAGTGTTATTTCAAAATCAATGCCAACAATCGTGAACAGATATATCGTATCGATATTTTTCATTTCTACGTCACATTTAAACAGCTTTACATTTAAATTTCTGCTTCTTTTTACTTGTCGTTATATAATATATAATAGATTTATCCACTGTTATATCATATGTTGTATATTTTATTTGTTAATTTTTTCTTTGTAGCCATCATCAGCTCCTCGAAAATATGTATAACGGTCGAGCAAGATGTACTGGACTTGTTTCATTATATTACAGTTTTTTGACATTGAACATAGATAGATAGAAGATTTTTTAATGGAGATAGACTGTTTTGATTATGAAAAACTATCAGCTAGATAGGTTTTTGTTTGAACAGCCCTTGAGTAAAACAAGTACTTAGAATGAAACGCAGACAACTAAAAGCTAGTGAGTGTCAAAGTGCATATTGAGATAACAAAGTTGCTTAAGCTACATGTAAAAGATACAAAATTAATTGCATTCTTGAGAATGCTTGAAAAAAAAAGTTGATAACAAAACAATGATAAAGAAAGATAATTAAGGAAGACTCAAGGCTTGTTGTTAATCTGCAAAGTCAATACTGTTGGAACACCAGTAAATTGGCAATGAATTAAATACTACATGTTAATGCGCTCTGTCATTGCTTGAGCAATTTTGTACAATCAGTTTGTTTTTAATGATTATTTGAACGTTATACACAACGATAAATCCTATATATAATAAACTGCAAGTTGTCTATGCGTACGTGCTCGTCAAATCGTATAAGGATTACAACTGTCAATTGACTGCAGGTACTCAAAAACTTGCTTTTTCCACCTCGTACACGTATTAATATATATATATATATATATATATATATATATATATACAGGGTGTCAATTAAGTCCCGGGACGCCTGAATATTTTCTGAAGTACTTCAGTTCTGAAAAAGGTCAAGGTCATTCCTTTAGTAACTTTCAACGCGGAATCCGATGGTGACCTTGGATTTGACCTTGAGATTGACCTTCAAGGTTATTTCAAGGTCAACTTTGTTTTTTTAAATGGGAACCCCTATTTTTGACAACGACAATCGAAAGAGCGGAAAATTTTACGTCCAAAACGGTATTTTTAAATTTTTTTTCATGGCCTTGAGAAGGTCGATTTAAGGTCAAATGCTTCAAAAACTGCCTAAAAGCGTTTTTTTAATTTTTAAGATATCGAAAAATGACCTCTACAAAATTTGTTTAGAACAGAGTGGGCCACCCAATGCACCAAAAACCTTTGACCTTTAACCTCATTTTGAAGGTCATTTCAAGGTCGAAGTGTTTTTTGTAATGGAAACCCCTCTTTTTGACCCCGGATTAGCACATAGCGCGAAATCCGACGTTTGGATAAGGTATTACGTTGAGTTTCGATTGATCCACGACGTTCATCGCTAAGGTCATGTGAAATTTAGATCCAATATTATTCGCGAAACATTTACAAAATGTTTCGGGCTAAATTTATTAAATTCTACTGAGAGCATGTTACAGTGACCTTATCTTTGACCTTTGATTGTTTGAATAATAAAGTAACGGGTTATCCAAACCGAAAGTCAAGTTGTTTTAAATGAGGAGCAAGCAGAGACATAGGTACAGTTTTTTTGCCGGATAAGTTTTTTCCACTCACTGCGTTTTGAATGTTTCTTTCTGATTTCGCGCTATATGCGAATCCGGGGTCAAAAATAGGGGTTTCCATTACAAAAAACACTTCGACCTTGAAATGACCTTCAAAATGAGGTTAAAGGTCAAAGGTTTTTGGTGCATTGGGTGGCCCACTCTGTTCTGAACAAATTTTGTAGAGGTCATTTTTCGATATCTTAAAAATTAAAAAAACGCTTTTAGGCAGTTTTTCAAGCATTTGACCTTAAATCGACCTTCTCAAGGCCATGAAAAAAATTTAAAAATACCGTTTTGGACGTAAAATTTTCCGCTCTTTCGATTGCCGTTGTCAAAAATAGGGGTTCCCATTTAAAAAAATAAAGTTGACCTTGAAATAACCTTGAAGTTTAATCTCAAGGTCAAATCCAAGGTCACCATCGGATTCCGCGTTGAATGTTACTAAAGGAATGACCTTGACCTTTTTCAGAACTGAAGTACTTCAGAAAATATTCAGGCGTCCCGGGACTTAATTGACACCCTGTATATATATATTTTTTTTTTTCATACATGAACTACAAGTGATGCGTAACGGCGCGTGCGCACTTACCAGAAAAATATTACAGCGTCGCATTTTTGTAAATATATATGTATATATGCTTTTCCTCGCGAGCCACTCACAGAGATCACAAATATATTTGTTTTTGTTGTTCGCGAAAGCCACTTCTATCTATCTAGCATGCGCAAGATCAAGTCTTTGACGGATCGACGAGTCTCACGTGTATCCTCGAGGTCATATGTTGGTTTGTTGCATTCTTGTTCGAGAAGGGAAAATATTAACTAGTAAATGTAATGTAGTCTTGGAAACTCACTATCGTCGTCTTAGGCGAAATCAATGGAGAAGCTTTTTTGTGAAAAGGCACACACGTATGTATACACATGATATCTTGAAAATTATAGAAGAATACATCAAAAATATATATAGATTATAATATATGCGTTAGAATTGTACTTTCGATTGCAGAAAAGCTATATATTGTTCGCAAAACACGGCACATCAAAAAATGCGCTAAGATAATTGAAGCGTCGCATCGTACCTACGCACGAGGCAGAGCAATCATTGGCATAGTAACAGCAGCGCATCCGCCAATGACTCAATCCTGCTCAAAGTCAAATATACATTGTACGTACTCACGTCTTGCTTGTCGCGCGTATCAGCGACGTCCCATCATTGGATACGCACATGTGTACATACATGATGGGAATAAGTCGATCGCGCGCGGCTCGATATGATCGTACAAACATCTATGCTCACGCCCCCCTATACATATAGGAGATACAGGTAAAACAGGGTAGCTCTATGATTTTTTTAAAAATACTTTCGCATCACCGGACCAACAGCATTCTTACAAGTACTCTTCAAGGGTATAGATCCGGCTGGTTGCACAAAAACTCAGTCGGCATTACAGATTGAACAAAGAGCGTCATTTTTACCAAAGTCTTTGCAATTTTAACGAATTTTAACTTCAAGCTTAAACAGAGCATAGGTAACTATCAATTTAGTACGTCTTTACAGTTTTTACAACGCTGTTTAGATTTTATTTCTATCAACTCTACCCACTTTAATATAAAAAGTTTAAGAATATGACTTTTAGGCAAAGCGAGGTATATACTCCTTTTTCATAAATATTGCTTCAATCTCGTTTTAAATTAATTAAATATCCACAAATTGCCCTCAGCGTACGTAAACAGAGAGAAATTCAGAGCAGTTTAAAATAATTTTAAATCGATAGATTTTTTAAGAGAAACAAAAATCCATTGTCAGAATGTGGTTCACGTGCCTCTGAAGGAAGTGATTGCCGATTTTCGTGGGTATCCTGTTTTGCCTGGATTTTTTTAAATTCTGAAAGTTGGCTTCTTATGATTACTGTCTCTAAGAATGAGTTTTTGACATAGAAATATTTTGAGCAAAATATAATTGGATAGGATTTTCCAAAAAGAATAAAAATCCGTGGTCAATATTTGAATAGGATGTATCCGAATGAAATTATTGCTGATAATAACGCTGAGGTACCCTGCTTTGCCCGAGTGTCTTCTATAGATATATACATATCGATTGAGCGAAAGTGCACAATGGTCAACATCGATCGACAGCAGAAGCTCGCCCGCGTAAGGAATCTCTGGATGCAATAATGTGAATTGTCTAGCTACACACAAAAGAAAGCGAACGATCCATCGAATAGCCCATGCGCCTCGAAGAAGGATATCCAGTTTACACGGTGTGTTGAGACAACAATATCTGCGGTGGCAATGGCGTTAGCGGTTGAACCTCGGGTCAAGTGGTGCACCAAGCCAACACGACCTTCTTGAACGGCACGAAGACCGCATGCTGCGGCTTGCTGTATGTGCATGTATGAAGGTCAAGGATTAGTGGCACGCAGCTATTTTCGGACCTGCCACTGGGGCATTGTCACCCCGGGAGCGCAAACGTTTGACGGCTGTTGCTTTGTTAGCTATTATGTACGCTCGTTAAGTTTGATCGAGGCCATGATACGCCTGTCAGTTCTCGAAAACTACAAAGGCTTTCCGCGTTATCGACACGCGCGTCATCGTGTTGCCGTAAGAATCGATCGAAAAACACGTTGGTTGCAGCTTGAACAGATGAAAAAATGAAAGTTTACCAATCAAAGTATCGCCTGCCATGAAAAGTGCCGTCGGAGTTGCCATTGTCGGTAGGAAGTAGCACACCGACATGAACGTCCTCGCGGCCAGTGACAGGTCCCACGTAGCGCACTCGACCCTGGAGTATTCTGCCCTCCGGAGAGATCAGCTTAACCAGGTGATCCAATTTGAGATCGCGAGCTGTCTGTACATATATATAGCAAGCACGTGCGCGTATGTAGTCAAGACAGAGATACAGTGGTTTATTACAATTGTCTCATAAAGAAACGAACATTGCCAGATTACGTAAGAATACGCCTTCAAATCAGTTTCAACTCAGTCTACGTTTTCATGATTTAAACTCTACAATTTGTACACTTGACAAATTTTCCGATACTGTAAATAATATTTAAATTACTCGAAGCTAATGAATAAAGGTCTTAGAAGCTAGCACCTAGACTTTTTTTAAGTTATCCGATAGTTCATCATTCAAGCAATAAAGTTTATTGATCGAGCTAAAAAAATTATAAATAAGTCAACGAAATGAACGAGTGAATATATATAAAAGGTCAACAATACAAGTTAGAATCGCGTTACTTCCAGCTGATTCATTGTTTACCGACGCGCAATAGCGCATATACACCGGGGAATGGGTTGAATAGTACATAGTGCTGCATACGCGTGTAGCAGACCAATGCATTGGCCCGAGTCTCACCTTTGGTAAGTAAGGTCTGGCGTGCTGGGGCGGGCGCCATTCGCGCAGCATGTCGGGCTCGGAGTGTCGACGTGCCCGCCTCCTCCTGGCGCTGTGCTGCTGCTGGTGCTGCTGGTGCTGCTGGTGCTGCTGGTGCTGCTGGTGCTGCTGGTGCTGCTGGTGCTGCTGGTGCTGTGATTCGCCGCGAGGACTCGTTATCGTGAGCATCGAATCGATGCTACGCCGCAAGTAATCTTCTGCCTCGTCGAGCAACGATTCCGTGGAATCGCCGCTCGTTTCACCCAGCGACTCGCTTCGAAGGTTCGGCAGGCTACCGCGGATCATCGGGCAATCTGCAAAGTTTTATCGCACCTGAGGCCTTTGTCAACTTGAACTTATAACTAATTTCGCTCTTCGCCTTACATCGCTTTCAACTTGTACAAATGAACCATCAGCACGATAAGCAGTGAGTTTAAAATGAACGCAGAGCAATGAATAATTACGCTTTCAAACAGCAAAATCGAACGAAAGTCATGGAACAAATTAATTCGGAGCTTTCACCGTGTTTGCGTTCGTGGGCTCGTAATATTCCATCTAGTTTTTCGAAAAACAAACTCTTAGACTTGTTTAATAAATTTGTTTCACGATTTAGTTTCCGATGAAAATATGAATACACTGAATAAAATTATTCGTTGCAATACTTCTTTTGTGAGCTGCCACCTTGTTTGTTTTTTTCGAAAATTCCATTACATTACGATACAATGTTTGGGGTAAAGTATTGAACAAATCAGACAAGTTGCAAATCGTTCAGACCAATTCGAAAATATTTGTTTAGTAAAAAACATTTGTTTAGTAATAAGAACAAGATTCAATGTAAGTTTTAGTCTTTTTAGCTGAGTAATCAGTAATTATTAATGAATTACAGCATTTATTAAATACCTGTCTAAGTTAGAAGCAAGTGAAATTGTCAATTGGTGCATGAAGTGGTGTATACTAATGCTATTATGTAACGCAATCATTCGTCAATTCATTATAAATTTTATCAGAAATAGCACGTTAAAGGGTATCTATTAATTTTCCAGTTGTATGTTTATTCAATTAAAAAATTATATTTTGCTTAGCCTCGTCTTAAAACAATGATTATCAAGTATTTTTACAAGCTCCGCATCAGTATACTAACATTATACTCGTATAAAAGACCGTGTAGAGAACGTTTTGAATTGTATATGAAATTGTTTGAATTTTCAATTATCACAATGTTTCTAACAAATTATAATCTGCTTAGCAAGACGTCAAATCTCGCTCGCAATACGAACACCGGCTACTAAGCCCGTCACACTCATGCGCCATTTTTCAAGATTATTTTTCTGGCTATAATGTATTTATCGATCGCTTCTTCTTTACGACCTTCACCGTCATCAAATATCAATATTTTAGAAGAGTAAGATTTTTTACTCTTTAGGGGAAATAAGTAAATCGAAGATGGCTTTTCACCTTTACACTGCAAGGGATTTTAAAGTGACAGTGCAACACGAAAACTTTTTTGAGCTAACACTGTAACTCTTTTCACAGCCAAAGTAAACATACATATACATGTGAAATAAAACATTGCCATGATGATTATTGTATAAGAGAACACAAAGAGTTTAATGAAAAATGAATAATGTAATTAGCATAAGCGCATTTTCATGCTGATTATTTATAACACGCTTCTGAAAAAGCTTCGTCATATTTATGTCCAAATATTTGGTGGCATTATTTAGCAAACTATCGAATCAGCTATACTGAAATTTTAGGATAGGCAGTTTAGCAGAAGTCGATAACTGTCATAGTTAATCCAAGTCCTGAATTGACTGTTGACAACGTTTTTCATAAAGGATTGATTGTTATTCCCACTATCCTTTGAGACTTTTCTGTGCGTCGATAATCATAATAATTCACGAGTTTCTTAATGTTAAGCGAAAAGTAGGCATTGGTAAAGAATGTTTCTATGGCTTCCGTCTGTGTGAAAAAAATAAGAAATTCAACTGAAGTATAAAAAGTTCAGGGCGCGCAGAACATGGACATTGCAGATCTAAAGTTCCCGATTGAATAAAGTTTAGTGCGGTCAGACTTGAAAGCTCTGGTTTTATTTCGCCTTGCCTAGAAACTTGAAATATAGAAAACTAGCATCGACGATGTAGGGCAGCAGCCCAGCCACGCGAACGAGCCACAAGAGTGCACGAGTGGTCTATACCAACCTTGAAAGGTGACTTTGGACTTGGTCCTGCTGGGCGGATCGCCGGCGAGCCGAGCGACGAACGCCGCCGAAGGAGGCTGCACGTGCGTCGGCGAGGAGGGCATCGACGACCAAGTGGGCCCAGCCAGCTGGCCTGGCCCGGCCGCGCCGCTGCAGGTCTGACTGACGGGAAGGACGGCGGCCGCTCGCCAGCCGTCGAACGAGGCCGTGGCGTTGGGCCGCCACGAGTGGCGCCTCGACGGGCCGAACTCGCCGGCGGGCGACGCTATCGAGGTCAGGCTGCTGCCGCGATAGTAGCGGGCGCCGGCCGAGCGGCACTCGCACGGGCTGGGCAGCGCCGAGGCCGCGCCGCTGCGGCAGCCCCAGGACAGCTCGCGGCGACTGCTCTCGGGCGTGCGCTGGGCGTCCGCGCCGGGCGGCCGAGCGCCGCAGCAGCCGGCCTGCGGGGGCTGAAAGCACGCGGCGGCTCAGCGGGGTTCGTGGCTGTCGAGGAGTGCGGCGGCCGGCCGAGCGCGCACCTGGTTGTGTGGCTCCTGGCACAAGTGGTCGGCGCTCCTGGACAGCTCGGGCACCATGCTCGTGAAGCTGATGTCCGACAGCAGGACCCGGCGAGCCTCCCTCGTCTTGTCGGACAGCCGCAGTCGCGCGGACGGCATGCCGCTCGGCAGAGCGAACTTGCTGGGCAGCGTGGTGAAGCTGTGGGCGACCTTGTGCGCGAGGTAGCTCTCGGAGCGCCACTGGGCCGGCAGCGCCGAGATGTCCGTCTGGGCGCCGGACTCGCGGCGCGCGCCCCCGGCCGCTGCCGAGCGATCCAGCACTGGCCGCAAGGGCGCCGCCGACTTGCGCCGGCCGACCGCCAGAGCTTCCCGGTGGATGATCGGCCTGCGGGCATTCGGAGGACCAGCCGTCACGCCTCGGCAGGGCATTCGAGGGGAAGGCCGCGCTAATTCGTACCACTCGCTAATAACACACTTGTGAGCACTGTCCAGGTGCTCGCGAAAACGCGCCTGACGAGACGGTTTTTCGAAGACGCGCCGAGTCTCACACACTCCACCGCGCCTCGGTGCAGCTTTGAAAGCACATACATATCACTCGGTCGACGCATGCTTCAAATCGCGGTGAAATCTGCAAGCTGCAACGTCTACGTAAACTTTGGCGCGCGCACATTTTGCATATGCACTTAGCGCACGGCGCGAGTCGAGTCAAAGGAGTGAAAAGGAGTGAAAAGGAGTGAAAAGGAGTGAAAAGGAGTGAAAAGGAGCGAAAAGGAGGAAGAGGAAGAAGAAAAAGACCAACCTATAAGCAGTGGGCGGAGCAGCCAACGTATTCCTTCTCTGAGCGTTTTTCGCCTGAAGATCCATTTCTTCGAGAACGCCGCACTTGCTGATGTCAGTCTCGACGAGCACTGAGCATTGCGACCACATCTTGTTCAACCGACTTGCCGAACTCTCGTCGAACCTGTCGACGCTTTCCTCGCGGTCGATACTGCTACCTTGAGACGACGCCGCTTCTTCAAGTGAAGCTGTCGTTGTCCCGTTGCACGCCAACGCTGGGCCAACCGTTGACGATACCGAATCCAGCTGGTCGGCCGACTTTGCTTGACTGGTCTTTAGGATTGATTTCGTTGGCTCGATCTGCAATTGGTAATTGTTTGTTCTCGTGCGAAGCCCGACTAGTCATTGCCTAGCTCAACCCAACCCGTGCAAAGAGTTTCGAAAGCCGACGTCAGTTTGTCAGTTTGCCAGTTTGCCCCCAAATTGTTCATTCACGCTTCGTCGGAGACCAGATTTTCCATTCAATCATTCAATGTGGCTTCTTAATTCGTGCGAGTAAAGCAAAAGGAAAAATGGAACTCACCGGCGTAGGTGTTCGCTGTTGCTGCTGCCAGTGCTCAGTGTCGCTAATGGACACGAGATCCTCCTGAAGACCGACATCTCGGTGTGTTTCCTCAGTTGTGAAAATCAACTCGATGTCGTCGAGCTCTTCGCATTCATTTTCCGACTCGTTTGAGGCGCCTTGCCCACTCAATCTGCTGGTTCGTTGCCGCTGCCGTGGCTCGTCGCTGTCCTCCGTGGCGAGACCAGCAGCAGTCGCAGCCTTCTCTTCGCTGCCCGGATTATTGGCGACGGGTGCTGCTGCTGCTGCTACGGCTTCTTCCTCGTCTTGGCGTGTACTTGTCGTCGTCGCGGTTTCGTCGCTCGTTCGCTGCGTCTGCTCCGTGCTGTCGGACTCCATTTTGTCCGATTTTTGATTCGGCAGACTGAGTGTCGTAGATCATTCCATATATGAAAACAAATGAAAGCGGAATGGTAAGTTGGTTGACGGTCGGCAGACTACGTTGGGGCATTTGTCTTGCAGGAAGACCGATAGATCGAATAACAAAACACCTCCTACGCCCTAGCCGCTTTTCCCCTTTGGCTTTCTTTTTACATCGCTTCACTTGTTCTCACGATGACTACACTCAACGGTCATTTCGCATATACTAATTTATGCGAAACTTGCAAATTTAGCGGCAAACGCTTGTACGCGCGATGAGCAGATATTCTTGGCAAAGTCGAACTGCTAAAAGCGCGTAGGGCAATGATTCGATATTAAAAGCATTCGACATATTAGAAAAGCTTGCGATGCAGAGTCTGATTGCTGATCGCGATGAAATTCCAATAGCCGCTTTTCAAACAAACGCGTAGCAATGTACGTTACGCAGTTTCTTTCCTGCACGCGGCTAAAGACCCAGTGCCATTGGCAAGGGTTGCGTCGTCTTGCGCCTAACCAGAAAAACTGCATTTTACGCTTAAGCTACTTGATCCCACTTAATCGTTGCTTCTTTTCTCGACTGACAGAAATAAGTGGCTGCTGGGAATCAACGAAATGGCAAACTGATTGACAGTCGACTCGGAATGAAAAGTATTTACTTGTAGCGAAGAGACACTGGACAAGAATGCGAAAAACAAGTGAAAAGAATGATGAATTGGAAGAGGAAGAGAAAAAGCCCGGTGCGTGTGAATTACGACTGACTGGCTTACCACTTTCATGAAAATCTCAGCAGCAGACGCGCGTGTGGCCGGGGCAGGGAAAAAGCTCGGTATTACTCACCGTTCACTGTGTGCTTTTACGAGACTGCTGGCTGGGCTGGTCGCAGCGTCGGTCGAACACTTGCCGTTGGTCGCAGCAGCATGTCTAAGTAGCCTGCTACGAAGCACGTGATTCTCAATGGCCAGTCTCTCGACAGCTTCGCCGTATTTCTGATTCGGATACGTTGTCGTCTCTTTCAGTCGTCGTAGTTCCTCGCGCGACGAGTCCAGTGCCGTTCGCAGCGATATCACCGTCTGCCAGTTACGAAACGCACACGTCAATTAATTGTGCAAATGAAACGCAGCAACAGCGGAACAAACAGCGAGTGTAATGTAACGCTTCGATTAACAACGATTAATCTCGCTGACGGCAAGAGAGAGAGAGAGAGAGAGAGAGAGAGAGAGAGAGAAGCTCGATGTGGAAATCGTAACGAAGCTTCATGGTCAGGGTCAAACTGCGCCTCCCTTCTCTCGCTCGCTCTGCCGCATGAGTCTGGCTAATGCTTCACATTACTCATCAGGTTTAATTATTGTTGAGAGCGAGCTGCTGCTCCTACTGCGCTGCGCCTACTCGAACAAGTGGAGCGCGCCTCCAATAGAAACTTATGCAAATTCCTTCGCACCCAACTAATTTAGCTCGAAAAATACAACAGTTTAGTCGCAGCTGTGCGAGTATAAGCTTGCGACCAAACTGCTGGATTTCTTTGAAAAGTTCAAGGGCCAATCTTACTGTGGCGAGTACCACAAGCTGAGGGTCGCAGTGGTGGTTTCACGGACAGCCTTTCATCAAGATTTTCGATGATTTTCATGCTACTTGCAGCATGTTAACGATCAAAGGAGACTGAAAAACGCGCCATTTTCTCTACACACGGCTAATCAGATCGCCTTTTCTGCGCGATTCATTGGACAAATTTTTCGTGATAATTGCTGTAATGCTAACGCAATGTCTGGCTAACTAGCCGTTCTTCTAGAAGAATAAACTCGAGAAAATTCGATGCACGTGCAGAGAGTATCGAGATGAACAAGAAGGCGGCTCGGTGCAGTCATGTGTAGGGATATAGCAAGAAACCTACGTGGTATCGATTTTTCAAAGCTGGAATTAGCATCAATGAGAGAGCGAGGAGCGAGCGAGTGTTTACTTACCAAGAAATTACCATCCATAGCACTCGCTCGTTCGATCGTCCGATTACTCCAACAATTTACAAATTTACAGGATTCATCCATCGTCGGGATATTCGCTTGGGCGCAATGCCTCTGAAGCTCGAAACAAGCTTACTTTCGAGCGGTTAAGTAGCAGCAGTAGTAATCAAAGCTCTAAAGAGATTCCCCATAAAGATATTACACTCCGGCATCGATTCGCTAGCTTGCTAAATCACGCCAATTTCACGAGCACGAAACCCGCCCGGGAATTCGTGGGTTGATTCCATTTCTCGCTCCTGCTTTCCAACCTACTTTCACTTTTAATAGCGCGCGCGAGAGAGAAAGAAACAGACACTCCTTCCGTATACACTGGAAACATTCGCTTTGTTTCGCCTTTGCTTCAGGAGTCAATTTTCAGCCAGGAAAAATGGCCACCTTTTCCGGAGAGTTGCACTTGCCAGTAGCGTACATATTTTATACAGCGTACACACGCTCGAACGCACCTATTCTACAGTTCCCTTGGCAAAACGATGTCATTGTAATTAGACATTAGAAGAAGGCAAAAAAAGCACTTGATAGCTTGATGTGGCTCAGCCGTACGACGCTCTGTCAAGCTGCGCTTTCGAGTTTGCAGTAGCTGAGATTCGCTCAAAATGCTATAGCGATGCCGGCCTCTCTCTCTTTGACCCCCCCCCCCCCCCTCTCTTTCTCTCTGCAGAATGCAAAGCACCAACGTCTGCTCAAGTGCACGGCAGCTCACGGAGCTTACGGATGGTCGCGAGTTCGGCGCCTCGCCTCGCCTTGACAACAGAGAGGCAATGAGGCGGCTAGGAGGGCTCGAGCCAGCATCATCGTCACTAGTAGCCTAGTTTCCGGGAAACGCGCGCTTCGATTTTGTTCGCGACACGCAGAGGCGACGCACTCCGACGATCATCGAACGCGCGAGCGGTGCTACGAAAGCCCAAACGATGGCCCACTCGAGCAGCAGTCAGCGACTTATTCGCGTAGGAGTGCCGCGGCGAGACAGCGAGCGCCAACCTGGTGTAGAGCTCTCACGACGTCAAGGGTTTGGCCAACACTGGCCTGGCGCGTCGCTGGAGCGCCGGCGCCGAGTCGTTGCCGTGGGCCGTAGGCTGCCGATGCAGAGGTAGCCGCTGCTGCTTCCATGTCTCCTGCTCCGACTCGTCGCCGCCACCGCCGCAGCCACCGCCGCTGTCGACGCCGCCGCCGAGTGCTGCTGAGCCGCCGACGCCGCCGCCGCACACGCTAATCCTCATGCCGACGGACACACTGTCTGCGCTGCTGCCACTCTCCTGCTGCGATCCGTCGCGCGCTGCTGTCCGCTCGCTCCTCGCTCTTTCGTCGACGTCTGCAACTGCAACAGATCCCGTGCACGTCGTTAGCGAGGCCGCTGTCATCGCCGGATTCTAATCGATCGCTCGGCTCCGTCGCCGCCGCTGCCGAATTCAAAGTACTTTCGATGTAAAGGCTTCTTCAGTCCTTACTTCTTTCGACTTCCTTTCCCCGACCTTGTAATGTTCTTTCGCGATGCGAAATTCTATTCAAAAATGGACATCGAGTGTAGACAAAGGAAGCAAAGCCGAAGGGACACGATATGCAAAGGCAGGCAGTTTTTAAGATTTTGTATTAGCTGCGTAAATAAATGCCGTACAGCAACTCGCGCGGGACGTATGAGATCCTATGCACCTCAAGGTGCAGTTCTCTCATTGTTTTCTTCTAGCGTGTAGCCATCGATTTGTCATTGAACGCGTGCTTGCATTCGAAAAGCTGCAAGCCTAAGCCCTGCCAAACTACCGAACGACGCAGACGAGCTCTCGGATTCGTGTTTCTCTCTCTCTCTCTCTCTCTCTCTCGCTCTGTCCTCTTCAGTAGATTCATCCGTGCCCAGTCGAACGAGTATGGTAGCTCCGTCCGAAGAGCATGTCACATGTGTGCAGCAAATAAAGTGATGCGTGATATCGATCAAACGCTCGTCGTCGCATCCTCCCACGATACACAAGGGTATTTTTGGCCAACTACGTGCATTTGTGCGCGCGGCATACAGTGAAAAAGAGCACGGGGGGGGGGGGGGCCCAGGCGATGCTGCTCGCGCAGCAGGAGGGTTCGACCGTGAATGAACGCACGCCTACTCTACTTACTGGAAACACACACACACGCGTGAACGCACCAAAGCAAGAGCGACAAGAAGGGAAAGACGTACTGTTTAACAAATGACGACCCAAGCAGGCAGGCACAGAGCGCAGTCTAGCGCGAGGACTCGAAGATCAATATGGAACACATCGCTACTTGCAGCGAGCAGCGGCGAAGGACTACTGTCAACAATAGCTGCCGAGTGTCGTAGGAAGAGAGAGACAGGAGGCAGCAGCAGCGGCGCCAGTGGCCTCGTCAGAGCTACGCACTTACAGTTGCCGTGGACGAGGTCTTGTGCGTGTGTTAATGTTGCATTGCACTAGCTACACCACTTAGCAGCTTGTATCAGCTGCTGGCGCTGCGGCGTAGCCCACCGCCACCAGTGTGACGCCGCTGCCGATTATCAGCGCAGCTGCGCGCCACCAAGCGACCCGCGCGGTCGCTGCTTGTTCTTTTTCGTTTTTCCTTCTCGATGCATTCTACGATTCTACGCCAGTGGCACGCGCGCACACCTACACGCTCGCCTCGGCGTTCGCGCTTCAGCCTCGCTTATCGATGTGTGCCAAGCCGACCTGCCGTATGCGGGTTTTCCAAACGTACAGATATGTAACTATTGACGATGCCTTTATTCTTCTTTATTACTTACTGCACAAGATTATCTTGAGTAAATGTGACAGCCTATTTGTTTGTTTCTTGTTTAGCTAAGCCAACCAAAGGAAAATCGTAGCAAATGAAAGCTCAAGGAACAGAGGAAGTCGTGTCCTGCAAAACCAGTTTTCAGTAGAATCAAGCCGCTGTGGTCAGACATGAGTCACGCTCACTGCTCAGTGCTCAGCTTCAGGATGGCTTCAGGTGGACTCACGAGAGCCGGCTCAACTTAGCTTGATTTTTCACCAGAGGTCGCATGTATCCAGTCGAATATCGAATGGAAATTACAAACTCTAAATAAATTGATCTTCAATCCTAAATCTTTCGATGATTAACTTGTAAGCAATATCATCGCCATTGATTTATAATTTCGCGCTACGATACACCATCAAATTATTCCTAGATAGAAATATCGACAAAAGAAATATAAATTTATTGTAAGTGTACAGCAAAATTTCCATTCAACATTGATACGACAAACACATTATTAGATAGTTTTTAGTACTTTTTAACAAAGTAAGTGACAAAGAGACAGAGAAAATACAGCCGAAGGCTTCTCACCATCAATGAAGAAGCTAATTACATTTTCAACTATACCTTTGTCCCATGTTTTTCCAGAATATACTGAAAAAACTTAACCGGGTAGTTGAAGTAATTTTCAAACTAAAATCATTTTTATTTTATTTATTGTTATTAACTCATTTTGATTTTATTTATTATTTATTAATAAATAAAAACATTTATCACTTTACCTTTTTCACCTTACCAATACAATTATAATTTGATTTTTAATTCATTGTAAACAAGCTAGTCACGTGCCCTGCTTCCCGCTAGGGAGGGGAGTGGAGAGTGGAGACTGGACGACACTATATCAAGAGCACTATGTAACCAATAAATACCTATATTGACAATTATTAGCCATCCGTAATTATCCGCATGCGCACATCGTGTAAAAAGAGCGGGACAGTGGAGTGTTTGTTTAATGCTGTCTGGCAACGTAAGGGAGCAAAGTTAATATTAGAATTAATGGAATTAGGGATGTTATATATGTGTATTTGGTTATGGTAACTGATAAATCCTTGTATTTCTTATTTATATGAATATTGTAACTATTAGTTTATCAACAATAGTTTTAAGAAACATGACCAATTCGAAGAGTGTCGTTGACGCATCTTTTGGAGTAGAAGAAACATTTACAAAATGTGATGTTAAAAAACAAAATACAAATAGTAATAGCGATGTGGATCATAAAGAAAATTTGAAAACTCAAATAAACATAGCAATCAAACAAGATTCAAAAAAATTCTTTTGGAAGTCTCATTTACAGAAGCCAATAGAAATTAAACAGGAAGTAGATAATAAAAAACAAAGAGTAAGTTTTTTTACTGATTGTTAATTTGTTGTTCTCTTAGTTTATATTCAATTTACAATTAATCTAGGTAACTAGAAATACATCCAAAACATTAAATAAATCTTCATGTTTTACTGAGTCCTCAATGAAATATGACAAATGCAATAAAAAAAATAAAAGTAGGGTGAACAAAGAACATGTAGTTTCACCAAATCATAGCATTACAGAATATTTTTCAAGTTTAGATTTAAAAGAATCTGTGAAAGATATCGATGAAAAATCTAAGAAAATTGAGCCGAATAAAGACAATTTGAACAGCCATTCATCACTTTCTAGTATAGAAAGTACAAAAAATTCTTTATCACAAGCCAAAAGGTCAAATTTAAGGAATCATAAACTTACTGAATATTTTGCAATACGCAGAAGTGATCGAAAATTAAAAAAAGACACTGACATTGAAAAGCAAAATGACTTAGAAAAAAAAATCATGAATGAAGTAGAAGATGGATTAGAGGTAAAACTTGATTATTTGAAAAATAATCTATATTAAGAAAACATTTAAATATTTGTAGATAAAAGAATTTAATGAAAAAGGACGTGGGATTATAACAACAAAAGAGTTTTATAAAGGTGACTTTGTTATTGAATATATTGGTGACCTGATTGATGGAATTACAGCCAAACAGCGAGAAGCACAATATGCCAAACGTAAAAATGTTGGATGCTATATGTACTATTTCAAACACAAGGATCGGCAATACTGGTTTGTGCAGATTGATATAACACATTTTTCATGTAAGAGTATTGAGTAACAATTTAATTTGATTGTTATAGCATTGATGCCACAAAAGAGTCAGGAAAATTAGGCAGACTCATCAATCATTCACGTAAAGGCAATTTAACATCACGGATTATTGAAGTCAATGGGATACCCCATCTTATTTTGTTTGCCAAAGCTGACATATCACCTGGCACAGAACTTTTATATGACTATGGAGATAGAAACCAAGAATCAATTAAAAATCATCCATGGTTAAATTTGTGAATATCACTCTGAAACGTAATTTAAAAAATTAGCTATAATTGTAATTTAACTTTGAATTTTGGTATATCTTCGTACATTGTTCTGCAGAACTGCCATATCTTTGATAAATCTAGTAATTCAAGAAACATTAAAAACTATTGTAAATAAAATTACTTTAGATGTGTATACCATCGTCAAGGGTATAAATGCTTCATCAAAGGTGGTATTTGACATTTCCAGTATAATAATTCGAGAACCTTGTCATAACGAACCACATGGTTATTTATCAAACCAAACTTGATTAGTAACAAATAGAACTTTTTTGGATCCAAATTAATATTAACTTTTCTCAAAACTTGCATAAACTCATCCCAATTCATAGTTTTTCTCTGATAAATGTTTGATGCAATAAATGTGTATGTAAGTAATGGAACGAGTGATCTTTACCTTGTTAATACAGCTCAAATGACATTTCAGTGTAAACAGACTCTGTTCGAAATTACGTTTTTTTAATTGCAATCGAATCTTGTTTAAATAACTCATACATGCTTTTACTTCTTGTTTTTGAGTATTAACTGGAGCTTCAGAAAGTGCTTCATAAATATTTAGGTCATTTAAAATTGATACTGTAGTATTGCATTCTTCATGAGAATTTGAGTATTTCAGAATGTTAACATTATTGAAATGAGAATACTCATTTGTTGAGTAAATTAATTTTTTTATTTTATTTCCATTTTTATCAGCATTAATAAATTTTCCAAATGATTGGCCAGTATGGTGTGTGAGCCTATCATATAGTAAAAATAGCTATTGGTATTGGCTTTAGTCAATTATAAGAATATACTTGCATTTGAGAATTTTTTTTATTATCTTTGTTGTATTTTTCAAAACTATGTACATTTCCTGGATAAATAACGTCTTTAATGGGGTATGCTGAAAAATAAAATTTCAAAATCAATCAGATCCAACTGTTATATATTTATTTATTTAGGTCAAGAAAAACTGATTGCTGGACTTTAAAAAATGTTATTCTTATAAATATTTACATGTACTAATTAAATACTTACAAATTTTTGAAGTCATTTCGAAAGAAATAAAGTCACCCATTCTTACATCAATTTGTTTATTTATTGTTTTTTTACGTAGTATAAAATCTTTAATTTCCGATATTAACATTTCATAATTTGATCTGTTTCGAGAAGACTGTAAAATATCTTTAACCTATAATTTGAATATATGAATAAAAGATTTACAAAATTTTGACTCCTATTTAAAAAAAATTTATTCACATTCTGATTTGTAACTGTGACCATGGTACTTTCAGAATATAGATAGTACTTAACAACAAATTTCTTTCATTAAAAAACTGTTGAATATGCACATACTAAAAATTTTTGATTCAGTGTTGAATATCCTTATTGATGTTTTAAAATGAGCATGAATGTTCTTTTTCTAATTTTTTAATTTACGTGTACATACACGTAACTATAACCAATTCATATATTAATTTATTGATTTAATTTGAACAAATAATTGTTTGCTAATTTCAGAACGTGAGAAATATGAAATTTTAATCTAACTATTTATAGTATCCTCACGTTTCGCGCACTCTTTTGTTTTTTTTTGTTCACAATATTACTTTATTTGAAGCTTTTATATGACAATTTTTAATTCTGATACATGAATAAATCAATCAACATCCATCGATTTTAATTGATGAATAAAAATAGAATTTGCACCCATTTTTCTACAAAAATTATTCAAAAGATTAATTAAACCTATGATTGATTAAATGAACTAAACTATTATACTATTATATAGTACTAAACTTTACATAATTATAATAATAGTGGTTACGGCCCCAGTCTTATAATAGATGAATAATACCCGGTCGGAAGACCCCGGATGGGATCCCTTATGGGGATCTTATGTGGGATCTTATACGGGATCCCATATGGGATTCCATCCAGGGATTTGATAGAAATTCCCAAGTGGCATTCCATATGGAAACCCACACGGGACTCCGGTAAATTAAGAATGTATCCGAACTTCCTCATGGTATCCAACATAGGATTTCCAAAAATTAAATCCGCTAGTGAAATCCCACTTTAAATCCCGCGTGGTTTCCAAAACAAAATTGTTTTTTTTTTAATTCTTACAATTTACGTAGAAGTGAAAGAAAGATTTTTTCGTGAATGTAATATTTATTTATAAGAATATTTAAAAAAGTAACAATACATTATATAATCTGATTCAAATTCCATAAAAATGATATGACTTATTTAAAACTTTTGTTATGTAACCGCTGCAAAAAAGTATTCAAATACCGATCTTAAATGTAATATATAAAGGGTAACCGTATTATAGAGCAACAATGGTCCACCACACTCTCTTATACAATATAATGGCAAATGATAGAGAATTGATAGACTTTCAACTATAATTAGTGGAATTAGGCCTTAATTTTATGGAAGTACTTGAATGTATCGAGAAGAAGAAGAAAATATATATAAATGATATGTATTAATCATCCCAAAAGCTTTTTTTTACATTAGCATACTCATCAATAAGCAATATTCATGAGAATTTGAAAAGTAAATTGTAGACCTGACATTTGAACATTAAATGTGGAACATACGTTCGGCGCTACAGTTTTAAACAACAGTTACTTTTGCTCACTACCGGTAGTGTTGGTACTAAATAATCGAACTAGATATTTTTAGTGATGTTACTAGAGTTGCGATTCGCGTCCGTATACGTCCGCATTCATACGTAGCTATGGGACCGGGGTCTAAGGGTCCTATCCGGGGTCTTCCGACCGGGTATGACTGGTCGCTTACAAAACTTATAGAAAAATCTAATTTATAGCATGAATTTTTTATTCATTATTTTCAGCATTAATTAAAAGCATTATTTTCAGTAATGTTTTAAATATAAATAAGAAGGATAAATATTGTATAAATTAATGTATTACGTACAATAATCCTATAGTTGGTTAGCTATAAAAAAATTAGTGGAAAAGTTTAATTTAACCTTTTAAGGACGGGGATTTTTACGTTAAAATTTGACTTTTTTTTTGCACAATATTTGTGCATAAAATGAAAGAATATGTCACGTGGAGTGCCTGACAAAATTGGTGGTCGATATATCGACCAGTCCCGTCCTTAAAAGGTTAATGTAGATTTTGATTTAATAATTATAAATCATTATTCTAAGCTTTAAAATATAAATTGTATAAATAATGTAATAATGTAACATGCAAAAAAATCGCGCTAAAGATATGAAGCTTAGATGGTAGTCCGGCTGTGCAAATTGTATATGCGCCCGTCCGTCCCCCCTACAGCACAGGTGGACTACCATCTAAGTTTCATATCTTTAGCGCGATTGTATAATTTATAAAATGGACTGGGTAATAAATGACATTCAACGGGTGGGATCTAATATCTTCTACTAGATGTAATATAATTAGAATCGAACTTCACATACAGGTAAGTTCGTTTGATTATCAAATCACTTTGGCTACGGTCACATGCACCTACGAATATAGAATTAGCGTCTATACTTAATGATCAAACGAACACAGTGAAGTTCGATCATAATTATATGAGTAGGCTTGTTCGAAGATATTCCATATGTAGTACCGCAACTCGTTGCCAGATGACGCCACTATTTAGAGATAGAACCGAAGGAAAAGAGGCACTTTCTTCCCCTTCCTAAGTCCTATCTCTCTTCCCGCCTCTCCTACTTCATTTAGTTTAGAGAAAAGCGAGGTGATTCTAGGGTTGGGAAAATTACCATTAACACATATTTCTTGTTTTTGTTTTTTTTTTTTTTTTTGGGGGGAATGGAATATCTTCGAACAAGCCTACTCATATAATTATGATCGAACTTCACTGTGTTCGTTTGATCATTAATTATATTTCGCCTAGCTTGTTCGAAGATATTCCATATGTAGATGTTTAGAGTGAAATTAGCTGTTCCTCTCTGTTAAATGTATTTATTATAATATATGTGAACATATTTAAAATTACGTTACAGAAATAAAAGACTTTATATTAAAAGAATGAACATTATAAACACTTTCTTTAAGTTATGCAATAACTGCTGCTGCGAAATTCCTATCTGTACTCTTAACAATAGGTCTGTTATAAAATTTAGCAAAAACCTTTGAGTTCTCAGACCAGCTGGCTGCATTCCGTATGGTACCAATGTCTAATCCTTCCCTTAGAGCTCTTGATGTAGATGCATGCCTTGTACTATGGGCAGTGAAGAACTCATCGATACCTGCTTGTCTCATGACTGTTCTAATCCATCTGCTTATCGTCTGGGAAGTTACTTTTTTAAAAGGTTTTATAAAAGAAATAAATAATTCGTCTGTATTGCCTCGTAAATCTCTAGTCTTCTCAATATAAAATATTAAAGTTCTTGCAATACAAAGTGTTTCTCTGTGAGGAAAATAAGGAAAAAACACTATAGGATCCTTTGATCCTGGCCTTGAGGTTTTGATAAGATCTGAAATTCTGATCTCTACTCCATTACTCAAAAACCTGATGTTCTTTATCTTAATTAGAGCAATAGATTGTACTCTGAATGCTGATCCTAAAGCTAATAATAATACTAACTTAAAAGTAAGATTCTGAAGGCTTAACGCTGACAGTGGATTCCAAGTTTCTAACATATTAAGAACAACCTCCACATCCCATGTGCAACAATACTTTGGTGCAGTTGGCCTGGTTCTAAAAACACCCCTGAAGAATCTATTTAAGAGAGGGCTGTCTGAATTATTCTCTTGATTGATTAAGGCAATAGCTGATCTAAGTGAATTGAGCGTACCATACGCCGCACCCTCGTTGAACTTTCTAGTTAAACAGTTAACAATCTCCTTATCTCCTGCGTTGAATGGATCTAACGCTGATTCCTTACAAAATTTCCACCAATATTCTAGGGCTGAATTGTACTGCTTCATTGTGCTGTTGGCCACTGATGATAACATGATCTCTATTGTCGCCTCCTCCAGGTCCTTTTTCTTAAAACTCTGCCTGACAGTATCCCTGACACCAGGGTAAGCTCCGAGGCCAATGGATGAGTTCTGCTCCTACAAGGTGAACATAGCAGATTGGGCGATGGTTGGAAAGTTATGAGTTTGCTTATTAAGAGCGCTTTAAAATCCGGGAACCAAGGTTGTACAGTCCATAAGGGGACCACTAAGATGCCTGTTGAATATTCCTCCCTGATTTTCTTTAGTATTCTAGGTATCAACGCAAATGGAGGGAAAGCATACCAAAAATCCTGCTTCCAGGAAATGGTTAAAGAATTGATAGCGAAAGCATCTGGGTCTCTCTCCCAGGAACAATATTTTAAACATTTTCTATTTATGCGTGAGGCGAATAAATCTATGGATGGGCTACCAAACTCCTTAACTAATTCCTTAAAAGCCTCCTCTGCTAGCTCCCACTCTGTGTCTAGATTACTGATTCTGGAACCCTCATCTGCCCTGTTCTCTCTTGATGCTACGTATTCCGAAAAAATCCAAATTTCTCTCTTAGCGCACCAATTCCAAATTTTCTTAGCTTCAATATGCAGGTCTTCATGTTTAGTACCTCCCATCTTATTAATGTACGCTATCGCTGTAATATTGTCAATTCTCAACAGGACCTGAATACCAGTTCTTTGTGATAAAAAGCATTTTAATGAGAAAAATGCTGCTCGAAGTTCTAATAAATTTATGTGTAGCTCTCTCTCCTGACTGTCCCAAAAACCGTTTGCTTTCATTCCCTCACAGGTAGCACCCCAGCCTGTCTTAGAAGCATCAGAGAAAATAGTTAAGTCAAATATATTTGACCTAATTTTGTTGTAAGAAGGTAAAATATTAGCCTTCCACCATTCTAGTTCTTCTCTAGCTTTTGTGTCTAGATGTACTGATTTGTTCATATTGTAGTCCTGAATTGTTAACGCATCTCCCTTGAGTGTTTCTAAATATTTATAATGTAACCAGCCGTAAGCTACTGCAGGGCAAGCTGCTACTAACACTCCTATGCACCTAGCTAGCATCTTGATTCTTACTACCTTCATCTCTAAAATTGTGCTGACCATCTCTAATATTCTAACCTTCTTTTCATAGGGCAAGGTTAGGGTCATGTCTGTTGAATTAATATTTACACCTAAAAATCTACAAAGTCTACTTGGTGTGGTCTCACTCTTATCGAAATTAATTATAAATCCCAATCTCTGAAGTAACGAGATAGTCAAAACAGTATCATTCCTACATTTGGTTTCAGTGGATCCTATAATAAGGAAATCATCTAAATACACTATTACCTTAATCCCCTTTTCTCTTAACTCCTTTAATACCGGTTTGCCTATCTTAGTGAATACATATGGGGCTGATGATAAGCCAAAGGGTAAAACGTTGAATTGGTACAAACGATCCCTATATTTAAATCTAAGGTATTTCTTTGAATCCTCATGAATTGAAACTAAAAAGTATGCCTCCTTTAAATCTAATCTGCACATAAAATCCCTCTTCTCCAATAAATTTACAACTGTGCGAATATCCTCGATTTTAAAATGTTCATGATTAATAAAAAACTTTAAGTTCTTCAAATTTAAAATAAACCTGAAGGATCCATCAGGTTTCTCTACTAAGAAGAAAGAGGATAAAAATTGTCCTTCAGTATATTTACATACTTCAACTGCTCCATTGTTTATTAATTTATCAATAGCCTTATCCATCTCTTTCTCATAACCCCTCCTCGGGTACACTTGGGCTGATGGTTCTTTATGTTGAAAAACCGGGGAATTAAAACAAATCTTATAACCCCTAATTGTTTCTAAGACAAACCTGTCCTGCGTAATAAGTTCCCATTGGTCTATAAAAAACCTTAATCTTCCAGTCTTTACCTGTGTTATTCCTATCTCCTCCGGTGTTGGTAAGGTTGGGATTGATTGTAGAATCTTTTCGTTGGCTCTGATCTGCGACTGGACGTGTAGGTGCTGCTGTGCGTGTTTGAGCCTGACCGATGATTCTGGTACTGATTCTTGTAGCTCCCCCTGCTCCCACGGTTGAAGGGGGAGCTTCTCCAGTTTAAAGAATTCTTAGCGTTGTTGTTATAGCTGCTGAAAGGAGGTCTGTTATAGGTGTTCTTTGGCTTCAACTCCTGTACGGCTCTTTCCATTGCTTTGGCGTTTTCCAAAACCGTTTTGAACTCGTCCCCGAAAAGTAAGGAAGTCGATTCTCTATTCTTTGCAATTCTCTGAATATTTTCATTGTATCGACCCATAATAAAAAGTTTTCTGGCATTTGAGAGTTGATAAAACAGATCACTCATTAGTTTAACTGCACCTCCTAGATTCTCGAGTAGGTTGTCTCTTTCTAAAGGCTCAACTCTATCGTTAATGATCATACTCAAAGCCGTTGCGGCTGCAGCCAAAGACGCCCCTGCGAGTTCTTGATACTCTCTGAAAAAGCCATCTTTAGTCAGTGCCTTCTGAGTAAGGTTTACTGCGATCTCTTCATTAAGTTTTGGGGCCTCGAGGTTTATTTCATTATTTCTTCTAGGTATTTTAGATATTAATTTTAATTTCTCCTCTTTATTAGAAATGCCTTTTGATGACCACACTTTTAACCTGTCGGCTACAGTTTTAATAATAAGGAATTCTTTGTTATTCTCACTAATAGGATTTTCTCCTAAGGCCGCCATTGTCTCCTCCTCAATCGGCTCATTGTCGGCCATCTTGATCTCTCTTTCTAGTAGCTCACCATCCTCTCTTTCCTCATTCTCCTTGTTTTCCAAACGCAAAACATCTGCAATTATTGAACGAAGAACAAAGGAGTGTAGATTCTTATGGGAGTTTTTCCTTTTGACATCGACTTAGAATCGATGCTCAGATTTGCCCATATCGGCTAAGCTTGCCATTGACATCAACTTAGTATTGATGCTCGATAGTATTTCATCTTACCCTCATATGTGAGTATCTCCTCTTCTTTCTGTAAGGCGTCAAGTTCGCCGTAAACTCTGTTCATCAGCTTCTCCGCCTGACGTAATTCCTCCATCTTTTGTCTAACACGATCTTCTTTGTTTTCCATTTTGCCTGTGGCTTCACCGAGCGCCAAGAAACGAATGAAGTAGGAGAGGCGGGAAGAGAGATAGGACTTAGGAAGGGGAAGAAAGTGCCTCTTTTCCTTCGGTTCTATCTCTAAATAGTGGCGTCACCTGGCAACGAGTTGCGGTACTACATATGGAATATCTTCGAACAAGCTAGGCGAAATATAATCTATATTCATTGATATCACAGAAATATCACCCGAGCGCCATCTCTCTGTGAGCTGCCAAGTAACCGCAGGCACCGCATATTAGGGGATCACCGTCGGCAAACCAAACCATGAATTGAAATTGAACCTTGTGTGCGAATGACCGACTATCTTTGGTTATAGTTATTCGATAGATTATTGACAATATTTGTATATGGGTCCATTTTTTTATAAATTTGAAATTAAGGAATAAAATAACTAAAATGAGGTATGGTCAACTGGTTATTGGCCCAGCTGGAAGCGGCAAGGTAACCTCAAGTTATGTGTCCTTTTATTTATGTGTATATTTTTATCAATAAGTTTGTTTTTAAATGATTCTTCTTAACTTTATTTAGTCAACTTACTGTTCAATAATGCAAAAACAAGCATCAGATGAGGGGAGAACCATAGACATAATAAATTTAGATCCGGCAGCTGAACATTTTGATTACCAACCTTTCGCTGATATCAGAGAGCTAATCACAGTCGATGATGCCATGGAAGATGAAGAGTTGAAATTTGGGCCAAATGGTGGCTTAATATTTTGCATGGAGTAAAATTTTCTGTATTAATTCTTTTAATTGCCAAATGTATGTTCATGAGATTTATATTTTTATTTATTTATTTCAGATTTTTAATAGAAAATTTATCTTGGTTTGAAGAACAGTTGGGAGATACTGATAATGATTATATTATTTTTGATTGTCCTGGTCAATTAGAACTGTACACACACATGACAGTTATGAGAGAGCTCATTAGAACTCTCCATAATCTCAATTTTCATCTTTGTGTTGTATTTCTAATAGATAGTCAATTCCTGGTTGATGCTTCCAAATTTTTATCTGGAACAATGGCTGCTTTAACAGCTATGATTAACTTAGAATTGTCTCATGTAAATGTTCTAACTAAAATGGATTTATTATCAAAAACTGCTCGACAACAGTTAGATAAATTTTTAGAACCCAACCCAAGCAATTTAATAAGAGAAGAAAATGAAGATGAATATAGTAAACTTACTCAAGCTATTGGAAAAGTTATAGAAGATTATAGTTTAGTAAGGTTTCTGCCCCTTAATATTAAGGACGAAAAGAGTATTGCAGATGTAAAACTAACTATTGATAATATTATTCAATATGGTGAAGAAGAAGATGTGAGAATGAAAGATTTTGATGAACCAGATCCTGAAGAAAATGAAGCATAGAATTAAAAATATAAGTAAGATGATTTATTTTTGTAAACATTTTTAATAGAATAATCAAAAAATATACATTCAAAAATGTCTGCTATTTGAATTTTATTTTTGATGAGGAATTTTTTTGTCAGCCACCTTTTTATAATTTTTTAAAAATTTTTGGAAAGATTCAGCTTCTTTTGTCTCGTTTTCATCATCTCCTGCAGCATTTTCTGTACCTTCTTCATCTTCACTAGATTCATCAGCAGGATGCTTCAAATAAATATCCAGAACTTCTCTTCCACTACTAACTGCAGTAATTAAAGGAATGTTTTCTCCTGACATAGCTTTGGTAGCATTTTTTAACTGATTTTCTTCTTTTTCTTCTTGTTCCTTTATTTGTTTTTCTCGGATTTTTTGCCATCGAACTCGATATTTTCTGTAAAATTAATTAATTAAAATTAATTAAAAGTAATTTAAAAGTACATGGTAAATTTTCATTTTTATTTCCTAAGATTTTTACTCAAAATATTCTTTTTCTGCTTCTCCTACTAATTTCATAAATTCTGGAATACCGACTCCTGTAATGGCTGAAACCCCACAGCAATGAAGGTTATTGTAAAATTCATCGAGAGCAAGTGCCATGCTTCTAGTTAAACTACTGATGTACGTAGTTTCAGAATCTAAAACTTCTTGAAATGCCTCAAAATCTTGCATCCATTCTATAGCGTAACTGTTGTCTACAATGTCAATCTGCATATACAATTATTTAATTAATTAGTTCTCTTAAAAAATAAAAAAATATTCAAAATTGTTATGTTCTTACTTTGTTCATAACAACAACCAATGGTAATTTATTAGTTTTGTACAAAATTGAACAAGCATATAACATATTTGACATAAATGTAACTGGTTTAATGCTTCTCACAGAATCCATCACATAAACAATAATTGTTGGAAAATGAGAAGCTAGTGCTTCTGTTATAATAGCACCACTGGCAGACCAAGTAAACACTTCAATCTGTCCTGGTGTATCAATCACAACGTATTCATATTTCTTTTCAGTTTTTTTTACAAGCTCTACAACTTGATCAAATTTTGTTGAAAACAAATTTAATGATGTAACGATTCCTCCGTTAGGTCCTAAACTGTACTGTTTCATGATTTCTTTGTAATTGACTGTATCTCTTATGTCTACAAAATTTTTAAGATTTAGTCACTAATTGTCCAAAACAAATTAATTTTTTTTCCTTAATCTTACCAATGTTAACTGGATAAGGGACCTCATTGCATGCAGGATCCAAATTAATAACATATGGTTGTCCATTGTCATAAAGCTTTGATACTAACTTTGTAACAAATGTTGTTTTACCAGATCCAGCCATGCCAAGTACAATTATACATGTAGGCTTATTTTCATTTGCAGCTTTGTCATCACTATCAGTTTCTTTTTCATGTCCAGATTGTTCATGGACAGATGACATTTTCATTTATTTATCTGTAACAGAAATGATCTAAGAATATTTTCAAATTAAGATATTTTTTTCTAAATATGATGTATGCATAATCAATTAACTTGATTTATGTCAATCTCAGCAGTACAGTGTTTTCTATATTTTTATATCATTAACATTTCACATTTGATGGTAACAATATACATAAAGCAAATTGACGATAGTTTAATTTACTAATCTTTGAAAGATTCTCATTAACAGTTATTCTTTGTAGAAATATTAAGGTTAGCTTAAAACAAGTAACAAACATTTTATAATGAAGTGCTTATATTAAAGTTTATCCATAGTTTTGTAATAATTATTCTTTTTTTCGTTATCACTTGAAACGTAATTATTTCTAATGAGCAATAAAAATTGTCAATTCAATAATAATGACACAGGTCTGGTGTAAAACTGCAAAACAGCAAGTGATCAAGAGCAGTGAGCGATATACTTGGATACTCCTATACGAGAGCTTGAATTGATGCCAATATGAATAAATGGCGAGTGATTTGATTGGGCAAGAAATGAAATGGTACGCAAATACACATATATACACATTTTGTTATATGCGTAAACGTTTATGTTTGTGTAAGTAGGTGTAATCTAACCTATGGCTACAGCGGCCCTACAGGTTATGACAGTTAATTTGTGCAAGTATAAATGATAAAACGAAATTCAAATCAGGTATGCAAAAAAATAACAAAAAAATAAGAGAAATTAGAGGAGTACCTTGTACATATAGAGAATAATTAAACAGAAAGCGAGAGAACGAGAGAGAGAGAGAGAGAGAGAGAGAGAGAGAGAGAGAGAGAGAGAGAGAGAGAGAGAGAGAGAGAGAGAGAGAGAGGAGAGAGGAGATGAGAGAGAGAGAGAAGAGAGAGAGGAGGAGAGAGAGAGAGAGAGAGAGAGAGAGAGAGAGAGAGGAGAGAGAGAGAGAGAGAGAGAGAGAGAGAGAGAGAGAGAGAGAGAGAGAGAGAGAGAGAGAGAGAGAGGAATACTCACAAGAATCGTTACGAGTTAGAATGCTTTATCGTGAACCGTTTCGTGCACGGGTGGTTCGTGGCTCTTAGCGTATAAACCGACGGTAGAAAGATTGATTTAAAATAACTGTGCCTGTGTTATTATTCTAGCGTTCAACGATGAGCTAGTCGCTGCAGAAACAGTGAAAATAATGATAAATACACCCGAAAGTGCTATCAGCACAGAATGTTTATAAATTTGAAGCTCTTGTAAAAGTATCATGGCGTCCAGACAACCTTACGTTGACAACGTGGTAAATGAGCGCCGGTTAAGGCCTATTTACGGTGAGTTTACTAGTTATTTAAAGAGCTATGTTATGATCAATTGAATACAGCAAAAATATCAACCGTCCCAGGACTGTTTGCTGCCAAGGAAAGCATTCTAAGCTTGAGGGATAGGGCTAATAAAACCGGCAGCGAGGTTATGTAATATCCGCATTTTTCTTCTGCTCCGTTTCAGATAGACTTGACAATGGTAACAATAAAAAAGCTCTTCAGGAAGCTGACAAAGTCTTGAGAAAGCATCCGAATAATCAGTGTGCTCGTGTACTGAAGGCTCTTGCTCTTTTACGTTTGGGCAAAGAGGACGAGTGTCAAACTATTATAGACAAGGTTCGTTCTGAGGTGCCTTGTGAAGACTCTACTCTTCAAGCCATGAGTATTTGCTACAGAGAAATTCACCAGCGTAAGCTTATTTTCATTTATAACAAATTGGTTACTGAATTGGTTAATGATTATCAATTCTCTATATTACTATTTTTACAGCTGACAAAATAAGTGAGGTTTACGAGGCTGCATCTAAGGCTGACCCTAATAATGAAGAACTTTTGTCACACTTATTTATGTCCTATGTCAGGCTTGGAGATTTCAAGAAACAACAGCATACTGCACTTGCTCTGTATAAACTAGTCCCTAAAAATCCATATTATTTTTGGGCTGTTATGAGTATTGTGATGCAAGCTCATCAAGCTGAAGATAAGCAAGCGAAAAATGTTATTTTGTCTTTGGCAGAACGAATGGTAAAGTTAATATTACAAGTTTCTAGTTGCAGCCAAGAAAATTAAATCATTTTATACTTGTATAACAGGTAGAAAAAATAGTCAAAGATGGAAAAATGGAAGTAGAACAAGAAATTCAGCTTTATTTAATGATTTTGGAGCTTCAAGGGAAAGTTGAAGAAATGTTGGAAGTATTATTAGGTCCTTTAGCGTCTCGATTATCCAATGTTCAGCAACGCAAAGCAAAATTATTATTAAAAATGAAATGCTTTGATAAGGCTGCCAAAGCTTATGAAGACCTTATACGTAAAGAGTAAATATTTAATCAGTCCCCCATAAAAATCCTAAGAAGTACTGAATAACTCAATTGCATGGACAAATACTATATACTTATATTTAATTCGTGAAAATTCGACTCTAATCTTAAAGTATTCCTAATACCCTCAATTTTACTCAGTATAAATTACAGGCGGGACAATTGGGCGTATTATCAGGAATATTTGACAGCAGGACTTAATTGCCAAACGGCCACTAAATGTTATAAATTTTTAAACGAAACTATAACTATTACATTTGATGATAAAATTCGAGCTCCCCAACTTGCTCGATTAGAACTGCTAAAACGTACTAGTGAACAAAAACTGGAAATTGAACATTGCGCTCATATTTGCGATGATATGCGACAATATTTTAAGCAATTTGGAACCAAAGGTTGTATAGTGGGAGATCTAAAACTCTATTTGCACTTGTTAAGCGATGCCGATAAAGAGGAACTACTTGAAAATGTAAACTATTTTATTTGTATCAGATGCAATTTAATTGGCTGTTAATTATGAAATAATATTGTAGATTGAACTTGACATTGGAGTTGGCGATACAGATTTCCCTGCTACGATCGATCAAATGCAGAGGCATATACACTTTGAACAATTGAAACGTATTTGCGGAAGGCATCACCCGCCACGAGCTAATCTCGAAGAGAGAAAAAGTCTTGTGAAACGTTTTAATGACTTGTATGATAGAGGAAATATTTTGTGTCCTATTGAAACAAGATTACCCACTGATTTTTGTCCGGCTGACTCGTATATTCTTCTGGCTACGCATGTTTTACATCAATTATGGTATGAAACATCGGAAGCATCATGGTTGTACAAGTAAGTATTACAGTTTAGCTTTTGTTCTTCGTAATCTGTTGGACATTGATAATGTAATGACGTAATTTTTAGGGCAATATTTCTTCTAGAAAAAGGGCTCATTTCAAGTCCTGCTAATTTTCATATAAAAGTACTTCTGATTAGAACATACTTGGAAGCAGGCTTACCAGTGGGAGCTGATTATGCTTATTCATTGCTAGACTGTAAACATATCCAATTAGATTCACTAGGTCATTTACATGTACCACTACTGGCTCCTTTGGGCTACTTGTCACAGGCCTCCAATTGCCTTGACCACGCTGCTAAATTTTTCATTGCAAATTATAAAGACGTGAGGCATTTATTCACTTCAGTTATTTAATTTATTGACTTGTTTTTATTGCGCTATTTTTATTTTAGAGCGCCGATCACTTGACTTTTGCATACAAGTATGGAAGTTTTTTAAAAATACAAGAATTCGTAGAGTTACGAGACCGGTTGGAAAATTCAATTCATTTTGCTATGACAACTGTCGACAAAATGTTGTTGGAGCTGAGTTGGTGTGACAGTCCTATGGCTATTACAAATTCATTATCTAGTATGCATGTGCAACCCGTAAAAGATTCCATTCGATGGAATCTCCTCCGCGATAATCGCGACATTGACGTAAGTTGTTACGTTGAGAGTTTTGATTATATCTAAATCAAATTTTTAACCTTCAGAAGGCCGTAGTCACTATAGTGGCTCACCCCCTGATCGACACTTTGCTTATGGTCAATCAATGATATAAGATATCTTTTATACCAGATTTTCGAGGACGATATGCCCTTTGAAATCACGACCGTCTAAAGGTTAAAAAACATACGGTTTATCATTTTTGTTGCATGTACCGAAACATGCAAAAAAAATTTGCAATAACTCAATATTGACTCTTGTATTTGATGTGTGATTTTTGCTTTAATTTGCTTTAAATAGTGATACGTAATTTTATTTTATAATTAATAATTCCGTCAATGAACCAATAAAAATAAAATGTTCATGTTTCACGGCTCTTATTAAGAATGCTGATGCTAGATCTTTGGACTCGTAATCGTTACCAACTAAAATCAAATTTTAAGCGATAAACAAAGAATTTAATAAACACTCATTTGATTATGATAAATCCATGTAATTGTCAAATTTATCTGGATAAATTGTGAAAAATACAGTATATTGTATACACCGGATTGTATTAGTAAAAAGAAAAAAACTTTGTTTTAAAATTGACCTATGAATAATAATAATTACAGGTTGTAGTAGGATGGGAACCACTACCTGAAAAAAGTGAGGATTTAAGGATGAAAGCAGAAACATGCGAGTGCATGATTCGACTGTTGAAAGCTCGAAGTCTTATTTTAAGAATCTTTGCAGCGATTAATGATACAGACTGCTCATCAATACTATCGCAGTTGGCTAATGAATTGAGAAAATTGGAAATAGAAGAGATTCCATCAACTCTTCAAAAATTTGTACCTGAAGGCAACGATAAAGTAAACAATGTTACAGTTCCTATAGACGCTGTAGAACGTTTACGCGAGATGTTGTATTCTCAACAGTTGAGTTTGATAGCTCAATTTGCTGATATACTTTCAAGCTCATCTTGCCCTGACAGAGCTTGTCTTGAGCTCCTGAAATCATCTACCAGCTTAAAGCCACTATCTTTACCAAATCAAAATAAACCAGTTTCATACAAACCATTTTTACTGCGAGCGTCAACTTGTGGAGAGACTTTAGCATTTATAAGCATCATCTGTACTTCAGCTGCATCACAAATAAAACCCAATATTTCCAAGAAAAAAAATAAAAGAAAAAACACAAGAGAAACCACTTTATCGACCACAAAGGAAAATGAGGTACATTTTACAGTTGACAATTTTTTCTAGATACTATAGGCTTGAAAATGAATCAACTTATTTTCAAAATGTATAACTTTACAAAATAAATCGCATGAAAATAGATAGGACCCACGCAGTGTTTGAGCTAAAGATTTGGCGCATCGATTGATTCGTCAGTGGTTCATCTAGACCAATTCGCAAAATTGCAGTGGCAATTAGAAAAACAAAAAGTCAATTTTCGAGCTATTTGAGACACGAGTAACTTGGCATATTTACTACTTCATCAGGAAAGCTTGAAATCGGAAAAATTAAACTTTTAATTTAGTCTTTCTAAGCACCGTAGTTGCTCAGGAAGAAATTTCAAAAACTTAATTTGTTTATTTACATGTGACAATCTTAGAAAAAAGTTATTTCGTCAATGACTTGACCAATTACATAGGCATTTAATCATTTAAGTAATCTATACAGAAATATATGAAAAATTAAAAAGCTCAAAATTCTTTAATGAAAAAAATTCGAACGTTATTAGACAAGCCGTTGATGATGCAAACTAATTGATTCTTTTTAATTTCATAGTATTTGCTATTAAAAGTTTTTAAATTACAAGCTAAATTTATTTCTTGGCATTTCGAGTTTTTCTGATGAAATGGCAGATGCGCAAAAATGCCCTTATCTGAAGTAGCTGGAAAATCCATGTACTTTTTCTTTTCGATTGACGTCGCAATTGCGCTAATTGGTTTAGTTGAACCGCTAATTATTCAATTGATACGTTACATTTTAAATTTCATCGCTTTTTAAGTCCCATTTTCATGCGATTATGTTACAATTTTACGTACTTCGAAAGTAAGGTGACTATCATTTTCAAATCGACAGTAGTTATAGATTCTAAAAGATAAAACTTTTTCTGTACGAAAAATTCCCTTCATTTAGCCACTTGATGATAATGTGGACTTAATCCTTCAGTGGCTACTTGTAGAAACGATGAGATTCGGTAACAGCTATAATTACTAATGTGAACAAATGAATTTAGCAACCATGTATGTCACTATAATTTTCTCGTTCCTATAACTTTTCATTTAGTGTGTAAATTTTGAAACAGTCTTTCCAGATCCATTCGAAAGCATCTATAAATATTGAAATATTGAATGAAGTTTTATAAGAACTCGATTATGAACGATAGTATAATTAAACTATTATATATTTAATGTAATCTGTAACTGCAGATGTAACTATCGCCATCAATAATACAGCACTAGGCTGAGATGGCCAAAAACGAGAAATAATTATTATTTATCAATTACGCAAAATTTTCTATATTAATATAATAATACTAACATGAAAAAACAGAAAAAACATCATATACTTAGACAAATACCGGCTTTAAAATTATTAAACGTAGCATGTTACAAATACAAAAATTTCCTATAAAAAAGGAATTCAAAAACAATAAAAAACGAAGGCACAAAATAGTGGTTTTAAAAAAATTAATTTTTTTTTCAAGTTGATAATGAAATAATACGAAATGTCACATGTCGATTAAAAATTAACATTATTTTATCGACGACTTCAGAAGCTTCATTTTTTAGTTTTGGAACTCTTTTTTTTATCTCCGTTTTTTATCTTCTATTTTTATTTCGATAAACTCGAATGAAGTGATGTCATTTATATTTGGAACAAATTATTTTAAAAGACTGGAAAAGCATGTTTACAGTACAAAGAATTAATTCAATTTTCTCATTGACTCTATGGCTATCATTAATCAACTTATTGCTTGTTATAATTACAGACTTGGCTGAAAGTTGTTCAGATACTATCTGAAAAACTAAAAAATTTGGAATGTATACTAAACAGTTTGGAGAAAGTCGAAATTTGCACAAACTTGAATATTGCTGATGATATAGCAATGATGATTATAAAACGCTGCCAATCAAGTCTCACATCAAGCAGTTTATCGCTGAAATCGCGCATCTTAAATACTCAAAAACTAATTAATAACTTAAAAAGCTGAAACAGTTCATTGTGTAAATTATTTTCTTTCATTCAGTTGGATTGGGTCAATGATTTAAGATTCTTAAATGTAAATACAAAATTTATTACTGTTGTAATGGCAATCAATTTATTTGCATTTCAATAGCTATGTTCATACGGCCAATACTGATTTATTTCATTTGGTTAAAATTGTTAAAAGAAAAGTCAATCAAGTAGATATGCGAGAAAAAAACGTCAATATGTACACATACTACGAAGGTTGAATTATTTATTCACGGATCATCATTATTTTTCAACACTGCCGTCGTACCAAATAAGGAAATGAATAATTAATACATGGTAAAGTTTAATGCAAAGTATAATCGACAAACAAGTTTTAATGTTTACAAAAATAATCATTTAGTCAAGAAAATAACGCAATCAGTGGAGTGAAAACGATCATACGATAAAAATCTGATGTATTTACTTTGTTCTTAAACCCACTTCTGGATGCGATGGGAGTACAGCAAGTGATGTCAGCTATGAAAAGTTGTGCCATGAGCTTCTTACGTAATTTCACATTTAACGCTCTCATCTCCTGTATGCTGCTGTTAATTTCTTTTACAAAATTAATTTGCAAATTCTTTGAAGCAGTTAAAATTGAAGTTCAAGATATTTGTGATTGAGGAAATTAATTAAAAATGTTATGCTTGAATCAGTATGTTTACGTAAAAATTACTAAATAGACAGCAAATTTCTAATAGTTTTTTATAAATAAACCTCGATATTAATGTAAACAACTTACAAAATAAGATTAAGAAAAAGTTCCTACATATTTTAGACCTTCCACGTTACTAATTGGCATATAGAAATATAAATATTAGACAGAATAACGTTAAACATTTTTACACAGTGACTGCGTTTTGCGCGACTGAAATGAATGTTGAGAAAAAAATTAATTGATTTTGGTAAAAGTCCAGAATATACTGTGCTCAAATAAAACTGAGGTTACAAATTTGTAATATTAAACGGACAAAGTATTCATACGTACTGTTTTTATGTTACTATGTATATTTTTATGCGCTATCTAGTGGTGTGGAAGGATTAATAAAATCATCAATTTGTATAAATTTTGAAATTAAAAATAGAAGCATTAAATAATATTATTCGTAGTATTTATATTCCAATATCCATCATAAAAAGTGATTATAATATACAGTGTCCTTTTTGCATTCTTTTATAGACGTAAATACAACAATAGTGTTGATTTAATTTTGTTTTTGATGACGAATTTGACGTAGTATGAAAAATGACATTTTTTCATGATAATTTGAATTAATCTTCATCTTTATCTCTTTGATAGGCAGCGCCAAATTTGTTCATATATTTCCTTACGAAATCCTTAGCTTTGTGTTTAACATTGTCATTGCATTCGAGTTCATCAACACTTTTGCAATGCTTCAATTCTTTGGCCAGCACAAAATGCGTCAACTAAAATATATAGATCTATTTAGCAAAAACAAGATGTGTGTGTGTGTGTGTGTGTATAACAGATGTATAAGCGCGCGCGCGCGTGTGTGCTTTCATGTATGTATGAGTGTATGAATGGACATGTCTCATTCGTTTCGGAAGACAAAAATGTAATCAATAAAGTTAATTAAAGAAAAATGTTAATTTTAACAAAATCTTGAAAGTACGAAGGGTGGTTTGCGATAGTGCAACGTGAAAGGTATGAACATGCGTAGGGTATGAAATGAATGGTTAGAAAAATGAGAGGGTTTATAGATAATTAGGTCTAATTGAAATGATGACTGTCGAAAAGGAACGAACATGTTGGACATGGCCGTCATGCAAAATAATGGCGACAGAGCGAGATACCTTGCGCGCCAAATATTTGAAATCTTCAGTGTTGGTAATTCGGCCTTGTTTGCAATCATTCTTTCTGTAAGGGTTGAGGAAATGGACCATAACGTGGGCCATGTTGATTCGGAAAGTATCCTTGATCTTACGCTCGCTTGTGGGAGACATGTCAGAAGTGACGCTTTGAAACGACTTGGCCAAGCCGCTCTGTTTGGCATGCGACTTGGACTTAAGGCTGCGGCGGTGTTTGCGTAGCTTGTCCGACTGCTCCTTCAGCCTGGACTTATCCTTTTGGCGACGGAGCTTGTCCTTAAGCTCCTTGAACTTGCTGTAGTCAATGCGGTCCTCATCCCTACGCGGCTATGAACAAAAAGCAAAGCTGAGCATGGACGCGGGACAAGGGCCGCACGAACCGCAACAAGTCAAACTGATACGCACGCTAATGATCCTCTCCTGCACGAGACCATCTCTGCGTCGCCGGGCATCGGTTCTGGGGGGTTGTGGTGCGTCCAGGTCCATGCTGTCGGGTTGTCTGAGCTGCGGCTGCTCATCGACCAGCAGCTCGTCAACGAGACCGTCCTCGTCGTCCGGTTCGTCGCGTTCGTCGACCGTGGGTGCGCAACCGGCGGTCTCTTCCTCGTCGTTCTCGTCGTTATCGCGCGACGAGGACGACGCATCGCTGCTCTCATCGCTGGACGAATCGGGCCCCGAGTCCGGCTGCAGGCCGATGTGGTCAGGTGGCGGGGGCAACCACTGGGACACGCGCTCACGCGCATGGTAGTAGTAGACGCGGCCGCGCTTATCGCGAGCCCAGCGCCATTTGGGCGGCAGGTCGAGGGCGGGCGGCGGCTGTTCCAAGTCGGCCACGGCCGGGACCAAGGCTTCAGGTCCGTCAAGTGCCGACTGCCGCTGCGCAAGCCCCGGCTGTCGCGACTGCTGCTCGGCCGCTCCAGCGAAGCTCGACCACTGGACCAACTGCGACTCGAGGAGCAGCGGGTACCCCGATTGCGGGTCCAGGGCAGCAGTAGCCTGCGGATCCAGACCCAGGGCCAGACATTGGGCCTGGTGCTGCTGCCAGAGCTCCTCCTGCTGGCGACGCTGGCGCTCCTCCTCCTCCTGGGCTACCTTCAGGGCGAATAGCTGACGGCGTTCGAACTTGCTCATGCGGGGGACCTGCACCAGGTCCAGCGACTCGGGGCCTCGTCGTCGCTCCGGCCGCTTATCCGACTCACCGCCTCCGCGGTGACGCTCAGCCCGGTGCCTGCGGCGTTTTCGCAGGTCACTTTCGCTTTGCGAGTACCTCGTTACTCACCTCTCGTAAGACAGCGTCTCCCGGGCTTCCCGCTCCGCATCCTCCTTGTATCCTCGATCTGTCGACATTAGATTCGTATCAGGTTTACGTCCAGCGGTTTGATCTGTCATGGCGTGAACAAACTGACCTGCTTCTCGCTCGTGCTCCTTCATTTGCTCCAAACGCTCCTTCTTTGGTATCCGGAAAACTTCCTTCAAATTTGACCAGCTCTCCAGCAGGTTACCAGCCAGCTCGGACAGCAGTGACCACTGTTCCGCCACGACCATTGTCGTCTCGACGCTCGAGTCTTTGTCACCGGCCGCCTCTTTCATCTCGACCTCCTCGTTCGGAGAATCCACGCTCGGCGAGTGACAGAGTTGCTTCGACCACTTCTCGACGACACTGAGCACCTTGCTGTCGATCAGCATAGTTCGATTTGGGATCGGCAGCGTTGCTAGAGTTCTGACGATTTCGGATCTGAACTGCTGAGCCTCCTCACTGTCGCTGCCAGCGACATCCATCATGTAGCTCCACATTAGTCTCAGACCATGGTAGTCCAAGAATAGTCTGCGGCAGGGCTGCTCGCCCGACCGAATGACCTCGAGTAACCGCCTCCTGTGCTGCAGTTCCCTGCACCGGACCATCAGTCGACTCAACGTTAGAGTGTGAGCTCGATTCTTCAGTCCACTGGCGCACAATCTATCGATTTGTTCCTCCAACTGGAATAATCGACCAATCACGCAATGCTCGGTTGCTTTGCATCCTGCTCTTTAGAGCAACACTTACATCCTCATCTTCCATGTGGTCAATAATTTTTTTATCTTCGCGCTTATTTCTTTTCGTTTGTCTCTCTGCCTTTTCTTTTTTATCCTCCTTTTTCTTTTCTTTAAGTCCACTTTCTTTATTGCTGTCATTGTCATCTTCGTCATTGTCCTCTCCGTCTTCGTCGTCATCGTCGTCGTCATCGTCGTCCTCGTCGTCCTCGTCGTCCTCCTTATCGTGTTTCCTGCATTCTGCATTCGTTTTGCTATCTTCGGGATTGTCACCGATCCAGCCACGACAGTTAGTCGCCTCACAAAAACACTTTTGTGCTTCTTTACTAAAATTTTTTGTATTATTGGCATGAGCTTTATAGTCGATCACACAAATATTGACGAAAATTGTTACCCGTATCTTTGAAAATGATAATCAAAAGTTATTTCCTCTCCAGCTGCTACAAATTTTTTATTGAAGAATCCAATACGCAACTCTCCATTTACAGTCCACTAAAATAAAACGGAAATTCAATTTCTCATTAACAGCGTCGATAACTTTTCAAAACTTATAGATCTATTACTTTTTGAGTTTCAGCATTAGGATCACAGCTATGGTTAATGAATCTTGATATATTTCCTTTCATGGTTGCATCGATAATTTGATCAGATTTCAAAGCCATAAAATAGTAATGTCGATTTTTATCCTTAGAATACTCTTTTGCTCTTTTTCTAAAGCCTCTTGAATCGACTACTTCACCAACATACTCCATTATAAATTCTCCTCTATTAAAACGGTTAATGCATCAATTAAAACGATTTTTTTTATCATCACAATTTAGTACTCACGCGTTCAAATCAGTAATAGCTCTTAAACCAAAGCCTTTTTTCTCTGTACGAAAAACTTCACACTTAGCATAATTGCAATTTTGAAATCGTCTATTTGTACATCTATCGCCAACGATACATCTGGATCCGCTAGGATGTAAAGAGAACATTGTGAATAAAAATCATATATGTTTCCAAGATTTATATTTATAATAATGCTTGCCATTCAATCATCAAGAGCCTATTTAGACAATCTTCCCCACAGCCAAGTTCTCCACGTTGAATTTCCTCCTCAGTTAAGAAACAATCGCAAACCATTCGTTTTGTTTCTTTGTTAGTATACCTGCGAATTCACAAATTATATTAGTAATTTATTTTTAATTTATAGTTACGTCTACATAAAAGATGTAACTCACCGCTCTGTCAAATATAAATTTTCTCTCAAATGTTCGAATTGCCTCAATCTTTCTTCCATTTCTCTATCGACCTCAGGTATCATGGGAAGTGGTTTTGCTCCTATATTATTAGGGATGATTGAAACATTTTGTGATAGGTTATTGACCAGTGTAAATGTGATAATTTTACAAGTAACACTGTCCTCGGTTGAGATTGTTGTTTGGTCAGACTCTTGCTTTAATAGAGCTGATGGTAATCGCAGAGGGTCTATATTACAATTCAATTCCTTAATGGCTGTACTATTACTGAAACTATCTTCAACTGAAACATCATTTCCTGCAGAACTGATATTTGATGATTGTTGTGATGCTGACCATGAAGTATTGTTACTCATTTCCAATTCACTCGATCTTCGCCAGCGAGATTTCACTTTTACAGGTTTATTTGTATTAGAATCGCAATGAATTACACTAGGGAAGTTATCTATCGTGGGACATTTGTAATTTGATTTGTCTAACTGTGTTTGAATTAGATTTTTCATTCTTTTTGTAATTTCACTTCCATGATGCTGTTCTGGCATCACAACAGCATTATTTATGAGACTGTCTGAAATAGATACTTTCTGGGATTCTTGAATTGGTTTTATGACTAATCCTCTGCCACAAGATTTTTGTTTTTGCAAGCCAATGTGCTTAATTCTATTACTACGACGTACACCTGAATGATTGGATCCACTATCTGATTTTATGGTATCCTCATTTTTATTCCTTATTTCTGTCTTTTCATCATTAATCTCACATTGTTTGTCTGACTCGCCCTTAATATTTAAATCCGACAATCCACAAGTTTTAGGCAATAATGTATCAGTACTACTTTCACTGCTGCTAGATAACTTTGAATCTTCAAAGTCCATTTTACTATTTATTTCACTATCTGTGGAATGTTCTTTAATTAACCTTTTATTAGTTAGAGTTGAAAGAAATTTACCATCATCTTTTTCCAATGAAATCTCATTAATTATTAATGTGCCATTATGTTTTATGTTAGATTTATTTTTAGTTTCTAGTTCATGAGATAGCAACAAGCTTTGTTCAGCTTGTTTCGATGAACTTTTCATTATTTTTTCTTTAATTTCTGTATCAAAACTTTGATCAATACTGTTACCTTCATTTTCTTTTTTATTGTTGCTTTTCATTAATGCACTGACAAATTTTTTAGCTTTTGCATTTTTTACAATTTTTTTATTATCTACTTGGGAGGAAATTTCCAAATTGCCATTAAAGTTATTAAATGGTGCATGACTAGTTCTACAATTTACTTCAACTATTGTCAATACAGGACTTTTTATAGAGTCATGAATTTCAGTCACATGTAGTCCACTCAAACCTTCTTCTACCATTTGATAACTATTAGAATTGGTACATTCACTATTTAACAATAATGATTTTTCAAAGTGCTCTGATGTGACCATTCTAGAATCTTTTGTTATTTTATTTGCAGAAAATTCAAAAGTATTTTTCTCTTTGAGTTGAGTGTCATTTATAAATGATACTTGGTTTGATGTATTTTTGTTTGGTATAACAGAGCTTTCAACTGTGGATTCAGTTTCAATTTCCATTTCTTCATAAATAGTAGTTTCTTCTATTTCATCAGAAGAAAGTGCTGTATTTAAAATATTCTCATCAACAATTGTTGGTTTATCACTTTCAAGTTTATCAATTGAACCTATATTTATAGTTGAATAATTTTCATAATTTTGTTTATTTAAATTATTTTCAATTTTCACAGTGGATATATTTTTGTTTAAGCATTCACTGTATAATTTTGACTTATTTAAATCTTCGATTTTCGTTGGCAATTCTTCGCTATTAATGAAATTTTTACAACTATTTGTATTATCAGGAGTAAAAATATCATCAACTTCTCCTCCATCTTCTAACTGCTGCTTTTTTGCTTTTTGTCGATTGGATTTTCTTAGTGAAAACTTTGGTCCTTGTTTTATTGGTACTTTATTGTCGTTTTTACGACGACGAGCCATGATTTATTACCAATTTTCAACCTATATTATAATAAATAATAATAAATTAAACAAATTAAAGAAATCGTGTAACAGAAAAAGAATAAATTCAATGATTGGTAACTGCATAAGGTGACAAACAGAGTAACAACATACCTCATCAACCTAAAAGTTTCCTTAAAAAATCGTTAATATATTACAATATTTATACATCTCTGCATGTTTGATGTAATAATGGTTGTCTAATATTAATACTAACAACATTTAAGAGAACAAATATAAAAAAAGAAGAATGATTCTGTAGATAGTATTGTTCTTCTATCTGCAAATTGATAGATGAACAATATGTTATATTGCGTATGGTATATGTTAAAAAAATATACTGTTATCCCATGTTACCATGTAGTATAGATCCAAGGTTAAATGCCTGTAATAAAAGTTAAAGACTGTTGTGACATGGATAATCAGTATTTGATAATTCTTGATGAAAGACCATTTTGCAGAACAATTCCATTTACTGCATTATGGCCAAAAGGTTACATGCGATAATATCTACGGCTTTTACAAGCATTGTCGAGTAAGTCTTGCTGGTAATATCGGTAATAGTTGTCAATAATATAATATTAAAAATTATAACGATCTCAATATGAATAAGTACAACACACTTTTGACTAATAGAGAACTTTTTCAAGAGCTTGATTAGCTTGACAGCAGACAAGACAATTGAAACAAAAAAGACAGTCAATAAACATGCTGAATTGATGCTGCAGTCTATATATACCAACAGGAACAGATCACTTGTATTCACTTGTATAAAACGTTATTATTTCAGTTTTTGGCATTAATTATTGCTACATGGCAACAACAATGATTCGATGACGAGGAGAACGGTACTGATACCTACAGCGATAGCGTCGATGATGACAGTGTAGTAGCAAGGATATATGTTGATCTAGAGTTTTACTCGTAATAATTGTGACGAGTTTTTAGACAATGCGTTTGTATACCGCTTAAAAACAAGACACTGTACAGTCTATAGGCTACATGTAAAATATATGTGCACCAAATGTTTGCACGCACACACACACACACACATACAGGCTAACACGCACACACATATGAAGAGGAAGAGACTGAGAGGGGTATATGGACGATATTGACGCGCGGATCTCATTCCACAGTCCGTAGTTCCTGTACTCATATTCCTTTAGTGAATCTGTACAAATACAGTTTCCATGAGGGTCTGTCTCCATAGGGCCTGCCTGAGTCCGTCCGAGCCGGCCGAGATTTTTTATGGGCACGCCATCTCTATAATTTCGTATCCAATGGCGAGTTTCATAGTGAATGGCTGCGTTTACATAAACGAGCCCGATCGGACGCAGCCAATACGAGAAACGCATGAACACGAAATTATAGAGATGGCGTGCCCATAAAAAATCTCGGCCGGCTCGGACGGACTCAGGCAGGCCCTATGGAGACAGACCCTGATCTGTACTTATATATATGGCATGGACTATGGAGTCTATATGCCAGAACCACTCTCTATAGAGGGCAGGACTAAACACGTACGATACGACGCCTAGCGCAGAGAACTTATATGCATGTATAACAGTATATGCAGTTTTCCCAGATTGTATATTAAAAACGCGAGCAGAGACCAATGTGAAAACAGCCCGACACAAATAACATTTTATAAACAAAAATGATCACATCTCACGTATGTATAATTGTACTTCTCGAAAAAATAATTATTTGTTATTGTACCATTATATTTCTCATAAAAAATAAAAAATATCGTTATCGATAATTCACCTCCTATTTATTCACATAAAAGACATAATTAAGCAAAAATAAATTCACAGAAAAATTGTACCTTCTGTAGTCTAAATTGTACCATCAGTACAGTCCTATAAATTTGTTTCTAAAAGAAATAATAGGACAATTACAAAGCTCTACGCCTGCGCAAAGTGCATTTCCGGATGACATCCTTGTAAGTTGTAACAATTAGTGGTAATTTGTAATTATCCTATTATTTCTTTTAGAAACAAATTTATAGAATTGTACTGATGGTACAATTTAGACTACAGAAGGTACAATTTTTCTGTGAATTTATTTTTGCTTAATTATGTCTTTTATGTGAATAAATAGGAGGTGAATTATCGATAACGATATTTTTTGTTTTTTCTCAGAAATATAATGGTACAATAACAAATAATTATTTTTTCGAGAAGTACAATTAGACATACGTGAGATGTGATCATTTTTTTTTTATAAAATGTTATTTGTGTCGGGCTGTCTTCGCATCGGTGAAAACCTCCCTTATTCCAGCCCACAAAGTGTAATGGACAGTGAACAAAAAATACAATTCGAAATATCTCATTGAACCTTCCAAAAATTATCATTGTTTTAATTGAACCCTTTTAGTTAAAAAAAATTAAAAACTGTACATTTTTTGGCTTTTTGCAATTACGATATTTAGCAATACTTAATATTTTTGCAAATAAACAAGACAAAAAAATTGGACTCTTGCTCGTTTTAATTGAACCCCTCTTACCTCTTTAAATTTATTAATATATATATCAAAAACAACAATCTAATGTTATTGTATGTTCTTACTAAAAATATCAGTTAACGCGCATCCATTTTAGTAAGAACATACAATAAAATTAGATTGTTGTTTTTGACGTATATATTAATAATTTTTAATTTTAAAAAGTTAGACGGGTTCAATTGAAACGAGCAAGGGTTTAATTTTTTTGTCTTGTTTCTTTGCAAAAATATTAAGTATTGATCGCAGTTGCAAGACACCAAAAAATGTACATAATTTTTTTAGGACAACTAAAAGGGTTGGGTTCAATTAGAAATATTTCAAACATATTTTTTTCATTCTCCACTACATTTTGTGAGATGGGGTAAGGTGGGTCTGAAGAAAAGTGTGCGTCCACAAGATCGGTACCAAATGTGGGCAAGTAGTATATATATATATATATATATATATATATATATATATATATATATATATATATATGATACCTATTTGGGGTGAAAATTATAAGCCTTATTACCTAGCCAAGAGCAAGCAAACATAGTTTACTTTTTAGAATTTTAGAATGGCGATTTTTTTTTCAGGCTTATTTCTGGACGAATTTTTTCTCACATTAGGTATTATAAACAATAAAAATGAGTGCCCGCGAATGAATAATGAACAATTAGTTGCTGTGACTATATTTCCCGGAATATTTTGATATAAATCCTATTGTAAAATTAATCGTATTATATACGCATGTAAAGAAATATATCACACAAATGTTAAAAGTTGCGTGGACGAGAATATACTTTACCTGCACTTGTATCGTACATAATCTAATGTACTATATTATTGTATGATAAGGGATACAGAAAATTATTTTTCAAAAATATGATACATGTTTTCAATGTATTTTTTTCGGTGTGTAAGCCAATTAAAATCATTGATTTAAAATCATTATTTTAAGTTTCTTCATCATTGATTTAATTAATTGGACTTTAAATAAGTATCCAACATTTTTGCTTATGTTCAGAGCCTAAACTATTTGATATGATGCCTATTTTCCCAACAACTGGCACCAATATTGATGGTGTTGCGCAATATGCCAAAAAATTAGTTTAATTTTTTTCGCCCAGTGTATTATTCACATGACAAGTTTCTGATTATTTTGTTATGTTGATTAAGCTAAGTATTGATCATTTACAAATGATGAACTCAAATTGCGAGCAAAATGCACATTCTAATTTTCGAATCAAGTGAAACTCAAACAATATAGTTTGAACTTTAGAGTATTCAGTCTATTCAGAAAAGAATACGGCGATTTAAACTAGCGTCACCTCGAGGATTAGCAGTATTAGCACGCACACGCACGCAACTTCCGTTCGACTCTGATTTTCGCAAGATTAAGTTTGCACGCAGACAGCTGGCAGGCAGAAACGCAATTGCTGTCGACAGCAAGTGCTTGAGTTCCCGAATCTCTACTTTAGCCATGAGCGCTCACTTTACACTTCGCGTATAATAGTAATACGTACTTTTGCTTAACTTAACTGACTTGACAACTTGACTGTACTACAACTGCAAAAACCAGACTTGACTAAATAGTGTTGTAAATGACGCAATGTCAGTGTATTCTATAGTCTTTCAATGTACTTTTGTGATTCTTATTATAGAAAAATATTTTACTCCAGAAGCTGTTTAAACGTAAGAGGATTTTAAGTTTATTTTCATAAAAATATGTTCGAAATTGACCAAATGAAGGAATACAAGTTGAACGTCTGTTTCTTATACAAACACGATCGTTTAAAAGAAATGTCCAGGTTATACCTTCTAAAAGTGTGTCAAAACAATATAGGTTTCTTCGTTTCCTATAATAATAAAAATTATTAGTTTCTTATTTATATACTTCAATAGAATTGTTATATTTCATATAATAGGTTGATGAGATTTTTACATAAATATGAAGATTCTGTTTATAAATACCATAGATACACAAAAGGCTTATACTTGATCCTAAAAATTTTCTTGAGAGCTTAGCCACTGTAAATTGTAGCTGGTGCATTTAATAAACTAATTCAATTTAATCACTATGATTGAATTTAGTTATAAGTAAAATAAAACTTTTCAAAACTATGAATATCACTTCATCATTTTGTTAAGGTTTTATTAGTTTCTAAAGCAAATTTCACTATTTAATATTGAAGCATATTTCATCATTAATTATAAGTATATTTATGATTTTTATTTAATGTTTCATATTTTAGTAATGCACTTTCTATTATTCCAGAAAATATAGAAAATCTGGTATACTTTCACAGCTATAGTTATGCCAACATTAGCAACAATATTGTATAAAAGACATTTTGGATTCAAATTTTGGAGAGCACGTATGCCTATAGAGTGTATTGTTTAAAGTAGCATATAAAATAATCAATAGATTTTCTGAGTAATTGTATGTAAATTTACCTCATATAATATCACTTAAAATGTCTCTGTCAACAACAACTTTTCTACCAATGGCACAAACTTCAGAGAAAGAGATATCAAAATTAAATATTGATTACTCTAGTATTCGTTCTAAGGTACTTGTTAATTTTGTTTTATGTTATCTATATTTTCATAACTTTATTGTTATTCTAATCATATTTTTTCATACATAGGATGTGTTGGTTAGTCCATCAGAAGATCAATATGAGCTTTTATTAAAAAAAATAAAGGAACGTATTCGAGATGGAGGCAGTGAAACTATTTTTGACATTGGAATTAGTGAAGGTCAATCTCTATATATTATTAGTAAATTTTCATTTAGTTACTTCCAAGTACAGCTTATAGCTGTCTATTTACAAATAAATTATTTTTGGTTTAATGACAAGCCTTTTCATTGTTGTGCTTTAGTAGTAATATATCTCTCTCTCTCTCTCTCTCTCTCTCTCTCTCTCTCTCTCTCTCTCTCTCTCTCTCTCTCTCTCTCTCTCTCTCTCTCTCTCTCTCTCTCTCGCTCAAGTATTTGAATTGTTCAGAACTATCTCTCTTTTTACAATTTTGTATGCATTACCTATGTTTTTCCAATTTGGAACTGCTATCTTATAACACAGTTATCTTATAATAATTACAGTTTTTTAATTTATTAAATATGTACATTTTCAAAACATTTAAAGATCTTCAAATTATAGAATGTCTGTAGATAATTTAGAAATAGTAATTTTAGACAACTATGAAATTAAGTACAATATAAATGTGAAGAAATTATGTCTTTTATTTTTATAATTACTAATTATAATTATATTATAGATGGCTCAGAAGATGGTTTAAGAGAAGATGAATACGAGGCATCTGTTGCAACACTGCAATCTCTTGCTACAACTTTAGAGGCAGACTGTGTTTTATTACGACAAACTAAAACAGATCATAAATTGACCGGTCAATATTTGGTTCGTAAACGTCTTGACCAACAGGATTTTTTGGAGATTCGGTAAAATTTTACAAATGAAAAAGGAAACAAATAAATATAAAGTTACAAATAAATTATTACAAACTAATGTTGAATAATTAAAAAAATTTAGAGTTGCTGTAGTTGGAAATGTTGATGCAGGAAAATCAACATTACTTGGTGTTTTGACACATGGAGACCTGGATAATGGACGAGGGTTAGCACGCCAAAAGTTATTTCGTCATAAGCATGAAGCAGAAACAGGAAGAACAAGTTCTGTTGGAAATGATATTCTTGGTTTTGATAGCATTGGTGAGTTACATATTTCTTTTTGCATATTTGTTAAAAATTTGTGACCAAAGGTCGATACATCAATTGTTAATTCATTGATTATTATATTTGGATGATAAACAATTGTTAAAGGTAATGTTGTCAATAAACCAGAACATGGTTCTTTAGACTGGGTAAAAATTTGTGAAAAATCTTCCAAAGTAATTACATTCATAGACTTGGCTGGTCATGAACGATATTTGAAAACCACTGTATTTGGGATGACAGGCCATGCTCCAGATTTTGGTCAGTAAATAACAAATAGGAAACTTTAAAAGAATACTGTATTCATTTGAATAATATTTAACTATAGGAATGCTGATGGTGGGTGCAAATGCAGGTATTGTGGGAATGACCAAAGAGCATCTAGGATTGGCTCTAGCTTTATCAGTTCCAGTTTTTGTAGTTGTTACTAAAATTGACATGTGTCCACCAAACGTTCTACAAGAAAATTTGAGACTCTTAATTCGAATTTTGAAATCACCAGGATGTAGGAAAGTTCCAGTCACTGTAAAAACTCCAGATGATGTTGTTGTTAGTGCAACTAATTTTGTTTCAGAAAGGTGATTATTCTAAGTAATAACAGAATATAATTCAAGTATGTAATTTTTTTCTTTTTAAAGCAGGTTATGTCCAATATTTCAAGTGTCTAACGTTAGTGGAGAAAATTTAGATCTCTTGAAAATGTTTTTAAATTTATTGACTGCAAGAATAACTAGTCACGATAGTGAACCAGCAGAGTTCCAAATAGATGATACATACTCTGTTCCTGTAAGAAATAATTCTACAATCATACATAATTATTGTCAAGGAATTTTCAAAATATGATCATTTTTAACTTTGTAGGGAGTAGGAACAGTAGTCTCTGGAACAACTCTCAAAGGTGTAATACGTCTTAATGATGTACTTCTTCTGGGACCAGATCCTCTTGGTCATTTTCAACAAATAGCGATTAAAAGTATTCATAGAAAAAGGATGCCTGTACGAGAAGTGCGCGGGGGTCAAACCGCTAGTTTTGCTTTGAAGAAGATCAAACGATCTCAAATTAGGAAAGGTATGGTGATGGTATCACCAGCTCTCAATCCTCAAGCTTGTTGGGAATTTGAAGGAGAAATCTTGGTGCTTCATCATCCAACTACAATTAGTTCTCGCTACCAAGCTATGGGTATTGAACTATATTGTATTTTATATCATTTTTAATTTATTGATCCATAATAGCTTATAACTATGCGAAAGTGTTTGCATCATGATGTAGAAAATAATAAGTTAGGTCTTTGTAGCTTTTTTTTATTAAGCATTTCAAACCGTTACTAGGATAAACCGTTTAGGTTTCTTGTGTTATACACATTAGATATTTACATGATTTTTCTTTTTATTCTTGTGAATACTTGGTTTTTTGAGATAAATTATTAACATGTTTTCTGCATGTATTTACATTTTTAGGTTACAATTTTTTATAAATTTTAGGATATTTACAGTCTTCAATATAAGGTTCTGCAGTGATTAGTTTCACGTATATGGTCGGTGATAATATCATTTTACTAGTTTTTTTATATAAAGTGTCTGCTTTTCGAATAGCTCGCATTATAATACATGATTGATATTTTCGACTTCTTTTCTGCTGGGTCACATGATTCTGTCATGTGATAACGGCCTGCTCTAACTCGATTAATTAATAGAAATTAATTCTATACATATTTTAACTCTATGGAATCGGGGTTCATTTCTGTCGTTATAGTTTAATTGGAAGTACTGTTTTCCTTTTATCTTTCCCAGTTTAAGAATCGAGCCATTTGTTTTTTCTACAGTAAAAGGATGAATCACAGTGGTTCCTAGCTGAGGGCTGAGCAAAGCCGCTTCTCACCTTCTATGACTCGGGATCTAATAGAGTGTTATATTGTTTCCATGCAAAATGATGTCTTACATTAGTTTTCTGATGTCGGTTATCCATGGGTGGATATCGAACTGTAGTCCCTGCCTCATAAGAGTCATGATGACTGATTGGAAGTCAATCAGAATGACGGTATCTAGATAGCGATGGTCTACTGACATCTTAAATGCCTGAACAATGGCAAAAGCTTCAGCACTGTATATATTACAATTGGAATTCAAGGAAAAGCGAAAGGTATACAGAGGAGGTATGAATAAATCCATCCCACAGCCCTCATCAGGCCATAAGTCGTCGGTATAAATGAGTGAGTGTCCTGAGTATTTGTTCTGATTGCTGAGTGAAAGCTTTGATTGAGGCATGTTTGAGATAATAAGTCTTTTCCCAAAGAATTATCAACGTGTGGTGTTAGGTATAGAGCTTCATACGGTATGGTGTAGACTACATTTTTTGCAACTCAGATTGAGCGAGGAGTCCTTTGATCTTGTTAAAAACGTTAAGCAATAATAATTGTCTTTTGCTGCTTAAATTGTTTATGGAGTTAAGTCATCAATAGTTGAGTTTGATCTAAGCAATTTATTTGACGTTAGTAGTTCTCTACGGTTTGGTAATGATGAAATACGTTGATGGGAGTTGTCTTCATGCACCTCAAGACTACCCTAAGGGCGGCGTTCTGAATTGAATCTAAACACTGTAAGGTGCTCTATTTTGCGTTTGCAAGCAGGAAGTAGCTATAATCCATCTTCGGTCTAATAATAGTTTTATATATAATTATCAGGGTTTCAGGGTGCGAGATCTATTCAAAGCCGGTAACACTATTTAGTTATATCAATGAGCCTCTTAACTGAATCTTTCACATTGTGAATATAATTGCACTAGGACTAATAATGGATCCTTGGGCGAGGCCCTTGTTGGTTAAGCCTTGATCGAATCTTGTACCTTGTGCCGTGAGATTACGATCTTGTATGAGATTTGCCATGAATTTTACTAGGCTAGGGGAGATTTTATACCTTACAAGAACCAAAATGAGTTCTTCAAGACTGACATTTTCATAGACTCCCATAATGTCGAGAAATATGACACCTAAAAATTGGTCTCTGTTGCCTGCGTTTTTAATATCGAGCTGGAGGCAGTCAAACAGTCTGAACAAGATTTGCCTCGTCGAAAACGGTAGAAATTTTGTGGGATAAGACCTTGAAACTCGTAATACCATTGCATGCAGTCATTTACCACACGCTCCATTTTTTTTGGATACAGCATACAAGTACAATAGGGCGATATCCGTAAGGTAATTGGAATAATCTAGATGAGGTAGTGAGTCAACTTTATTAGCGAGAATACCCGAAAACTTGTTTCAATCATAATTTGAAAGGCGACTGGAAGGTCTGTCATAGAAAAGCTTCAAGTTGGAATCGCGATATTCGATCACCGAAGGGAAGTAGTCGCTGTTCCTTCCAGACGATTTTGTGCTCAATGTTCGATGATGCTAATGTGTTGTCTGATATACTATTTTTATAAAATCTAATCACGGAGCCAATGTTCAAGACCTTGAAATTGTATTGATTTCTCAAAACTTTAGCAAATTTTTTTCCTCTATCATTTTTGATATCACTACCCCATAATAAATGTTGGTAATTAAAGTCCCATGTGACAATAATTCTGTCTTGGGGTTCTATTTTTTTAAAAAATATAGTTAAAATAGATTTATCAACAATGAAGTCTGGGGGGTAATAGATGTTTATCATGGACAAATGTTCAGAATTTTTCAATAATTTAATATCGATATATTCCAAACCCAAAGGAAAATTGTAAATATAAAAACGAGAGAACTGGATATTATGGCTAACAAAAACAATGAGACCTCCTCTAGGTGAGGGTGACTCTATCAGTTCTTATTTGATTGCATCCGTTTAAATTTATATTCAGGTGGTTTAAGAAGGATTTCGGAAAGGCTGACTACATCGTAGTCTTAAGCTATATGTTGAATTTCAGAGTTTGTTTATAAAGCCCCTGCAATTCCAATTGAGAATATTGACATAATTTTTGAGGTTAAATTTAATTGTTATTATTAGAAGTATTGTCAGGGCCAGAGCTTATACTTATATCCTGATCCGCGAACCTTTCGCCCATATTTATGATGGCTTGAAAGTTTGATTGTTTTTATTCTCGAAAAAGGAATTAATGGATTTGATAAATCTGTCTAAACATTTATTAGCATATCGTTTACCTATTTGTTTTATGCGGGCTTCTGAAGGTGGAGCAATTATCGGACCGTCATCTACTGAAACACTGTTCACATTACTACTATGAGAGTCTTAAGAGTCATTCGCGTCGACGAGTCGACGACCACTTCTTTTGCAAGCATGTGCTTTCTCGAGTTGCTTTACTCTGAAGATGGCTTCCTTCCAACTACACTTCAATTTTGCTCTTGTTTCTATAACATTTTTGTGAAACATAAAATGCATGCATGATTTTTCGTCTGCAATATGAGGTAATTTACAATTTGCACACCTAGTAAGGTAGGAACATTCTTTATTTGGATGAGAAAAAGAGCAATTGACACATATTCTAAGTCCGTTTGGGCAATACTTAGTAAAGTGGCCGTACTGTTGATACTTACAGCATCTCAAAATGGATGGTACATAATGTGAGGTTTGTCGGAAACGGAAGTAGATATGATCTTTATATAGAATAGAGGTATAGCATCTTTACAAAAAATGTGTACTTTATCTGTTTTCAGAGACAGGAGCTAAGTCGCTGTCAATAACTCTTGTGATTCTAATAACCTTATCAATTAAAACATCAATTAACAGAACAGAAAAATTTCCTGTTCTGTTAATTAAGGGTCGACGTCGTATATTATTCCTACATTATATAGCTCGCTTCCATCAATAATCGTTATCCAAATTTGATTTACACGATCTTGAATTCGCAATATAAATTGACTGGTTTTTTTGTAGTATTTATCAAAAGTAACCACAACTTCGAGCTTTCTAACAGAGTGGATTGATTTGAGAATAAAACCAGCTTCAAGTACCTTTTTCCATGAAAGCCATGGAGTGTAAGTTTTTAGTATTTTCACCGGATTTGTTATCGTGAATGTGTATCAAACAGGGGTTTTGATACTATTGTTAGTTGATTGTTGGTTGGGTATAAGATAGGTGTGGTGAGTTGAACACGGTTTTTATTTTGTTGCATGGGAGAGTCCTCACTATATCTATTGGATATAATTTCGTGGCCTGACTCAACACCATGGAGATTTTTACTTTGCAAATGATTTTCAGCTTATTCCATAGGAAGTATTGCCACTTTAGTGCTGTGCGTTTCTATGATACCAGTACTATTTATAATATTTTCATACTGCGTTTCGGTGATTGAGCTTAGTATACCCATATCTTCGGGCAATGCGTCAATCAGAAAATACTGATAGTTACAAAGGTACTGACGATGTACATTAAAACATATTTAACCCCTTTCATGCCAAATAGCATAATTTTTTACTGTTTTTAATTGTTTGGTTTTAGTTAGTCAATCAACGAAACATTTCTAAGAAACGTGTTCTATTTTTATTTTTTCTGCTCTTTCCGAATTCGGTAACAGAATTATTTTATCTACCGCCATTTCTTAGCTATGGTGTCTGAAAGCAGAAAAATGTGAAATTTCAAATGTTTTTCAAACAATCGTAAATTTGACAAGAAGCTAATTAATACAGGAGATTAGTACTTTGTATCTGGTGACATAATTAATTTTTCTAAAAAATATGATTGATAATTAAGGAAATTCAATATGGCAGCTATAATCACGCAAGAAATAGCGATTTTTATAAAGTTAACCGATTTGGACCAAATTTCTTATATAGGGGTTTTTGGATTCGCTGATCGTGACTATAAAGTTAGATTTGCAAAATCCAAGATAATGAAACGAATATTGCGGATTATATATAGTGAAATTTGTTAATTTAATTGATTTAAGACTGAAAACTATATACGAGGGTGGTCCGATGAGTACTTAGCCTACAAAAGAAAAACGATAATTTTGGAAAAGTGGCGTTTTATTTTTCAACATAGTCTCCTTTTAGTTAAATACACTTGGCCCAGCGATGCTCCAACTTCTTTAACCCGTCTGAAAAATACGTTTCCTCGAGGTCTGAAAAGTAGGCTTCCGTGGCAGCGATTACCTCCTCATTCGACTCAAATTTCTGCCCGGCGAGTGACTTTTTCAAGTTTGGAAACAAAAAGAAGAAGCAGTTCGTAGCCTAATTCGACCAATTTGGCCATGGCGACGGCGGAGGTGTGAGTCGGTGCGTTATCATGGTGGAAGAGCACTTTTTTCTTCGCCAAATGGGGCCGTTTTTTCTGCAATTCGACGTCGAATCGGCCCAATAATTCATAGTACAGCCATGTGACCGTTTTGCCCCTCTCCAGCTAGTCGATGTAGATCACACCTTGTGAATCGCAGAAAACGGTGACCATCACCTATCCGGCCGATGGGGCAGTCTTCGCCTTCTTCGGAGTACTTTCGCCGGGTAAAGTCCACTGTTTTGACTGTTCCTTGGTCTTTGGTGTATACCAGTGGATCCATGTTTCGTCGATTGTCACGAAACGACGCAGAAACTCCTTCGGATTGCGCTTAAACAGCGTCAGACATTGTTCTGAAGTTGTCTCATGGTTGCGTTTGTTGTCCGGAGTGAGCAAATGGGGCACCCATCGCGCCGACAGCTTTCTCATGCCCAAAATTTCATGCAGGACATGACCCACGCGGTCTTTTGAGATGCCTACGATCTTAGCTATCTCGCGCACCTTCAATCGTCGATCTGCCAATACGTGAATTTTTGTCACGTTATCCTCCGTGGTAGCCGTTTTCGGAGCATCTGGACGTGGCTCTTCAAAAATCGACGTGTGACCACGTTGAAACTCGTTAAACCAATTTTTGACGGTCGCCATCGAAGGAGAAGAGTCACCGTACACAGCATCCAAGCGTTTTTTGATTTCGCTGCGCGATTTCCCTTCCAAAAACAAGAATCGAATCATCGACCGATACTGCTCTTTTTCCATTTTTCAAAAATCAACGGACACACTTGCTTTCACACGCTCTCAAAAATAAACTACAACTCCGATCCGGCTAAAATCTTGACAGTAACCATCGAGAAGGTTGTACTACGTGATAGAATATTTCTTTTGCGAGAGTGGCGCCATCGGGCGGTGAGGCTAAGTACTTATCGGACCACCCTCGAATTTAGGGTAATCGATTACGAATACGATTTAGAAATTCCGAAATAAAGGCTTCAATTTGTTTGTGATCGTTTATCTATGATTTTAATCGGATTCTTCATGGTTTGCAAACCTTTATATACCAGAATTTTCCGATCGCGGTAAAACACAGTTATTATCTTCTTCATCTAAAGTTTCTTCTTCGCCTTCAGAAGAATTCTCTTCAGCTGATTGTAAACTCCAACCTTTTGACATTTTTATCAAAACTGTTCTAATCAAAATTATGAATGGGCTTATTTTCATACAAACAATAGTATACTAATTTTTTCCTAAATTGATTAAGTTAGATCAATTGACAACAAAAAATGACTAGTATTTATATCTTTAATGAGATGTAATTTCTCAAGTAATTTTACAAAGAAAATATTGTCAAGAAATACTATAAACAAATAAAATGGCAAAAGATAGAAAAATAGCTTAATTTTTCAAATATTAATATTTTTTTTCAATATCGCTTATTATTTACTTATTTACGGCAAAACTTCAAAGTTTGTGGTCAGAATAGTTTGAACTAATGATATATTTTGCTCTTTTTTATGAAAGGAGTCTAGTAATTTATTTCTATTAAAAACATGTGCTGTTTATTGGCGATTTGTTAGTACAATAACGATTTCATCGTATTCCATAGAATGTTTTTTATTTCTTGACAAAATGACATAGATATACAAATAGGTCATTTTCTGTATCACAAACGAGTTATAATATTTCCGAAGGTCTTTAGTGCGCTGAATCCAAATGTGGCCTCAAAATTGTTTCATTACGTCAGATTTTTAAGATATCCTAGCTTAAAAGTACAAAAAACACTGTTTTTTGACATATTTGAGGTTATGTTGCATCGTAAATAAATTTATTCACAAAAAACTATTTAAAGTATCTTAAAGTACAAATCTTCTCCTTTCGAATACTGTTGAGTTTGCCTAAATATATTTTTTCTCGCCAAGATACGAGTACTTTGAAATATTTATATTTATGATTTTCAAATAATTCGAAAATTCTTTAATCTTTGAAAGTACACATTTTTCTATTGGCTTTTTTTGCATGAAAAATTTTACTCGAGATTTTTTGGAGTCGCTGAATGTGAATCTGCAACAGAATTTCGTTTTTTGAAAATTTAAGACGACGAATTCCAATTGGCAGAATAAAAAAATTTCCATTTTGAATTGGTCATCTTGATTGACTCTTTGGAAAGCAAGCGATTAAAAAGAGTAAAAAAAATTATGCCATTTAGCATGAAATACGTTAAATAAAATTATTGGAATATGTGGTAATCTAAGGCGCCATGGCTATCAGTGATACATTTGAAAGCTTGTTAATATTCCTACTCTCACTTCTGTTCCTATAAAAAAGAAGCAAAAATTGGTGATGAGATAAGCGTGTAACTACTCGTCCAAGTGATTAACTTTAACAGCTTAATGCAATAAGGACATTGAGATATTAAATCATTGTATCGAAATGCACTATATGATACACATGCGGAAAGGAGATGTTAGTTTGGTGTTATGTATATTACCCTCGCTCCGCTTGGGTGGAAATATCATACACGGTGACATCTGATTTTCTGTACACAAACATTTGTAGGAGAATGAATTCGCTTTTTTGTACTGAAAAATGATTTAAATTATAATTTTCTTGAATATTATTTTAGTTCACTGTGGCAGTATTCGTCAAACAGCATCAATTTTGTCAATGTCTCAGGATTGCTTAAGAACAGGCGATAAAGCTTTAGTACATTTTCGATTTATTAAGCATCCAGAATATATAAAACCAGGACAGCGAATGGTTTTTAGAGAAGGTCGTACTAAAGCTGTAGGTAATGTTTTACGTCTTATCTCACATTCAACACCAGGCAGTGCACTGAATTCAAGAACAAGCAAACCAAATAAAAGTGTTGCACAGAATCGTCAAACTATAACTACACAGGTATATTAACTATAACTTTACATAAAGACAATAAGGAAATAAAAAATTGTAGTGAAAAACTTATTATTTCTTGACAGACGCCTGATAACACTGACTTGAGTAGTTCAGATGTTCAAAATATCAAACGTGAAAATATATTGGTAAGACCAAACATAAATTCTGCAAAGAAAGGACGAGGAAGAAAAGCTGGGAAAGTTCAAAGTTCTGCGAGTAATACTGTGCAACCGCTCTCAGAGCAAAATCCTCCTACAAATGTTTAAAAAACTTCATTTTCTTTATATGCTCCTGCTTTTAAAGCGTTCATCTTAGTCCAAAAAATCAATTAAAATACATTTTATACTTGATTAGTGATACATGGCTTTTTATGTATTTTATAATTGATTTTTGTTTTCAACTCAAAATGTCACTAATTAAAAAAAATTAACAAATGTGATCATATTTATAAAATCAGTAATTTGAGAAGTCATTACCTCTTGTGATTAAAGAAAAATGTCGGAAGAAATAATAGTCTTGTATTTTTTTCAAAGTCTTACAGAATTTGATTTTGATATACTGATAAATAAAATAAATTAATATATGACTGAAAACATTGTATTACTATATTATTGTTTGTATTGTATTGAGAATGTAATATTGCTTTACACGGTATTTAAAATTTACCATTCTCTACTATCTATAAAATATAATTTATTATTAATATTTACATTTGTAATTTGATCAATAAATTTTTGTAGTTTATTTTGATTGTTTTTTTACATTGTCTTGTACTTGTCTTTATTAATTTTGAAAAATTTAATAATATATGTTTCTTTGCAGCTTTGAATATTTGATAGCCTCTTATTGATTTTTAACGTGCTATTGATTTTAATATGCTAATTTATTGATTTTTAATATGCTATTTTATTTATTAATTATGTATTATTGATTAAAGTATCAAGCACAATTTTTTAAATCATGAAAATGATGAAATTTTCTTATAAATTGTCTTTTAAACTGATTGATTCTTTGGTAATATTTTATTTATTTTGTATCATATTTTAGAATGCAATTTTAATTTCTTCTTAAGAATTTCTAATTTTTTGTTCTTCTTTACTACATTTAATGCCAGATAGCCTTTTAACCTACAATGAAATTGTAAAGGAATATAACACAATCAAAAATAAATTATAATAACTAAATGTGAAAAACAGTTATAAAATATACTTAAGTTCTTGCTGAGTCTAGTTTCTTCTTTAATATTTTCTGACTTGTCTCTTGCAAATTTTTTTGCTTTTTACGGCGATCAGTCATTTGATTCTTTTTCTATAAACTAAAAAATTATTCTTTTCTTTAAATAAATAAGTAAAAAGTAATTTGTTAAATAGCTAGTTCAACATAATTTAGAATTCAAACCAGTTAGACATTTGTTAACAAGACTAACGGCAATAGTAATCTAATTTAAGGAGAGAACGAGAGTTGTACATTTTCACGTTTGATATGTATACGTGCGTGCGTGTAATAAAAATCATAAACCTTCGAACGATTTAGTATGTAAAGGGTAGAATTTCATTATCCAAGTCAGCCACTGTAAATTAATTATTTATAGATATTACTTCTAATCACTCCATTACTACATATCTATTTTCATCACAATTTGAAAAAAGTATTAAACATCATTCTTTTTTTTAACTTTCTTTATATGCATTTTTTATCTTCGACCAATCAACCTGATTAAGTTAATCAAAGATCTGCGCTGATGTCTATATATTGTATACCCATCAGAAATTTGAAATAAGATCGTATTGTGTAGTTCATGTACATATCATTATGTATTAGACTTGATTTTATAGCATGCGAGTTTAAAATTATATCAAGCATTGCGCTATAGCGAGCGACAATAATGTAAACGTTCATTTTTAACAATATTCATAATTTTCACATCTTGTATTGCAATATTATATTTCAGAAATGTTCACAGTCCTATACAAATTTAAATTTATGTACGTTTGTATTAAAGGTAAATTATTTGAAGGGACCAGTCAATGTTAAGCAGGGATAATTATAAAAGTTTTTCTTTTTGACTTGTAAAAATCATTTTATAATCATAATATAATCACAATAATTCTCACCATATGCCATAGTTATTTAATAGAAAAATTAGAAAATAGTAAATCAACTAATCGTAAATTACAAATTAAATACTACATAGAAATTACAGTAATGCTTTCTATAATGTAATAAACTTAGTAATAGATAATATAGATTATTGGAATGCTGTATTCTCTATGAATGATAAAGTTTAATATAAATAGATGCTACAATATTGTAAACAAGATTATTTATGAAAATGTTCCAATAATGCATAAAATTATCTATATACTTTTCCTTTATAGTTTGACGTCAAGTAGAAGGAAACTTGTATATACGTATAAAAAAAGTGCTATTCATCGTGGAAAACATTAAATAAATTATATGATTTTATTAAATTAAAAAATAGCTAAAGAAAAATATATTCTTTTATTGCTAGTTAAGTATATGTATATTGTATTTTCAACTTTTCTTTACAATGTTTTTTTCACAACAAATCATTCTTTATGTACATGTTCTGATTGTATGTGTGTTGTGTGTGTAAGGCTCTAAATCAAGGTCTAGAAATAAGTATTATTAAAATTGCAGCCGATTGGTCAGAGAAATTTAATGTTTTCGTAAAATTTTACAATAGACCGATCAAGTTTACAAAGGGGGTCTTTGCGGAAGCTGTATTTGCTTAACTAATAATTTCTTTTAATATTTTCAAGTAAGAGATTTTAAGATTAACATTTCTATTAAGTATGTTTATAAAAACTAAGAATTTTATTGCAATGTAGAACGATATAGTTTTAATTTATATACTTCTCTATTCAAACATCTACAAATTAAATATCTTCGAATAAGCTTACTCATATAATTATGATTGAACTTCGCTTTGCAAATCCGTTTAATCATCAATTATGGTCGAACTTTACTGTGTTCGTTTGTTCATCAATTATTAATAATATAATTCAGGTTATCAGTCATTTTAAATGTCTTGTTTGCCGATGACACGAAAATGTATGCTATCAAAACTCCAATGGATGCTCAACTACTACAAACCCATCTTAAAGCTTTCCATTTGTTGAGATAACCTATTAACGATCATAGACATCAATTTTTGGACATGTTTTTGATCTCAAAATTCACGTGGAAAACGAAACAATTAATTGATCCGTTCTTTATGATTTTAGGTATGCTGAATACAAATCCGGGCTCAAATTAAAAAATTTTGCTTGCAAAATTAAATATACAGGATTTTTACAAAAAAAAGAGTGAAAAATTCAAAAAACACTTTCATCAATTATTTTCTAGCATAAAACGCATCAATATCGAAATCTTTCTTCAACCATCGGTACACAAAATTGTTGAACTTTAACAGGAAATTTTTTAATACTAGCTTTTTTCCAAAATGACGAATAAAATGCAAACCTGAAAAAAAATTCGTTTCTCGTTTCCATCGTTTTTCTTAAAAAATATGAGGATTAGGAAAAAGTTTTATAAAAGAAAAATGTCTTAAAATTTATTAAGGAACGCTCTCAAATTTTTTGGAACAAATTTTTAATTTTCCAAAAAATCACAAAATTGACATTTCCAAAAAAGTTATTAAAAAGGTTTGAAAAAAAAATTTAGAGCATTCTTTAGCTAGTTTTTGTTTTTATAAATTTAGGGCATACTTTAACTATTTTTTGTTTTTAATAATTTTTCCTATAACCTATAGTTTTTGAGCAAAATATTTTGTACAATTCCAATAGTTGAAAATCTAAAGGCTAGAAATTAATAGAATTTGCACAATGTTTGATAATATTTTGCTTGAAAATTATAGACTTTCAAAAAAAAATTATAAACATAAAGAGTCTTACAATTAATCAAAGAATATTTTAGAATTTTTTCAAATTTTTTTGACAATTTTTTTGAAATATCAATTTCATGGTTTTTTCAAAAATTAAAAATTTTCTTTAACAAATTTGACAAAATTTGATTGTTTCATGATAAATTTTAAGACATTTTTCTTCTATATAACTTATTTTCTAAACCTCATATTTTTTGAGAAAAACAGTGGTAGCGAGAAATGAATTTTTTTTTCAGATTTTTGCATTTTATCCCTCATTTTGGAAAAAAAGCTCATGTATAAAAATTTCCTATTAAAGTTTAACAATTTTGTGCACCGATGGTTAAAGAAAGATTTCGATATTGACTCGTTTTATGCTAGGAAAAAAATTGATAAAAATTTTTCTCTATTTTTTTGTAAAAAATTTGTCGTATTTTATTTTGCAAGCAAAGTTTTGTAATTTTGAGCCGGGATTCAGATCAGCATACCTAAAATCATAAAGAACGGTATGATCAATTTATTGTTTCGTTTTCCGTGTAAATTTTGCGATTAAAAACATGTCCAAACAGTGACGTCTATGGTCGTAATAGGTTAATTACGAGATTAACATAAATATCTCAAAGTGCAATATTATTTCATTTCCTGTATAGGAATAAATAATATACTTCATTAATAATTCTAGTTCAGAAAAAATTTAGTATGTTATAAACTAAGGCATTTGGTTTGATCATCGTTTAAAATTTAAAATTAAAAAATTCAATTAACAAATTTTGTATAAAAGCGTCTATAGACTAAAAGATTAATTAAATTATTTATTAACATCAATACTCTTATTTTATATAAATCATTACTTTTTCCACATCTTTTATACGGTAGTTTAATCTGGTCACAGACTTTAAACTGGAAAGCGACAGAATATAGTGATCCATGTTTATATTGATGAATCTATTATGAGTATGTTACTGAAGCACTTTCTTGTGTGAAGTTCAAATTCTTTCAAGTTCGTAGGACCTTCAAAAATTTATGATTCAAAAAAATAAGATTTTACAAAGACTGATTGTATAAATTTTATATAAATAAGTAAAATCAGCTAGGCTAACTAACACTTGACGATTGCAACGTCAAATAAATGCCAGAGCATAGACTTCTTGAATAGTGGAAGAAATTTCGAAAAAATTTGGTCAATGTTTCAGCACTAATAATATTTTTTACTGTTATTTCGATTTTTAATAAAATCGTCGTTAATTCAAAATGATACATACAGTATTCATGTCATTCTTAAAATCAAGGTATTACTTTTATTTTATTTAATATAGTTATTTGAAAGACGATATCTTTTCTATTTTTTTTTATTTAAAAAAAAAATCTTATATTCGGGTATAAAATTTGATTTATTATTACTAAAGGTATGTTTAAAACAATTTTTATACATTTGACATCTATACAAATTACTATTATAGCTTAAACTATACATAGAATTTGGTATACAGTTACAATTTATAACTACATTAAAATCAATTAATTAAAAAACAAAAGATAAAAGCTAATTCTAAATATAACAATATATTGTCATTTGTATTACCGAAGTAAAACTTTTGTTTGTTTTATGTATTTTCTTAAATATATATAAATTATGAAAAATTACAAGTATCAATTAAATTCTATGAATGACTACACTTTTCATTAATCGAAACAAAATTAAAATAAAAGATTTTTGAATACTTTTAGGTAAAGAATATTCAATGTGAGTGATAAGTAATGTCAATCTGATTGTCGCTTTCACTATAGGGCAATTCATCATTAATATTATCCTTATCACACACTCTTTGAATTGACGCATTTTCAACTTCAGTACTAGCTGAGGAATCCAGAAGAGGAGACAACTTCTCAGCTTCACTGTCTTCATCTTGATTTTGTGCCTAATTAAATAATTGAATATTTATCATTAAAAAAGTATTTGATAAAGCAAACTTTGTATAGTTAATAATAAATTATTCTTACCTCGTACATTAATGTAGATTGCTTTTCATTAACTAACCGTAAGGTATCTCTCGTTCTCATACCTGCTTTGTGATCTCGAAGGTGACTGCAGGATTTATTTTTTGCAATTGGTGATTGATTATGCAAATCTTTCTGTGATCCTGAATTTTCACCTTTAGCAACAAGTACGGACATACGAAATTCCGAGGTCTGACTTGGTGCACTGCTGCTAGTCCTTGGTAGTGAATCACTGTCTTTTGACATGGAATGTTTTGAAACTAATGTTCTGTCTGTAGATCTACAATGTACATTATTTTGATTTATATAAAATATGTTATTATAATTACACCTGTATTTTAACATAATTATATGTTACTGAAAATAACATAATTATATGTTATTGGAAAATACACCTGTTTAAAACTTCAGCTGCTTGCGTTGCACTAGCAGTGTCTGTATCAGGTGTATCTGGAGATTCTGGAGCAAGTACAGTTGCCCTAGGAGTATAGGGACCATTTAGGGCCTCAATTAAAGAAACAGCTTCATATCCAATTGGTATGTTTTCACAACTTCCCTGCAAGGAACAAATATAATTTTCAACTAACTTTGCTAATATTATTTATAATTATTACCTCGGGTAAAGCAGGATTAGCAATTGTAGAGCCCACTGCTTTTTGCAAAGCTTTAATTTGAAGTAAAGCTCTGAATGGAGCTCGACAAATTGGACAATTGTTAGCTTGATATCTAAGAGAATCTGCACAGCCATTACATAAACATAAGTGTCTGCATGGTAAGATAAGTGTGTCACGTACATCGGACATACAAATGACACATTCAGCACCATTATCTTCTGTATCTTCATCATTTCCTTGCTGCTGCAAAGAAAAAACAATTCACAAATACGTTCTTACTGATATAGTTACAAGCTTACCTTAGCATTTTCAGTATTTTTATTTTCTATACCATATATTTCTTGCAACAAATAGCAGAGCCCATCGACAAACAGTTTCTGCTTTAGAGCTTTCAATACATATGATCCATCAGAATGTTTTTCAATAACGGCAATTGTAGCATGAGACTGCTTTGGCTCGTCGGAACCTTCTTCAGCCACACAATGAATTGCTATAGGGATTATCTGAAAAAAAAAGTACATTCACAAATTTTGATATGAAGACACATTATTGGAAAAGAACAAATTAATACACTGTTTATTTAAATTGTTTACCTCGTATTCAGTATTATAAGATAATTCTTCATCAGTGTAAGGAGTAGGATCAAAGACATGAGATGTTTGACTAAATAACTGATTAGCTCCTTTTTTGTAATAATATGTTTCAGAGTTTATTAATGAATCTTTTGGAACATATCTAATAAAGGTCAAGATCATAAAACATTTTCCCATTATTTTAAAATCTGTTACACTTACATTGCCTTTATTAACTATGTTCTTGAATAGTGTAGGCAGAGAGAAAAACAACATAGATGTTTTGTTAACAAAATTATTAACCTTCTTGGATAAAATAAATAAATGCTTTGGTCAGAATAAATATATGTCAACATTTTTCATTATTAAATCTGTTTTAACAAAACGTCAAAAAGGTTTTCTTTCTTTCTTTCTTTCTTTGCCTACACTAATCAAAAGCAGTGTCAATAAAAATAAAAATTGTTAAGCAAAAGCAATATTCAAATATAGTTACATTACTCCTTTAGTTGAAACTTCTTCTGTGCAGAAATAGTAAATAGTTATTGAACATTTGACATCACAATCAAATATAAATTCTATATTAAAATGCACTGGTTTTTTGTCTACATCTCCATCACCAAAATGTTTGATTCCAGATTGCTGTAATGGTGGAGACTTTTCAACAATGCGAACGAGGCGAAGAGATTCTTTTCTAATGTTTATTAAACTTTTTAATGTTTTGGTTGGATCATTTGCTTGAGGAGGTGGATATGGAAACTTGATAAAAAAATTTCTTTCATTAATATCATCATTATGAGAGATGTTTTATTACATTGGTGTACTCACAGGTGTTGGCCTACTTCCAAGAAAATTTAAATCTGTGTTTTCTCCAAAAAGATAAGCTTCTGGCTGTGGAGTGTCAAATCTTTCACCTCCCATTATAAAGTGACTACCAAAGTAACTTCCTATTGGAAAAAATAACTCAAAATTAATATTACAAAAGCAAATTGTTGAAAAAATAGCTCTGTCTGCATGGTTAGAAGATACTTTTAAGATTTTATATAATTGTGATAAAATTGAAAGTCGATATTAACTTAAATAATAACTTACCTGATCGTGGGGGATATTTATATGCATGATTTGAAATTATATCAACTTCTTCGACACCCGCATTTTGACGGCTTGTCAATGATCCCATAATTTTGCAAATAATGACTTGGAAATACTGTTTGCTTAGTTAAGATATGCGTTTTTTTCAGAGTGAATTTTTTCACGCAATTAATAAGTTATTATTAATGAGATCAGCGTTACACTTTAATAATATACTACAAACCATAGATGATATAAGGTAAAGAGGACACCAAATTTTGTTGAAAAAGAAAAATATTAGCGATGCAGCAACAGCAGCATGTATCAAGCAAAGTCTTAAAAGTTAACACGCACAATCAGCTATTCTGCGATGATCTATAAATTTATTAAGTCATTGGATAGTTCATGGAATAAACAACAACTTTTGTTATTGTCATTCGTCAGTTCGTCTACAATTAATCACTTAAAATACGTAAAATGAGTGTTGGGTGCTGGGCTCAACAACCACTACTGAATCAGGCTAAATAATTATAAAAACTACGTTAACAATATTTTTGCATAAGTTAATCGTTAGATCATCTCATTGACTAACGACACACAGTTGAAAATCGCCAGTATATCAATTATTTAATGAATTTCAGAAACTTGTGTTAATTATTACTCCGGAAAAACTGCCTGGTGACAATATCTCATTCATAGCGATTTTACTTTTGAAAAAATTGGTTGAAAAATTTTTTTTTATTACAGATTATAAGATAATTTATTTATGGCAATTTATTAATACAATTTGAAATTTCTTCCTGAAACTTATTTTATTTGATTAAATAAATAGGTATTTGTCTCCGCTCGAATATAGTGACTAAAATTTCAAAAGACGTAAGGTTAGAGGAAAAATCTAACCAACAAATTAAGATAAGTTTTTTTCATTTTTTTTAAATATTGATACTGCTACCGATTTGATGCATTAAAGTTTGGATACTTTGTTTAACATTTTTGTTTGTTTTAGGTTGATGAGGCCCCGGTCCCATAGGTATGTGCGTACGGATGCAGACGGATACGGACGCGAATCGCAACTCTATGTCACGTCGATACTAAGAAAACGTAGGTGACGAACCATGATAAGTAAATAAGTGTCACACATGACGGGTTATGGTAACTAATCGGGTATCGGTAACTTAACTTCCTATCATATCAACCCTCCCGGGAACATTTATAAATCTATCTAGCGAGATAGATAAGTCTAAGCACGTTCTCCATAATATTTCTGCGAATATTACTCACCGTATATTAATTTAGCAAAAAACAAGGGAAGGGGCACATCAGCCTATGGTATAAAAAGGCTGAATCAGGAACTCATATTCAAGCTCATATACTAACTCATATTCAAGCTCATATTCAAGCTATTACTCATACTCGTACTTATACTGATTTAGTTATTTCTAAGTTTCGCTGCCCAGCTACTCAGAACCGGAATTATACTCTGTTAAGCATTATAAACTTGCCTTTAAACAATAAATCTTAATCAATTGCAAACACCTGAGACTGTTTAGTAAAATCTCTTCTGAAACCCAGTCCTAACAAGGTAAGAAACTAAGTTATCTACCTAAACACACTACATATAATAAAGGCGCTATCCCTTTAACCAACCTCTGCTTAACACCTAACTAAGATCCAACTTTTACCAACGCGACAGTAATTTAAACATTATTACGTCTAGCCATAACATCTCCTCGCCTAGACATAACATCTAGTCACATCACTAAAAATATCTAGTGTAATTATTTAGTACCAACACTACCGGTAGTGAGCGAAAGTGACTGTTGTTTAAAACTGTAGCGCCGAACGTACCACATTTAATGAACGCCTATTTAACCTTTACATTATTGCAGTCTATAAGATAGCAAATGATAGAGAATTGATAGAGAATTGATAGACTTTCAACTACAATTAGTGGAATTAGGCCTTAATTTTATGGAAGTACTTGAATATATGAGAAGAAGAAGAAAATATATATAAATGATATGTATTAATCATCCTAAAAGCTTTTTTTACATTAGCATACTCATCAATAAGCAATATTCATGAGAATTTGAAAAATAAATTGCAGACCTGACATTGGCTTGAACATTAAATGTGATACGTTCGGCGCTACAGTATTAAACAACAGTCACTTTTGCTTACTACAGGTAGTGTTGGTACTAAATAATCGAACTAGATATTTTTAGTGATGTTACTAGAGTTGTGATTCGCGTCCGTACCCGTCCGCATCCGTACGTACCTATGGGACCGGGGCCTAAATGTTTTCGTGAGACATTTGAGGAAGTAATCAATCTGAAACTCGTTTGCTTGGGAAAATAAAGCAAAGGGAATGTTTGCTACTTATATTGGATGATGTGCGCATAATAAATTGTTGATAGAGTTTATAGTACATTACGATACAAGTGCGGGAAAATAAATTTTCATGTCGTGTGGCGTCTACGCCCGAGCGAAGCGAGGGTGAAAAGGTACACGAGACGAGAAACTCTTTCCTGAACATGTGCCGTACCGTATTTTTTGATACGACATGTGGAAGTGCGATTTTCAACGCACGTTTTTTGCCAAGCGTAAGGGAATAACGCACTTTCCGCATGGAGTGTCGAAATTAGTTATTTAATTCTATTTATTTACAAATACTAAATTACAATAATCTGGCTCAGTATTTCGTGTGTCTAAATCAGCGTAAATTTATTTACCATCTTGTATATAAGATACTGTTGATTGATCATGTTCATAATAAATTTCTATAATGACTTATCGAATAGTCTTGCAAATAATTTTCTTTCTAGTATTTAAATTGAGCATTGTAGCAATGTATCAAAACGATCTGTTCTAAACTATACTACACCACACAAAATAAATTTTTGATCTAAAAATTTTTAATAAATTGGAAAATCTGCTAAGTTGCTTTGAAAACTGTAATCATTTCTATCTATATTTTTTATGTATTCTCTACATTCATCCATAAGTGCTGTCCTGAATTGTAGGTACATATTATTTCCAAGTTTCTGCACTCTAAACAATAAAACCAATGTTCTGTGAAATATGTTTAGCTGTTCCTCCAAATTTTTATAATTATTCAGCTTAGCAATTTTTTTTAATGATTTTCATACAGTTGATAATTTTGAAATTTTCTGTACAATCATATTGAATCATTAAATTTTCTACCAATTATTAGGATTACAAGAACAGTCAACTATATTTGATTTCTGTATTTGTGTTGAAACTGTTAGCAATAAGTATGCTTAATTGGTATAAATACTATTGCTATTTGTCAAGTCTATATTAATATAGTTAAATATTGTAGTGAGAAATTTTTATTCTATAGCTAAATAATTCTTTCTGCTATTAATGATGAAATTTCTGAATCATTTTGTTTAATTAAATTAGCAGAATCTATAATAATCTTACTTAAAAATTAAGGTATAAATTAAATAGAAGCCATTCACTTTATTTTTTCAGTCAAAATCGAATTTTTTCGTACCAGAATTAAGATTTTCCACTGCACATGCGCAGAAGGTACAAATGTACAATGACTGAATTGAACTGTGAAAATATCATTTTTGCCAAACTTGGCAGAGAGTACAAATGAAAAAAATTGATATTTTTAAATGGTTCAAATTAAAACAAAACTGTCCGTATTTTTTTTAAGAAAATCTTATTTTTTCGTGGTAGATGCATAGATTTTTCGATATTCTATAATTTTCATATTTTTCCGTTTTCTCGAGAGGTACTAATAATTTTTATTTTATTTTCGGGCGGTACAAATTAAAACGAAGCTAACCGTATATCATTTATTTCAAAAATAATTTATTTTCAAATCAGGAACTGCTCGATTACACACAGCACTAACGCGGTCATCAATTGATCTCGTCTCGCTACTGTTATAAGTGACCAGTGACCGGTTATTACGTTGTAAATTAAATAAGCTATGTAATATAAGCTATATGATCACGATACACTGCAATATATATTCTCGTTTCTGTCGCTCAAAGTCGAACTTCCATTTGTATACACCACCCTTACTCCAGCCAGCAAATTTAAATTATAGCCAAAAAAGAAAAATACCAATGGGAAGGTATGTAACTGCACCCTCCAAATACGCTAAAAAATCAATCTGCACCCTTCTACATTAATTAATAAAAATTAAAAACCAATGGTAATATTTTCATATTTTCAAACAGCGATAACTCCAAAAATATTCAATATTTCTGAATAAAACTTTTATAAAAAAACTGCACCCGGACCGATTCTAATTGCACCCTACTTAATTTGTCCAAATTATCACCGTTAGTTAAAAAATTGGTAAAAAAAACAAATTCCCCATTTGAAGTATGCACAGGATGCTCAATGAGCATGCGCGGATGCCATCTCATCATCTAGTAAAATTCAAAGATAAAAAAATAAATTCAAAATTGCATTCAGTGTTCCAGACTGGGGAACACCTGATCGGATCGACGTTGTTTACATGTGTACTTTAGCCAGCAAAGTGCAAAGTGTTGATTAGAAAGCTGCGAGAGGATGAGAAACGGGAGAAGCTGTTGCTGACGACGTAAAATTAGCTGCTTGCCAAGAATCCGGCCAAGTGAGAGGGCATACAAAATAATGTCACTGCAGTTGGTTTAGGTAAGTTATCACAGCAATTAATTCAGTGTACTTCGCTGCCTTGGAAGGTTTGATTAGACGAATATTTACTGCTGTTAGGATTACATTTCAAATTTTCGTAACTAACAGTTATTTCATTATTCAATCATGTTTGCAAAGTAATTTCATAAAAAGGAACATATTCTTTTATTCAAAAAAGCAATAAATATATTTGACTTGGGAGATTTTTTCAAAAACAACTCCAGACCAAAGCTCTCTTTTTCGCTTAAGCAACTAACGTGAGTGTATTCAATCGATGTAGTTTTTAATATGATATTTTTGATATCTTTCGAAAATTGGTTCGGTGGTATGATCCTCTGATTAAAAGAAACCATGTTTTTAGACGTTGAAAATCTTTAAAGCAAGATGATCATTTTAAGGGAGTACGGTGGGTACGCAACTAGTTAGTTGAAAGAACGCCTTGACTTTTCACTGACTCACATAGTAGCAAGCGTAAGTTTGGCAACGTCGCACATATGCTGGCTCTCACATGTTGCCCTGTTAGTGTGTTATTGTTGTATCAGCTATTATCGAATGGACAAGTCACTAAGAATAAGAAAATAATTCACAAGTTGAGTGATTACTTGAAGACTGTTACTTCGGAAAATATTTTTTAATTACTGTTTCTAATTGTTTTTAATAAGAATTGTTGCAATAAATACAGATTTTATTCAATTTGTTACTGTTTTTTTATTAATAGTCTTTTTCTAAGTAATTGTAATCAAGCCAAACAGTTGTATATTTTAAAGCAATGCGTCATTCAAGCATACATATTTGAATCGGGGAGCGCAGGTTAGATACGACGTTGCCGTATCTCCTATTCGCTGACGTCACTCATCATTTTGCGGTAGAAATTATTTAATTACGATCAAACCAGGTTCTGATTGATAATTTTGAAAACGGATATGGATGTAGAATCATTTTTTACACAACTTAGAATTTTTTCGGAATTTTTTCATTTTTGAAAGCTTTAATAAATGATAAAAAGTACATTTCCCCATAAGATTACATGTTAATTTCAATAATTAATTATCGGCTTTGAAACTCTGAACGATTACCAAATTTGAACCATAGCTTTAAAGCATTTTAGTAAAGATATAGTTAAAGTTTCAAACGATTCTCATTTTTAGTTCTATCTCCCACCGTACTCCCTTAATCTAATAATATAATAATTACATTTTAATTGATGTCGTCGATACTTTTGTAAATTTATTTTAAGTTCCTCAAACTGGTTCTGTTGTTAGACTTTTTCACAATACTTTCCAGTTTTAAAGAGAGTAGATTATGAACCTGTCGATGGAAAACCTGTTACTTTCAGTGTAGAAACATTGAATTCTCATGGAATATCCCATTTAACAAAGGGACGTTTAACTGGTCCAGAGAGAAAAAAAGTAAAAGAACATTTAGAATCTAGAAAACCAAGACAATGGAAACTAGAAGAAGTTAATAGGGAAATGGAATATGGAGATCCTGATCCACCATTTCTTTATAGCCAAGAAGTTATACAAAAAACTAGGCATGAGGTAAAATATGAAAAGTTAGGATTAAAATCAGGGGAAAGCGTATTCGACTCACTTCAAAGATTAAAAGGTGTTTGTCTCCATGGACCGGGGCCTAAAGTACACATGTAAACAACGTCGGTCCGATCAGGTGTTCCCCAGTCTGGAACACTGAATGCAATTTCAAATTTACATATTTTTTTATCTTTGAACTTTACTATAGATGACGAGATGGCATCCGCGCATGCTCATTGAGCAACCTGTGCACACTCCAAATGGGGAATTTGTTTTTTTACCAATTTTTTAACTAACGGTGATAATTTGGACAAATTAAGTAGGGTGCAATTAGAATCGGTCCGGGTGCAGTTTTTTTATAAAAGTGTTATTCAGAAATATTGAGTATTTTTGGAGTTATAGCTGTTTGAAAATATGAAAATATTACCATTGGTTTTTAATTTTTATTTATTAATGTAGAAAGGTGCAGATTGATGTTTTAGCGTATTTGGAGGGTGCAGTTACATACCTTCCCATTGGTATTTTTTTTTTGGCTATAATTTAAATTTGCTGGCTGGAGTAAGGGTGGTGTATACAAATGGAAGTTCGACTTTGAGCGACAGAAACAAGCATATATATTGCAGTGTATCGTGATCATTGCAAGTTGTCATTTGTCATTTACAAGTTAATTTAGTACATTTTCGTATAAAAAATGAACAGGCAAAATCCGGTGCATTTTCTCTTTGATTTACTTCACTACTAAACGATGCAATGTACCATAGCTATTAAATTACGACAACTATAATGATCGATCGTAGGTTAATTATCAAAACTGCTAATTCGTAGATTCAAGTATCTGTACTTGTGTATCTACGTCACCGCAAAAGGAGCACGTTAACATTGCTATCTGATTTTATGGTCAGTACAATAACATCTTTGCTCTTTTCGTTGTTTGATAATTGCGTCTATAAATGTCAATTGTATAGACAAAAATCATTTTTGATAATTGCTTTTTTTTGGACTGCAGCACCGTTAATAAAAAGTAATCAAAATCATGAATACTATTAATGTTAAATCAGTTGGAAATATATAGATAGATAAGCTGATAATGCAGAGTTACGGTAGAGAGCAATCATAAGAAAATATAAAAATAAACTTAAATGATTAATAGTTTTGCAATTTAATACTTATCAATGTTAATTTACCAAATTCAGCATCTATATAATTCATTAAAACTAGGTTCCTTGACTTACTATTTATAGAATAAATTATTTTATTTATTTATTTATTTCCTGAGTACTATATATAATTTACATTATATAATACATATACATTACAAAAATTGCAATCCGGCAGAGGGGATAATCTCTTGTTCACTGATCTGTAGTAAAACTAATTATTAAAAGTAAACTTAATTAATAATAAAATATAGGAAAAAAACAATAAGAATCACAATCATTGCACTTTGACTGTAGTCTTCATCTTCTTCACTAAAACCGGTTAAACATTTGTCTGGCTATAATATAATACTCAGTGGATACTTTTCTATTTTTTGCAAATATAATCGTTTCCATTTCAATAAGTCTCGCCAGACAAGTGAGTTAAACAATACATGTTACTATTTAGTAAGGAAGTATATTTTGGTGTAAAATTGTTTTATAATTGCAAAGAGAAGTAAAAACTATATCATCAACAATTATTAGATTCTTATATTTGGGTTGTAATTTTTGTCTGTATATAAAATTGGTAAAAATTTGTTTTTCTCTATGGTATCTCTATCGAAATAGAGTAATGCTTTATTATTTTCTAAATAGTTGATATTCTCGTAGGTCATTCTAATAGTTTGAATACTGATTTTGATTTCCCCAGGGCAGGCCCTACTTTAGTTAAGGTATATTATACTTTTGTAAGTAACTTTAGTTAATATATATCAACTAAAGTAGGGTTGATATAGTTATATTTAACCATTTTGTTTATTAGTTATAATTTTGTCAATTATATCAATTAGTAAACTATGATTGTCTTAATATATGCAAAGTCTGCTATATTTTTTAATCTAAGAGTTGAAAAAATGTTTTTAATTGCTAAAAAATATTTTTAACATAACCATTAAGTAATCAGAATAATAAATAATCTATGAATGTGGAAAAAAATCATACAACCTAATTTCTCTGTAACTTGATACTCATTAGGGGGTTCCAAAGCTGAATGTTCAGAGATTAGCTATGCCTGTGTTTACAAACTAAAATATATTTATTCCAATAGTATTCTTATTTACCCTTATAACCGTGTACAATTTTGAGATATTTCATCGCATTTTGAGATATTGAGATATTTATCAAGTTTTCTCATCTTTATAGGTGATACACAACCTCTTACGAAGCGATGTGAGAAAATTTTTATAACTGAAATTTTATTCTAATGAATATTAATCCCTTGAGTGACAATGGATCACATATGTACAAGAACAAATCGTACCTAAAGCGGCAGCGGATCATATACGTACAAATCAAAATAACTATAGTAATTCTCCATGGAACATCATCAACCTCTGTTTATAACTGTTTTTGAGGTATCTGATTCCATCCTCGTCGTTATTTTTGGCCTACAGAATTCCTAAAGAGTTGAAAATAGGGGTTGAAGGTGAGGTAATTTCTTAGATTTTCACGAAAAAAAAATTTTTTTCTTGTTTTCGATATTTTTATGATTTCTTCAATTAAAGAGTTTCTTTACTACCACAGAAAAGTTTGATGGGATTGAAAATAATGGTTGAAAGTCAAGGGAAGGTAGCGTCCATGCACATAAGAATTATACACATAATTATTGTACACAAACAAATCTGTATTTTATTTCTTACACAAGGATAAATTGATTGTGCACCATAATTTCAATGAATAATATATCTCGATAATATTATGCACACAATCATCAAGGCAAATAATTAAAAAACGCAGTCGTGCACTGGACATTATACACTCCTTAAAAAATAAATAATCAAAGGATACTGATGATTTTGCACAAAGAAATTATGCACTTACGTTGATTGATAGTGCACCAAGTTCTATAAAAAATCGGTAGATATTGTTGGTGCACCATCAATCAACGTAAGTGCATAATTTCTTTGTGCAAAGTCATCAGTATCCTTTGATTTTTTATTTTTAAGGAGTGTACAATGTCCAGTGCACGGCTGTGTCTCTTAATTATTTGCCTTGACGATTGTGTGCATAATATTATCGAGATAGATTATTTATTGAAATTATGGTGCACAATCAATTTATCTTTGTGTAAGAAATAAAATACGGATTTGTTTGTGTACAATGATTATGTGTATAATTCTTATGTGCATGAACGCTATCTTCCCAAAGTCAAGGGTAAATTTTTATTTTATTGTAAAAAATTTTTTATTTATTTCGGTATTTTTATAGTCTGTTATTTTATTGAAGATTGTCCTTTTGTTACAGAAAAGTCCGATGGGTCAAAAATAGGGGTTAAAACAAGGTTTCAAGTCGACAATTTTTTTCATGTATAAGTTTAGGATCTCTTGTGTAATTGCAAAGAATACTTCTCTGAATGAAAAATTCCAATAAGAGGAAAGTAGGAGTCAAAGTTTTCCATTTTGTGCAAACCCGAGTATTAGAGATTTTGTTTTATCGCAAAGAATATTTTTTGTAAGTAAAAATTCCGAGAGTTCGAACTACAGGTTAAATGATGAAAACTGATGTGCAATAATAATTATTTACAAAACTTCTATCCTAATTTTTATTTCACTAAAGATGTCAATATATTTGATTGAGAAACTATAGAAATCCGAAAGAAAAATTTTTTCATGAAAAATTAAAAATGATCCCTTCAACTCCTATTTGTATCCCTTATTTTTGACCCCATTGGAATAAGTTAGGTAAAAAATAACGACGGAAATAAATTCAGTGACCTCAACAATCCTTAAAAAAACTATTTCTGTTTAATTAAATGTAAAATTTGCGGCTACCACTTTGGGCACGGAAAATTAGGAAAACATCGCCACTCAAGGGCTCCTAAAATTTATACAGGGTGTCAATTAAGTCCCGGGACGCCTGAATATTTTCTGAAGTACTTCAGTTCTGAAAAAGGTCAAGGTCATTCCTTTAGTAACTTTCAACGCGGAATCCGATGGTGACCTTGGATTTGACCTTAAGATTGACCTTCAATGTTATTTCAAGGTCAACTTTGTTTTTTTAAATGGGAACCCCTATTTTTGACAACGCCAATCGAAAGAGCGGAAAATTTTACGTCCAAAACGGTATTTTAAAATTTTTTTTCATGGCCTTGAGAAGGTCGATTAAAGGTCAAATGCTTGAAAAACTGCCTAAAAGCGTTTTTTTAATTTTTAAGATATCGAAAAATAACCTCTACAAAATTTGTTCAGAACAGAGTGGGCCACCCAATGCACCAAAAACCTTTGACCTTTAACCTCATTTTAAAGGTCATTTCAAGGTCGAAGTGTTTTTTGTAATGGAAACCCCTCTTTTTGACCCCGGATTCGCACATAGCGCGAAACTCAACACAATACCTTATCCAAACGTCGGATTTCGCGCTATGTGCGAATCCGGGGTCAAAAAGAGGGGTTTCCATTACAAAAAACACTTCGACCTTGAAATGACCTTTAAAATGAGGTTAAAGGTCAAAGGTTTTTGGTGCATTGGGTGGCCCACTCTGTTCTGAACAAATTTTGTAGAGGTTATTTTTCGATATCTTAAAAATTAAAAAAACGCTTTTAGGCAGTTTTTCAAGCATTTGACCTTTAATCGACCTTCTCAAGGCCATGAAAAAAAATTTTAAAATACCGTTTTGGACGTAAAATTTTCCGCTCTTTCGATTGGCGTTGTCAAAAATAGGGGTTCCCATTTAAAAAAACAAAGTTGACCTTGAAATAACCTTGAAGGTCAATCTCAAGGACAAATCCAAGGTCGCCATCGGATTCCGCGTTGAAAGTTACTAAAGGAATGACCTTGACCTTTTTCAGAACTGAAGTACTTCAGAAAATATTCAGGCGTCCCGGGACTTAATTGACACCCTGTATACATATTCTTGGACCATATCTGAAGAAATAACATTGTACTTTCAAGTTTCAAATGTCATAACTTTGAAGCAATTTTTATGAATAGATAAAAGTACATATTGAATTTTTGATTAGTACATCATAAATTAGTAAGTCTGAGGAATGGCTTAAATTTTTTTATTATTGATTGTCGGGTTATAATGATGAAAGTGAAAGTGAGTTGAAAACGATCATCGTTTTTTTATATGACACGCCAAATTTTTATTTTGTTATGATACTTAAAAAAATGCGTGATTCGGTTATTGGTTGAGTATGGAAAACATTGCATGCAAGTTGCGTTGACCTTCACATTTGCATACTGCTAGCGTTATAGGTATGGCCGTTTTCTTAATAGTTTGCTGTATTTCTGGCAAAATTTGCAGCGCTCTCTCAACCAGCCGATCACATTCAGCGCGATCATCTATTTTGTTACATTTCAAAACTTTGGTGAAACCGAGTATTTTACACTATATCTATTCAACATATTTGAATGATCTGATATATAGCCAACTGTAGTATTTATTGGTAAATAAATATGCAATTAGATTGGCTCACGATTCGAAAATGTTATCAAAATATTAATCATTCAAAGATGTGATAAAACAGTTCCACGGTTGCTTTAAATAATAATCCTGCTCAAAATTAATAGTTGCTTATAAGACTTATTTAGTGTATTTGCCTTTTCATAATAAATGGGGGTTCATATTCGACATTCGATATTGCTTCAGTAAATTTTTTATATTCAGTAATATCGAGGCCGCCAGTGCTTTGATAAGCAATCATTTTCTAGTCCTTTGCTATCTTATAACTAAACCAAGAAATCATCTGTGCCTAATCACATAATGTCCCTTCTCTTTTATAAATTGGTTTTGATTTCGAACTACTGTGAGTACGACCCTTGATATAATACATATTAATGCATAAAATATGGTCAAAACATTTCGGTAAAAGTGCTATGACTAGTATCGGTTGCAGTAACTCTATTAAAAAACCATGTGGATATATTTTTTGAAAAATGAATATTACCATTGCGCAAGGACATAATTTTGCAGCAGAGGACGCGGAAAATTTCCTTTCATTTACTAGCTTCATATCACCTTGTTTTCTTGGTGTTAAATGCTTGCAAACAGAGTTGTTGATAGATTGACGGAACGGCAAACAATGAATGAACAAATCACACAGGCATAGACGTGTACACGAAGCATAGTCAGTAGGTTTCGGATATACATAGCATAAACCTTGCAGAGGCCTTACGTTATCAAGTGGTGGAACAGTCGGAGAATAGGGGCAAAATATCGAGCAAAAAGTAGTGGGCGTAGCTTAAGAAAAGGGTGGCGTCTATCAGCAGTCCATTCGATGCCGAGCAGGGAGGAAGAATGGGCGCAGCGAATGCGTGTGGGCGGACGATGTTGGCGACTTGACGCACACGGCTGTTGTCCTGCTGCAGGCCCTGCGCGCGATCTCCGCGACGGCTGCGGGCGGCGAGCAGCAGGCGGAGGCGACGGCCGAGCGCGAGCGCGTCGCGCTGGCAGAGGAGCTGCAGGCGGCGGCCGAGCAGTGCCGGCGCCGCTTCGGCGGCCGCGCCGAGCTTGCCACCGAGGCGGAGGCCTGCGTGCTGCAGCTGTGCGCCGCCCTCGAACGCGCGCTCGAGCACGGGCTGGCGCGCGGCCCGGGCCCCGCGGCCCGCGGCTTCTGGCCGAGCGTGCGCGAGCAGCTGGCGCGCCACGAGCGCGAGCGCTTCGCCGGGCTGCGCAGCGTGCGTACAGACCGCGGTCGCGGCCGGGCCTGGCTGCGCGCCGCGCTCAACGAGCGCGCGCTCGAGGCACCGCTGCGCGCGCTGCTGGCTGGCGGCCCGGCCGCGCTGCGCGCCCACTACCGCCGCGGGGCCTTCCTGCTGGACCAGTGCCGCTCCTCGATGCTGCCCAGCCTGGCCGCGGGTGCGTAGCGCGCAGCCGCCGCCTCCGGCCGGCCTTGACCGTCGCTCCACTCTTTGCGCAGGCCTCACCGCGGTGCTCTTCGCCATGCGGGTGGACAGCGAGGAGCTGGACGCCGGCCCCGGGCGGGCTTGCCCGGCGCGCACCAGCCAAACGCTGGCCGAGCCGCTCATCAATCCGGAGCCTCCAGGCAGGTGGTCGCCTAGCGCCGGGCGCGGCTCGGCCGGCAGTGGCGACGCTCGTCACGCCGTTTGTTTCCCTTCTTGCAGATGCCTGCCCTTCCCGCGTCAAGCTGCGCAAAAAGGTTCACAGTCACGTGATATGTTTCGACGACGAGGCTGTCGACGCGGATGCGGTCGCGAGCTCGGCTGCGCGTGTCGATCGGTCTGTCGATCCCAGCGCGGCTCCCGAAACGCTGAGCTGTGGCCCAACGTGCTCTGGCGCGTTGCGCGCGGATGCATCCCAATTGGAAATTAGCCCGGAAGCCGAGGATGTCGTTGTGGACGTCAAAGCATCGCTCTGGCAGCACGAGTATTCAACTACCTTTGCAACGGCCTTGTTTCACCGGTTCAATGTTTCATCTTTTCCAACAGAGCAATATTTGAGGAGAAGCTTCTCACGCCATTGACGGATGGGCAAACGATCGGCGGCTTGATGCCTGTTTCTCCAATTGTTCTTGGCAACATGTTGACTAATTTGCCGAGCTATCTAGACGTAAGTATATTTAATTGTTTGCTCTAGTCGTCGAGATTGATACGAGTTTCGAAGTACAATTGAGCGTCAGAATAATGTCGCAATCGCTACCTGTATGTGTTACTATGGATGCACGGGTACGTATACTGAGAGACATGAGGTAGGAAAATCTACTATGATTATAGTAAAATTTACTATAAACTACAGTAAAACTGGGACATACTCAAATTGTAGCAAAAATTACTATGTCATACATAATAAACTTTTACAGAATCTCCAATAATTTTCATTATTTAACTTGAATAATATTCACTACTCATGCAGTAATATTAACTAGAAATTATAATTTTACTAGATCTTTTGCTAACTTTATTTGTAAAAACAAAAATTTCTTTGTATAATTCAATATAGTTAACGAACTGTCACATAACATTAATCTTCGCAGATCATGACTTGATGTTCTTTTTTAAACAGCTTCTTCCCAGGGTTGCGAGTATTCAGAAAGCTAATTGATGTTTCCATCTGAATAAAATATATAATTATATATTAAGTAGGGAAATATATTAAGTAGGATGCAAAATTTTATAATTTTAGTTTGAAAAAGTAATTATAAAGAAATCATTACCATTCTCAAGTTCATCAGAGTCTAAAATATTTATTGGTCGTCCAAATTTTTTATCAGCTAATAATTTATCTTGTCTCAAGCATTTTTTCATATAATTATAATGATTCCATAATTCCCCAGTAGCTGCTATGCGTTTCCTTTCATCTCCTAAAAATGCTCTAAAATAAGTAGCAGTATATTCATCTCTGAAAATATCTGCTATTTCATTTTGCTAAATTTTCAAGACGCTCTTTTATAATTCTGAAAAAACAAAGTGATACATTTTTAAAAAGTTATTATAATTTTATTTGACATGCAAGTTCAATAGCACATGTTTATGCGCTTCACGTAAAAATTAATTTAGGTGAAGTGTGGTTATTGAAATAATTAGCTTGTATATGTGACAAGCGTGATATTTATTCTTGGTATGCTGTTGAAGACGACATACAACTGAAAGCACACAACAGTCCTGTGCAACAGTCCTCGTAGTTTCAAAATCGTAGAACACAAAAAGAAAGAAAACTTTGCAAGTGCCAACAGGAAAACGTAATCGATAGCCACGGTCGTTAAGATATGAGTTCGGGTTGATACCAAAACGCTGTCCGAAGACGATACATATTAGAGATTACGTGAGAACAAATTAAAACATAAGACACAATAAAAATATTATAAAACAAGATGAACAAATCTAAATAATGAGCATGTAGTCACTCTAATACTATAAATATTATAAAATATGTACTTACAGTTGTTTGATATAGAGCGTGTTCCGGCAAACAGTCTACCAAATATGCTAGCAAAATTTACCGAATTCGAAACAATATACATGTCCACTATTACACCACAACCTGAAAACATTGGACTGTACGCGATCTGGCCTAGTAAATTGTACTACTGTATAAAGTAGCTTTTGTCATGTGGTAGATGCAAAAATTTACTTCGTATTTTAATAACTTGTATAATACATATTATAAGTTTTACATCTCAATTAATAATATTTATTAATGATTTGATTACATTTTGTTATAGATACCAATAAAAATTATTATATAAAAATATTTACTGTAGGTACATATTTTTTGTTAAAGACTCAATAATTTTTAAAATGAAATTATAATAAAACTTATACTCAATTTTTTGTGAACAAAAAAAATAATTTTCACTATAATTCGAGTACATCCCAGCTCTGCTAAAATAAATAACAAAGTCAGCTACAATAATAATAAATATTATAAGTCCGTTTTTCTCGGTGTATACATACATACATATATATGTGTGAACGTGCGCGCGCGGGCGTGTGTGTTAGAGTTAGGTTAGGGTTCCGCATGTTTTGCAAGTAGCTTATAACTTTTAAAATCAAGCATATTAACTAATGTTATTTTCTAATAGGTTGCATAGATTAGGCTTTTTTTGGTCGCTGGAATATTACTGACGAATGCTTATTTTCTGCTCAGACAAGCAACATTTTCAACTATTCCAATTTCCCTTGTTATTTTTTTCCAGATTTACATGAACATTAGTTCAAGTAAGAAACACCGTTGATTGCATAATTTTTGGTTAATAAAAATACCTAAACAAAACACTATCAATTTTCGAGCAAGCGGCACACAAGAGGTATCGGTTGAAAAGTTGTAAGCGTGGTTTTTTGGGGATGCGACGTGCGAAACTATTTACCCATCATCGAATGAATAATATTGAACATAAAAATGACCGCTCACGCAATAAGTTTTGGTTAATTAGGAAATATAAATAAAAGTTACATATCCGTATGGTGTTTCATGTATCAACTACCATAAGGGCTGTTTTTGAGGGTGCAATCAGCAGATCGATTCGTTTTCGTCATTTATATCATTATAGTATTTATTATAAACAATAAATCACATTACAAAGTTAAAGAATTTTTATTTTTTCATTGAATGTCAACGTTGTCAACTTCAGATTCATTAAAATGCCCCATTCTATATATATGAAGACCTAACCCATCAATGGTTATTTTCTATTCATAAATTAAGGCAATGATAAAACATCACAAATATTGCAACTATCAAGTATATTACAATATTCACCAACGTGCTAACATATCCTTTCGAATAAGCTCATCCCATGGAAAAAAAATTCATGTCAGATACACACACATACACACAAATGATGATGATTTATAAATTTAATGAAAGGTGAACGGGGCCACCGAGCCAGCTGTTGAAGCTACTGAACCATTCATTAACACATGTTCAGATGCAGATATTTTAAATGTGGAAGCTCTGAAATTGAGACTTTCAGCACTAAGTGAAGTGATCGAGCAAACTCGAGGAGAAGCTGATTCAAGTAAAATTCAATTAGCTCGCTTTCAAAATCAGCATCAAAATTACATCGAAAAATGTGAGCTACAAATTCAAACTTTAAACAGGTGATATGTTAGAAACAATAATCTGTAGATTTAGGGCGAAATTGGAAAGATATTAACAGCAAACCACTGATCATATTTTAGAGAAAATGAATTATTACGTCAACAGTTGAGAAAATATGTAACGGCTGTACAATTGTTAAAAGAAAATTCAGCTGCAAGTGTTGAGCTCAAAGAGGATTCTTCATCAGGCTATCACAAGGAATCTGAACAGTATCAAATCAAGTTAATTCAAGTTGCTGAAATGCACGCAGAGCTGATGGAATTAAATGCTAGATTAACTATGCAGCTAAATAATAAGTGAATAGTCCATTACTAATTACGTAAACTCACTTATTAGTCATAGTATTCGAGTATATCGACATAGAAAACAAGCAACTATTCAACTGAATTTGTTTACATGATTAACGAAATTCTATAAAATTACTGCTCAAAGCCATTATTGCGAGCAAGTTCATTTTTTTGATTTGACGTGAAGTTTACAAACATTTACGACTGTGTTCTAATAACTTACTTAATTAAACAACTAATAAGTTCGGTTAAAAAATTGAAGCAAATAGCATATATGATCTTTTTTGGTAAAATCGCCTGTGATGCCATGTACTGAAAAGTCGAGAAAAAGAAAGAAGTAACTTATACTTTAGAAAAGTAAAAATTATATATTGGATCTTATTTTTTTATGTAAGTCTCGCACATTTCTAGAATGGTTTAGCCAATTTCTAATGGAGACGGATTTCATTCGAAATGGCATACACTTGCATACCTAAGCCAGTAATTTTTCAGTATTCGAGAAAAGAAATTGCTAAAATAACCACGGAATATCGGTTTATAAAAAAACATAGTCAATTTTAACAAAAATTATTTCTTTAATATGATTCAATTACCTAGCTCATTGATTTTTTTATACTTGGTTAAAATAAAAGAGAAAACAACGCACGTATCACCATTTTCTGTATAGTTTTAGGGGAATCATTGAATAGAAGTCGTATAATTTTCTTATGTATTTAGCTGTAAGCAACAGGGAGCAACGCTAAAGAAAATATATTTTTCTTTCATACATATATCAATATTATTGAGTACTCTTAATCTATAATAGTTTTGTAACAAATTTTCACGAACTGAAATTTTATAAAAAAGGGATAGACTCGTCAAGTTGCTACAAACGGAATTGGAATGTCTTCGAGGACCAATAAATGAAGATGTATCGACCACAGCACCATTTTTTATTCACATATGGATACCATCTGCATTTCTCACTGGCCAAACTTCAGATATTCATCATGTTTACCAAGTAAATTGAATATATTTAAGCTGATTTTCTGGTTGAATTTCTAAATCTCTGTACTTTTAATTTTTTAGATATATTTTTAACGTATTTAAGAAAACATGCTTTGCAAACAGAAAAAAATATTAATTTAGGAAAATAATTTACAAGAAATATTATTAGTCTGCACCTAGTTATTATTCTACATCAAGTTTGGCAGTTCATTCATTGGTGTTCTTAGCTCTGGCGTAAAGAAAACTTAATCTTTCTCTTCAAAAATTCAATAATGATAATACAAATCTTTTGTACTAATGACAGGCAAATCGACAATTGTTCACAGTAACATACGGCGTTAATCAATCCGTACGCCATGTTATTGTGCACAATAATTTATGTGTAAAATAATTATCTGCACAATCCTCGGTTTGCCTGCTAATTACAGTTATCCATTATTTAATAAGCGAAATTGAAGCTGTAAATTACTACATTTATGACGTAAAAATAAAATCTTTTAAGATTTAAAATACGATTGGAAATTTGGCCGTTAAATCGCTTGGAAAATCAGCATCTAATAGAATTCTTGATAGATTATAAAATTATACAAATTTTCCAACAGATATATATTCGTATCAGGGATACCGAATGGAACATATATCGACGGTATGCGCAATTTCACGCACTTTATAGAGAATTAAAAAAACAAGATTCTGTCATCACAACATTCGACTTTCCTCCAAAAAAGACCATCGGAAATAAAGTAAGTTGATCAATATGGTGTAATTTACAGAAATTCTATGTAAGGAAAGTCTATTTAATAACGTTACCTTTAACTTAATCTGGAATCGTAACATATTATTTCTTAACATATTGGATCTCATTTGAAAATCGAGCGTCTATTCTTTATAACGAACTTTTCAGCGATTAATTTAATAATACCTAACCTAACCCAAATTATTGTACATTAAAGTAAACTACTTTTTTTGGTGACAAAAGTGAGGACGCATCATAGCCATCGAAAAGAGAAAATTTACATTTATGTTTCTTTATTTGAACATATTTAGTGCAAGGCGGTAAAGAGAAAAATAATTGAAATTATTATTCATCGTTTATATAGCATTATCGAATGTGGCGTTATGAGATCCACTTAAAGGAAGGTAGTAATCTAGGCGCTATTTAGTTTATATTTATGGGTTAAAGAAACATTTGATGAATGTATATTAGGTTAGTTCAAAGGACATATATACTCATCCAAGGAAATTTCGGAGAGTTGGAAAACTTGCTTTACCGAAGCATATAACTAGCTCTATTTTCATATTACTTCATATAGTATATGTGCATATACTTGCATGTGTATCCATAGAAACTTATAATATGAAAGCGCTGTGCTGCTGTGTGGCATGTGTAAATTCGAAAGCAGAGAGCGAGTAGCGTTATAAGGCAGATGGCATCGCGTGATGCAAACATATTTTACTTTTCAGTTTAAACACCCATTAGCAGCTTTTTACGTTGAGAGCGTACTTAACGTAAAAAGTTGTTCAGTACAGCGGAGGAGGCTCCTCCACTATAACAACTCAATACAGTCGTGGAGCTTGGTTCCTTCGACGTAATAGCATCTATTAGGTCAGTGGAGTGTTTCTTCAGCTGTAGAGCAATGTCCTCTACACATAAGTTTTCCGTAATACTGGGAATGATAGTCTCCGCCTTTAAAAAATTGTTAAGTGTGGAGAAACATTAAACGTGTCTGTTCCTGTTTTAGTGAAAGTGAAAGTTTCAGTTATTTGTAATTTATTATCTATTTAAAATGGATTTCTTTAAAATGGATTTGGTACAGCAGACAGTACCGAAGAAAATGACAGTATAATAATAGTCAAAATACATTTAACCTTAAAATGTTTACAATTATTATTAATGCTCGTTGCATTACATCTCGGGACTTTTTGAAGGGGAAGGGGGCAGAACATCCTTAGCTGCTACACAGCCTCGTACGCTCCACTGCCTCCTTCTTCACAACGTCCCTAGATAAAATAAAACGTGACATAGTCCAAGATACGTAAAGAACTATAATACCTAGAAGGATGTATTCGAGCTAATTTATGCAGAGAGCACTCAACCGGTAAATCTGGTAATCGGTATAGCTGATGCATTAAAAGTTAGCACCCAAACTCAGGTCCTTTGAAAAAATCGACAAAGAAATTATGCAATTAGATAGTTAATAAAATACGTTACAACTTTTCTTTTTGTCATTTGTTAACTCGTTAAGGCCTAGACCAAAACTGGATAAGATATCGTCAAACTATTGGAAACAAGCATAATGAAAAAAGTATCTATACTTTTGTCTTTTGCAATTGTTTATAAAAAATTATTTAAACAATATACAAGAAAGTCATTATTTTTAAAAACTGATTGTGTCAATCGATTTTACAGGAAAAATTATGACGAAAAGCCATATAAAATTTTTGTCAGTCCGCAATTTATTAGTATAAAACGGCAGGTCAGACAGTCAGTGTTATTTTTTTATAAATAATTGCAAAAGACAAAAGAAAAAATACAAATACTTCTTTTCATTATACCCCATTTCTAATAGTTACTTTGATTCTATCTTACCTAGTTTTGGCCTCAATCTTAATGGGTGAATTCGTCTACAACTAAACCCTTAAAAAATAAAATAAAGTTGTATCGAATTTTCATGTTGCGTGCATAATCTTTGTTTAATGGATGATACGAACGAAAAAAAAAACGTGCGCTGTGACGAGCATAATTATTTTTTGCTGGGTTGAAATTTACAGAATGATAAAATTAGAGAAATTAAGAGCTTGCACTATGGGACCTAGATGAACACGTTATTTGAATGTGCAATGAAAATGTCTCAATTTAAGACACTTTTCATGGAATTTCATACATCCATACATTGTATATTTATAGGATGCCAAATTCGTTGAGGACAGAAGACAGAAATTGCAGCAATGGCTTAGACGAATTGTGAATAGACTTTCTCATTGTTCAGGTGCATTTTCCAGCAATCCTACTAAACAGACTTTGATTACTTTGTTACCATTTTTCGGGTGAGATTTATTATTTCTTTTATTAAATTTCAAGTTTTCTTTTAGAAATGACAACACCATTAATTCTTTTTCTAATAGTGATCTTCCGCATAATTTAGAATCGAAAAGAAATGATTCTTCTGCAAATATATATTCATCGACGTCTCCACACTACATGGGTTTATAATTTTCTAAACATGTATAGAAAAACAATTCATTCCGATGTAAATATTTTTTAATAGCTCATTTTGGAAGTTATGAAATAATTTTCTTTCGTCAGGAAAGCACTTCCAATAGAAAAAAAGAGTATCTGTATTAAATAAGTATTTTGATCGTTGTTGAAATATTACATTTAACAAAACAGAATTTGTTCATATATGCGTATTATATTTGTACTTCACCATAAGATATAACTTAAATATAAAGTGGAGTATATGGCTCTCATTAAGCTATTAGTCATCCGAATGCCAGATATAGCCATCAATGTCGAAGTTTTATAAAATCGTAAAATGTTTCATGTTTAAATACAAGTCAGTCATATTTAATTATACGAACACGTACGTTCGGAGACTATTGTAAATATTGTTACATGTTGAATTACGATTTAGTAACATTCGATCGCCTTGTCAAATCAATTCTGTAAAAGAAAAAAATTGTATTTTTATATTTTAATTTCTTTTCATGAAAAATTATAAACAATTCTAAATAAATTGTTCAATTATAAAAATAACTTTTGTATAATATAATTAATAGCGCCATTAATTATTCTAAAAAATACAGACTTTTATTTTTGAAACATCATAAAACTTTCAATAAATTACCTTAGCAAGCAGTATAAAACAACAAAATAGTTAAAGATTAGTTGAAATATAATAAGCAATTGTAGTTATTACAAAATACCATATACGTTATTCACTGATCAAGAATCGCATAGGACATTTGTAAATGTAAAAAAAACTTAGTATTTTTTATAAAAAATCTATATTATACTTACAAAAGATAAATAAATAGAACATAAATAGATCATTATATTACAAACTTTCTGATAGAGAGTGTTTTTTAGTTTGGTACTAGGAATTCAATTAATTCCTTTACTTATAGCTTTTATTGTGTAATAATTGACTAATGAACGAATTCGATTCAGTTGTTACTAATTTTAATTTCTAATTTCGATAACGGATTTATTATGTTTCTATATTTTTAAGACAATAATTGACTATTAAGATAATGTGTGTAAGAAATGCTTGGCTGAAGTTGTAATTAATTATAATGAATTATTAGTTTAGTTATTGTTAGAAAAAAAGCGTTACTTACTGCATGCTGTACTATTTTAACTATTTAGAAGTTAGAAATCACAGAACAGAAGAACAAATTTTCTTTGGATAAACGGTAAAAAAATTTTATAACTCTCAATGGATTTTGTTTTGAATTAGGAATTTCAAGAATTAAAGTACTTTATACGTACATACTCATTTTTAAATTTATAAACTTATACGTTTTTACAGAATTAAAATGTCATTTTTTTATGTACTTAAATAAAGACTTTTGTAGTTAATTAACTCATTAATACCTACACGACGTAAATTTTTATTAAGTTTTCAAAAGGTTTTATTTTATATGTTATTAGATTCAAAAAATTTGCAATACCACTATTCTAACGTAAAATTTGATGTTCTTTCAGAATCCGAGCTTGAAACTTTGATCAAACTCCAAGAAATAATGATATGGCCGATTTAATCATGAAAAAGGTGAAGAAGTTCGACAAAAATTTATTTTTCGCATTTTTTTTTGGTATGTTAACGGATGGAATTCATGCTCTAATCATGATCAGGGGGAAATAACGACACTCATCAATTAACAGTCAATTTTTATATAATTATTGAATCACTCCTTTTTCCTATATGGCGGTCAAACCCTGAAATTCTATGTAAACATTAACAATTTTTTTTTCGGAATCTATTGAGTCAAGAAAAAGTATCCAAGAAAAAACATGTCTTAAAATCCGTCAAAGAACACCCTCAAATTTTTTCAGAATTTTTAGAGATAAATTTTATTTTTCAAAAATGACAACAAATTGAAATATTTAGAAATTTTTTTTCAGCTTTGAAAAAATTTAAGGGTATTCTTTAATCGATTCTAAGGTATTTTTGTTCTATATAAATTTTTACTAAACTCAATAGTTTTTGAAAAAAATTATATTATTTGAATTTTAATAATTTGTTTTCTCATTAACCACGTTAATATTAGTTAGGCTCTTACTTAAAATGATATAAAAAATTTCTAAGTTTGTTACTAAGATTTGTCCCATACTGCAGTTCCGCTTTATCTTACTTTAATCGTCGGAAACCAGATCTTTTCTAGACTTTCACATAGAGGAAGGACTGCTGCAGGGAAAGCGCTCTTTTTTAATATTTACAATAGTGCTATACTCAATCTATACGAGCTCAATTATGGCAATGGTATGCACTCAATAGTTTTCGCAGACAACCTTATAATTTACGTCATCAAAGATACGATTGCAAAAGCTCAACGTAAGCTTGAAAGTCTCGCTAATAAATCACTCGTAACTATGCCGCCTGGAAACAAAAAATAAACATACCGATGTGTGAAACACTTCTCATCCATATATAGACGTAACTCAAATTAGTCAAAACAAGCTTAGAGGCTGGCGCGAATTCAAATTAATTATTATTATTACGATCCTCGTCCCGCATAAAAGGTAGGTGAAGCACCTGGGCATCAGCATCGACAACCTTCTCAGACTGAGTAAATACATACCGCTATATTAAAATCACTAAACCTTATACAAGAAAAACAAATTTCTGAAGCTATAATCTTCACAGACTTTAAAAAGTTCGCTATACTTTAGTAAACTATAATCCAAGTAAAACAAAAAATTTAAACTTTATTATTCTCAAAATAAAAAAAGAATTCTCCAACTTATACAATAAAATATTAAATTACAACTATGCTGGATACCAATTCACAAAGATATTACTAGCAACGAAAAAGCTGATGTACTTGCCAAAAAAACAATAAAAAATAGGATTAAAATAAAAATTTAACTTTTTTATTCGGACTCGTATGAAAAATATAAAAATAGATATAAATCAAAAGCAATAGATTACCTTGAAAGACAAAGGAAATTCAAAGGCATAAAATATTTTTAACACTAATTTATTAAAACTAAACATTACCATTGGCTTAAAAATGTTATTAAAAAACGTAATCATTTCACAATGATCAATAGATTTAGATGAAATCACTATTCATATTAAATAAAAGTATACGCACTTAAAAAATAAAAGAATTCAGCCAGATGCGATTATGGTTTTTGATCTGAGCACATCGAACATGTTATCATTGATTGTCCTAAGTATAACATCCAAAAGTATACACTAATCAAAAAAATTAAGAAATGCAAAATAAAATTATACAGGGCAATAGCTAAAAAGACCTAGAACCGTGACTAGGTACTCTCGAAGGTTTTTGAGTCGCTGAATCCAAATCCGGCGGCAGATTTTGTCCATCACATCAGGTTCCCGAGATATCATAACCTAAAAGTGCAAAAACCACTATTTTTGGCTAACTTTCAGGTTATGTCAGATCTCTACTAAAAGTTTTTTTTTTAAACAGCCAACGGCATCTCAAAGAAGAACTCTAACCCTTCAAAACCCTTCTTTCAAATTAAAAAATTTTTTTTTTTCGTTGAGATATCGATGTTTAAAGTTTTGTATTTTGACGATATTGGAGAAAATAAAGTTGACCTTCAAATAACCTTGAAAATCACATTGAAGGTTAAGTTTGATGTCCTCGTCAGTTGACCTCCCTCTGAATCATACAACTTTTACCTGAAACATTTTTCGTATACTTGGCAATGTTTTTAGTTATTCTACGGTCTAAGTTAAAATGTGTGTGTGTGTGTATACACAAGCATACATACATACAGTTGACATGGACCAAACTGTAGTCTTTTAGCCTGGAAATGTCTTGTAAAGAGAATCCTGCCGTTTCTGCCTACTAGCGAAATCGTCAAAATATGAAACTTCAAACATCGATATCTCAACGAAAATAAAAGATTTTTCAAATTTGAAAGAAAAGTTTTGAAGGGTTAGAGTTCTTTGAGATGCCGTTGGCTGTTTAAAAAAAAAACTTCTAGTAGAGATCTGACATAACCTGAAAGTTAGCCAAAAACAGTGTTTCTTGCACTTTTAGGTTAAGATATCTCGGGAACCTGACGTGATGGACAAAATCTACCGCTGGATTTGGATTCAGCGACTTAAAAACCTTCGGGACTACCTAGTCACGGTTCTAGATCAATTCACTATTCGTACACTCGCTTCGCTCGGGCGTAAACGCCACACAAGACAAGAATCTATTTTCCCGCACTCGTATCGTAATATACTATTTTGAGCAAATTCAAGTTGATGGACGGAATATTTTTTTATGATCGTACGTACCTTTGTTTTATTCAACAAACATTGTTAATATATTAGATATCTAAATGTTTATTTTTGTTGCAAAGCATTTTGAAAAATAATTTTTACAAAATTCGAATCGTGAAAATTGGACAATTAGAAATTCACTATTGGAAATTATTCAAATTTTTTTAAATAATTTGCAATAATACATTTTTAGCAGGGCTCTAACGAAGATGTAACTCGAAACCTTGTCTAAACCATCACAGAAAGAGTGATATAACGGACTCAGAGGAGAAACTGTTCCTATATGATATCAAGGGCTTTTAACATATTTGCTGTTAAATTCAGGATGCTGTGGAGTTAGTTACAGGTTGATTTGAATTTTTGCGTTAAAGTATTAAGGTAAAGAATAATGGACTGTCGATTAATGCCAGAAATCATAATATATCATTTGTTTTTCAGTAACGAATAGAGAATCGTTATGTACTTACACTACTGATCAGTTATCTATCTTAACTGAGTTGATTACTCAAGCGTATAGCAACACCTTATTCAGGTTACCCTGATAGATATTTACAAAAAAAAAAAGCGATACTTCTCATAGAAATCATGAACAAATTTTTTTTCACAATTATATTCAATTTGTAAGAATTCAAAAGATGGGCTTTCAATGCTTGATGGGTGATCCAAAAAATGTAATTAGCATTTTTTTACAATAACACTTATGCAATAAGAATAAATTTTTGTTCACATATTGTATCCTAATCGGCACTGCTTTAGGTTCAGTAAATTTATGAAAAATATGATTGAATAAGTTTGAAAACGAAGTTCCCATGACAAAAAAAATATGTTTCGCTTTTACGTTTTTTGATTTTGCATCCAAGTCGTTCTTTTAAATGAATTTTTTGTATTCTTTTTTCACCAATATTTTTGACAAAACATTTTTCGATAGCGTTAATATGGATTCTATTTACAAATTTATTATTCAAATTAAAGATTATTAACTCTTAATATTACAACATTTGATTTATTCAAGTTTGCGCATTACTAGAATTTCCTTGTGTTCTGAAACTTGAATGGAATGCATCGAATCGAGGCGAATAAATAATTTTTATAAAAAAGCAATTTTATTAAAAACGTAAGGGGTACAAATTTTACTGAAATTATATAAAATTATGATTTCTTAATCACCTTTGAAATAAAAAAATGAAAGTATTACGCAAATGTGTGTATAATTAATAACAATATCAGATAAAAAGATATCAAAATTTTATATCGTGGTTTAAATATGAGCTTTTTCTTTACATCATAGTCGCTTGTAAGAATATTTGAAAATGTTCAACAGTTAAAAAAGTACAATAGGATATCTCTATGTATGACTGAAAGCATACATAACTTTTTTTACTTACGTAAATAATTGAAAAACGCCTCCAACAATATAATACTTTAGGAGCCAGACAATTAAACACGTTCTAATTATTACTTATTGGATTAAAATACATTAATTTTGGTAAATGTTTCCTCGAACACAATAATGAAGCTTGATTTTTTATCACAAATTATTGTTCAAAATTAATATTTTGTTAAATTTCATCAAGATTATTAATATCAAAATACAAGTCAAAATTAAACAGTTATTGAACATTTGTGCTATACTTATTTGTCCATCTTTTAAAATTCGTATTACAGGCTACTACATGGCTTTCTGACTTGATTAAGATGAACAATATTCATTCATCGTTCACTGGGAATATTATTCTTATCATTCTTACATTTTGTGTCATTAGTTACCCCAAGTGAGTGATGTTTACTTAGAATATGAATTGTTTGTTTGCGAAAAATATTTACTTCCTAACCACAACGTTGATCAAAAAATATACACGTGCGCTCGCGCGTGAGTGTATATGTAAATATGCGTGATTGCATGTATAATACATATACAATAATTGAGTTTGCGCAATTTTAGACGCAAAAGTAGAATTAAAGACTATGGTTTTGGAGGAGGAGTTATCGGAGTTGTTTGAGGTGATGATAACACGTTGGTAATTACTGTGGAACTAACTTGTTGCTGTAATGGAAGAAATGCAGAACCCAAACTTGGCTTTAATTGGAATGCAACGCATGGTTTCGAGCAGTAGTCCAGTTTGCTTAAATCTACCACTGGTCGCCTGTTAATCAATAATTATTAATGAAAAGTTCGTATTTGATGCTGAAAAACTTTATCAACAAGATGGCCCGTTATAAGTCAAAGCTACAGTGCACAACCTTAAAGGTCCGAGTGAAAAACAATGGTGTCAATTTATACCAGACAAGCAGTTTTGTGAAGCTGCTGCGCTTGTTTCGCATTAAAAAATAAAGTTCTATACATGAGCGAGATAACAAATCCATTTTCATCTTGATTTTATTAAGTTATTAGGGTCAAATTATTTACTCGGGAATGAAAACAGCTTTCTTACTGATTTTCAAGAGAAAAATTATATTCTTAGTTCATTTAGAAATTTACTTAATCTTTTCCGCGTCAAATCATTATATACTATTCATGGAACAGCTTTTTCAAGTTACTCGATTGAGATTAGGTCGCAAGCACGATTGTAATGTTGAGAGTGGTGCCAAGTCGGAACTTATTGTTTGTTTGAACATCTACAAGTATCGATGACATTAATCATAAAACCCTTGTATGGTTATAAAACGACGTAGCATAGTTCATGTTCGAAAAAGATATTCTAGTAATTACTTCACCAAAATAATTCATTTTGTATACAATTGTTACATTATAATCTTTTTCACTCGTTGAAATAAAATTTCAGAAGGATATCTTGAATACAAAATTTTTATTTCCAATTGAATTGAACCGCACGAAATCACTTTATCAAGTGCAATAATTTCAAGCATATTTTTTATACCAATGTTGAAATATTTTGATTGATACTCACCTGATATCTTCAACAAACTTTGTATTAACTTTTTCACAGCCATCAGGTGGTTCTCTAGCAAGAAACCTGTTTATGTGAGGAGATGTGCCTAATCGTCCTTCTCGTTCTTGTTCTGGCGTGGAGCCACGACTGCCACCTATTCAAATAAAAATGAAACCTTATTGTGATAAAAATATTGCGGTAAAAATGTTATCAATACCAAGTGAGTGTATGTGTGTGCGTGAGCGAGTGTGTGTGTGTGCGTGTGTGTGCGCGCGCGCGCGCATAATTTTATATATTTTATGAACTTTTCTAAATTCACACTTATTGCTTCAAAAAATGCATGGTACATTTATATTATCGATGTAATACTATATTTTTTCCTTTGTACAAATTCCATTGGTAATTCTTCTGTAGTAATAACTACAACTAGCAAATAAATATTGCACTATGATGTCTTGTCTATACATAAAGTTTCAGATTGTCTCGTTTTAACTTTAAATTTCGGGTTATATTTCATTGCACAGTGTAAATAAATTATATCTGATGCAAAAAAATGGAGAAAGTTGTATATAACCAACAATGTAATTGGTTTTTGATTAAAAATAGTAAGAAAAAGTTATCTGATATTAAAACTTAAAGCAAAACTCAATTAAAGTTTATGTTTAAACAAGGCACAACTAAGTTTGTATCATACAGTAAAGTGGTGTACTAATTTCAAATTAAAAGTAAAAATATAGAAATAATAACTCAATAGGTATAAATAAATGACAATGTATGAACAGATAAAATCAAGCTGTTTGAAATTCATTTAAATGAGCCAACCTTGTAATAGGTCACTCGATGGACGGGATACATCCATCAAACCAGGTAATAGTGGAGACTCTGAATTCCTAGATGGTGGGCCTAAATAATATTTCTTAGTCATATAAATATCTAATGGCCATATTAAAACCAAGTTATTTTCTGGTTTGAAAAGCATAAGTTTCAGATGGAAATTGCAAATTAAAATTATTTCAACAAAGATTACCTGATGAGTAAGAACTAGAAGGTATATCTGTAGCTGGTGTTTGAGTGTTGACACTATTGACATTACGATTGGCTCGAAACAAATCAGCCAAAGGTGCACGATGTCCCTCAGGTGTAATTTGATCACGATATCTGGCAAACTGTAAAAAAATATTTGAATCCTACATCAATGAGATACATTGAAACATTAATATAACAAAGATTTTTTTGTTATCTAACACTAACTTTATCATCTATTTGATGATCAGGGTCACTTGGATTATTTGAAGATTTGAGCACAAGACCTTCAATCTCTTGATTTAGACCTTCAATAGAAGAGCGCATAGGAGGCCTCATTGGTTTGATAGGTATGTTCATGGGACTGGCTTTTGTGTTCAAACTGTATTGATTATCTTGAAGCATAAACAAATAAAGTTAAATAGACACACACACACAACACAGTGGAAGAAATTTGAAATGGAAAATGAGAGGTTTACAATTGGATGTCTGAGAGGCAATACTAGGTAAAAGAACAGAGTGATCCCCAGGAAGTGCTGGTGGTGGACCTCCAGGCATGATAAGGCCAAAGGCAGCAGTCCTTTCTCTACTACTAGTCCCTTCTTTGTTAGTGCGCTGTAACCTATGGAAAACAAGAATAATGGAATGTTGCTTTGGACTAAAAAGCAAACCAAATAGGAAGGGAAAAACGAACCTGTGCCTAAAATATTTCTCAAGCTTCTCATCTGGGATTGTTTGTTCAGTAGTGTGGCGGTTGTGACTCTTTCGTTGAGGCTCGCTTGGCCACTCCTCAGTCTGCAAGAAGGTGAGAAAGTTTGGCACTTGATTCAAGGAACTTGTTTTGGTGACAATGTCAGCAGTTACCTGAGTGGCCTTGTCAACGAGAAGGCTCGTGTGAATGTAGTGAGAATCGCGTGGCCACTGCCCCTTGAGGTAAATGGTATCGAGTGAGGCCGTTCTTCGGATGTTCTGGCTGGCGGTCAGAGCGTCCGTGCAGCGGCCACTAAGGGTCTTAGATTTGGCAGCAAAGTAGCCTGAAAGCGTGAGCGAGCAAGTGAACGTTAGTGGGTTGACCAGTGGGTGACGGATCGTTGGCGTGTGATAAGCACCTTTGTAGGAGAGTGAACCAGGGCTTCGCTGACCAGAGCTGGAGCTCGAGGTCTCGGGCGAAATGCGCGATCGCCAAGAATTGGTAGGAGACACGGCGGAGACCGCCGGCTGGCTAGCGGTTGGACTGCGCAGGGGTTGGCCCGAGGGTGTCGGTTGCGGCTGTTGCTGGTGATGGTGATGATGGTGCTGTTGCGGCTGTGCCTGCTGCTGCCTGCTCTGACGAAGGAGCGAGCTGACCGGCAGAGTGGCTCTCATCGGACCCTGCTTAGCCGTGGAGCACGGCGAAGACTTGCGCACCCGTTGGGCACTCGACGAGCCCGACATTTTCTCATCGACGCGAAGGCGAGTTCTGCGAGGTCTCCACCGCTTTCCGAGCTCAACTCTTCAATGGCTATGCGAGCACCGAATCAACGACGCTCGAGACCCGGCAGTCGGCTCTGCTCAACTCGCGCTAAAAACCGGACTGACAACAACGCTACTATGAAGCACTGGCACTCCGTACTGGCTGGCATCAGCGCGGCTGCGAAGAGAGACTAGACTAGCGCTACTTGCAAGAATAATGGAGTGGAGTACGCTACGCATTGAGCCGCGCTGTGCTACTCCCGTGCCCTCTCGACAAGGCTAACATATACCAACGAAAATATAGACGCTTACGGCTCACTGCTCACGTGACCGGCACCCGCGACCCACCACCAACTGCACGCGCGTCGCGTTTCTATATAATACGAAAATTTGAGTTGATATTCAATATTCAAATATTTAAAAATTACTGTTTCTCATTAGGTTTTTCTCCATAATACTTTTCTTTTCTTTATATTTTTATTTAATTCTTATTTTTCTTTTCCTTTTCTCTAATTTTTAGTTTCATTCAACATTGGCTTGTTTAACTGGAGATTCTGGCATGTGTCTATCATTAAGCAAACATATTAGGAAATGATTGTTCTGATTATTTTAATTATATTAATAATTCAACATACCCTTTACATTCAAGTTCTCACCCAAAATGCAATTCTTTAGAGATCAAAAAAGGCATTTTAAAAAGATCAGTGAAGGGTACAAGATCAACAGTTTTCACTATAATGTACAATTGAAATATACATTTCGAGATATCCTAACCTAAAATTGCAAAAAACACGTTTTTGGCTATATTTGAGCTTCTACTACATAATGAGAAAATTATTTGTATAAACAACTCATACCATCTACAAGTACAACTCTTGCCCTACAAAATCTATTTTTCAGATTTTGAATATCTTTTTCATCGAGATATCGTCAATTGAAGTTAAATATTTTAGTGGTATCTTAACATTGTATAGATCATTGTTTTATTTAAGCCTGTTGTCCTGTTTATCTAACTCTTTAATGTCCTTTAACGAACCTCTACATGACCTTGTAGGCTCAAGCAAATGATATATTCAAATTCAGCGATACAAAAAATTAATATTTGATTTTTTCAGATAATTCAAATTTTTTTCTTAATTAACAGCAATTTGACTTCAAATGACCTTAAAGCTGACGTGATAGAGGTCAAAGAACCTCTGATTCGTGATCAGCGATTCAAAAAAACCCTTATATATATAAAAAAACCCTACAATGTCACTTGCATGGTCTGGTACATCGACTTAGATAAAACAATTACCTATGCTATATTAAGATACCACTAAAATACTTAAATTCAATTGACGATGAAAAAAAAAAAAAAGATTCCAAATCTAAAAAATGAGTTTTGAAGGGTAAAAGTTGTACTTTTAGATGGTATGAGTTGTTTATAGAACAAAAAATTTTTCGTGAAGTAATAAATGCTCAAATATAGCCAAAAAATGCGTTTTTTAGACTTTTAGATTAGGATATCTTGAAAATGAGATGTGATATAGCAATTTCAAGAGCGGATATTAGTTCAGCGCATCAAAATCCTCTGAGATAGATTACTAGTATTCTTGGAGTAAAAAAAATCTATTATTTTGCATACCTGTGTAATCATTATTAGATAATTATTTAATAATTATTATTATTATTAATCTTTATGCTATTTATTGTTTTAGATTTTTTTTTCTGATTTATCTTTTTCTCATATTTTCCAACTATTTATTTTCCTTTTTCAACGTCTCTCAACATACTTTTATTCTTTTCTCTACTTTTCTTTTTTTCTTTAATTTCTACTTGACTAAAAGAGTAAGGGTGAGAATTTTGATTCCTCTGGGCTTGCGGCTACTCCCGTCAGCAGGTTTTTGCGCTTATTTTGCTACACTGCCAAATCTAGACATAAGTATAGAAGTCTAATCAGCTGAAGGCAGCCACATTGAGGAATTTTATTCAGTACCCGATTAGCTATCGATGTCGTAGCGATTGCAGCGATTAGCTCTGCGCGAGCCATGATTATCGGACAGTTTTTGTTTATTATTTATTATTTTATTTATTATTTTATTATTATTAATTAATTAGAAGAACTAAGGATTGATGTAGGAAAATTATGAAGAAAAACTGACTTTCTGATTCCCATTTTAGAAGAGTATGTATAATGATTAATTAGTTATTACAATAATTTCAGTGTCACAAAAACTACGATTACTTTGTAGAAATCGTACATTAGACTTAATAAAACTTCATTTTTCAATACACGATGAACACGAGAATTTTTAAACAGTCGCAAAAATATTGATTACAACCAGAGCACTGCATAATGAATTTGCAGCAAAACACCTACTAAAAAGTTAGTGTCTATAAGCAGGCCAAATGATTTCTTGTCTTATGACACCTACTTTGAATATTGAATATGCTGAAGATACGGATTTGAAAAGTGATACGATGACAAATAAACTAATACTAATTTATAATTAAATATTGAATTTAGAATTAAAAATATAAGTCAGGGCGCGATGTCGTTCCACTCACGCGGTCTCTAATCTCGACATCTTACCTCAATAATTGTAATAGTATTTATGTTGAAATGAACTATAATGAAGAGAAATTTGCATACTTTCTGTAAATGAATGTAGGTCGTTTGAGTAATTTTAAGATATGGCGAATTTTGATTTGGATGAATAAGTATAACAACAAATAAAATTTTTGTTTAATTTATTACCATTACCGTTTAGAGTTTCATTTCCATACAACTAATTTATTTTAACAAGAATGTGTGCAACATACTATTATATTCAAAAAAAATTATTGAGTATGATATTTTCGTCAAGGGTGTCAATGCGAGCCATCACAAATATTTATTTAGGATAGTTAATTTCTAAGGTTTTAATGATTATATTTGTAATTTTCGAAAATCTATTCAATCGCTAAGAAATTAGAAATCATTTAACACACATACATGATTCATCATAAATAGAGCAAAAAATTAAAGCCATTTAATTAATTATATATTCTACGAAATCAGGAGCATATTTTGTTAGTAAATTTTTGCTATATTTAAAATGATCGTATTGGTTATATACGAAAACCATCTGGCTTGGATTGATTATGTAATTTTCTTTGATAAAGTATCGTCATTTAAATAATTAAATTGTTAATAATATATTGACGACTAGATTCCCAAATTTCTATCTTAAAATTCGAAATAAAAATATTTAGATATGTTACATTGCTGGTCACATAATTTTATCGATCCCTTCGATTGAGTAAAATTGGTTAAACTTTAAAGTTTTATCTTTGATGAAAAGTAATCTATGAAACTGACAATGTTATGTTTGAAATCTCTTTCTAAGAACATTCAAATAGTATGCATTACAAATAAAATTAAATGCTTTTTTCAATTTTTTTCAAACAAAAATTCAAAATTATAAATTCTAAAAATGTTGCTCATCTTTGATCTCTCGCCAATTATCGAAAAAATAGTAACACATTTTGAAGTGCGTCATTTTAAAGCTCTATTAAATCACTTATAAAAATTTACGTTCACTAAATTGGACGCGCGTAAGAGCATTTTTCTGGAAATTGACACTTTTATCTAACTTTCCATTACTTCATAAAGTCAAATAAGAGAAAAAAATATGTATTTTTCTACGTGGAATATCGTGGACATTTTTCAGATTATTTTAGAAAGAAAAAATTTGTCACTTTTTCGTTCTTAGTCGGTGCGTTGAAAAAAAATAAAAAAATTCGTATATAAAAATAAAAATGCTTTCAAAATTCAAATGCCAATACATGTTTAATCGGGAAACTTGTTTACTTAACAAGAAATAATAACCAGACATTATAGATTCATATAAGTTATTAATACAAAGTAGTTTCAACATGCCGAGTGATATTATTGATTACGATTTCAAATAATGTAATATCTCTACTCTCATCAAATCAAGTATACCTTTTTAAATATTATTCATAGGATTCAAATAGGATAAGACTTTAAAAGAGCTTTAAAATGATGTACTTTAAATTTTTTTGCAAATTTTTTCGATAATTGACCAAAAATTAAAGATGAGCAAATTTTTTAGATTTTACAATTAAGAATTTTTGTTTAAAAAAATTAGAAAAAACATTTGATTGCATTTGTGATAAATACCGCTTGAAAATTTTTGAAAAGAACTTTCAAACGCGACCTTACCCATCTTGGTAGATTACCATTCACCAATGATATAAAACTAATGTTTACCTAATTTTGGTCCTGGAGAGGAGGGAAGGAGGAGAAAAGTACGTGATCGCTAGTGTATATATTATAAATATCAAAGTGTTTCCGTGGACATCAATCAGCCACGGAAACCCTTCTGACTCTAAATTCTGTATTTCCAAATTGGTAACGTTTAATAATGTATTTAGTTGGTATGACTTATTTTTTTTGCAGAAAACTAAATATAGTTTATTGATTAAAACAGTATATAATACCAACAAACAGTCAATTAATTTAATTATTTCAAATCTTCGAAATAAAAAAAAAATACTAAGAATCATCGAAATCAACACATTTTTTTGTACTTAATATCGATGTTGATATAGTAAATCAAAACGTATTATCTATTCTTATAAAATAATAGCCTAAAAATGTTTATTTATATTTATTTCTCGGTACTCTCCCTGTCGGATAATTTTAATTTTTCTTTAAAATAAATTATACAAATAGTTTTTTGACTACAAATTTTTAAGTATATATGAGTGTAATAAGAGCAAATTAAATTTAACTGAAAGTATCATAGACAACATAAAATGAGACCAACGATTTTTTTAAATAAATCAAGCAAAGAGTAGAAAATACAGTTTCTGCAAAAAAAATTATAATGATAATGCTGAAGTATCCAAAATAATAAGAAAAGACTTTATTTTTTTATGTTTATAAACTGTATAGAAATCTATTTCATAAACTCTATTTTTGAAAATATTTTCTCTGACTGTGCGCTCTAAAATTGATTGTCCTCTATTTCCTTGCGATTATTAATAACTGTAACAATATACTTCTTTTTAAATTTCTCTTCGGATCATTATTTAAAATTTCAATGCCTAAAACAAATTAAAGGTTTTCCTCGTAGAATCGTTTTTTTCTGATAGTCGACATATACTTTGGTTAATTTAAAAAAAATTATTTCGAATGCGTATATCGGTGTAGGAATGTTAATATTCATCAGAAAAAATTATCCAAGCAATTTGATGAATTAGTTTAGTGCTGCGGCATCGATTTTCAGCACTTTTTAGCGATATATTCGTGAATAACTTACAAAAATCTAAGGCTATCGATGCTTGCAATATACCATCAGGAAACTTAAGTTTTTACCTATAAAATGTTCACTTTCTATCCTGTATTTACTTCATTAAGATAATCTAAAATATTTACATTTTCTCATATCACCGCACAGAAAGTTGTATATAATCTATAAAAGTGCGCTATCTTTAAGATATTATTTCTTAAAAATTTTTCCAGTTACAGCTACAAATAATAGTATTATTATATAGGTAATCTTTCAACATTCCGTATTGAAGGCCCGTTAAAAATAAAAAAATATGTATAACAACAATTAAAATTCTATCATAAAAAGTGTATATGATTTCTACTCTGACACAAAAAATAGAACATTTTTTAATAAAATGCTAAAATAACAATAGAAACAAATGAAAATAAACTCCAAATACGATACCAACGACTAGTTATTAAAAATGCGATTTTCCAAGTTCTCTACACTCACCAATACTCGTTTCATTTGTTTAACCCGTTTGGCCGGAGACGCCCCTCACGGTATACTAGACTTTCTGCAATCACATTTCATGTAATTCAACGTAAAAAAAATTGAAGTCACAAGTTTTTCTATTAAAACTTCGTCCGCAAGATCTGAAGCTTTACGACCTATAACCATGATAATAATTTCTTTTTTTTTTTAATTTTTATAGTAAAATTAAAACTATTTTTAATATTATACAATACTTGGTTCTAAATTTAACAAGAGGACTATGACATATATATTCATTCAACTTTCTAATTTTACACTTTGCTATCAAAAAAACCTTACGTATGATTGCAATTATCGCGCAAAATTTTTTGTTCACCAGTAACATATTATTTTTTAGTTGACGTGACTCAATTAAAGGAAAAACCAACCAGCACTCAAAAGTTCAAAATATTTTATTTACAAAATAATTACTGTGACTGTATAACATTATACTATGTATAGTGTACTATTCACTATTAATTTTACAGTAATAGTTTAGGTATGACTAGAAAGTAAGTTTCAAATGTTACAAAAATAACCAGTCAAAGTAATATATAAAAGGTCACGAGCGATTGGAAGTTTCTCACCTCTGCATTTCTTCTTAGAATAATACAAAATATGTCATAAACGTATGCTACAACACCAAATTTTACACATTTTTTCAGATGTAAGTTATAAAAATTAAGCAAAAGCTTAATTTATAAATTATATAAAAAAATTATAAACAATGTGAAGGGATAATTTGTTGATTTAGATTTAGTATTATATTTTTAGCAAACTAATACGACTATTGACAATTGTTTGTTTTTGGAGATGAAAAAATTACTTTTTTTCTTGTTGTTCATTTTAACTGATAATTTATAAATAATCAAACTATTTGTTTATAATTATTTTATCAATGTTTACAAAATCACGAATCTCTTAAAATTAAGAGGCTTATGTTATGTGACATTACTTTTCTTACACATTTTAAATATGATCTTTCAAGTTACATCTTTTTCTAAACACAGCTATTTACTTACTTATTATACATACACATATATTGAATGAAATAACACTAGAATAAAAAGCAATAGCGATTTTTTTAAGGGCCAAAAGAAAAATTTCAATATTATATCTATGTATTAAACAAAAAAAAAAAAAAATTACTATGTATTAATCGAAATAATTATAAAATTGATGACACTGCTGAATTTATTATAAATTACGAAATAATAAAAATAATTAAACATTTTTAAGTCATTTTTTACCACAAGACTCAATAGTCTTTAGAAAATGAACATAAGTGAAACTGCGCGAAAACTTGAGCAATTTCAATAAAACAATATTTAGCCTCGTATTTTTGAAGATAAGATTTTAAATAATAATAATAATAATAATAATAATAATAATAATAATAATAATAATAATAATAATAATAATAATAATAATAATAATAATAATAATAATAATAATAATAATAATACCGAGAGTTTAACATGCTCACTACTACAGTGAATCAAGTAATTTGTTCCCCAAATGTGGAACTAAAAATTACGAAAGATTTTATGAAATAGAATTAAATATAATTTAATTGTTCATAAATAAAACTCTTAAAATCTATTCGTATCAAATGTCTTCTTGAATAAGCAAAATGATAGATTAAAATTTAATAATACTAGGATACAAAAAATAAGTGTTCCTAACTCATAACGAATCATTTTACATCAGATAAAGAAGAAAAGATCAATAGGATCATATCGCACAGAACGCGTTAATTTAATTTTCTAATTTACTATGATTTAACAATACTTGGAATATCTGCTTTTTGAAAATAATAATATAGGACACTTGCGAGAAGATTAAGCATCAGTCACAAAATCACCATGTTTGAAGAAAGTTGAACGTTTTATTGTTAATAAAATTGAGTCAACGATCCAATCTAGTCCTAATATTAAAAGTGTAAATTGTAAACAAAAGTGCCTTTTGTATTTGTGTTTTTTTACAAGGGTTGTTATTGTGCGGTTTTTCATAGTATACATACACACACACACACACACTCACACACACACACACACACACACACACACACGCACACTTTAAAGACATTCTCTTGAAAATCATTTCTTTTTACAATTTTTTTAAATCAGGTAACTGTATTTAAAATTAAGATATTCCTAATAAGTATCAGACAGGTAAAGTTAATTTTGGCTACCGGTGTTCATTTATAATTTATAGCCAAAAACACTTTTCTCACTATATTGATAGTGCACTTTGAATTTTTCCCAATATTTCCATGCAGTTAAATTATTTTCTAAGAACTATGATGTAATCTACAAAAGATTTTCAATGTAAGTAATGCAATTAATCAAAAACTTTGGTTAAAATAAGCTTTTTGACTTGATGGTTCCAAAATAACATTCTTAATATAGCAGCAAAAAGCCCATAAACATTTTGTATTATATTTATGCTTTTGATAATTATTTAGTGTTTGTGACACAATAGTAATTTGAAATTGTAGATTCCGCCAAATAACATAATACGCAGATAATTCTAGCTATAGTAAAGATATTTTACATTACTTTTAGTAATGTTTTCATATGTTCACACTCATAACATTATCTTCAATTATAAAAACAAATGGTTTTGCTTGATCGCAAAGCCTGTACATGTACATTATAATGCATCATCCGTTTTAGTATAATGGATATTTATACTACAGTCTTGAAGAAAGACGTTAGCAACAAGTTCGATTTTGGTCAATTTATACAATTAAAGTAAGGGATTTTTTAATCCCAAGAGTATTGATATCAAATTTGGCAGTAATTGTGAAGAGAATCCATGTAATCTATTCATTTTAAATATTTAGAATTGATGCGTAGATAGTATTTGAAAGCAAAATATGGTTGCAGTAATGAAATAATAATCATTAATATATCCAACCTTTTAATGATTTCAAAACAATGAAATTAACCAATGAATACCTTGAAATTTGACTTATTGCAGTTTCGAAAGTGGCAGTTCATAATTAAGTAGAAAATCAATAATCTTGATAGTATTTGAGTAAATTTTCTGTAAACTCCTTGCCATCTATTACCAATATCTGTACTTTTTCACACAGTCATTTCCTAAATCTACCACGATAAGATGTTTATTAGGTAAAATTGCTAATCCTGATGGGCGACGTAATTTGGAATTGTGCGAATCAATTTCCGATATAATCTGTCCATCGGCTAGTTGTAATACTTGAATTACAGTGCGGCCCTTTTCAGCGTAAGATGCTAATATTCTGCCTTCATTATCCACCGCAATTCCACCAAATCTGCCTGTGCCTTGATTACAATATTAAAATTTTGATAATAATTATTAATAACAAGTGATTGAAAATGAATGAAACTTCGAACCGTTTATTGATTACGGGAAATATGTACCAACTGACTGATATGATGAATTGATAAAAATAAATATTACTTTCAAGAAGGGCACGAAATGAAAAATTTTTAAAATAGAGCGGCTCGCGATTATCTCTTTGTAGTATTCAAGCCAAATCACATTAAGAATGCGAATGACACTGCACATTCTAAGTTCTATTCAACTTTTTAGGATCGCGACGTTTAGATTGGACTATTGGAAAATCATTAATGAAACAATAGCAGCACAGATCTTGTGTGGCATATTTCATATAAGAAACACGATATCCAGCACTTTCTCACATACCACATAGTAATATATATATTATTTACCTTTCCCTTCTGTGGCAATTTCTTCCATAAAGTCGCCTTTTGCAGAGAAAATGTGTACACTTACTCCAGCAACCAGAATTTCGCCAATAGGTCCAATAGCTACCGATACTATTAATTTCAGATTGTTTTTCTTTCCGACCTGAAGAAAAAAACTGTATAAATATATAAAATGAACAAGTCATTATTGTACTTTATTTAAAAATATAAGAGTAAACGTCGTCCACTAAAGAAGAAAAATAAAGACGTATTCAAGTCATTAATTAGTAGACATAAATACTGGTCGTCATTAAATTTTTGTTAAACGTTTAGTGAAATGTATCATTTTCAATTATTACGTTTAATAAACTTTCTACGAAACCTGAAAAAGAATTTTTCCATCACAATCAAATACAAATACGCAGCATTGACCATTGTCAGCAACTAAAATATGACCATAACTCCGATCAACAGCTATATCGATAGGTTCCTACACAATCAAATAAAAAAAAAACAATAAGCAAATTAAATTATTGAAATTTGAATATGCAAAATAACAATAAAGATTTATCTCTTACGTGTACCTGAAAAGCATTGTGAGAAAAAGATTTAATTGTGTCCCCCGTTGTCGTTAACTCCGTAACTGTTTTCGTTCTCCAGTTAACAATTACAAGACCATGTTCAGAAACCGCGACACCTGTACAACTTCGACCATCTAATCCTTCATTGAAAACATGTCTTTGAAATTCCAAATTATCATCGAGCACCTGCAAAATATCCAAGTACATAATTCTATTTCTGTATTAAAATGTATCATTTAGTTTATCTATTTTGCATTTATTTGAATATTTTCAGAAAATTATAAATTATTGTCAACAAGCTTTAGCATATTTACCTTTATTCGCGAATTTCCAGTATCAACAATGTACACATTTCCAATGTCGTCGATAGCAATCGCAACAGGTTGATGAAATTCGTCTTTATCAGAACCCCTCAGTCCGTAAACTTTAATAGGTTCATTATGTTCAGTTACATTAAAGTATAAAGGATAATCTTTTATTGGTCTGTCAAAGACAGATATTTTCAAAGCATAGCACCCAGCTTGTACTAGTCTGAATATTACTTCGTACATTCCGTTTTGCAAGTCCTTTATTTGAGTCTCTATAGAAAGACTTTGGCTTTCAGGACGTTTATCGTCAACTAAACTCAGTTGAGCGGCAATTGGGTCGCCACCTGCGGTTCGAGGATGTCCATGATAATCTACGGTTTCCACTAGTATTGTACTCTGCAGTTTCACTACTGCAGTGTCGATCAACTTTGCTCGACATAAACCTAAGAAATGTTTTTTTAGTAATATGTAATTTACCTTTACATTAGGTCATTTGAGGAAAGATGCATAAAAAATACACGTAAAACTACACACCTGGTAGAGTTGTGCTAGATCTAACTCTACCAACCGAAGTTAGAGCTTTTTCCAATTGTATCACGGCATCGTTGTGACTAAATTCCGCAGTTAAAAAGGCATTTTCTCGAGGTTCACTTAGTGCTACGGCGGCATCAAGTTGATCTGATAGACTGCCAATTCTTTGCGTAATATTTCTCACTTCAACCTTCATATCAAAGAAATCAAGTAAACACTTATGTCACATATTAATAAAGAAATCAATTAGAATAACGTACTTGATATTGCAGGCCTTCACATTCACGTTCAACTTTATTTTTCTCAGTTTCAATGAGAGCATGTTGTTCCTCCAAAACACGTCTTTTATCTTTTGTAGCTACTGTTAAAGCAGCGTGAAGCTCAGACTTTCGTCTTTCTAATTTAGTAATAATACTGTTAAATTCAGCATCAAGAATTTCATGACACTTTTGTTTAGCCAAATCTAGCCTTTGAAGTTCTGTACTAACAGAATCTTGTGCTTGGGTTAGCTTAAATAAATAAAAGTCTGATCAGCCTTTATTCAAAGTTTCTATAAAGTATTCAAAGAAAAGGTGTATTCAACCTTTGATATACATTCATTTGCTTTATACAGCAATATTTCCGACATGCGTTTAATAGCTATGCTAAATGGTATAATAGTATGTTCAGTACACCCAGGTGATGTTCCAGTATGACTTCCACCAGTACACACTGTGCAAAAAACTGTATCACATGTTTCACAGAACAACAGTTCTTGATTTGTATGCACTGAACATTTTGGTATGACCTAAAATTAAATAAAGAAGTGTATTATGTCCAAACAATTAGTGATACTTGAATGCAAACCAATGCCATTTACAAAGTTAATAATAAACAAAGTTGCAGCAGTAATATATTATATTTACAACTGTAGAAAAGTACAGTGTTCAGATAAGATAGCACAAAAATAATAATGACTATAATAAAAACTTAATAAATGCCAAAATAAACCTCTCTTCGTTGTCTAGACATCAAGTCCAAAAGTTGATTAACCAAAAAACTGGGAGGTAAAGCTGCAACACCACCTCTAGGAATTGTTATTAGTTCCCTACAGATGGGACATCGGAATGAACCAGTTTCCCGCGTTTGTGATGCTGCAATTCTAGTAAGACAATGTAAACATACCTGTTAAGAAAAATCAGTTAGTAATAGGTAAAAATATTCTTGATCTCTATCTTTTCATTATTAACTAACAATAGTTACAAATAAGTATATTATAAATACTATAAAGTATAATGATTATTTTTACTCACAGTATGTGAACATGGCAGTAACTTTGGAGTATGTTCACTTCCATCATACATGCAAAGGCAGGTGCCGCATGTTAAAAAACTTTCATTAAAATCTTCATAGTTTATACTAACAGTTTCAACTAGCATTGAGCTCATGCTGACCATTCTCTCACCTAAGCGTGTCCTGAGAAACATAGAAGTAAAAAATTAGAAATTAAAGACTTTCTTTCAACTAAGAATGATTATATATAATAAACTTTATAGAATAATATGTTGACTTAATGAAAGCATAGCCAAATCATAAAATTGTATTAACAAAAGCAGTGACTAGTATATGTCAAATATAGATGTTATAATTAAATATGAGTGATTTATTGGAAAGTTAATATGGTAATAAGAGTTTTAAAGAAAATTTCCTAAAAGTTTTGAAAGGTGATAGACTTACTGTATAGCAAATCGTAATGCCTCCATGACAGATAATCCCTAGAATGCTGGGCACAAGTCTAGCAAGTAGGCAGGTATAAACAAAGAAAAGCTGTCCTAACATTAATTTAAATAGATAATAGCCATATTTCTTTCAAAATCAAATCTTGTATAAGGTGCACAATGTAAAACACTACTTAATAGTTGTAAAACAAAATTGGTTAACACTGAACACAACAATCAATTAAACAATGAAACACAGAAGTGTTAGATATCAGTGTGCAACCATCTTAACACTGACTGCTGGTTTTTCTAAAAAATAGACTAATATGGCAACTTGGTATTCTGTTCATTAACAAGCAGTAGTACTGATCATCCATTGAAATATTACAAGCTGTAATCAGCCTTTACTCAGAAGCTCGGAACTTATAAGAGTGGATAAAATTATAATGCATCAGTTTATTTACAAGCTAATGAAAGACTGTGCACCGCGACCGCACTACAGATTCGATTCAGTATTTTCACATATCTAAAAAAATAATAAAGAGTGACTCGATTACTGAGCAACCGAATTATCAACGTCGGTTGTAGAACAAATTTGAGAATGTCGAAGATTTTTTTCACTGTCACCCAATGAATTGTGGCGCATCGGAGTCCTCAGGTACCCACAGCCATTAAAACGAAACGAAACGAAACTGTCACCCAAACAAAAGTCGAGCTGCTACAGTATATAATACAGCAGATAGAGCTTCGAGCCTTCTATATGCCTTATGATATCGCTATATGGTTTTGTCACTACACTATTCTCTCTCACTCTCTGTTATACATATACGTACGGGAGTACGTATGCATGTACATACATGGAGGATGTTCCTACTTAGCTGCAGTCGGTAGTTTAATAAGTAAAAGATTTTTCGTCACCTGGCGGCACCACTGCATGTATGAAAACATATTTTTATTAGAATTAACTGTAAGATTATATAATTTTTCGATATTCTAAGCGTTTAAAAGCAATATATATAACATGCTACCTCCGACTCGAGAGAGAATTTCTATTAGATATTATGATTTGATGTATGTGCGCACCCGATTGAAAAAAGATGTGTTTTTTCAACAGCAACACATCAATGCATGATTCGACAAGATGTGTTTTTGTTTCAAACAAAGTTTGAATCATATACATATACATGTCGTGCCGCACATATCATACATTCGTTATTTTACGTTATTTGCGCAATATTCATTACAACATTTATTCTTCTTTATTGATTCTGATTTGTAAATGACGATTAGCAAGGAACATGGTCGACTTGGGCCTCATTGTACACAGCAATACTTTTGCCAAAGAAAATTGAAACTTTCGACAATCCAGTTGTCCGAAAAATAATTACTTTTGATGCGGCTTCACTTTTAAAATCGAACGTAGTTTGATGCAGTTTATCGATTTATTGAAAGCATTCGTCGGCAATCCACAGACGATACCATTCTTTTGAAAACGATGTTGAAGCTCATACATTGAATGACACAGTACATTTTCGATGGTTCACTGCAACAACTTGAATATTCAATCAACAGAGCCATTTGTCAAACTTTCAAGCGGCATGCCTTTCGAATTTCAAGAATAAACGATTGTTATCTGCTTGTTACAAGATAAAAACGAAACACTCGATGACCCTCCATATTCTTTATAGTAAACGATCTCGTATAGTAGTTGAGTTTGAATAATTATCATGACGCTTCAACATATTAAAACGATGTCATTCGTATCTAAAATTAATGTAAAAACTTGCTGTATTTTAGACGGTGAATTTTTATCGCCGAAACTGAAAATACCCCTGAACATTAACAAGGACTTTCTTCTTCGATTTCGCAGTGTTCATGCCTTGGAAAGAGTAATTTTTAACGAATTGCCTGTTCAATATTTTCTTTGTCGATCGTGCTAGAATAATGGTAATTGAATAAGAATTTGATAGTCACGCTCAAAAGATTCAAGTATATTGATATTGCTTTGGGCATCGTCGTAAACTAAAACCATTGACAACTAAAACTGAAGACAATTTGGTGATTTCTTTTTATGAACAACGTTTTGTTCTCAATTGTCCTCGAAGACAGCCCCTGTACAATATGCAATAGTAGCGAAACTACAAAGGAATTTAGTGAAATGTGTGAAAAGTGGACCAAAACTGAAAGCTTTCAGTAATGAAGCTTGTTAAGCACGTATGACTAGGGCGCGAGGAAGTAAGCGCCCACATGGCTCAAGTGTAGACGTTCGCAGCTTGCATCTAGCGATGAAAGTGCTGAGCTGTAACCGTCGATCGCTTGGCAGGGAGCGTTTCGTCGACGTTTTTGCGACGAAGGCAAGTTGCAGGTGGCAAGACGCGATAGTGCAATACCGAAGTGAGCTGTAGCGAAGCCAAGAGAAAGTGAAATGCCTACCTGGACGTGGACGAGTAACCAGCGGCAGTCGAGCCAAGCCATCGGGCAACCGCAATCAATAGTCATAGAGCGTCATGGGGAAACGGCGAAGGAGCGAGGCGAGCAGCGCGCAAAGCCGTCATTTACGCGTAGGGTTATCGCGCGAGCGAGTAGGCGGATCGATGCAGCGACGACATCGTACGGGCGGGTGTACGGGCGGGTGTACGGGCGGGTGTACGGGCGGATGTACGGGCGGGTGTACGGGCGGGCGGGCGGACGGATGGATGGCCAGCGCCGTCGAAATTGGAAAGCTGCACCTACGGATGTACGGGAGGTCCGCCGAGGCCGCAGACGCGCACCAAGCACGCGCGAGCTGCGTCGAGGCCGTCCAGGCCGCCGTCGAGCCGCGTCGCGCAGTCGCAAGCGAGCGAGAGGCAATCGGACGAGCAAGTAACGATCGGGCTTCTCTGCTACAGCGCTCACAGCGTCCACTTTATTGGCAAGTACATCGAGTCGACGCAGCCGGAACACTAGGCGCGCTGCTCGCGCTCCATGTGCTCCTTTATCCAGTCGAGGTAGCTGAAGACCCGCGTGAAGACGTCCGGCTTGCCCTTGGCGCAGGGGGTGCCCCAGGACACCACTCCGATCTGCACGCCGTCGGCCACCAGCGGGCCGCCGGAGTCGCCCTGCGGGCACGAGCACGCGCGCCGTGTACAGCGTGAGCGCCAGCGAGGCGGCTGGCCGCCGCCGCGCGCCGCGGCTACTTACGTGGCAGGCCCCCTCGCCCCTCCGCGTCAGCGTGCAGATGTTCTTGTCGGTCACGCGGAAGCTCGCGCCCAGGCAGTCGTGCTGGTCGATGACGCGCAGCTGGATGTGCTGCAGCTCGTTCGGCGGCTTGCCCGGGAACTGCGGCAACAAAGCGATCTCAGGCTCGGGGAGGCGGCGGGGCGCGCCGGTGGCGCCGACTCACCGAGGTGGTGCCCCAGCCGGACAGCACGGCCGGGTAGTCGGCCTTGTCGAAGTCCGCGCGCGGCAGGTCCACCGGGCGCACCTTCTCGCCGAAGCGGATGTCCCGGTCCAGGCGCACCAGCCCGATGTCGTTCCTGATCAGCAGCGAGCTGTACTGCGGGTGGGGCAGGCTGCGCGCCGAGCGGTAGGCCTCGCCGCCCCGGTCCAGCCGGTTGCTGCCCAGCACCACGCTCACGGCCGTGTCGTTCAGGCTGCGCAGGTCGGCTCGGTTAGCCCGGGGCTCGGGGCTCGGGGCTCGGGGCTCGGGGACGGCCGCGCGCCCGCGCGCCCGCTCGCTTACCCGGCCAGGCAGTGCGCCGCCGTGAGGATCCAGCGCTCGTTCAGCACCGAGCCGCCGCAGAAGTGGCGCGCGTTCAGGCGCAGCGACGCCTGGTAGGGGAACTGGCCGTCGCGCGCCGCCGTGCCGCCCACGATCTTGGCCTCGTCCTCGTCCCCGGCCGGGCCGCCGCCGAGGCAGCCCGCCCAGCACAGCTGCCAGCTCAGCAGCACGCCCAGCGTTCTCGTGGGCCTGCACATGTCGGCGGAAGGGCGCGTCTGCCGGGGCCCGGCGCGTGCCGCCGCTTTTAAGCGCGCTCCCTCGCCCTGATTCGGGTCTGCGATCGCCGCCCGAAACCGGTCGGCCCGGCTCGCCTATCGGCCGGACGTGTCTGTCTCGATCCGAAGCTTTCGCGATAGCTTGTCGACTGGAAATCCTTGTGAAGATTAGAGCGAACTATGTTGCGGACAGGTACGTTTCAACGAATATGCCTTCGTTTCTTTTTACGACATTACGTGCCGAAAGTCTCATCTACTTGATCCACAAGGTGGCTGAGATTAGAAATTGGCCGAGTAGAAGAGGTGCAGGTGCCCAGTGATTCTATTTGTTAACTGGTTCGCTGGATGAATGCAAATGGTAGCTTTATGTAGCTAATGTTCCTTCTCTAAAAGGAGCGTTTTTGGACGTTCCAAAGGCCTTTTTCAACAATCGCATGCTTTTTAAAGTTGATTTACGGCCGAGTTCTATCTTTCACATCCATAGAACGGGAACGAAAACGTGAATCTACGTATGTGCTAATAAAACAGCCTTATTCTGAGAGTATTATTTTATCTACAATCGTCTTATTCCTGCTAATTGCTTGTAATCTTGTTCATTATTTCTATCAGCTCTTCTCCTCGTTTAAAATCACTTTTAACCAAGAGCCTCATCAATTTTCTCTTCTATTTATATGCATATTAATTCATTGTAAAGTACTACTTACAATGGCAAACCGATTTTTACGATTACTTCTTCCCGTTGAACGAAAGTATCTACAAAGTGAAGCCGCATCAAAACAGCTGCAGACAAGTTCCAGCTCAACAACTTTTTAATACTGTTCGACGTATATGATAATACATTTTTTATTTTTCGTCTAATACTCTTCAGCTCTTTATCATAAGACACCTCGTTGCCTTAAACTTTAAAGATATGTTAAAGTACTCATAAATGCGTGGTTTTTATTTTCTCATGAAAGCTGAAAATAAAAAAAGAAAACTGAAACTTTATACGTTGAATAATAAAATTACAACTGGCCGAGTTAGAATTTTTGTAAAACTAGTGTTATTTAGCGCATTCTTTAAAAATATTTTCAAGTAATTTAAAAAAAAATATTTTCGCACATTTAAAAAAATATATTTTTCTGTTATTTATTACAGTATTTAAATTATTTACATTCCAACTTTGAAAATTTAATAGTATAATACACACACACACACACACACACACACACACACACACACACACACACATAAAATTCTAATAGTATAATAATGTGATGAAATCATCCTGTTTGAAATACACTATATTCATCAATATTCATTGAATAAAAATTGAACTTATACTGATTTCAAAATGTATCAAAAAATTATCTGAAAAATTCGTTATAAACCTATGATTGATAAAATATACTAAGCTATTTAACAATTATACAATAAAATAGCAGTTGTTATCTACACAGTCCTAATGTTATAGTAGTATTAGTAATACATTCTAACATCTTTTGTCATTCTTTTGTTGCCTCGTCGAAAACACCTGTGAATATTATTCAAATTTAATATTCTGATAATTAGTTTCCATTGTTACCTTTTACTTTATAATGTAAAACAATAAAAAATGTAATTTCTTCCACTTTATTCTATTCATTTTTTTTCTCTTCCAATCAAATTTTAAGACAATATTACACGAGTACCTGTTCATAGTAATTATTCTAGTATAATTTCAAAAGATAACGTCTTCTTTTCTTAAAACGATTTATCAACGATATATTTTCACTTTTGCAGATTAATGAATTGACTACTGAAATATGAACCTCACACTTCAAGATATATAATACAACTATTTCAAAGTATCCGGATATTCCAAATTTCACGCTGTTTTTTCGCATCAATCAAATTTTGAAAAACTCTGACTCAGCAAGTTGCAATTATTGTTCAACGTGTAAAAGCTCAGTTTTCTTCGTAATTTTACAAACAATAAATACTGTGCATAAAAAACACAACGTTTTTGAACCCTTGAACATATCCTAACAATTATTACATTGCGATATCCTATACAGATAAATAGTTAAAGATAGTATACAAGTTTATTGTGTAACAAATGGAAATATATAAACCATTAACATATCACAATCGTTGAGAAAATACATTACTATTAAATGCTTGAAACGAATATCACAATTCATATCATAGTAGGGCAGGTTATCGCATTGACGACAGTTTACTAAATCAATTGAGTTGTAGAAACGTTAAGTGACCGACAATTGGCTAATAATATATCTACCATGTTAGATAGTGCATAAAGATATTATATGAATTATCAACGTATTATAATATATCTAAGTGACTGTATATATATATATATATATATATATATATATATATATATATATATATATATATATATATATATGGGATGATCCATGTCAACCGGATCACTGCTGTGTCCAAAATTTGATGTGACCAAAAAAAACGTGCAACGACTCATTTAAAAGCTTAGGATATCTACTTCCTGATGCTGTGTGCGCCTTTGCAAAATCCAACATGGCGGCTCCAATATGGCGGCTACAAGAGACAAACTCGTAAACAAAAAATTTTATTTTTCAAATTTTTAGTAATAAATGTTAAAAAAATTAATATTTCATATTTTTTTATGAAAATCTGGCTCATTTCCTACAAAAAAGTAACAGAGACCATTTTCGCTAAAATAAAAAATAAAAAAGTTATAATTTTTTGAAAATTTTCAAAAATAAAAAACTTTGCGATTTTTTTACTCAGAAGGAAATAACTTTGGAAAAAAAATTTAAGGAACAAAATTGCTTGAAATTCATCAAAACACAAGTGTGAATGTTTTCAAATTCCTTTCAGCCATTTTTTGCTTTTTGGATTTATCGGATTATTTGAAAAATTAAAAAACTTCCCAAGATCTTTTACAAAAATTCAAAAAAATCGCTTAAAGGAATTCGAAAAAATTCACACTTGTATTTTGATGAATTTCAAGCAATTTTGTTCCTTAAATTTTTTTTCCAAAGTCATTTCCTTCTGAGTAAAAAAATCGCAAAGTTTTTTATTTTTGAAAATTTTCAAAAAATTATAACTTTTTTATTTTTCATTTTAGCGAAAATGGTCTCTGTTACTTTTTTGTAGGAAATGAGCCAGATTTTCATAAAAAAATATGAAATATTAATTTTTTTAACATTTATTACTAAAAATTTGAAAAATAAAATTTTTTGTTTACGAGTTTGTCTCTTGTAGCCGCCATATTGGAGCCGCCATGTTGGATTTTGCAAAGGCGCACATAGCATCAGGAAGTAGATATCCTAAGCTTTAAAATGAGTCGTTGCACGATTTTTTTGGTCACATCAAATTTTGGACACAGCAGTGATCCGGTTGACATGGATCGTCCCATATATATATATATATATATATATATATATATATATATATATATATATATACACAGGATATCCTGTATATATATTTATATGTAGCAGCCTATATTGAATTAAAAAAAATGTTAGATATATCTTCGCTCTTTGCTCAGAGGGAAACAAAATCCTTCAAGGTATCTGAGATTCTATATAGAAGAAGTAACTTCACCTAGTTTGATCAAAATCCGTTTTTCGGAGGGTTGACTATCCTCATATTAGTCTATGGTATTTTTCAAAAATATAAAACATTGAAATAAAAGTTTCTCGTGTATACTATTAGAGTGTTTCGATAGACATATCGATAAGTTATGGAAATTCTTCTAGGTTACCGCTTACCTCTCCATCTTTTAATTCATAATGTTTAGTGGAACAGAATTTTTTATTTAATTTTTACCATACTTCATTTATTAAGAATAAGCACGCCTTTCAATTGTTATAAAAGAATGTCGATTATGATTTCAAAATTGATCGAACCAAAGAGTATTGGATATCCTGCTGAAGAAATGATGGTCCTGAAAATGTTTATCAATAAATATATCTATACTCTGTTGAAATTTAAGTTTTTAAATAATTGATATAAATAAGAAAAATAATGACTCCAAATTCGCACGGTGTATCTATACAAGAAAGCAATAAAAACCAAATTCACTTTGCAATTATTGATCGCATCGTAATAATGCTCACAATTTTATTAAAATTTGGTTTCTCCAGTTTTTCATTTGTCCAAATAATCGCTTAATCGTAACTGCTTGAATCTAGATCTGGACTACATATATTATTTATTAATTAATTCTTGTATAAATGGAAATAAGTTTTATTGAAAATAAAACAATCTGTAATAAAACTCAAAACTCTATGCCAATGGAATAATTTTAATATATAATTTATTTTAAGAATTTATAACATTTTTCAATAACATTCCAAGCAATAAAAAACAAATCAAAATAAACTGAAAACTCAGGCGATTTCAATGATCCACTTTGTCAACACCGACAAAGAAAAGTTTTTGTCTTGCCTTCTTGTTTTTTGCCGTAAGTATAGGGAAAAAACTTGCCAATTATAAACACTTACAATTAACTACTATAAAATTACAATTCTATAAAACGAGAAAACTTACATTCGATATTGAATGGGCATTCGAAAGGGTGGACAGCTTAGTGCTAACGTTTTGGTCCGAGGCACCAGTCCACATCACGCTATCCGTTGATGGTGGAAGAGCGAACTTGCCGCCGTGTAGGTTGCCCTGGGTGGATACAAAGTGTATCCCCTGCTAGGCCGATAATGCCGATAGCGCTTGTGGTCGCCGGCTTGTCGCTGAAGCTAATCGCACTGGTCCGGATGGACGCAAGGGTCACCGTTCCCAGGTGCATGATGTAGCACTAACTCTAGGAGTAGTAAGCGCTATTACCCTCAAAACTCACTGGTTCAACACACTTGCACACGGAACGCATGAGAACTCGCGAAAGTATTGAACGGCACTTCGATACCCCTAATGGATTGCAAATGGAAAAAAATTGAGTACTGTTCGGGAGTAGCCATAAAAGAGAGAGAGAGTTCAAATGAAAACGAAGTGTGTGTATGATCATACGAGGATCAAGGTATAAGGAAAAGAAACGCATTTAATTATATTGTTAAACTTACACACTCACAAAAGATAATAACAACTTTATTATGAAAGAATGATAGCGAGTTTTATTTTCGAAACTCAGAAATAGGTTAACAACAGGTATTATCAGAATCGAGCTATTGATATAACTAACTAAAAAAAAATCATAACACCGACGAGAGAGAGATTGTTTAGCAACGTAAACGTTCTTTTGCTCTTCAGATGAGCCACACATAACAATATTATTCTAGAATAGACGGTATCTTGCCGACATAAAAACTCCAGTCCTAGGTGGGGAAAAGCCCTTTAGATCGCTTATCACCTATATTTACAATCGTCGTCGCGGTAATTTATGCTCGCACGCGCAGTTCGATGGCCAGTGAAGCTTTAGGTTTGCTTACCAGACGCACAGATATTAATGAGAGAGAGAGAGAGAGAGAGAGAGCTGATCGCAATTAGTGACAGGTGACGTAGTTACCGTTGCACGCAACGACAAGCAACCACAAGAAGTGGTATCGACCCTAGAGCGGAAGACTTACCTCGACAACTCTAAGACACCAACTAAGACTTGTCGGAAAAGCGGTGTTTGGATCAGTCGGCGTGAAATGTTGCCCTTTCTCCGCTAGTCTGTGTAACAAGCGGGGGCGAGAGGGCGCCCGTGAACCGACCGACTGAGAAAACGAGGAAGCATGAACGGCTAACCCAGCTGGGACGTGCGCAACGCTCAGCGGGCGAGCAACGGGAACGACCACATGGGCATATCGGAGAGTCTGCTGTGGCTGTACGCGGAGAGCATTGGTATTCTCATTCTTACAACTGTTACTGATGCGAAAAGATCCCCTAATTGTTATATTGGCGAAAGTCTGAGAATAATTAATGGTAAGGGGACGGGGTCGGTTCGACTCCTCTGTGGCCAAGATAAATTCTTGGTTGTTTTATTGTGATTCTTCAACTCTACGTTTGATTATAAAGATTGTTACATGAGAAATTTTAACGTGAGTGTCACTATAATATGGTATATAGAGCCGAGAGTGCTGAGTGAGTCTAATAAAATTATGGATTTGTTAATGTTATTTAGTGTGATGAATTCTAGAGTGAGATGTCAACGAAATGCTTCAAGTGAAAAAAAATCGTTACATGCAGATCGATTACGAATTGTAGATTGATGTCATCCGTATAGAAAGGTGTGTGTGTGTCGAGAATACGGAGAAATACTATTAAAATTCTTAGCTTTGTCAATAGCGTATTCTTTATCAAGAATTACGATTATCTGTTGTTGTTAAGCACCTTATCGTTTATACCTTAGTAATCGCTTCTATGGAAAGAGTGACAAGAACCCTATGGTACTCAGAATGTGAACCTGACTACTGGATTAACAACTGAAGGTAGATCCAAATCGAATCTTAGACTCCTACACGGGAGAGCGACGTTTTATTGTTTTACAATGTATAATGTAGTTACGGATATGGATATCGGGAAATTTAGTGCGTTTACATGGGATCCATATAACCGTGCACTTTTGACATTGGTTTAATGAATGAAAGAAACGGAGATATTTTCGCAGACTACCCAAAAAATCGTTTCTTCTTTTATACATATAGATAAGAATTGCACTATTTACAAACTTAAGGTAAAAGTAGGTGCGCGTTACATTGGGTCGATAATGACATGAGTCTTTTCAGTGCGCAGGGTATTACGTCAGTTTAGTTTTTGATACTAATCTAACTGGTTTCTTTTCAGTTTGGTATGTAGTTCAGCAAGTTGTATATTATTTTTTATAACCACCAATAACAGCCTCTATCGAGGCGACTAGGGTTTCGTCCGTCGCGCTGGGACATCGCAGTGGATTAGATCAAGTTAGGGGTGTTGTTGGCGGTCAACGGTATAGTTTTATTCCTCTGGGACAGTGTATGGCTCTAATAGAAGTCAGCCTGTAACTTTATATTTTTCAATGTATTGTACTTCGACTTCCACTATCTTCGTAATCAGTAAGTCAAGTAATCTGTCTTAGTTGCTAATAAAGTATTTACAATCTGTGTACACTGATCTGTGTTTGCGATATAATATGCTTCATAGTGCCCGCATTGAACATTGAACCACAGGGGCAGCGCTATATATACAGGGGGCAGCTGTATGTCAGACCAGCGTTCCATTCACTGAACCATCGCGATTCTTGCAACTGCTTCCTTAGCAACAACGCATGCGCAGTATCATTGAATGCCGGTTTTGTTGTTCTATTTTAAGCTTGACTGTGCAAACGGAAACACTTCCCAAAAACGAGAACGTATACATTTTTCTAAAAGTTAATGATTATTCTTAACTTACTTCAATAAGCTTTTCAATAAGCCGTAATGATGAAAAACAATGAGTCGTATATAAGAAGAACTGCAGTACCTGACGTAACTTTAAAGTATGACGAACCTCATTTTACCGAGCTTAATAAAGTGCTTGAAGATAGAGTGAATAATTTGATGGCCGACGTTGATGCGATTCTTCATAAGCAGATAAACATAATTCGCTTTCCAAAGCAACATCATAATCAAAAACAATACGTTGTTGCCTCTCATGTAAAAACAGATTCAGCAGAAAAATTAAGACAAAACAACTCTGTCAATGAAGTGACTAGTTTCAATTTCGCTGCAAAAGAAGTGAATGACGATTGTCAAAAGTAAGTTTCAGTGTGTTTATTTTCGGTTCGAGCAATAAATTCCATAACCCGTTTTAAGCATTTCAATAAGAATTTCTTGGTCGTTGCTGACTTTAAAATCAAGGAAGTTTTCTATTCGATCTGCAATATTTTATTGTCTTTTTACGCATTCTTTTGAACATTTTTTAATTTATTCAATCGATTACAATAGGGGTGGACTCATTTGAAAGTCTATGTTCTTGGACTGGTCTCATTTTATTACTAACTTGATTGAAGTATAATTTCGCGAGTATTTGCAATACATTTTACTCGGATTCTTTTGATTCACCTTATTCTTCAATTCTTATTTACCTTAAATTATAATTTTCCTATAAGTATAATTATTAGAAATTATATTGAATATACAAATATAAAATTCATGTATTTCATGCCTCTCAATAGCAATAATAATCACAACAGCAACGATAATAATTGAAATTGTGCAATACTTTGCATTATACGCGACTCTTCAATCGTTTCGAAATTTGATCATACAAAATCTAGACAGCAGTAATTTGAATCACAAAACGATAGCTTAACTTTGCTCGCCATTTAGAATAGCGCTAAAATTTACTATTAACGTATCATTATACTCCATCCAATTTACATTAGTTAAAAGTATAAATTTGTACGGCATATAATTAGAGTTCCAAGAGAGACAATTTTAGACTTGAAAAAATAAGTACAACGTACCACGCTATTACATATGTTGATAATGTATTCATATAATTTTAAAAAGTAAATCACTTTTATAAAACTATGATGCTGGCGTATAACGAGTTTATTTTATACAATTACGACGCTATTATCTGTAACATCATTTAAAAATATTTTCAAAAAATATAAGATCATTTCTAGTAAGCTTCAGTTAATTAAACTTGCTTATATCTAAATTGAATTTGGTAGTGACCAAATAGCATGGATTGGTGGCAATGGAAATAACATTCAAACACTACAATGTCAGACAACAACCACGAAAACTACGTCTGCATCTATTATCCGATTTTTGAGAGGTCAAATAACGAAACTCCAAACTGATTTACAAGCTATACAGTATGAAAAGAAAAAGATGGTAATTTAGATTTTTGTTATGAATCGCCTATTTATGTTAATACGATTAATTGTCTAAAACGAATGCTCACGCAGATCAGCTTTCCGAAATTTTTAAATATAAATATAGGTATTTATACTTAAAGAGTCTTCAAGTTAAGCATCGATTAATTATATTTTTTTTAAAATCAATGTTTATAAAATGACGTGTTGGAATTTAACATAACTGCTAACTTTATCGAGATTAAATATTTTTGCGATTCATTCGAGGATTTTTATATTTTAAAGAATGGAAAAGGTGGACTTTCTACATGGAAATAGACTTTCCATATAAAAAAATTACTTTTATATGGTTGTAAGTAAAATCATTACTTTTGTGATGAGTGCTGCAAAAATGATTTAGAATCATTTTCGTAATCTACGAAGAAATTGTTTTTTATTTCTGGTATATTACTGTAACTAAAATTCATTCTTCATGCACAGGAGAGGACTTTCGAAAATCACAATACAATACTATCCCTTTATGCTTAATAGTAATAATTTTTTATGGACCTAGTCTTATATTAGTATTATTAGAATAACTGACCTCAACCACATATTCATCTATTTTGAATAAACTAATTTGTTTTCGACAATGAGAAAAATTAAGTTTGTTTTAGCTATTGTTTTACACGGTAAACCCATGTGTTTAAATTTAAACGTTTAATGTGACGTCACCCATACGAAATACATTGCCACCAATTTTAACCACTTCTACACGTTTAAATTCAGGAACAATGTATTTCTTATGGGTGACGTCACATTTACAAACTAAAAACGTTTGTATTTAAGAGTAAGGAGATTTTAAGTTTGTATTTTATGGGATTTTAAGATTTTGCCGTGTTATTTTTTTTTATAAGATAGTTTATATGTGGCTTACAAAAATTTTTCAATTTAATATATTAAAAAATATATAATTTGCAAATATCAACGACTGTTTGAGGCCTTGCTGCGAACAATCCCAGTGTGGCAACTAAGGATTAATATCGTATGTTTTTTAGTTGCCTCATTGGAAATACCATTGAATACTTTTCAAATTTAATGGATTTAATATTCTGATAATTGTTTCCGTTGTTCGTATACTTCTTACTTTACAATATATAAAAACTAAAAATGTATTTTTCTCCAATTTATTTCATCCATTTTCTCTCCTTTCCAACCAAATTTTCTCAACTATAATATTCATTTCAATATCACAGATGGTAATCAAATTATTGTTTTGTACTAATAATAAATCTAGCATTATTTCAAAACATAACCTCTCGTATTTTCTTGAAACAATTTATTAACGATATATTTTTATTCTTGCAAATTATTACCTATATTAATTATTCATAAATTAAAATGACTTCTGAAATATGAATCTCACATTCATATATATAATATATAATTTGATATATAATATATATCAATATTTCAAAGTATACGTAAATTTAAAATTTAGAGTTCTTTTTCGCATCAATCAATCACATTGTTGAATGTTGACAACTCATCCTTTTACTTTTCCAAGAATTTCAGATTTGTTGATTCTTATGAGCAGCCCTTTTAAAGATTTTTCGTATTTATACGCGTTTTACTTAATTTGGAGATTAGACATTAATTATTGAAATTAAAGTTAAGAAAAATATTACTTATTCTTCATAAATGATATTATATTCCATACATGTCTTTTTTTATTAGGAAGGTCAATGTAAATATTTGGAGGCGCAAATTCGAAAGAAAGAGGAAAATGACGAAAAAATACGACATCAACTAAATTGTTATAAAGACAGTATTTTGAAAATCGAATCCGCAAATTCAGATCTGTGCATAAAAATGCAAGCTCAGACTATACAAATCATTTCTTCAGAAAAAGTATTTTTTATAGTTTTATTTTTTAATGTATTTATATATTTCATATTCAACTGCGATTATTAAACTAATTATCTTCTTACAGGAAATTGAGAATCTGAAGACCAAACTCATATCACTCAGTCAAACCTCAACCAATATCGGGTTGAAATTGAATCGAACCTTAGAGGAAAACGATAAATTACGTTCTTCTTTAAAGATTAGTCAAAATGAAGAAAAGGTTATTTTTATTATTTGACATTTTTAGTAAGGTCAATTCTAATTTTACACTTGCCAAATAAAATAACTAAATTTATATAAAAATAAGACCTGGTTGATTTGATGAAGATTTGATTAAACATGTCTTGTTTAGATGCATTGTATCAGTTACTGACATTTTATCTTACACGAAGTGACTATACATCCTGTACGATGACAAATGTATCTTCGCGAAACATATTTCTGACTTTATCCATTTTGTTTACTTAAAGTAATTTTATTACTAATGTTTGTAAACAATTTTTATTGACGTATATCACGTTTGATCGATTTTATGTAGATTTATCAACGAGCAAAAAAGAAAAACATCGGTGACTTCGATTTTTTTATATATTAAGATATTGACACCATTAAATTCCATAAGACAATTTTTTTTAAAGAAAATCTTTCTAAAAAACATTATGTTAGAAATCAAAATGAATTTCATCAGATTTCATACATTTTAAACTAAACTGAAAAAGTTCATTAAGTAACTTATTTGACTGATTTTATCACTGGTTCATTGTTTATATTTATGTCCAACAAGAGCAAAGATTATAGCTGATAAAATGTCACTTTCGCTTTCAATTTCATTTGGTTTAGGATGATTTTTTAGTTCGAGGATGAAGTATAAGATTTCTATATGAGGTATAAAATTTTGAATTTTTCGAAAAAGTAACTTAATTTAGTATAATTTTTCTTTATTTATTTATCAGTCTTCAAAATCGGAAAGAAACACGCGAATACTGAAAAAATGTCTCATATTTTAAAATAAAAATCACTTCAATAGGATTGATCTAAGTCACAATGATGACTAATTTTAATTTTCGTAATAACAGTTTGGTTTTACAATTTCTATTTTGATGTGGTATTATAAAATGTCGATAGCGATTTAAAAAAAAAATAAACGAAAAATCCGTCAAATTCAATAAAGATTATTATCTCAAAGTATGAAAAAATTAAAAGCCCTTAATTTATTTTTCTAGTTGAGTCCGTACGTAATAGTCAATATAGTACCTTATTTAACTATTGCGAGAAAGTACCCTTTCTTCGTGTGAGGTTTACGCCCGAGCGAAGCGGGGGTGACAAAGCCACACGCGAAAAAAATCAATTCTTGCACAAGTATTCAACTTTATCTTTTAATATAGTCTAAGAGCTAGCTACATAAAACAAGGTCGATAAGGTGCGCGCCGTTTCAGTTTGTGAACTGGGGGCCCAAATTTAGTACATTACCAAACGCCAGTTTTTAAGGTCAGTACAGGTCGAACATGGAAAATACCAGCCGATTTTCCTAGACGAAAAAATTGGCTGAAAAACTTCATACGGTGCGCGCGCGAAGCATTTTGTAACGTAGAGTTTGAACCTCAAATAAGAGCGATATAATAGTGCCAGAAGCTTCGCAGATAGGAAAACCCTCGCCAGAAGTGGTCGACAGTGTCGGAAAATTCACCTGAAAAACCTCATGTGTTGCGCGCTTGAAATTTTTTTTCTACATTTTTGGGATCTCAACTACGAGCCTTGTGATAACGCTAGAACTTTTTGAGATCGGAAAACCACCGAAAAAATTAAAGAAAATCGGCGTATATTAGAAAATTTATCGCTTTTGGCTCAGTTTAAAATTATTTTGGATTGCTCCATTCAAAATATCTGTTTGTACTAGACAAAATTAAAAAGAAATCATCAGGATACGATGGAAAATCACTGAATTATAATCATTTTTTTATCGCACGTGCGATTTTATATCGCTCACTAATTTTCCGCCTATTCGAGCCGCCGTCGGCAATGCCAAATGAAATCACGAGCTTGAAATTTTGCATCACGTACGTTGTATCAAAAAGTGAAGTTCGATACGTGTACAACACCTGTGTGAGATGACATTTTTTCTGCTACTTTTAAATTCAACGAAAATAAATAATATTCATTCAGTAGCTGATTTAGTGATGGTTTATGTATCTATCGTATTATACACAATAAACTGTTCAGTTTTTAACAAAAATATAGTTTTTAGTAGATATTTCCTCTTTCAACTTTTGCTGCTTGTATATAGGCGTTGAATTGCAACTTTCTTATTTGCACGTAGAAGATACATGACTTACTATAATTCATTTTGGTTTCAGGAAGCAAGAGAATATATTCGCAAAATCCAAGAAGATAAACGCTTAGCATTAAAAGCTTCGGAAAAACAGCGAACTGAACTTTTCCAAGCATTTAAAAAGCAGATGCAACTTATCAGTAATTTAAAAAAACAAAAGGTTAGTTATATTTGGTCCTTTTTAATATGTTAATATTACATCTGTGTATTACATTGTTATTGTTATTATTGTGACTTCAAGAACTATTTCAATTTTATATTTCAGTTATACATGGAAACCAACAAACAAATACAATTACTAGAAAAAGAATTTGAAAAGATACTTGAATGTAAAGTCATTTGAGTTAAGATACATCTTTTATTTCTATGTTATCAAGAATTATATCAATCCTGTAAAAGTTTAAATTTTCACAACAGAAATATAAAATAAGTATATCATGTATAGTTAGTTTGTAAAGTAACTTTTCGAGGAATATTAACAATTAATCAGGCAAATTTTATAGCTAAATTAACGATATGATGCTAATTCAATGAGTACATGTATTACTCAGACTACTGAAAACGTATCTCGCAGTTTCAGGTAGACCTCAAGGTTTTTTATTTTCCAATATAAAATCCTATATAAAATTTCTATATGATTCCTATATTATATATTATATATTTTATTTATTTTATTATTTATATTATATTATTATATTTATATAGTTATTAATTATTATTTTATTATTTTTTAAATATATTTTACTATTATTATATATTTTTTTTATAATCTCCTTTTATTTATTTATTTATTTATTTTTTATTTTTATATTTATTTTTTTATCCTCCCCTTATATAAAAAAGTGATGGAAGCCATATTGAAGCATTTTATTCGTGACCTGATTGGCCCAAATGAAAAAAACCGCGAGAATTCAAATTGATTATAGTTGATTTTTTATTTCAGATTTAATTTAATTTGTTTTTAGCAAAAAAATAAAATATAAAAAATATAATCTTTTATTCATCATTTATGATCATAATGTAGTTCATTGTTTATCAGTTTTATCCCTGACAAAAAAGTGATGGATACCACGTTGAAGCATATAGTGATCTGATGGCTGAGATATAATTGCGTGATATACTTATGTGGCGGAAAATAAGCATATAGGTGTGGTTTTGAGTTGAGATTTTACTCATAAAAATTCAAATCATCATAATTTATCATACGGATAATTTTGAAGATAAGGAAGTAAAAAAGTAGACTGTAATATTGTTTATACACTCATAATATGAAACTAACAACAAAGAAATCGTTTCATACAAATAATATAGGTTGAAATTGCTCTAAATATTTTCTATTAACAATCGAAAATTTGGTTTTTGAATGTGTAAAATAAAAGTTGTAATGTTGCAATCTTTATTCAAAAAATAGAATAAAAGTTTAATAATAAATTAACCCGTTGAGAAAAAAATTGTATAAGATTATATTTATTGCAGTTTTTGATATAATAAATCATAAATTTGAAAATGTGTTTCATCACTAATACACATTTTCCGCTGTGATATGGGTTTTTAAAAAAAAATGAAAAATCTACCTTTGAAAAAAGTAATTTGTTAAATATGTTAATATTGATATAACAATAAGAAATAAAAAAGAAGGTAAAAACGCGTAAAGTTTATCTAAACCTATATATTTTTATTTTCCTATATGAAAAAGTGATGCTGAGTGAAGTAATTTTATTTATGACCTGATTGACTGAATTTCGTCACGTGTGTCACAATTATGAGTAAATCGGTCATAATAATAAATCGAAGTACTTTACATCTATCAATACAAATAAGTATAATAATTTGTAGGCATTAAACTGTAAATGACTTACACATTCTCTCAATGGGCTAACCTTAAAAAATACGATAAAGTAATCTTAATGCACTTCAATTGCATTTATTTATTGGACATATAAATTAATTGAATATATCTTTATTGTAAAGTTTAGCTTCGGATAAATATGATCAATATTGAGAAGAATGGTAAATTGATATTTTATATTAAATTCTGCGAATTTATTTTGGTGCAGTCGGCACCGTTAATTTATTTTAAATAAATTTTGAAATTTAATTTATAAATGTAAACAAACTGTCCAAATGGTTTCAGATGAACAATGGAAAAACAGTTAAATTAAAATAATATATCTATTGATATCGAGAAATCCTATGGAAAGCTTGATACCGCATGAACCAATACATTAAAAAAGAAACAAAATTAAATTGTTAGGCGCAGCTGATGGTTCTATCCTATCCTTATACTTGCCTTATGTTTATTTTTATTTTTTATTTTCATACTTTTTACATATTTTATTCCTATATTATCTGTCAAAAAAGATGAGTCGCTGACATCCAGCGTTGTGATTTGTTGATGCAAAAATAGAATTTTGAATTTTCCTATACTTTGAAATATTATTATTATTATATATCAAAGAGTGTAAGATTTCTATTTTAGCGATAAATTCAATTTATGAATAATTAATATGGATAATAAACTGCAAGAATGGAAATATGTTAGTAAATTAGTTTAAGAACATAATACGTTATGTTTTGAAATTATTTGTACAAATTGTTAATTTAATAACCATCTCCAATATTACAATCAATATCATTGTGTTAAAATTTGGTAGAAAGAAAAAGAGAATAAATAAAAATAAAATAGAGACTACATATTTATCTTTTGTATATTTTAAATTAAAACGTATGCGAACAAAGGAAATTAATTATCAAAATATTAAACCTGTTAAATTAGAAGAATATTCACGGATGTTTTCATAGTGGCAACAAAAAGTACACGATGTTAAATGTATTACTCATACTAATATAAGATTGGAGCCATAATCACTACTATTGAATATGTAAGTATAGAGTTGTATAATAGTATAATAGCATTATTGATCTTAATGTAATAAATAATAGTAAAACATTAAAAAAAAAGCGCGCGATGCGCGCTAAATAACACTAGTATATGTAAAAAAGTGATAAATGCCATGTTGAAGCATTTTATTTGTGATTTTATTGGCTGTGATGCGATCACGTGATATACTGTTATGGCAGCAAATATGCATGTTGATGTGATTTCGAGCTGTGATTGTAGTAATAAAAATCCATTTTATCATAATTCATACGGATAATTTTGAAGATAATGAAAATAAAAAAAGTATGCTGCTTTATTATTATTTTTACACCCATTTTATAAAACTAGCAGCTAGTAAATCGTTTGTTAAATGTGAGAGGTTATTATACTTTGGAATTATTCTGATAATCTGATATTTGAACGTGTAAGAATAAAATATTGTAATATCGCAATCTGTATTAAAAAAGTAGGATAAACGTTTAATAGTAATTGACCTATATGGCTGAAAAGAACTATAGATTGTTTATGTCCGTTTTCGATATGATAATTCATGAATTTCGAATACACGAAACTGTTTTACTGATACAAGTTTTCCACTATGTGTTTTGTAACAAAAATTAAGTAATCCACCTTTGAAAAAAGGGATTTATTGTGTTAAATATGTTAATCAATATGATAAAAAATGAAAAAGTAAATGGAAGCTCGCGAAGCGTGTCCGATGTCACTAGTAATTAATAATAATAATTAATAATCGTAACATAATGTCTTTGATAAATTTTTGTAATGATGGAAAAGAAGGGAAATAGTGAGAGATGGAAATTCACTTAATCTTAATTATATTCAGCAACGTTTCGTCAGCACATTTGCAGGACCTCTTCAGGCTTTATTAACAGAAAATCAACAAATTATTAACAATAGAGTTGCAAAAGTAATTTTAATGGTATATAATTACATGTATATGTGTATACCTGATTTCTCTCGTAGTCAAATTATTATAGGCTAAAACGAATAGCTCGTAGCACAGTCAAGTTACAATAAAGTGACACGAATTGGACTGGAAAAAAGCTAAGATATTGGATTATGAACAGAATTATAAGAAACGAAGAATATCCGAAATGTTACACATTGGCTAACACAAAAACACGTTAAATAGAAAAGAGAATATACAATATCTGTCACATTTATAAGCCTTTATTAAGATCGATGAGGAAGGGATAATTGATGAAGAGTATATATGGGTTCAAATACTTGATTTCTCACTTTATTGTAACTTGACTGTGCTACGAGCTATTCGTTTTAGCCTATAATAATTTGACTACGAGAGAAATCAGGTATACACACACATATGTATAATTATATACCATTAAAATTACTTTTGCAACTCTATTGTTAATAATTTGTTGTTTTTCTGTTAATAAAGCCTGAAGAGGTCCTGCAAATGTGCTGACGAAACGTTGCTGAATATAATTAAAATTAAGTGAATTTCCATCTCTCACTATTTCCCTTCTTTTCCATCATTACAAAAATTTATCATTTAAATAATTAATAATTTGATAATAATATATAAAAGTGATGGCTTGCCTAATGAAGGCATTTTGTTCGTAATCTGATTATAGCGGAAAGGCAGTCACGTGGGTTACCATCATGTGGCACTATTTTTTGTATGTACACCCAACGTGGATTGAATCGCGACCCCCCCCAGTTAGGTTGGTATGAGAATTCCGTCGTTGCATTGAACGAAGAAACCGCGGGAAAATTCAAAAATGAAAATTCGTTTTAAGATACGATAAAAAGCTAAAACGTTACTAATTTGTTTTTAGGTTTAAAATTAATTGTTTGCCGAACAATGAATTTAGATGCATGATTATTTGATTTTAGGTTTTAATTATATAATTTAAGAACGAGCGTTATACTATGGCCGATCTGAAAACCACCGTTAGGGTCTGTCTCCATAGGGCCTGCCTGAGTCCGTCCGAGCCGGCCGAGATTTTTTATGGGCACGCCATCTCTATAATTTCGTATCCAATGGCGAGTTTCATAGTGAATGGCTGCGTTTACATAAACGAGCCCGATCGGACGCAGCCAATACGAGAAACGCATGAACACGAAATTATAGAGATGGCGTGCCCATAAAAAATCTCGGCCGGCTCGGACGGACTCAGGCAGGCCCTATGGAGACAGACCCTTACGGACTGAAAGTAGCACTCATAGTCTCATACCAACCTAACTGGGGGGGTCGCGATTCAATCCACGTTGGGTGTACATACATACGTGTATTGAAATTAGTGTGAATAATAACTCTTAGCGCAACAGCTCTTACATTCAGCAAATTTGTGCTAATAAATATCTCGAGCTGTTTGTCATCAATTTTATATTCATTAATTAAGTAAATAAAAAATAAGACGCTTTGATGGCATAAAAAAAAAGAATATCGTCCATATTCACTCAATGGTCTAACCTTAATATAATATAATAAAATAATTTGAATGCTCTTTAATTACATTTATTCTTAGGAAATATAAATTTATTGAAAATCTCTATTATATAGTTTAGTTTCGAATAGATATTATTAACAATAAACTGATAAATTATTTCATAAAATAAAATACTGTAACTATAACTTCGGCTCTTCTAGTCCAGTAATTGATTTAAAAAATGTTTGAATGAAACTTATACATGATAAAATATCCTCAAAATTATCATGTTTGAATCGATAAAATTTGACAGTCATGTTGAAGCTGAATAACCGAGTTCCAGTTTTTTTGTTTATAAAACAAATTATCAGATTTATATAAAAACAGAAGGACAAACGAACTTGACACTGCCCGTTACCTATAGCTTAACTAACACCTAATAAAGATTTACTATGGTATTAAGTTAAAAATAATAACTAAATCTTTAAATATCAACGTAATTAGATTTTTATTTACCAATTAATATCGACGGATATTATAAGCATATCAAAGCATAGAACTATTTTATGTATGCAATGTATTTTATAATAATTTTGATTTAATTGAAGTATGAAATTTAATATTAATACAAATGACAGGTGAGCACGCAAAGCACGCTTGACAACATTAGTATATAGTATACATAGTAGAAAAAGAAAATCTTTGATGTCTGCACTTCAATGGTTTGCACAAGTAAAACATAATTGGTACTTGAAAACATTAATAATGGTAAATATTATTGCTCAGATTATGAGTAATCAACTTTGGAGCATCCTGTTTTGTAGTTTCATACAAAATCAAATAAACTATTTAACGTAACTGAAGATATTAAATATTTTTAGTCAATCAATGTAGAAAAAGCAGTTCGCTGATTCAATATTAATTATGTTACTCCAACTATAGAAAATATTTTTATAAAGTAAAATAAGTCGCTGTTGATTATATATTTATTATAGATAAAGACTGATACCAATAATAGACTGCGAATAAAAAAATGTATTTGCAGTCAATTAATACGTTTTTCAATTTATATAATACTAAACATGATAAAACATGGAATAAATATACAAGTATTCAGAATTGATGATACATAAACATATCACATAGTTTATCAATTTACATAAAATATAAGCAATAAACAGGTAAGACAGTTTCATAAAATATGTTGGAAAATATAAAATAATCTTTCGTAGACCAAGCTGAATAATTGTATGATCAATGAAAAAAAAACCAGATGAAAACTAGAACACTAACGGTTTTGTTTGAAAATTTAATTTTTATCCTTTTCTTAACATTTATATCGTAAATTACATAATTATTATTATCTATGACGAGTTTTGGATTACAAATGTAAGAATAGACGATGACGTTTTCTTTTAATTGAAACTTTATACATTAATTACAGCCTTAAAGTCATGCCGATACCATAATCGCGCAAACTTGATAGTAATATCTAATTTTTTATAACACTTAAAGAGTTATAATAGAACGTTATAATATCTAATAAAGCTAATTCATAATTTAAAATAAAAGCTAATCAACTTCACTAGATCGTTTAAGACTTTATAAAATCGGAGTTTAAATGAAGGAATCATGATTATAGATTTAATTCAGCATTCTGAAAAACAAACAATAAATTATAATAAAATTATTTATAATGTTTCACGACGTGACTAAATAATGAATGAATAAACGAATTATAGTTCAAACTGAAATTCAGTTCTCAATGAAGAATAGCAATAATAATAATAAAATAAAAGAAAATGTCATTTAAATAAAAATGGAAACTCAAAAATGAGTTGATGGTATGTGAATAACTATTGTATAATATTATTTCACGCTCGTATCGTTTGAGTCGTCTCTTCAAGTCAGATCACGCTAGATAGCTATATGTATCTTTTTGGCCATCCGTGCGCTCCAAATATTCTTTTTCAATTAAAATATCTATACATTTCTAAGTAAGAAACAGAAAAATCTGGTTATCTACATATTATAATTTGAAACTAGAAAAAATTAGTTATACCTTTATAACATGCACCCGTGGCTTAAACCTTGAATTGAGTTGATTTAAAACTTCTGCAACTAATTGCTGATGTTTCAAAACTTTCCTCATTTTCATAATCCTGACGATTGCTGCTTGAATTAGCAGTTTTCGATCTTCTTCTATGTGTTTATGTGTCGTTTCTTGCTCTATTTTCAATTCCGTTTTCATTGGTATATTAATGTTTACCCTTAACTTTTTACTGAAAACCAAGTATACAACCATTTATTACATTTCATTTAGATCACATGTACACGTTTTCTATACTTACTTTTTATATCCTGCGAATAGTTCTACTGTCGATGATGGTCTTAAATCAGAATCATCATCATTGGTTATTAGAAGTTTAGCTTTTAATAAAATTTGAATAACCTGCAAAAAAATGAAACAAAACATTTTCAATTTATGTATAGAATTAATGATTATTATTTGTATTTATAAGAATTAAATATAATTATAGAATTGCTTTACCTGTAATAAGAAATCCATTTTTATTTGAGTGGATTCGTGTAATTGTTGAATTGACCAAGTTGTTGAAGTGTTGTATTGCAGCAAAACCGCCATTTGAAAAGTCGAAGCCTGAAGAGTATATCTACATATATTGAAAATGAGTAATAATGTTCGGAAAATAATTAGGGTGAAGCCTTCTAATGATATTCAAAACATACTAAAACATATAGTATATACAGAATAATATAAACTTCACTGATATTTTTCAATTGAAATGCGAATAATCATTATCCAAACATCAAAACACCCATAAAAAGAAAAAAAAACTTAACTAGTTTGATAATGCTTGTCTTCAAGCCTCTTACAAGATATTTTTAAATAACTAAGGTTTTTCCGGGTAGTCGAATCAATTTTTTTCGTTAGGATCCTTTTAAACCAAACTTTATTTATCATTTTTTATAATCTTTATCAAGGCACAAGCGTCAATCGAATGTTACATTCTTATAAAAAAACATTTTTGCACGGAATAACAATTTAAGTATTATTATTCCGTATAAAAAATTTTTTGTCAAGAATGTAACATTCGATTGACGCTTATGTATTGATAAGAGTGATAAAAAAAGTAACCGAAACGTTGGAAAATGTATCAATAAAATTTAGCTTAAAAGAATCTTGACGAAAAAGATTGATTGACTACCCGAAAAAACCAAATTCGTTTTTCGCACATGAACCAATTTCCAATTTCTAAAACGGAATAGGAATTTGCATTAATGATTTGTCGATAATATGTTATATGATTTATCAAGAACACTTCTTTCCGAGCAATAAAATTTTCCCTTCACTAGACATTCCAGTATGCTAAGGACTAATGCTTTCAAATATCAAGCAAAAAATATTTTTACCGATTTTTAAAGCAGTTAGTGAGGAGTTCACCTTTAGACATATTATACAACCAATTCAATTTTCTTCCACTATGTTGTGAACTATAAAACGTAGTAAATCTATGAACAGATCTCTCCAACTGTAAATTCGAAAGGTAACTAGTGAAATTGAATTAAGCACAACGCATGAATCTATTTGATAGAAATAATTTACCTCTGTTGGTAAAGAAAATGTAAATGACTGTTGAAAAGGCCATGAACCCGATGATAAGACTTGTATACTAAAATCTATATCCAATGGTTCTGCTGAATTGGTAAGGTGCCTTCGAAAGTGTTCATTCAAGTCTTTTGAAACTCCTATATCCTGAGAAAGCGATTGTGATGATAAATACAATAATATTATAAACGTCAATAACAATTATTTCGAAATGTTGCAGATTAAACATCGACTTATTCCTCACTCGTGCTAAATTTCACTCGCTAAATCTTGGATTACACACGTAAAACATCGAACGGTGCTATAGTGGTGGTTAAGGGACCGCCTGTGGATGTCTTCCCCCAAGTGAAGCGAAACTATTTCGCGCTAGTATTTATATATTATACCACGTATTGTATACACTATTGTATATGCATGGTTATACCTGAAACATTCTCTGAAGTTTCGATGTATATTCAAATCCACAAGCTTGTTTGAGTTTTGAAATCATAGAGGCTTCAGCATCATCACTAGCAGACATATGTTGCACTAATCTTTTTGCAAGCATTTTACTATAAAACTTTTGATACACATCCTTGTCTTCTATATATTTGAATACCACCATCTAAAATTTTAAATAAATTTCAAGAAGGAAACGTTCTTGAGTCTTGCTGGTCAAAGAATTACAAGACTTACAACTTGATTGAGAGTGTCTTCCAGTTCAGCTTCTTCAGGATTTTTACTACTTTTTTTAAGTAACAAATCGCAATATTTTGCTAATAATTCTGGCGATTTACTACTGCTATTTGCTGCTTTAGTTACAGAATTGGTATTTATAAATCGACCACAAGCCTTATCTAAAGCTGCTACAAAACCGCTATCGTTATTAAATGCAACTAACACTAAAGCATTATATTTTTTGTGAACTTCCAAAATAGTATTCACATAAATTTTTGGATCCTGATACAGAAGGGAAAATTTATAAATATGAAATACTTTAAGTACCTTCTCCAGAACAAATAAAGAGGATGATACAGTATATAAAGCAAAGATAATTTAATGACTTACATTTGTTGCAGAATCTCCACATTTATCAATGGCTGCTAGGCCTTGATTAGCTATATGACTTTCTAAAAGATTCCTTAATTCCCCTAGACCATTTGGTATTCTCGCAACCAATTGATACATTCTTCCTAAATCTAAATTTTTGTCAGAATCTAACAAATTCTGAAACTCTGCATGGAAAATGTCCAAATGCTTTTCTATTAGAACTCTTTCACATGTTTTCGCTAATCTTTCATGTGTTGTTTGGTGTAAATAAACTTGAACGCGTTTTTGTTCTTCTTGCAATCTCTGTTCAACCTTGAACAAAATTATATTTACTATTATTAAAGTTTTAAAATTAACATATTCAACAAATGTTTGTTATCTCTTACTTTCTTCATATATTCTGTAACTGGATTGTGATGAAGAAATTCAGAACTTTCACGTGTATAAAACCTTTCAGTGTCTTCAAGAAACAAGTTTTCAAATGAATCTTTATAAACTGTAAGAGTTTGTCCCTTTGCACCAGGGTCTTCTTCATTCAAGCCCAATTCTACATAACAATTAATTACACCACTAACTAGACGTGTATTTATTGTTTCACCATTTCTTTCTCTCTCAATTAATTTTAAAACAGCATTGGTAACCTACAACAAATCTTAGTGGTAGATAAATAATATTGTTGTGAGAAATCCAATCTGATAAATAATAATTACCTGTCTATTTAAGTGCTTAAATAAATTATCTCTCCATGTAACCAATGCTAGTTGATATATTTCATAAATTCCTTTGCGACCTTCTTCACATTCTCGACGTACCCAATGACGATTTAAATATGCACAGACACCGTTCAAAACTTTGCTACTAAACTGATATTCTTCCCATTGCTTTGTGTAAAATTGAAGCACATCTTCATCCATAAGATCAATGCCTTGCTGTGAAATAATTTAAGTTTGAATTGAATTTACATTTAAAATATTGAAAATTTATTTAGAACATTAATGAACCTTTAGCAGCAAAACAAGGTAATTCCTAAGGAAATCTCGCAATCTTTTGTACAGTTCCAATCCTACAAGCTGTGCACCACCAGTTATTTGACCTTTTTTACTTTTTGATACTTGTCTTGAATTTAGTTGTTGATGTACACTAGTACAATAGTTGTAAACATGCCTAAAGATTGTTAAAAAGTTTATATTAATAAAAGCTTAATAGTTATTTCTATTGTAAAATTGAAAACATACGTATACAATTTGATATATCTTGGTTTAGACATACACTGACGATTATAGACTTGTTCAATTCCTTCCTTTAAATCTCCCCAAATTTGATCAAGATCGATTTGTTTGAGGCCAGGAGGACCTTGATTACTTCCTTGATTATTTCTGTAGCCAGACATTTTGCTTTGGTCTTCAAATTTGTTGCCTTTCTTGCTTGTTAATTTTTGTTGCAAACTGATTCGAAAAAAATGAAAAGTTATAAATAGTAATTTTATAAAATACAAGGCCAAATTTTAAAATAAAAGCAATAGATTGTATATTGTCCACACTTATTGTTAAAATGCTATTGTGTAAATAGGAATGTTGGGTTAAAGATGATCTAACCATGTAGGAAGCAAGTTGCTTGTGCCAGATGATTGTGGCTAAGATGTTAATAAAAGGAATTGGCCAATGACGGGCTCTGCATAAGATTACTTGTATGAAATTCGTAATACCGTTAGAGCAAAATAGTCAGCTGCTAAGCTAAAGTGCAATGATACGAGGTACCAATGCGAGAGGGAGCTTGCGTGGAAAAGCTGAATCAACGTTCATCTCTAAGATAGGTTATTATTCGATTATGTATGAATTCGAGGACGAAGCTGAAGTTAACAAGCTCAACTTACCTGTTCTTTACATTTAGTGAAATACATGCGGATTGGATAGAGGAATGACGACTACGGCGTCAGTCGGTACAAAGGGTAGACACGAAGAGGAGAGTACAGGAGTACTTATTAAAAAGGAGCACAATATCACCGACTGTGCAGCCTGCTACTCTTGAATTAAGATGCTCCGTTATGATTGGATGACTGAAGTCGTAAGATTCTTACGTACAGCCTAGCCTGACTAGGCACTAAGAAATTATTGTAACTTCAATCTATCAGTTTTAAGTGTGTACGCGCGCAAAGAAAATTTAATGTAATCCGTGGTTGTATGTACAGTCAAAGATTTTCTGGTACAGTAACACTAAGTACAGTCTGCACCGCGCGTATGCAGTCCATGTACAAGTGTACAGTGCACACTTGTCCGACCTATACGATAGCCCCCCCCCCCCCCCCGTTCCCTGGAGCCAGATTCTATACAAGTACACTGGCTCGTGCTTTTAGTAATGTCGCTTGACGAGTTAGTGACAAGAATGGTATAACCAAACGTATAGCGTCAACAGCGAGACTAGACCAGATCGAATGTATATAGAGTAGTAAAACGAGATACACATGCGGAGTGGGAGAATCGGTCAATTTATAAAAGATGATTCAATCAAGATATAAAATATGATTGATTTCACGTTTGAAATTTAGGTTAATATAAATAAATTGAATAAAAAAATTATTTCCTTTCAAGGCTTATTCTTTATAAAGTCCAGCATGAAGAAGTGTACAGTTATGTTGCAGTCATCCTAAACTTATCAGTCTAAAGATTTTGTAAAAATTCACATATTCTAATTAGAAGTTTAAAGTAATTAAATAGTACAATGATCATTCAAATAACTGAACTCTTATCATTAAAATGTTATTGATATAAAAAATACATAAATAATGTGAATTGACTTCTGCTCTTTTTATTTCTTTATTATATCCATTGTGACAGAATTTATGTTAGAAGTTGCAATAATTGTTGATTTTGTTGACTTGAGTAAATAATTAAATTTTGAATACTATCGTTTGAATAGTTGAATGATTGAAGTAATAGAATATCTGAATGGTTGAACTGGCCCAACTGGTTGGTACTATAGCTTGATATATTCTGTTCTGCTTCAAATTGCTTCTTTTCTGCTATTTTAATATGTTCTAGGATCTTCATGTCCAGTTGCGTAGCTTTCTTAAATTGATTTTTTTGCTCTCTCCATTCACTGCTACCATGTCTAAAATAATAAGTTTTCATTTTTCAAAAAAAGTAATAATATTAATATTATATTTATAATTTGTCCTAAACAATTGTTTTTCTCCTCTAATTGAATCTATCTGTGAAAACTATCTTAAAGAGAATGGTTGAATATATATCCTGTTAATTGGGGATGTGTTTTTAAAAATGAAAACAAATTGGTCCTATAGACAATAGTATACAGCAATATTGTAGTATATATTTGCATTATACAACTATTATAGAGAGCTCATAAATCTCATAACATACATATTAAATCCAAGACAAAATAATATTAAAAAGAAACATTATAATACATCGACATTGAAGAAACCATGAATCAAAAGTATCTCTGATAATGATGAAATTCAATATCTTAAAATTAATATATTTCTGCATTTACATCACTACAAAAACTTTATTACGAATTATTATTTTTTTATTACTTTTTAATTTTTAATAAAATAATACTTGTTTAATCTATACAGGATAACCTATAAACAATAACAATCCACAAATTAATTAAATTTCAGTGCAGTACACTAAAAAACGAATAATCTTACTTCACATAAGGTTTTCTTTGTCCAGTGTTTCTTTCTTTATTATAATTCAGTTTAAATATTTATTTGATTATATGTACAAACACTTAAACGAACTGACAAAGCGAATAAACTTTGCAACCAGATGCAACTTGAATCGCACTGCGGACAGCCATGTTTGAAAGTAACATTTTTTGAAAACAATTGACAATCACATTGTCAAGTTCATTATTTAAAATGCAATTTATGAAAGCGTTTATTAATTAAAAATAAATTACCGTGCCGAATCAATTGCAAGCTCAAAAATAATATTTTGACTTAAACCCTCAATGCCAAAAATATCGTAGACTCGTCAAAATGATTAGGCTTTGTGTATAGTGATATTTTGCGCCGTATTTACGATTTTATTTATAGCGCTTTGTTATGTGTATTCTTTTTTTCGCGGATGTTTTTAATTCATCCCACATCTGTTGATAAAAATAAAAGTAAATTTTTTTATAACGTATGAACGGGTTTGGGTAATGATTATTCATACTTACTTTTTTCCAATCACCGACGTTGTTTTTGGCAGGTCTCAAACTGTTTAAGTCTTTCACCAAATCAAGCAAAATGTGCTTGTATCGTCGTTTTCCATTGACATTCAGCTTGGTTCTTTGATAAGCGCAAAACAACGATGTTTTTCCATACAGCTTAATATGGCCATCTGTTGATTGTAGTCCGGTCGAACGTTTGAAGAAAATCAACTTTTTATAAAATAAAAATATAAGAATAAAAATACTTGTAGGGTAAATTACCTGTTAATATCTAACTTTTCGTCCATTCTTTTTGTTTTTTTGTATGGTAGAAAATAATACAAAATGATAATGTGCACTATCGCGATAAAGCACAAAAAAAGTAAAAGAACAGGAGATAGAGAGAGACTAAGATCAGAAAACTTCGTAGCATAAAAAAAGGAATGAGAGGAAATGACAGCTTGAAGTTAGTTGGAAACAAATTTAATATGTTCTTATAATGTTAATATATTCATTTCTTAAAAATTAATACAATATTATAAATAATTAATTCTCATAAATAAAAAATTATTTTTCTCTTCATCTGTAAAGGCGCGATATTTCATCGAAATATTTAGAAATTACAATTTACGGATACAAATCCGAATAGTCATCTTCTTCGAAATAATCTTGTTTTTGTTTATCTATTAAATAATTTTCCAAGAATTGGGCGAGTGGTGAATTTCTCAAAAACTTTGCATCTACCATGGTTAGTTCAGCGTAGACATTTACGGGACTCATCGAATCCATTCGATTTAAACGACGTAAACTTCGTCGACTTATATAGGTGGAGTTCATTATGATGTGTATTTGTACAGGGGGCCTATTCTGAAAAAAAATTTTGTGGTAAATCAGTTTGTCACTTCAGTTTACTACAGAATTAATCACTTTAGATGTGATAAATGCTTATGACATGTGCTAAAATTTTTTTTCAGAATAGGCCCCCAGGTTGAATTCATTTTGATAAAATAACCTACAATGAAAGAATTCTTTTTTTTGGTGCTAGCAGAATGCCGCAGTATTTAGTTTTGTCCCTCATTGCTATATTTCGACATATTTTGACCTAGATAAGATGGGGTAAGAGCGAAATTCTAGCGCACTTGCAAGTACTTATAGCATATGCGTTAAATGTAAATTTGACAGATGACAATTAAGTTATATATATATATATATATATATATATATATATATATATATATATATATATATATAGAGAGAGAGAGAGAGAGAGAGAGAGAGAGAGAGAGAGAGAGAGAGAGAGAGAGAGAGAGAGAGAGAGAGAGAGAGAGAGTATCGTTGAAACCACGGTTCAAAACAATGTCATTTTTTGAATTAGTTTTCACAATATTTCGCAATACACTTGAGAAGCTCCACCTGATGATCTATTTGTTGATTTTTTTTGATGCTCAAATTCTTTATTAACACTTGTTTTGGCACTGTCAGTATTAATTATATCAGTATTAATGCGTTATCTGGTTCGTTTTCAGCATGGGGCAATGAAAATAAAACAGTTATATATTCCTTACAAAATCTACAAAATAAATTCTTAAGAATTATTAGTAAACAATACTTTTATTATACAAAATTATTATTTAAGATTTGATCAAATTTTCGTATACGAATCGATTATCATTGTTTTTTTATCGTTTTTTTCGTTTATTTATAATTAAAGAATAATTTCATAACCACTAACAGCAAAATAAAATGTAAGAACTTTCCAATACCTAAATTCAAAAAGACTTTAATTCGATATAAGTATTCGATATAGTGATGATAAATTATTATATGTTGCCGAAAGAATTAAAAGTGTTAAAAATCGCAAAAAGAACATTAGAAAAAATAAGAAAATGTATTCGTAATAATGCATAAAATAATTAATTTACATACAAATCAATGAAGGGAGTAATGTTAATTACTAATTTATATATATTATTGTAGAAAACAGTTAATAATATTTAGATATATTTTATAGTTTAAGTAGATATAAGTGCTTTTATAATTTGTTTTTCCAACCCTCTGAGCGAGAATGTCAACTTTTTAAAATTTATTTCTTAATAAATAAATTAAAAAAAAAAAATAAAAAATTGTTATTACTATTTTAAGGTGGTAATATTCTGTGTAGTTATTAAATATAACTCATCGAAACGATTTATTTATTGGATAACTATGTTGATATGAATAATTTTATGCATCAGTAAAAAACATTATTAAAAATGAATACTACTATTAAGTTATGGTAATTCCATGTTTATTAAGAAATAGAGCTATAATGGCACCTTTCGAAAATATGTTCGGTTTGATGGTTGGATATTCGCCTGATGGCGTTATATTTTACGGCAATACTGTACTAAATAAGCTTCTAGAAATTGTATATCTAGTAAATGAAAAAGCAGCAACTGAAAATGAACTTACATCTCAAATAAAATGGTTAATTAAGCTAAATATTGGTAATTTACATTGCGTAAAAAATATCAATGCTATAGTCAAGTTCAGTTTGGAATGGTAACGTTAAATGTTATTTCAATTGATTTGGTTTCGTATGTATCAAGTGATGATCCTTTTCATATTATTTAACGTAAAATTGATTTAAATTTCATTGTACATAAATTTATTATCTTTGAAAATGGGTATTTCTAAATTAACCGAAAGACAGACCATAATAAATATTTTGTCTATTACCTACAGAATAAGCCTCTGAGCATTTTTCCACACAAAACGTTAAAATCTTTAATCAATCAACAAAATGCACAGGAATGCAGGCGATTTCTATATATTATAATTTCTGCTTACCTTTTAAAAATGAAGGTCTAATCAGAATTACATTATTCGATTCGCTTAAATCATCGACTAAAAATTTGCGATTAAATATCAAAACATCAATCTTTTCAAATAATTCATTAAATTACTTTCCCTAACAACAGAAGAATCAGATACTCCACTACCTTCTAACTGCTTTACTAACAAATCTGAGAACTCAGCTGGAGTAGCCGTTTTCTTAACTTTCACTGTAGTTATTGATTTATAGTGTGAATATGTAATTATTTGGCTGCAAAATTTTTTAGAGATTTGGAGTTTGGATACCAATTTGCGGACAACAATAATAATTTTTTAAAGTTATAAAACAGTGGCAAGTTTTGTAAAACTTTATTTTTTAAAGGCAAAAAAGTAGCAAATTTTAGTATCGAATTTATTCACAAGATTGCTTGACGTACATTTTTTGAACATCACATTTAAAAAGGCATAACTAATATTTTGGTTCAATTTTACCATAATTAAAATTTTGTTAAAAGTTTATTAATTTTTTAATTTAGATCAACTAAATCTAGCAATCTAACTAATTCATTAAACGATTGTACATCAGGTATACCAGTCAATGTGCTCAAATTAGAAGCATTTTTAATTAAATGCCCGAAAACGAGTGAAGAGTTAGCTTGATTTTTTACAGCTTTTAGCTTCTTATTTTTTGGTACAAACTTAACCTTATTTATCATGTGTATTATAATTGTATTACTAATTGAATTATTTTCTAAAAAGGCTAAAGATTGTCTCAGTTTGCATGCCTACATTTACCATATTACTTTGAATAATGTCAGAACTTTTTCGAATGCCTATAAGGATGGCATTAGTGCCATAAATTAATATATGTTAAATAATCATATCCAAATTTACTGAAGTTATTTATTGGTCAAAATGACCCCACGGTTCTCGTTCTTCAATTTATCTTACACACGATCTAACAACATTTAAAAATAATATTCGTCATAAAAAATTTAGAAAATATGTATCATTCATAGGTTCTTTAAGAACCTGGCCAAGATATGGAAGGAGAATAAACTAAATATTGTGTATGGACAGCTGATTTTCTCTTCTAGTACGAAATACAAAAGATCTCTATTTTCCAGAAACCTTTCAATTAAATAACATATTACTGAAATATACATTTTTTTGATTAATATTTACTGCTACAACTATTATTTCTTTGATTAATATTTGCTGCTATAACTATTATCAGATCGATAATTTTTTTAGATCATGTATACAGATCTAAATAAGAAATTTGAACCCGACGTATTTTAAAAAGTTAAATTGTTGAAAAACACATACTGTAAAACATGAGTAAATATATACACGCATTTTAATTGAAAAAGCATGATACGGAAAATAAAGAAAAAGAAAGAGAACGGGTATGGAAAGAAAGAATTAGAGCGAGTAAGAGTAAGATTAAAGAGAAGGAAAGATTATGCTTTCGTTAAATTAGTGGAAAATATACTTTCTTCGTTTAGTCAAGTAAGGAAAAACTACCGCCACTTTTTCAAGTCATTTTTAAATCCTTAAAAAACCTCTATTTGATGGATACTAGCATGCTTCTCGCTTCTTTAACTGACAAAGACATCTATGAATAAAAAAACTTGTTTTTACAGATTGCACTTTTTAAATTCTCACGAAAACAACACTTCCACATTGCAGAGTCAAAAATAATAAAGAATTTTAAGGAGTTTTTTTTGCACATGAAAAGTAAAAGGTATAAGTATTTGAAAGTGGCTTCTTCTTGCTCGATTGAATGGATGTTATTCTTTATTCAGCCGCGGAAAAGTAATATCGCTGTATTGAACAAGTGAAAATAATTTTGTGTACGAAAAAGATGCGGATAGTATTGTAAAAAATGAATAGATTAAGTGTAAAGCTGACTTCTTCAGTTGCAAATTAAAAATAGAAAAGAATAAACATACATAGTTTTCTTTTGCAATAGCTAATCGTTATAATTTTATCTTTATTAATTGATAAAGCAACGTTTATCAACAACTATCGTCACTTATGTTTTGATTAAATATCTTTTAATTTATATCTATATTACAGATCTACACGCTGAAAATGTTTAGTTTGTACATAAAATCGGAGAATCTATACAGAAAATCAATAGAAAATGTAATTTGCTGATTATAAATTGGATCGCTAAAATTAAATATAAACATGAGTAAATTCACAAAAAAGTATTAAGATAATTTTGCAAAGTTTTTTTGAATTTTCATATTGAGTGAGCGCTTCCAAGTATCATAACAAATGAAAATGAAATATTTTTATGCACATTTTCGTACATGTTTCAACGATACCTATTTATCATTCTTAGAAGTGTTAAGGGGGATCCAGCGCGAAAAGTTCAGAGATTATCTATGGCTATTTTTATAGATTACAATTTTTTAGGTTTCATTTATATTGTAAAATAATGAAATCGTATAAACGAGAGCGTGCGCTTAATACGAAGATTCAAAAATAGGCGAAAAAAGATGTACATGAAAAATTTGTTTAAATGAAGAAATGGATATTATTTTCTCGATAAAAATTATTGTTTCGATGCGATGTACATTTCGAGAAACACTTTATAATTCACTTTAAATTTGGAAGGATTGGAAAACTTGGTTATAATATATCTAATTTAAAAAATTTTAATATATGAGTAAAGTTTTTGAATATGTAATTTTGTGAAATTAATATGTAAAGCCATATTTATCATCATATACGCTTAAAAAGATTATTGGACCGGCTATTTTCAAACGGACCATCCATGAATTGTAGATATTTTTTAGTAACGCAACATGAAATCTGTAAATCACAAAAGACTATTGATTGAACTGATTACAGAATATAAAAAATGAAGACGAAATCTTCAAACAATTTGAACAATTTGAAGAGTATTCTGAGCAAGTGTACTCATGCCATTTCTGCTAGGATCTACATCGGATGATTCAATTTGTTCTTTGAGAAGCTCAAGCTCGCGTATACCAGAAACAGTAACCTCGTATTTATGGGTGACAAGGCTACGATAAAAATGAATAGCAAATGCAAGAAAAATAATAAGGACAGGGATCAAAACGATACAACCTGACCAGGCAGCTACTTTGGAGAAATCATAAAACTTGACCCAGCAAAGAATAGCGATTTCAATTAGAAAAAGTAGCAAACCAAGTAACGTAGAGAAGGCCCAAGCAACTTCAATATACCAATGAAGTCGCTCGTGCGGCGACTCATGAACAAGACTGATGCTGTGTAAATTGCAAACCGCTTCGATGTTAGGTAGTATACATGTGGAAATCATCAAAGCCAGCATGTGTACCGATACCAATAGGGTAGTGCAAACCGCAAATGTTACAAGCATAGCTGTAGGTATTTGAGTTCCCTGATTAATTTGTACTTCAACCATTGCCACCTAAAAACAGTAATTTTATTGTTGTCGATTCCTTCTAAATATTCCGATAGAAAATATATAAATCAATAAATCTATACAATTACCATAGCAAATCCAGAAAGAAGAGCTGACGTTTTACTTGATGCCTTAAGCTTAGCTCTGCTGAGTTGGAGCTTTCTCCAGGCAAGATAGCCTGGCGTATGTAAACCATCACCGGATTGTGACATCTTTGACTGTAGTTTTGGAAAACATTATTGGGATATTCATTAGTTGGCCCAATTTGCGACAATATTACTATTGAATAATGAAGTAAATTTTGATATACAATAAGAGTATAGTATTTCAATATTTTACTGATAACATCTAGCCCGAAATATTTTACTTCCATGTCACCCTTTACACTTGATTAAAAAAAAGTATACCTAAAATGCGCCTATTTAGAAAACTGTGTTCTTATGCATCTAACTTACGTTCAATACGTAAAAATTTATTTAAGAATATCTCTTAAGAAATTAATTATTGCACTAATGCAACGTTAGTACTAATGGAATATTATCAAACACTAATAGAGGAAAATTTGTAATATTCATAAATGTATCATATTAATTTTCATCATATTAATAACAAAATATTGCTGATATATAGGATATGAAGATATGCAATGAAATTCTTACTTGACAAGAGTGAATCCGCTTGTGGAAGCAATGCTCGTTAGATCCTCGTAAATGCACATGTGAATGAGAACTAATAGTTGTATGCAAGGCAATTGGTGTACCAGCTTGTGAGCAGAATATTGAATTGCGACCAGTACTTGTTGACCATATAGACATTAGGTCTACTCTTTTGCTAGTCTGCTTTTCTGCATTGTAAAAACATTTCTTTTATTATTATAAAAGGTATATATATATATATATATATATATATATATATATATATATATATATATATATATACATATATATATAGTTTTGTGAATATTACTGCTGGAAAACGTAATTAAAGAGTACTGCTGAAACTATAATTTGGCTTTAAAAAGAATAGAAGGAATTGACATTTATTTCATAACATATTTCAATATGCTGAATTTAACTGTAAAATTTAATACGCTGAAAAATATGTTTCTCTACATGACAATTATTTTAAGCAGAAATTAACAATTTTTATGTTGGAAGTTCGATGTTTTGATAGTACAGTTGAACAAGAAATAAAAGAACAAATTTTTTAATAATAAACATTTTTTATTATTAAATGTTTTTATTTCTAACATCGATAAAAAAAAATATAAATTACATCTTTTTTTAAACATCTCTAATCGTCGAATTTTGGTAACATGCTCTGTGTGATAATAAACATCTTCGTGCATAGATTAATTTTTAAAAGATGATTCTACAATCATGCAAAATTAAAAAAATCTACTAGTTCATATTACCTAATTAGTTTAACTAATGTAAAGATATAAGAACATTTGTCTTCAATTTTAACCTTTAGAGGACCGGAAAACGCCTGAAGGCGTAAAAAATCAAATTATTTATTTATATTTTACAAATAGTAACTAATCAATTATTTATTGTAAATCTAATAAGTACTTAATTATTTATGATAAATGTGATAAGTATAGAATCGCTCGTAAAAAAATAATGATACCAAATGAATTTATTTGACCAGATGAAACCTAAATAAAGCTAAAAATGAAAAAAAAACAGTGCAATTGAATGTTATTTAGGAATTTTGAAAATTTAACATTTGGACTTACCGTATCGGACCGGGATAAGCCTCTAGGCGTAAGGGTTCTAACCATCCAAAATCCATACTTAGTTTGGCCCTAACTTACGGACCTTACACCATATTTCTATAGAAAAATACGATTTACAAATTTTTAACAATCCTAGCCCTCTAAAGGTTAAGCGTGCTTAATATTTTAACATCAGGACTCCAAGATAAAAAGATGCTACTCATTCGATATTTTTCAAAAAATTTAGTTTTTTCCTTAAAAATTTTTTACGAATGCTTTGCGTACTTCGAAGCAATTTAATTTTATTAGCATATAAAAGCTTTTAATTTTTGTATAATTTTAAAGTATCAAAAAATTATTCAGTCCTCCTAAGATATTCTTAGGTTTTGGTTGAAATTTCACCAGTGTTCCTTTCTTTTTTTGGTTTTTACCATAAAAACATATTTCTGAATATTATACTTTTTTAGAATGTTTCAAAAACATTGTAAAAAGTACCTAATAAGATTAATTAGTTTCAATTAGATTTTTCATTATGGTAACACAGTTAAATCCTATTCTAACAACTAAGATGTTATGAACAATTTTTATTGTAAAACAATGCTATCTACCGAAAATTTTGCTATTTATTAGCTAAAATACTATTTACCGATCTAAAATTTTTCATATGGAAAAAGTAACAAAAAAAGTATAAATTCTTATTGAACTAAAAAAATATTCAATTCGTAGGTAAATAGGAAAATTTGTCATTTTCTGGGTATTCAGAAGAATAGGCGATGCCGAACGATGCCATTTTTAAATATGTTATTAATTTATTATGAATTACCATTTGAAATAGCATGACATTATTTAAAAATATTATGCTTTGTCTTATTAGTTCTTCAATGTAAAATATAAATATTAAGCCAATTGTCAATATTTTTATTTTCTCCAAAAAGTAACGACGCACATAGCATTATATATCTTTATTAAGTTTTATAATTGATTTTATCAAAATTATTGTTTATAACAATAATAATTTGAATATAACCGATAAATTATGAATAGATTATAATGATTGTCTGCATTTATTAATAAATTTATGAAAACTAGAATATAAGTTAATTATTTATATCTTTTATTTTAAAATGAGTACTCGACTTGCAAAACGTGGCATACGCAGTATTTTCAAAACTTACTTTCTATTGTGGTGTAAGTTTTCAAATTATTCCAATGTGAATATTTCTAAATGATATAATATGACCAAAAAATGCTTGTGTATTTTTAATGTTATTCAGCAAATATAAAAATTGTTATTGTATGATTGTTCGTTCTTATTAATAAAAATAATTGAACAAAGATTTTTTTTTATAAAATGTTTTTTGTTTCCTAGCCATTTATTTACGATTGAGAAACTTAATAAATAATATTTACGCCTGTTGATAATTATGATATATAGAACTACTAAAATTTTAGATATTTGAATTTTCTATATTGACTGACCGTAATGTAAATCAATACGATGACAAATGTATTATATTCTACAAGAATATTTTCTTCACTTAACAGTAGTAAATGAAATCAACATATATCTGCATAAAAACATTATGTAGTTGTAATATATCAGTATCATGTGCATTTACTGCATAGCAGCAAAATTGTTATAAAAAAATATTGTTATAAAAAAATAATTCATTTCAAGACGCGGAAGAAATTAAAAATTAAATAAAGTGAAAAAGTTTCTTTGAGAATTAATCACAAAAATATAACTGTTGGAGGTTAACTTACCATTTCTAACGTCGTATTAGCCAATAAAAGAATTGTATTACGTTTATTAAGTTTTCTAACGCTCATAGTACATAATATTTATTTAGTCATATTGATCACCCTACACAACAAAATAAGATGAGATTTGTTATTTTTAATCAAAGTGAAAAGAAATGTCTCATTGTATGAGAGTAAACTGTTAGTCCAAGTTAGGGCTTCCGAAAACTCACATCAGATGTACTACTGTCATATTGCAGACCAACTCAAAGAACAGGACTATAATCTGTATAATACATATAGTTCGTGTTCTATTTCAGTTTCAGTCATGGAGACTATGTACACCCAACGTGGATTGAATCGCGACCCCCCTAGTTAGGTTGATATGAGACTATGAGTGCTACTTTCAGTCCGTAACGGTGGTTTTCAGATCGGCCATAGTATAACGCTCGTTCTTAAATTATATAATTAAAACCTAAAATCAAATAATCATGCATCTAAATTCATTGTTCGGCAAACAATTAATTTTAAACCTAAAAACAAATTAGTAACGTTTTAGCTTTTTATCGTATCTTAAAACGAATTTTCATTTTTGAATTTTCCCGCGGTTTCTTCGTTCAATGCAACGACGGAATTCTCATACCAACCTAACTGGGGGGGGTCGCGATTCAATCCACGTTGGGTGTACATATATAGTCTCCATGGTTTCAGTTTACTTATAGATGGGTTGGCGATGGGTCTCTGACTGAAACTTCGATGTGCCATTTAATCAAAATTTCAAACATAGCATCTATATTAACCGCTGAAACCTTTCCATTAAATTAAACTGTTGAAAATATTATTACTAATGAGAATAATTACTTCAAACTTTTTACTGACTCAGAAAATGTTTTAAAAGTGTTAATTAATGCTTATGGTAACGGTCTTGTTTCCCCATTTATTATTCAGTTTAGATCTAAGCTTCTTAAATGCAGAAAGTTAGAGAAAAAACGTAAAGTTAATCTGAATCGTTTTTCATAAAGGCATAAACGGAAATGAAAATACGAACCAAAAGTGCTAGACAAGCAGTCAATAATGGTTTTTAGTTAAATATAAAATTGTCACACTCCAATCTATATAGTAGATTTAAATATGAATGAAGCTTAGAATCTATTAATAATATATTCATGCTTAGCGAAACTAAAGGTGTATTCTATTCAAAATATTTCTACAGAGAAAACAATAAACATTGTTTCTCCAGATTCTCCAAGTTTTCAGATTTATCGAGAAAAGCGACTGCAATTAATAGGATACAAAACGGTCATACGTCTCTGAATTACTATTTGCATTGATTTAATATCGCCAATAGCGACATTTCTAAATACGGTAAAGAACAAGACATCATTGAACATATTTTTCGGCAATGCAACTTATTCTCTGAACAAAAAATTAAGATGAACAGAAATTTACGTAAATATATTAGGGATGGACCTTGCTTAGTTATGTGTTTTTTCTTTCATATATGGATAAAAGCATCATTCGTTATCTTCTAAAGTTTATTACAAAATCAATATCTAACTTAGTAAAACAAATTATTAATTAACGCGTTTATATAATTGTACAGTCATGTTCCTCTATTTAACAAGATTGCATCTATCCGTATTGTAATACTTTAACTAGATTTAAGTTTTTAATTTACTATTAATAAAACTTAGATTTGATAATGTTCAATCTTAAATGTATACGATTTAAATATAGACTAAATTTATTTATTCACGTACACGTTACGCGCCCGTTAGTTAAGTTTCATTTTCTATCTATTAACATTTTTTACGAAATCGTTAAAACGACATAAAATTGTATTCATATGATATTAAAGTTTTAACTACAATTAAAAATGTGTGAATCTCTAAACTATATCGAGTAAATGTATAGCTATGTATTGTAGTAGATAATCGAATCAATTGTATAAAAATTTTTACTTCATTAACTAAAATATAGTATTAAAATATTCTATTAACACAAATAAGTATAATAATTTATAAGCATTAAAAAGATCATGTCTCTCACATTCTCTCAGCGGCCTAATCCTAAAATAATACGGTAAACTAATCTTAATGTACTCTAATTACATTTATTTATAGGCCATATAAATTAATTGTATATCGTGGTTGTAAAGTTAAGCTCCTAATAAATATCATCAACAATGAAAAAACTTGTGAATCGATATTTCATATGAAATTCTGTGAATTTTTTCTTGTGCATTCAGTGACTTTATTAATTAATTTTTTTTTAATTTGGAATTTAATTTATAAATACAAACAAAGTTTCCAAATATTCACGAATAAACCGTTAAAAAAAAACAAATGACAAACAGTTGAAATAACATATCTGTTGATGTATGAAGATATCTTACAAAAAGCTCACAATCTTAGAGCAATATCTTATAATATTAGAAAATAAAGAAAATTAAATTGATAAGCACAGCTAACGGTTTTATTTATTTGAAAAAGGAAAACTAATTAGATGCGCTAACTATTACCTATGTAGTTAAACACCTAAAAAACTGTTGTTATGAAATTATTGCAAAATCGACGAATATCAATGTAATTGGATGTTTATTTATCCATTAATATCGAGCTATGAAGAGCGTTTCAAAGTATAGAATTGTTTGTACGTCTGTAATGTATTTTAGAATATTTTTATTTCACCTATAATAAATTGGATTTGTTTCAAGCATGAAACTGAATATTACTGAATACAAATATTCCACGCACGAAGCGTTTTCGACGACACAAATATAGAAAATCATGCATCAGAAAGTAGATAGTTTGCTTAACGTTAAAGTCAACTAATTATAGTATATTGTTTTTTTATGGTATAAATTTTGTGTTATAAATATTGCTGTAGACAAATTAATTGGAATGATTACGAAATATTGTGAAGCTCAGGTTCCGGTCAATATATGGAATTTTATAGACTCGTATTTACAATTTTATTACCTGACTTGCGTTGATCTAAAATTCGATGTTAATGATAGACTCAGATGGAGCTGGCACAGCGAGCGCCTGCAGTTGCCGCTGCCGGTTATTCGGTGAAATTCTGGAGCTGGCTGAATACTTGAATTGACATCGTCAGCTCACGTTTCGGACACACAGTTTTCACAAGATACACAACTCCAAGCCTGCATCGGGGCACAGCTCTTTTCGGCTGTTATTTTCCACAATTCGTCAGCGAGTATAAGGTCGGAAAGCGTTTGCAAGAAACATACTCTTCCGTGAATGCGAATACGCGTCCTTGGGGGACGTAGCTGGATCACCGGTGGCCTCACAGAGTCCAATCCTCCAGTAGACGGGGCGTGCGTCGATGATAATGCGCAGCCTCTGACCACGCGGAGAAAAAGTTTCGTAACTGAAAGCGGACACGCGTGGTTCGGGCAACGGCCATCTTTCCCTCATAGTTCCACGTAACAGTTTCTTTTCCTGCTACATAATCATTCTACTGTTAAGATAATACTTTCTCGCCTCTTTGCTTACCGAAACAAACTCTGTTCAAAATTTTAACGATCGTAAACACGCGCGCGCGCGCGGGTACACATACACACCTACACACACACATACACACATATGTTACTCAAATAGAATACCTATCATGTTTGCTGCGTATTGCATATTCCTTTTAGCTTTATACTTTTTAGAATTTTATACATAAATAAATACATTCAATGCATTTTTATATAATTTTTATGACCTATTTATAATAAATATAATAAAAGTAAATTTAAAAACTGGATGAACAGAGTTCCTTCCATACAGATACAAATAGTAAAAAATGAATTTCATTTCTTTTCATAAAAAATGAATAAACGGTTAATTAGTACAAAATATTCTACGCGATATAACCGTACATTTTTTGAGCATTTTTTAATAATGATCAGAATCTTCAACATATTCGAAACAACATATATTTGAACAACTTCTTTGAAATATTTATTTATTCCTGCAGAAATATTTCATATAGAATATTTTTTGGCTAGGCATTTCTCAATCGGATTTGCTCTTAATGTTTATATAGTTTAAGAGTATCTTCTTTTCGGTTAAATAATATTTTTTTTAATTTAATTAAAAAGAAACCATTATGTAAAATAAATAAAATTTGAAATATTATGTCTAATTGGTATCTTCGTATTTTAATTTTTTTATATATCAAAAATTAATGAACAATACTTTTAATTATACTTAATGTTTTTCTTGAAATAGAATAATGTAGTTAAAATTTATTTTAACCATATATAAATAATTAAAAAACTAATTTATTTATTTTGTAATAATAATTTTAAGATAAAAGTAATTATGAGTATTATGACGGAAACGGTGACAATCATATTACGTCAAATTACTATTCCAATGCGCACTTCAATTCGACTTCTCGACTTTGGAACTCTGAAGTCTCTGCACATTAGCATTATATGAGTTGGAAAGGAGAAGGCGATCGGCGATCGGTAGAGTATGAACTGCGAGTCTTGCTTATCGTAGCTGCCTCAGTCTGCGATTGACTTTCAACAGCTGAGTGAACGGTTTTTATTCCACGCTATACTATTTAAAAGTTGTGCTCACTCATTAGTTTGGCCCGATTAAGTACGCGTTGACGAAAACAGTTTACAGATCAGTATAACTGTATTTGATCTGGTATGATCTATTGAAAAAACTACCGATGCAATCAAAATAACAGTTCTGAACAACCTTGTCAACGTTAGAATTATTCGCGTCTATAAATACTCTCTTCAATTCTCTTAATAGTTAATCAAACGGCCAATTTAACGTTGTAACGTCTTAAAGTTCGATTACGAAAAATCAGGATAACTATAAGCAAGTAGAACAGCTATAATTATGGCACTTTCACTCGCAGATGATCAACGATTTGCACTCATGAAGGTGAGAAAATGCCCTCGTCATTCAACAATTTTGCGCTAGCACTGTCCAAAGGTACGTCAGAAAACTTGGAAAGTAACAACGTGTGAATTAACGGTTACAGACTGCTGAAATAATTAATTAACAATTATCCAATGATCGCATCATTGTATATAGTGCTATATTAACTATGCTAAATAAAAAATGGCTTCTTTTTTAAAATGTACGTTTTCCAACGAGGTCATTGAATTTTCATTATTCGTGAGAAAATGAGTGCTGCTCATCCGCCTATTGATTATATTCGTCATTGCATGTAGAATAAAAAAAAGTCAAAGCAAACCTCCTATTAAGAAAAGTATAGCAATAACAATTATTTTATACTTTTCATTTGTTTAATAAAGCATACGAAAAATAAGTTAAACTTCATTCTAGACTTTTAATGTTAATTATTTTGCTAAAATAACACCTTTACAATGCCAATTTCTATATTTTAGTATTATTCGCAGAAAATATAAGCTTAATTTAAAAATCGCCTTCACGTAGAGCATTGAAGGGAAGATGATCAATGATGATTATTATGTCATCATTACAGGTCAAGCAAAAGAATAACAGTTTTTACACATTTTTATTTAAAAAAAAATTGTTTGTAAAATTAAATATATGTATACGATTTCGTCAAATCTGCAATTAAGATACATTGTTTTGACGCTATGAAAAATTAAAAGCTTGGCTTACTATTTCCGAGGATTATGTACAGTAAATATAAACTAGTACCTCTTATCATGTTTGCCTATACCTTTTTTGACAAGATATATAGTATTTTGTATAATCGAAATTCTGTTGATGTAAACACATGTTCTTATATATGCATGAAACTGTTTCTGATGCAAACGAATTATTTTTGTAACTATTTTTTATTTTTTCGGAATAATTGTAAGGCATTGTTACGTTTGGATTCTGTCTTGTTTCAATTACTATATATCCGCGTTATAAACAGATATCTGCTTATAATGGGTATACAACAGAGTCTGAAGAACGTACCTTGAATATTCAAATCTTTTTACCTCGAGAAAATTGATCACCAAGCATATTTTTTAAAACTATTTTTTCGAATATAGAATGTTTTTTTATTTCGTCAGATAGTCTTTTAATTTTTAATTCGAAAATTCTTTTTTCACAGATTATCATGGTTAGAATTTCAATTATAAATGTCACGAATAAAAGAAAAAGTTTTTTAACTATCGTCCAATTATGTTTATACCAGATTATTAAATATATGTGAATAATGACTAGCAGAATCCCAAAAAATTTTCAGAAATTCAAGTTCAAATATTAATTACGATTTTGTTTAACACGGATTCTTAGAGAAAATTCTATTATTATTATTATTATTATTATTATCATTACAATGATTATTTATTACCGCAAAATTTGGAAAAATGATTAACATATTTTTCCAAAAATTCATCAGAAATTACATTGAATTATGAAATGTCAATAAAATACAAATAAATGAAAGAACCAATGAGAGATTGTATCGGTTTTTTGAATAATTTCTGGTTATAAAGCTTAAATATCTATGATAAAGCTTTCTTCTTAAAGGCAATGAGCCCTCTCTGATACAGAAATACACTTGAAATACTCGCCATTGAAAATCACTAAAAAACGTACACGTTTATATAAAAGCCGGGCCCTTTCTGTTTTTGTATCATATATAATGAAATAAAATAATTTTCATGTTTTCCAATCGATTTGAAAGAAACTTGGTACACTTTAGTTTTTGGATTTTTGAATCTGAATTTAATAATAGAATCGCAAATTCCATTGGGGTGGGTCCAATATGGCGTACTCGAAATTACCAAAATGGATCTGATAGAGTCAAATAAAAAAACTTTCTTATTTTTCAAACGATTTTAATAAATTTAATTGTACAAATGTTTTTGGGCTCGTTAAATCAGAATTTGACATTGTAATTGCAAAATCCAATATGGCGGATCGAATATTGTTTTGTTTTGCCTCGTTTTTAGATTGTAGCATTCATTCATTGCGTCCCTACCCCATATAAATTGGGAGCTTAAAAATTATACGCATAACAGTCAAAGTGAATAAATTCAGCAATCAAAAAATCCTTGTACATGAAATATTATGTGATTTGCTTCATTTTTTAGCTTTACCATTTTGAGTCCTACAAGTGAAAAATGCTGTGCCACTTAGCCGGTTAAGAACAGAAATAAGCTAATGAAATCAGATGGGTTTTAAAATTTCTACATTCTAGAGTATAATAAGTGATTAATAATTTGAAATCTATACAAGTCGACGTTCAAGATCATATTGAATAGAGAAACTAATAATTGCAGTCGAAATTGATTTTAACCCAACCCATTAACGACCAAGACGGTCACTTTTAGACTATGTTTTTGCAGCTAAATTTCAGGTATTTTACGAAGCAATAACTGTGTCTAAAATATAACTTTTTATTCTTTTGGGTATGCTGAATAAGAATCCGTGCAAAAAATAAAAAATTTGTCTTTTCAAGCATTTTCATTTGAACAACTCTCATTATTTTTTGTTTCAAACAGATTTAGAAATCAAACTGAAAATGAGATGCTAGATTTGAAAATTTTTGAAAGCCATTAATAATAATGACTTCCAATAATAATTGAGAAAGGGAGTGTCATATCTATAGTTTATCGATTTTTCTTAGTGACTTTAATAAATCTTTAGATGCATAAAAAAAAATAATAAAACTGGCTGTTTCAAAACTCCATATTCCTGTGATTTTGAAAGTTATTTTCGTTAAACCATCTCTTTGTATAATCTCATCCTCTCATCAAAATGTATATCATTCTTTCTAATGAAAATATAGCTATTAAAGTAAGCAAACTCTAGGCTGAGTTACTAACTTAAGGCAAATGAAAGGTTTCCTATAATTTTATCAAATGAAAAATGAGTTTATTTACTTTTATTTTATTTAAATGACAAATTTTTAATCAAATCTTATTTTATTTGTCGTGAAATTTATTAGTTCGAGAGGCACAGACGTAAAAAAGAGAATGTAAACCTGTATAAAATGAGGACGCAGAAAAAGCATTGGGAATGTGAAATTAGCACAATCTTGCAACGCATACTTATTGAGGCAATCTTTTTCACGTATGGCTTATGCTCAATTATGTAATATATTTATATTTCTATGATTTTGAGAAAAGAATTAAAATAAAATAATTTTGCGCTTGAAGTTGTATAATACGTTATTTGTTATAAAAAATCAACCCAGTGAAACTAATAAAAACAGAACGTCAATTTTTTAAGTAAAATGAATACTATAAAATCGTACTTAAAATATTTTACGCAGAATGAATTTTATTGAAACACAAAATCTCTCATTGAATCATACTGCAATATTTTCGGCTTTATGTTTCAGAATAAAATTATTGGAATTCCTAAAATAAGGGAATATACTTGTGCCGAGTTAAATCATGGAGTGCACACACACACGCGCAAACACACACACACACACACACAGATCCAATTAAAAATTTTCATTTAATATACCCTAAGTATTGCAAAAATGTTTCACTACAATATTTCATGTCAAGTTTCAAAACGTTTTATAGAAACTGTTCATAAACTTTCAAGAAACATTGCAAGAATTATTTGGTGAAAAATTTTTAGAATGTCGTTAAAAATGTTTTTGTGAAACATTAGCGCAAACAATCAGAAACGCTTTTCTGCAATATAAAAATATTTAAAAACAGTATCGCAATATTCTCACAAAACATTTCCCGAAATATTGTAAAAATAATTTTTGTAAAAAAATGGCTGAATATTTTAGAAACTTATAAAATTTTCGTAGAAATATTTCGATGAAACTTCGCACAAATCCAACCCAAACACCTTGCAGAACTATTGCTTAACATATTTCAAAGAAATACTTCGGCAATGTTTATAGAAACAGTCTGCAAAATATCGTCGAAACATAGCAGAAATGCTTCGTGCAATATTGCCGTTCAATGTTTCAGACTAATTGCAGTAACTATTTGCATAACTTCTCCCAAAATCTTTTTCAAACGTTATAGGAAATACTCCACTGAAATATATTAGAAACTTTTTGTGAGCGCTTTAAGAAAACAGTTCGTTGATAAAAAAGGTTAAATAAAATTTATTAGCGAAACTTTGCGGAAACCTGGCATAAACATTGCTCAACATATTTAATGAAAATGTCTTGGTAATAGAAACATACCACGAAAGATCGATGAATAATTGCAGAAGTGATTCGTGCAATATTGCCGTTCAACGTTTTAAACAAATTGTAGTAATTTTTTGCATATTTCCCAAAATATTTTCTAAAAATTTCAGAAACTTTGCAGCGAAATCTTAGTTTTTGCTTCCGGAAATATTTCATTAACATATCTAAGAAAGATTTCTTAAAATATATTTGTAATATATTTTGAAATATTTCTGTGATTATTTCCAACTATAGTTTATAAGAGATTAATAATTTTATTTAATGATTAGAAAATCAATTAGTAAATTAATAAAATAATTGATGTTATTTAATAATTATTTTCTAAAGTTGTAAATTTTTTACTGGACTTTGAATATTAAAAATTGCTCAGTAATTCTGTGTTGAGATAGCGTAATCGGTTAAGTATCAGCGAGCAACCCCCTGCTTTCACGAAATCGTTCGTTTCGTGAAATCTTTCTGTACGACGTTTTCATAGTTATTGTTGCACACGTAAACAAATATATATATGTCCATGCAAAGGAGGTCACACACACGCTGGAATAGCTAGACAAAGGGAAGACTCTCGGATTTTTCTCTAGAAAATTTTGTATACAATTGAGAGCTAACAGCTATTTACAGTGCCATCAGGTATTTTAGATCACTGATTGAAGGTACAAAAACAGTACTGACCATCCGAACCGATTATAAACCATCGGTTTATGCGTTTTAGTAGAGACATGAAAAACCTCGACAATAGCGAAACTTATCCTACATTAGTGAATTCACTACTACTACTAAACACATTGCGGACTTAGAAAATACAATAGCAGACGCATTTTCAAGTGTCGATGCACTTCGCTTTTCAAACATCATTGACTTCACGGAGTTGGCAAAGACATTAACAATTATAAGCTCAAAGCTTGGACACAGAAAGTACGGAACTGCTGAAGTCGAATTCCACGTCACTCGAGTTACAAAATTGTCATATGGTCCAAGATCATTAGACGTGTTAACTACAAACGTACGACCTTTCGTCCCGTAACAATTTCGCAAGCAAGTATTCGAAGTTTTTCACACTTCTTCGTACTTGAGCGGAAAAACCCTTTCACGCATTGTAATTCAACATTATATGTGGCCCTCCGTGCATAAAGATCTTTGTAGCATGGCTCATAAATGTATACAGTACCAAAAGTCAAAAGTGTACCAACTTCCCCCAACGTTTACACAACCAGACACTAGATTTGATCATATACACATAGATATTGTTGGACCTCTTCCAGAGTCAAGTCGTTTTCGCTACTGTGTCACGACGATAGATCGCTTCTGGAGATGACTGGAACCTATAACCATACCAATATCTTATTTGAATCAATAGCCAAGATTTCCTTCGTCCATTGGATTGCTCATTTTGGTAGCCCTAAAATTATTACAACAGACCAGGGCTCACAATTTGAATTTGCATTGTTCAGGATATTAGCTCAACTAGTCCACAGTAAGCGCGTCCATACTAGTCTAGAGAAAAAGTTCAAATAATCTACGAGTGATAGCGAGAGTATTTTGCTCTGCAAGGCATCACTCAACAGTACTTCATCATCTAAACTCCCAGAAAAAACTTTTTCTCCATTATTCCATGAAAACTTATGATGTGGCTCTAACTTTTTTTAAGTTTCTGTATAATTATGAAAAAGATTGATATGATAAGTTGGAAATTAAATTTCTGACTCAAAATTTTCATCATCTGATTCAAAATCTTTATTAAAACCTGAGTTGTCTGAATCAGGTATTATTACATACTCATTTTCATCCGCATTCGAATCCTGAGTTGATTCAGAATCGTCCTTTTTTGAAATTTCAAGTGCTTTACGCTTAGGCATTTTTTCACGCTATCTGAAAATTTAGATATTCTATTATAGAAGTAAATAGTATAATACTGCATCCATCGACAGAATAAAGCACATAACGGTTTATTATTTTAGTACGCCAATGATTTAGTCGGTCGAGTGTTTGTCCTCGGACCCGATATCGTACAAGCGGACTCGGTGTAAAATCCGAACTTGAAATATTTTCAGCGAAAATATGAGGAATCTAGAAGTCGCGAAAACGAGAAATAAAAAAATAAGACGTTATTTGCTGCTAAAGAAATTTTATTAAAAAACAGTACGTTTAAAGATAAAATTGATAAGAATGAAATGTTCTTAGAATTAACTAAAGACATGAGAATTTTTCGAAAGCATTTTGAACAATTTTTTTATTTTCTTTGATTGATTTAAAGAACTTTTTGTCTCTTGGCACTTATTCTAGAATTTATATTTTTTAAGTAAAAATTCACGAATAATTTGAAAAAATTTGCAGTTCGGATGCCATTTTGAAAATACTACTTCAAAAAAATTATCTTTAAACTATGGCTTCTTAAAGTTCAGACTTTTGTTCCACCGATTGAAAAAGTTTTCAGTCGGTTTCCAACGGGAAAGACTTTGAAAACTGGATTTGACAAAAAAGAGAGTGAAAACTTCATGCTTTTTTTTGTTTAACCCATTAACACTGCAAAAGCCAAAAATCTTAACTTTACTTTGCGTTTATTTTTGAAGTAATTAAACATCAAGAATATGTCTAAAAATGACTTACTTTATGTTCTTGGGGTCGCCCTACAAGATTCTAAAATCAAAATGATGATTAGATTTCAAGAAAAAAAAATATGGCGACTTTTTTCGAAAAAAGCACTGAAAAATTTGTCGAGAAAAATTAAAAAACCAAATTTTCTATCAAAATAGCATGTTTGCACAAACATTTCAAACTTTCGAAATATGACCTATAAAAATTAAAAATTCCAAAATGTACGTCTCAAAATGGCGGCAAAGTAGAAATGTCTTTTTTAACTTCAGAAGCGTTTTTCTCGAAAACAAAAGACTTGAGCGAAAAATTTCTAAGAACAAAAAAGTCTTAAAATTAGTCAAGGAACACCATCAAATTTTTTCAGATTTTTTTGAGACAATTTTCGACTTTTTAGAAAATCCGGAAAATCCAACTTTCCAAAAATATCTCTAAAAATTCTGAAAAAATTTGATATTGTTCCTAGACTAATTTTAAGACTTTTTTGTTCTTAGAAATTTTTCGCTAGTCTTTTTTTTTTGAGAACAAAATTATTGAAATCTTTAACGAATTGATTCCGAATTTACCTTTTTTGTTCCTAGAAATTTTTCGCGAAAGTCTTTAGTTTTCGAGAAAAACGCTTCTGAAGTTAAAAAAGACATTTCTACTTCGCCACTATTTTGAGACGTACATTTTGGAATTTTTAATTTTTATAGGTCATATTTCGAAAGTTTGAAATGTTTGTACAAACTTGTTTTTCATTTTGTTGAATAAAAACATGCTATTTTGATAGAAAATTTGATTTTTTAATTTTTCTCGACAATTTTTTCAGTGCTTTTTTCGAAAAAAGTCACCATATTTTTTTTTCTTCAAATCTAATCATCATTTTGATTTTAGAATCTTGTAGAGCGACCCCAAAAACATAAAGTAAATCATTTTTAGACATATTCTTGACGTATAAATACTTCAAAAATAAACGCAAAGTAAAGTTGAGATTTTCGGCTTTTTCGGTGTTAATGGGTTAAGTGCCACTTTTTCATAAATACTAATAATTTTGCACAAGTTCAAGGTCATCATTGGAAAGGGCTTATTCCAAGCTTTCAGAATAAGACCTTCTCAATTTTTTGACACCTGTAGAATTAGATATAACATTTCAAAGACCGGTGTATTGTAAGTGACGTTTTCGGCCGTAATGGATTAATGGTATTGTGGAAATAATGCCATTTATTATAAAATTTTCGTATAATATCTCTATATTTTCTTATTTAAATTATCCGGTTTCGTTTTATCAATTGATAAATACATAGCTATAGCTGATGTAGAGCATTTTGGCTAATTTCAAAAAAAGGAGGAGGTGGTTCTTTGTAAGTACTTGGCAAATTTCTGGAACGAATCAACCGATTTCGATGTGGTAGACCCTTTTGAAGAGGTATATGCTAGTGAGATGATCCCGTTTGAATATTGACTTGATTGAAGCATAACTACGAATCATTGCAAAAAGATAAAGTTGAAGTCGACCTTTTTGGAAAAATTACTTATACCTCTTTTGACATCATTGGGTAATATCGTAATATGCACAAATGTAATATATTCAAAGACAGTACCTCAATTTCAATATTATTATATATTTAATAATGATGATAATAAAGTTAGGCGACATATTTTCACCACGAAATGTATGAAAATAAATATAATAGTATTTTAATAATCATTTATTATTATTAAATTCAATTTATATTGCAGTTTAGACGGAACGTTCAAGATGTCATGAAATCTTCTCACGATGATCAATTCCTTCTACGGTGGTTGAGAGGTATTATTTTATAAGTAATTGTCTTTTCTAATGCAGAAATTATCAAAATAGAATATTGGAAACCCCTACTTTTTTTAAAGTTTAATTATTGTAATATTGAAAATTTGTTAGGTTACTAAAGAAAAGCTAAAGTGGTACATTTTGATACTAGTGCAGAAAATAGAATTAATACAAATTAAATAAAATAATAATTTTCTGCACACTACACGCAAAGTGGTGACTGTACGTCCTCTTAGTAGGGAAAACAAAACCACTGCGCAATGTTTAGGTGCACATGGCCAACATCACAATAGTACATTTTAATATTTGTGCAAGAATGTAATTTTAGCCTCATATGGACTTTTGCGCCCGAGCGAAACGAGGGTGAAGAGGCCACACAAGAGTGAAATGATTCTCGTACATGTATCTAACTTTATTTTTCGATACGACGTGTATGGAATGAGATTTTATGCATAATCGATTTCTCAAACTTGCATAAAATCGAGTTTATATGCACGGAGTACCGAAAAACACAATAAGATCTCTGAAAGCAAAGTTAATTAATTGTTAAATGTCGGTGTGGCTCTCTAACTGAGAGCCGTTATACCAAATAGTAGTTTAAACAATTAAATTGTGAATAAACAATTGAAATTCGCCTCGTCCAGCTAAACACCCTCGAAATTCGAATTCAGGAGGTCAAAATACTTCTAGAAAATTTAGGGGTTTAACACGACCTCCATCAACCACGGGAAAATTCATAAGCCACTGCGGCTTTTTTTTGAAAGCAAAGTACTCCGCTCATGCACGATATGTCCTTTGATACACTCTGCTGCATCTCATGTTGTAAAATATCACGCCTACACGAAACACTTTACTTTTAGGCCCCCGCCACATATGCGCATACGTGTGCGTATAAGCTCGTACAAACACGTACAAATGCATCGAAGTCATTAAAAAAGCTTAGTTCTATTTTATTTTGCCAATCAAAGAAAAGTCACTATGCGTCATCAAAATGTTTTGATTAATACTCCAGTAGTGAATTGAATATCACTTTAATGTTTAATAAAACATACTAACGTTTATTGATATCTCTCGTTATTTTAGCGTCCCTGCTAAAAAAATTCCATTGAAAACCATAAAAATAAATGATTCTATTTCAGTTCTCGATCTGAACTCTCGAAGCGACCATTGATGGTCCAAACAAAATGTCGTGTAATTAAAATTTATTTAATGCATGCGCGTTAACTAATCTTTTTAGTAAGTACATACAATGAAAATAAGATTGTTGTTTTTGACATGTATATTAATAATTTTAAAAAAGTAAAAGAGGTTCAATTAAAATGAGCAAGGGTTCAATTTTTTTGTTTTGTTTCTTTGCAAAAATATTAAGTATTGCTAAAAATATTGCAGTTGCAAAAAACCAAAACATGTACATAGTTTTTAATTTTTTTGGGACAACTAAAAGCATTCAATTAAAATAATGATCACTTTTGGAGGGTTCAATTACAGATATTTCGAATGATATTTTTTTTTCACTGTCCATTACACTTTGTGGGCTGGAGTAAGGGGAGTCCCAACGGTTGACCAAATGAACTAAACAAACTATAAGATTACTGAACATTTCTAAATTTGAACGCCTATAGTTTAGTTTATTTGATCAGCTATTAGCATCATGTTGGCATTATCTCAAACTTCTATAGTGATTCTACTGGAATTGTGCGTTTTGTACGGAAGCACATGCGCAGATGTGACCAGGGCCTTAGACAATTATACACTTCTATGTGCTGATGCCATAGTCATTTCATTACGGAGGTGTGTGGAAAAAATGTATATATTTTCCATGGGCGCAAAAATGGCTACTTTGCTTCCTGGATGGATATAATTTATGTACTATTGTGGACGGTGCGCCAAAATAGTATAGTTCGTAAAGACTTGCATAACAAATAAAATATTTGTTATTCCTCTTTTTCAGATCACAAAAAATTATCTTTCATTAGAATCAATATTTTAAAAGCTAAAAAATTATATGAATGACTATAAATAAATTAAACCGAACTTTTTACAAGACAATATAGTATAGTAAAATAATGTAGTTAATGATGGATGTGAGTTCAGGAAGTAATTTTATTGATGAAATCGCTCAGAAATATTGTAGCAATTAATGTACCATAGTTTGTATCTCGAATTTTCCGGTGCGTTTTTCATAATAAATGTTTTAATGAAAAAAGTGCCAAAAATGGCCTTTTTTACGACACATTTTCTTATTTTACTTGTAAACCATGCAACAAACGAGAAAAATGTATAGAAATAATGTCGTAGAGCGTGCAATTTTTAATAAAATGCCGTGGTTCAAAGTTGGACAATTCTATTTGCCTCAGCTGTAGCCGCAAAATAAAAAAACAGAAAACGCGAAAAAACAGCTAGAGACTGGGGCAGGTTGGTCGACGAGGTAAGTTGACCAACGGCATAATAACTCGCGATTGAAACGACAGTTCGCGTTGTGATTGATATCAGTGACGTAGAATAGTACGAGGAATGTTTGTGTTTACTGTCAGTCAGATAAAAGCAGCGTTTAGAGCGGAAAGAATTAAGTTTGGAAATTATTAGCACTCAAAATAAAAATTTGTTAATTTTGAAAATATCTAATAAATAGTACTCTTCAGGCGGAGCATTTTTTAGGGAGTACTTTGTATTTTAATATCGAATTCATAGTTTTTTCAGAAAAAAGTAAAAATGTAAAAAGTCGGCCAACCTACACCGTCTCCGCTAATTTTTGTATTCGGAATTGCAGTTGACACTATCAATAGATCTTAATCATGATTTAATCTTTAAAAACATTAATCTTTTACAAATACAACCATAAAATATCCATTCGATATTCTTTTTAGTTACCGAGTTATTGCATTAGTTCATTAAAAAAGTCCAAATTTGAAAAGTTTTTTTGCATTAACACTGCCTTGGAAATATGCCATTGATACTTACCGTGATTTTTTTAAATATACTTTGAAGTTTAAACTACCATATTCCGTGAATTAATCGATACTTTTTTAATATTAACCAACTCGTACGATTTTTGAAACGAAAACTCCGATTTTTACGTAAATAACAAATCGAATATTTCCGCGTTCAATTGCTCAAATTAAAATCTAAAAAGTACATTGTAAAGTACTTGGAAAAAAGTAACTTTTAATGCCTCAAACGTTGAGTTTCAATTATTTTATATATAGTTATTGAATTCCAAAGTCTAGTATATGTAGTTCGCTATAAAGCAATGACTTCGCAAAAAAAAAGTACGATCGTATTCGTTTAATCGAATGCTTTATAAATTTTTTAATAAAAAATACGTTACACGTACAGTTATTGTGCAATTACATGAAAAAGACAAGCGAACGCACGCGAAATCCGTTCTCCGGCGTGAGAGTCGCAGTGGTGTGGGAAAGTCGGCACAACGACGAAAAAGTGAATTGGCGAGTTCAAAATTACTGCGCACTATTTACATTGATTTTTCTTTGCTTCTAATCAACTAATTTTAACTTATTTTTTAATTTGATATAAAAATTTAAAAAATCACGATAAGTATCAATGGCTTATTTTCGAGACAATGTCAATGCAGAAAAGCTTCTCAAATATAGACTTTTTTAATGAGCTAACATAATAACTCGGTAACTAAAAAGAATATATTGAATGAATTTTTTTTATGATTGTATTTGTAAAAAATTAAAGCGTTTAAAGAGTAAATGATCATTAAGGTCCATTGATATTGTCAACTGCAATTCCGGTATTTTATTGAAAATTGCACGTTCTACAATATTGGTTTTACACATTTTTCTCGTTTGTTGTATGGTTTACGAGTAAAATAAGAAAATGTGTCGAAGAATAGGCCATTTTTGGCACTTTCTTCATTTAAATATTTATTTTGAAAAACGCACCCAGTAATTCGAGGTGCAAACTGTGGTACGTTAATTACTACGATATTCCTAAACGATTCCATTAATAAAATTCCTTCTTCAACTCACATCCATGATTTCAATTATTTCCTGCTAATTCTACCGGACTAATAGAAGCATATTAATGATACAAACTAATATTTGAATAATTAACACAGCAATGGTATCAACATTTTTCTAATAAAGGGACATTTTCCAAGCTAGTCAATAAATTGAAATAATGAATCCGGATATTCTATAGAAGTCAAAAATATAATAGGTTATAACTTTTAGTATAATTCAAATGAGATCTCGTGGAATAAGTATTATTTATTTCTAGCTAGAAAATGGGACCTTGTAGCTGCAGAAAAAATGTTAAGAGATGTAAGTTTAATTGTTTTTTTTTAATTTTTCATAAAAAATATCATTACAATAATAACAAACGGCACACTCTGCAATTGCTTGTTCGCTTAATTTAATGATTTCAGTCAATGGAATGGAGAAAGCGATGGGATGTTGACAAGCTGAATGAATGGGAAGTTCCAAAATTGCTAATAGATTATCTTCCTCATGGACTTAGTGGGTTCGATAAGGATGGAGCGCCGGGTATGATTTTAAAACGATATGAAATAAATCTATATCATAATTCCGAGATAAGTTAATTTGTCTATGATAACATATGGCTGATCAGAAAAATATAAAAATGGGATAGAATGATAAGCATCAAATTATTTTGCAAACATAAATGTATAGTAGCTACTTGAAACATTTTTATTTTTATTATTTTTATTTCTGATCACGCTTTTAGTGAAATTGAATTCATATTATTCTTAGTTTATAACACTTTACAATCATCTGCGCCTAGCGATGAAATTCTCGTGACTAAGATGAGTATATTAAAGGAATTAACTCGCAGTGTTGAATAGTGAAAATTAGAAGATTTTTTTTAGTATGTCCAAAAACTTTTTTTGCCTCAAAGTATTCACTAAGTCACCCTACCTAAGTGTAATACTCTGAATCAAATGAGAATAGGTTCTAGTATAAGAAATAGGAAATGGAAACATCCTACGGATCTAGCGATGGTTCTTACATCAGAACTGATATTTTATATATTTTAGATTTTGAAACTTTTACCTAAAAATATGAAAGCTTATTCTTAGTACTCTGAGGTAAAATAAGTTTCATCAAAATATTTTTATTAGAAAAGTGTAACGGTCCAGTTTGATTATTTCTTTACAATACTCCGAGCACAAAGTGCGTCTTTCCCGCACACTCGGTAGAAAACGTGCGTTGAAAATCACATTTTCACACGTCGTATAAAAAAATAATAGGACAATTATAAAGCTCTACGTCTGCGCAAAGTGCATTTCCGGATGACATCCTTGTAAGTTGTAATTAGTGGTAATTTGTAATTGTCCTATTATTTCTTTTAGAAACAAATTTATAGAATCGTACTGATGGTACAACTTAGACTACAGAAGGTACAATTTTTCTGTGAATTTATTTTTGCTTAATTATGTCTTTTATGTGAATAAATAGGAGGTGAATTTTCGATAACGATATTTTTTATTTTTTATGAGAAAGATAATGGTACATAATTATTTAATAACAAATAATTATTTTTTCGAGAAGTATAATTAGACATACATGAGATGTGATAATTTTTTAATAACAAATAATTATTTTTTCGAGAAGTATAATTAGACATACGTGAGATGTGATCATTTTTTTTTTATAAAATGTTATTTGTGTCGGGCTGTTTTCGCATCGGTCAAGAATCTACTTTCCCGCACTTGTATCGTAATGCACTATTGCTGCATTACAGCAACCCGTCATACACCCGAAAATGAGAACAAGTGCAATCAAATCTAAGGAGTTACTTCACATTTATACTTAGATGTGTTTTAGGGTACTTGATCAAAATCATTAGCTATAAAAAATAATTGTTCTCATGAAATGTCAGGAAATAACGATATTTACACTCAGATACATGAATACAAGTAATTACTAAGTAGATATATATGTATACTTAAATTTTTACAGTTATTATAATGCCATTTGCTGGACTAGATTTATATGGGATATTGCATGCCTTTAGCAAGAGAGAAGTGATTAAAGCAACAATAAAATTGTTGGAAAATTATTTGGATATTTGTCAAGAACAATGCAAAAAACATGGGTTGGCAGCTAGTCAATGCACTGTCATTTTTGATATGGAAAATTTTAATCTTCGACAATATATGTGGCGTCCAGGTTTGTCATTATGACTCAATATATTAATGCGATAATTTTTTAATAACGTATACGTAACGTTTTACAGCTGGTGAACTTGCCCTTACCTTGATTCAAATGTATGAATCTAACTATCCAGAAATATTAAAAGTTTGTTATATTATCAATGGTAAAATTTTATAGTTTGTTACTACTTTATTAGAAATGTCATATTAATTGAAAATATATTTTATTTTTACAGCACCAAAAGTATTTGCATTTGCATTTTCAATAGCTAAAAAATTTTTGAACGAATATACCATATCAAAGATTCAAATTTATAAAGCTGATCCATCAAAATGGAAATCTGTAATATTGCAAATGATTGCAGATGATCAATTACCAGTTCATTATGGTGGAACATTAGTTGATCATGATGGGAACCCAAAACTAATATCTAAGGTTAAAAAACTAAAAAGAAATATGCATACAGTTTCTATACAAATTAAAGTGATTTTGTAAATAATAGAAGCTGCCTTTGACTTCAAACAAAACAAATTATTAACAAAGCTTTACAATATACAAATAATTAACCGTATTATTACTCTCAATCATATTAAATTTTGCCAAATTACAAAAACAAAGAGTTACAAAAGTGACACCCAATATTTTCAACAAAAACTATCTCAACTCAATTTCTTCTTACAGCGTTTCGCTGGTTTCTCTTCCAACCTCATCGGGTTCTTTATTCAAAAAATATCCAACTGGTTATACAAACATGATGACAATGTGACAATAAAAATAGTATCAAATCAAATAACAAAAAACACATACCAAAGCACACTGAAGAATTTTTAACGCTGAAAAAAATACTTCACGTTTACATTAATTTAAGAAAATCAATTTATTCGATATTTTTTTAATAAAGGACCTGATTATTGAAATAGTTTTTGTTTAAAGTATTGGGTGTAACTGTACTCTTGTAACTCTTTGTTTTTGTAATTTCGCAAGACTTTACAATTACATTTATAAAAGACTATACTGAAAGCGGGATTTATTTCGTACAAATACAGATTCTATATACTTTGATTGAAAACGAACTTTTTTATACATTTTTATAAAATATATTACTAACGTTTATTTAATTTAGAATTTTTAGCCGAAAATGCATGCCAAGCGAAAAAACTAGCACTGACTGGTGCCTATGTCGCTTTCTATTGTGCATGCTCTCTATCCTTCATTCTTTTCCTCTCGCGCGCACTACGAGAATTCCACGCACATGGCTCGAAAATGTCAACAAAGCAATGCTTTAGAATTTATTATTGAAATGAAAGAAAATGAAAATGGTAGAATTGTAAAATTTTATTTATTAGATTAAAGAAAAAATGATTATGACTCCCAAAAACCTCTGATCGAGTTTTCATTCTGAAGTTTAAATTAGTAGAAAATTTTTCATTTGACTCTTTTAACATAATGTCTTTCTATTTATAAATACTACTTTCGTGAAAGATTAAATATTATCTAAATTCTATCTTTCTACAGAAAATGGTACAGAATATTTTAAATGACATAATTGTTACATTTTTCATAATGCGTAAAATCTTGAATATTAATTCTTTCAAATATTTATGTATTCCTACAGAAATATTTTATGCAAAAAATTGTATGTAAAATTAGACTAGCGATATTTTAATAAAAATTTGTTATAAAATGTTTACGTATTTAATAGTGTCTTTTTTTCTAAAAAAAATACTGTTTTATGTTTTTTAGATGATTATAAAAACGGGTTATGATTAATAAACAAAATTTAAAAATTCGTGTGGAACCGAATCGTACAGAATCGAATAGATATCTGTACGAAACAAATCCAGCCGCACTGAATATCGATCAATTTATATAACATTTTTTATTAGTAATAATAATAATAATAATAATAATAATAATGACAATAATAATAATAGTTTTGTTTGTAAGATAAAAGTTTGAATTACTTTTGTTTTCAAGAAGAGCGTGAAATTTCTCGTTTCTATAATCTAATAATAATAATACTAATAATAACAAACTTAATATACAGTATTTTATGTCTAAATACTGTCATTAATTTCAATGTACGATTTTTTTATGTGGTTTATTATTTTTAGATATGCCAAGGAGGTAAAATTCCAAAAAGTATGTATATAAATAAAAATGAAAAGGACAAAGCAAATGAATATACGACAATGACTGTGAAAAAAGGAGATAAATTAAAACTTGAATTTCAGTCAAACGAAATTGGTTTATTATTAAGGTAAAAAGAGTTATTTTTATCTTTTTTTCTTGAGATTAGCAATGAATTCAATTTTTTCATTCAATTATTTCTAGTTGGGAATTCTACTTAGAAGACCATGACATTAAATTTGGAATAATAAAAAAGACAAATGATGGGTTACAAACTGAAATTATTCCTATTCACAGAGTCTCTACTCATCAACATGAAGAAGTTGGTATTATTACATGTGAAATTTTAGCAAATTGTAAGTTGTATAAATAAAAAAATATAAGTAAAATTTTACAATCGGTTAAATGAAGTAATAAGAATTTGTTAATTTTTCAGATTTTGTAATTTTTGATAATAGTTACAGCTTTCTGCGTAATAAAAAAATACATTACAATATACGGTTGACTCCATCAACAACATTTGATGAAGCAACAATAATAAAATCATAAAATTTTAACTTTTTTCTTACTAAACAAATGTAAATAAAGATAATTGTACATTTTTTGCATTTTAAAAGTTATCAATATTTACTTCACTGCTTATTATTGTGGGATTAAAAGGGGATATATGCACAAATAAAATGTTGGTTGATCATTATTATAAGGAACTAATTAGTATCTTTTGTAATTCTTTTATTTACAAAAATATGACAACAATATGTATATAAAATACTTTGTTCAGTTTTTACTCATCATCTTCAAATAATAACATTTCAATGAGGTTATTATCTAACAATTGATTACCTTCTAGGCGTTTTTGAGTTCCCCATTTGACAAGAGTTGGTAGAACATTTATTTGACTTTTAGGGTGAGCTCTAAATGGACATTTTTGATCTTTCCAACTATGTAAGCAAATCAAATTGAAATACACATAAACAATGGCTTTTAAAAGTACATGTGCATTTTACATGTATGTACTTATAAAAGAAATAAAATAATTACTTACAAATGCCTGTCACCAACCTCCACTACAACGCAATTGTAAAACTCTGGAGCGGATTTAAATGCTTTTTCTATAACTGGTTTAGCTGGAAATATTTTTAATAATTTAATAATGAATATCCAAAATATAACTATTTTTATATTTGAGTAAATATTAACTGTGCACTTACCTTCAACACAATCTGGACACCAACTGTTGCCATCGGGTAGTTTTGATCCAGTGTACAAAACAAATGTTGGTTGAGTAGCAGTGAATTGTTCAACAAATTTAATAAAATTTTCATAACCTTCTACGAAATGCTTAACGACCATAATTTTTTAATTGAATTAAATTTAACAATACAAATACACAAATATAAAATAAAATCGATGTTAAAAGAAGAAAATAAATAAATAAACTATAACTCAAGTATCATCAGAATTGAAATCTAATAATGAGACAACGTTGGATTTTTTTATAAAACTGATAAAAGGTCCATTATACAGTGTTGCCACTAGCAGCTGATTGCCACTTTGCCAGATGTTTGCCAGAATAAAAAACTGTCTATCACTACAATTAATATAATAATTAAATTTTTATTTCAAAATGTACGCCCTTTCACAGACCCTAAATAAGTGATGCATACTGCAGAGATTACTCCAAAGAGTCCAAGGTATTCATCAATCTAAAGTCTTAACTCTTGTCAGTCTTGCTTGAAGATTAATGGGAGTTTATAGAAGGGATTAGGACGTTTACAGAGTGGATTCTCATATTTCCAAAATGGAATGAATTCTGCATTCTATATTTCTATTCTACTTGTGTATTCGTTGGCTCTGGCATAGAATCACATCAAATCAGTGATTCTATGTCCCATATGGCGCAAGCGCAGCTGATGCAGATTTTATATACTGTATTGGGATCGGAAAAGCTAGCATCAGCACTCCTAGTGACTAATATCGGAAGCTTGAGAGAGGTTTCTAAACGAGCTGTCCGTATGACTGTGCATTAACTATAGTTATTCTATAACAGTATTTATTTATGTAAGTGTCATTATAATGTGTTATTATTTAATCATTTTTGTAAAAATCTATATTTTCCGTATTATCTTTGTCGCAGAGTTTATTAACTACTTCATTTTTTCTAATGATTTTTAATACGCGTCTTTCACAACGTTCTGTGCACTCTTTTTCTCTTTTTATTTGCTGCAATATGTAATCGGAATTTTGCTGCGACGGTAAATTTACTGAAGGAATATTTGTTTACTTTAACCTTTTTGTGGATCCTTAAATTAAAAAAAAAGGAATTTAGAAATTATGAGCTATATCTCATATGAAATAAGTTTTGCGGTAATCGTTTATTTACCACTTAAAAAAAAGTCATTGGGAGTAAAATGCTTTGAACAAACTCTTCAATAGTTGTTTTGTTTCACTTGTGATATCCAAAGCTTTAATCCATAAACATTACAAATTAATTAGTTTAGCAATCTCAAATATATTTGTACGGTGAATAATTTTTGTATATGAAAGAAAAACATAGAAAGTTAATTTAGTGTCAACGCGTGTTCGCGAACGAGTTTCTCACACAATAAGCGCAAGATTGCTTTTTGTTAGTAACGTTTAATTTTGAAGTTTATAAGATATGTTATCTTTAAAAAATAATTTTTTACCTTTTTATGCAAAAAATACGTTACGTAACTATAAATAACTAAGTAATCAACAATCGTCTTCTCACTTTCAGATGTAAACACAAGTAGAAACTTCTCGCGCGAATCTCTCTCACGGCTTGCGATTTCGGCCGCTAGGAGCACTGATGCTAGTTTTTCCGATTCCATCCCAATACTAAAAGTTATAATAAGTATAACTTTCAAGTATATGTTGTGAGTGAAGGTATGTAAGTGTGTGCGTGTCGAATGTCGTGTAAGGTTCATGTCCGAAGTATGACATGGTTCAAGTGATGGGAGGAGTCGCAATTGTTCACATTGATTAAGTTTGTTTGCAGTTTTATTCAATTTTCTTTTGCTGAAAAGATTGATTAAAAATTTTATTTGAAATTAACTTGACTTGTATACAAGAATCGGTGACGTATAGGTTACTATGGTACTAGATTACAACGGTTACATTTGAGCAGACCTGTAGAGTGGAAAACGTGTCTTGAAACCCATAAAGACTTAATTGATCTCTAGATTTGATTATGCTTGATAAACTTTCGAGTTAAAAATTAATAGGTGCAATTATTCAAGAGTTACATATTACGTTAATTTATAGTAGAAGAAGAGCTTGAGTGAGGGAATTTCTTTGTTGACAGTTTTTATTTCAGAATGGCTGCAGTATTTGATATTGAATTACATGATACAGACGTCATACAAAAAGATGACTCTGAAGATGATGTTATTGAAATAAGCGAGGTAAATTCATTATCTGGATAATCTTTTATTTCTATGCATTTGAAGTGTTGTAGAGAAAAAATTTATTATAGACTAAGCTGAAAAATCATAAGAAGAATAAATATTATTTTTATTCTAGGAAGAGTACAATGCTAATCCAAACGTCAATGAAATCATAGAGTAGGTATTTTTAAGGCACAGTTTTAAAAATATTTATATTTTATTGTAATACTTCATTTTTCTGCAATTAACAATTATCTTTAAACAACTATTGTTTTATTAGCAAACAGTATCAATTCCTGTAAGATACTGAAGGTTCTTTATAGAAGCAGATATACGTTGGAAAAATAGACAGGAACAAGAAAATAAAGTTTGTTATGTTTTGCCTTTTCAATTTTTAATGACATTGACTAATAAAATAAAATATGTATAATTGTAGGACAATAGATTATATTTTAGCGTTCCTGTCACTGTCTTTCCAACTTATGGAAGTACAAGGAATATTTTTATAAATCATTTGAGAATTATACCTATCAAATTGTTTTCAATATAGTTTTTCATTTAGCTGTAAATTGATTTTCAACTGGACATAACACTATAAATCCAATTATTAAACTTAATTATTTTGTTCAGATCTGAAGGAATAGAAGCTGTTGCAATATCTGAACAGAACGTTAATCAGGGAAGAGAACGAGTTGGACCACAAGATTTTGAATTATGCAAAGTTATTGGAAGAGGTGGCTATGGCAAAGTATTTCAAGTACGCAAAACAACTGGAAATGATAGTGGCACTATCTTTGCTATGAAGGTAAACATTTTATAATGACATGATTTTTCAATTAAAATATATTGGCTGAAAATTACAATCTAACTTATGAATGAGTTATTATATGAAATATATCCAAATTCTACCTGAAATCTATTATGAACAGTTATCTGTCTATTTAAAGAACGAGAGCAAGTGAACAGAGCCTCACTAATTGACTATTTAATAATCTTTTATGAGACCTGGTTTTGGTTTTCAAACAAGTTAAGTTTTATTTATGCTCTTTTTAGGTTTTGAGAAAAGCATCAATAATTAGAAATCAAAAAGATACTGCTCATACCAAAGCAGAAAGGAATATTCTTGAAGCTGTGAAGGTATAAAAATTATCAACTATATGCATCAATTACATTCTTATATGTTCTTTGTATGTTTAACAGCATCCATTTATTGTCGATCTTATGTATGCCTTTCAAACTGGTGGAAAATTATATTTGATACTAGAATATATGTGTGGTGGTGAACTTTTTCGCCACTTAAACGACGAAGGAATATTTTTAGAAGATACTGCTTGGTAATTATATATTAAAGTTAATATCTAAAATAAATCCAAATTCCAATAATTGATAAATTATTCATAACGGCAACTATAATTTTTAAATTAATTTAATTGAGAGCTAGCAGTATTCTAAATTGAAATAATTGTATTAACAAAGAAAATATAGATATTTGCCATTCTTTAAAACTTAAATTTCAAATATACATTTTGATATTAAATTATTATCAGAATATATTATTATTTTGAAAAAGCGTGTAACTAATCCTTGACATTCTTTAAGTAGTTAGTTTTTATTAGAATGAAATAATAAGGTTGAAAGCAAGCGAGTTATAATGTAAAATAATCATCATTGCCATTATGTTCTTAACTTTAAAAGCTTGCTGATTATTTTATACAGAGTTGATAATATTTGTAATATTTTTAAGCTTTTACTTGTCAGAGATAATATTGGCTCTACAACATCTACACTTGCAAGGAATTATTTATAGGTAAATAGTTTTATGAAAATATACAAGACTTAAGAGGGAAAAGAATGCATTGGTCATTTTTTCAGAGACTTGAAGCCAGAAAACATTCTGTTAGATGCAGAAGGACATATTAAGTTGACTGATTTTGGACTTTGTAAAGAACATATACAAGAAGGTGTAGTAACACACACTTTCTGTGGTACAATTGAATATATGTGAGTAATAAGATCAAATAATTCATATTATCCACCATAAATTAATTTTTGGTTTTAAATGTATAAGTTGCATTAAGCGCAGCTTTGAAATAGTACATTACGATACAAGTGCGGGAAAGTAGACTCTTGTCTCGTGTGGCGTTTACTCCCGAGCGAAATGAGGGTGGAAAGGCACACGAAACGAGAAACTCTTTCCCGAACATGTGTCGTACCGTATTTTTTTATATGACGTGTTGAAAGTGCAATTATTAACGCACGTTTTTTGCCGAACGTGTGACGTAAAACGCATAAAACGTTCTGTACGTCGTATAAAAAAATACGGTACGACACATGTTTGGGAAAGAGTTTCTCAAGTGTGCCTTTCCACCCTCGCTTCGCTCAGGAGTAAACGCCACACAAGATAAGAATCTACATTTCCGCACTTGTATCGTATTGTACTATTTTTTGCAAAATTTGTTTATTTAGAAAAATAACTATTGGGTTACTAATTTCACTTTTTTGTCAGGGCCCCTGAGATCTTAACAAGAAGTGGACATGGTAAAGCTGTTGATTGGTGGAGTCTTGGCACTCTTATGTATGACATGTTAACTGGATCTGTAAGTATTTTCCAAGTTTTCAAAGAAGCAGTTTATTATTATAACGATGCTTTATTGCAGCCACCATTTACTTCTAACAATAGGAAAAGCACTATTGAAAAAATTTTAAAAGGCAAGCTAATTCTTCCACAGTATCTTACACCAGATGCCAGAGATCTTATTCGAAAATTATTAAAAGTGAGTGATATTGTGTTATTCTGTTGTAAGTGCATATTGTAATTTGGTATAATTATATTAGAGACAGGTAGTTCAGAGATTAGGCTCTGGATCTTCAGATGCAGAACAAATTAAAGTTCATCAATTTTTCAAACATATTAATTGGAGCGACGTCATATTCCGAAAGTTAGAACCGCCATTCAAGCCAACTTTGGCAAGTGAAGATGACGTATCGCAATTTGACAAACGATTTACAACCTCAGCGCCAATAGATTCTCCAGCCGAATGTACTCTTAGTGAATCTGCTAATAAAGTTTTTCAGGTAATAATCATAAATAATAGTGTAAGATTAACGCAATCGATTAATCGCATTACTATTCTATATAGGGGTTCACATATGTTGCACCAAGCATATTAGAAGATATGTCTCAACCACGAATTGTGAATGCTAAAAGTCCACGAAAAAATAATATACGCAGTTTTTCTCCGCGGAGTAATCATTTTAATTTGCATAATTCGCACGTATCAAACCATAGGTAAACAGTTATTTTTTAACATTATATTGAAATGTTTTAATGTATTTTTCAACTGAACTCTATTTTTCAGGCTCAATGGAGTTGAGGATGCAGAAATGATTGAAATAAGTTAATTATTCATTTACAGCTTTGCTTTTTTATTTATTTTTTGAGCTTCTTGAATCAAACTTTTCAGCTTGAGATTTCGTAAATAGAAAAGTAAAAGTTTGATTAATTGTTTAAAGCATACTTAACCGCGATGCTCAATGGCTATGCATAGCTTATTTTTTTCAATTTTTGCAGTGTTTCCGACAATATTTGTTGAAAGTAGTGTGTTTGGTATGGTGTGGTGTTACCAACTCAATTCAATTTAGTACTAATATTTTATATGAAGCATAACGAGTATAGTATAACGTTTTTTTGTTATTATCTAAAGCCGTTGTAGCGGTTCGAGACAAGTTATTCTGGAATATATTTTACATTCGATTCATTAAGTAAAAGTTGCGAAAATTTACTATATTGCGAAAAGTTGATATACCTTCATACAATGAAATCAATATTATTATTTACAAAGAGCATGAACAGATCATTTGAAAAAAAATGTTTTTATTAATATTTACAGCCAGTTTTTACACTTATGGCAATGCAGATTTATTGAAATAAAACAAAAAAATATGTTTCGTCGATACAAAGTAATGTTATCGTAATTATTATAAACTAAGGAATCAAACATGACTGATAAGCACACTGCAACTTTTATTAAAGCAATAATGATTTTACAATCCTGTGTGTGTGTGTGTGTGTGAGAGAGGGGGGGGGGGGGGGGGTAGATAGAGAGAGAGACTTCTTTGCCCTGGACGCATCAAATGTAAAATGTATTTTATTTTATGCAATCTAAGGGCAAAAATGGCATACAAACACGGCAAATACAGTAACAAATTAATTTTGGTCGTGCTATTGAATAGATGCCAAAACTTTCTTTCCAATACATCATTTTCATTTTCTGTTTCTTTTGTTCACAAAAAATGTAATTTCTAAATAAAGATATGAAAATAAAATCTCAAAGTAATCTTATTCATAGTAATAATACTTTTAAACGTCCTTTTTTTCAATTTGTGTATACTGCCGGTCACGTACTTATACCCCCTACTCTAGCAAAATCAGTCAAATTTACAAATTTTTATCTCTGATATGAAATAACGTACAGAGAGCCAATTTTTTATATATATCTTATATATCTCTTGGAAAGAGCTTTCAAAATATGTACTTCACGACTTCATAAAATTGTTTATTTAATTTTTACAAATGATTTTTTGATATAAAATGCCAAAATTTTTTCTTATCCTTGAAATTATTTCGGACGTGAGATAAAAGTGATCAAAAAATTTCGCAAAATGCATTTTATAACTCATTCCAAGCCCTATCCGAACCATTCATTACAAAATTTTTTTAATCAACTGTAACGCGCGTACGAACATTTTTTCCTTTGTCACTGGGGGCCTATTCTGAAAAAAAATTTGGTGGTAAATCAGTTTGTCACTTCAGTTTACCATAGAATTAATCACTTTAGATGTGATAAATGCTTATGACATGTGCTAAAATTTTTTTTCAGAATAGGCCCCCTGTGTTACCTGGGTTATAATAAGAAAAGTGTACAGATCTATGTTACCGACTAATTTTTCAGGTGCATATGCGTATATGATAGTAGTGAGAAATAATATTTATTCTTTGACGGATGGTTATAATATTTTGATTGGGTAGAAAAACTGCGTATGATTTTTGCTAACGATTGAATAGATTTATTTATCTAAAAACTTTATTAAAACTCTACGCAGATACAGTTATCGATGATCTGTGAGCGATCAACTTTGATAATTTCGTTATCATTGAAAATAATATTTCATTAATATTAATATAGAGAGATTTAAAACATTAAGGACACCATTTTATCGAGGATCTGATATTTGTTTACTTACTTTGCTGTTGACAATCAAACTAGTTTTCAAAATCTTAATCTCTGGAAATTAAAGTTTCTCTAAGCAGATATTCAAGATGAAGTTACGATTCCATTCATAATTGTTGACAACAAAGTAAGTATTTTGATATAACTTTGTAATATGTTCAACTAACATAAGTTAATTATTGAATGTGATTGTGACATGTATGCGTATTCATGCTCACAAATTTCTCTCTCATTCTTTTGGGAAAATATACTTTAAAATCGAAATGACTATTTACCAGGACCAGTATCTTTAAATTTACTCTGTTATTAATATTCCATTACGATATACAAATACAGGTTGAAAAATATTTCTACATAATTATTCTTTAATGGAATAAAATTATGTTTCAAGAAATTGATGACAAATACCGTTTGTTATATTAAGTTCGTGTTAAAGCAATAGTGGATGATTCTGTATAGTCTATACATCATAAAAAATTTAAACACGATTTGAAGCTTAAATTAAGAACTAAAAAAGCTTGTTCACATTTATTTTATCTACGTTGATTATAGCTTAGTTTGTTATTGTTATTGTTTGTTTTTTGTTTTGTTGATAAAACGGCTGCATAAAATTATTCGGAACTGCTATAGCGTAAACTAAATATCAGAAAACGTATTTGTAATAATTTATCGAGTTATAGTTGTACTTTATCTAAAAATACCTTAAATAATAGTTATATATGCAAGTTATTTGTATGAAATTTTATTAATTTAAATTATTTGCCAGTACCAAAATATATTCTAATGCCTAAAATTAATATTTTTAATCGCGGGAAAAAAACCGTGTTTTGGTTATATCTCGATCGTCTCCAGCATGTGCGCGAGGGATGTATGACATAAGACCCGTGAAGCCTTTAGCACACATGTTGTAAGAGACACCAGTGAAAGTATTTCATTGCGGGATTTCTCGCACGTGTCGTGGGCCAACCGCCTAATTACGGTGGTGTCCAGCTGTGAAACCGTCCGAGGAAACGGCTATACACTCGACGGGGCCAGTTTAGAATGACACTGACCTCGTCGGTCGCTATTGTAATGAGTGGGCGGACTCTCGGCCCTTTCCTCGGGGTTTTTTCTATTCAGTGAGCTATTCTGGCGCTGAGGCTCGTCGCTCAGTTGTTGTTACCAAGTTGCTACGGAAATAACTACGGCATCTCCACCTCAAAGTTAGTATAATACGTTTTATTCTAAGTTAGTGTTTTACTCGGACGCGTCTTTATTTAAGCGTCTGTTAAAGTTTATATTTGCGTGCGCATTCCAGGTTTGAGTGATCATTGAATTGTCTGAGGGCTGTACCCTCTTCTCTTCCACGGGGCTGTACCCCGCTGGATTAAGTCTCAGTTTCACTGTATCATGTGCGACGTCTAGACGTAATAGTCTTGTAAGTGAATTAAGTTAAGTTCAATTATTGTAAACTTTAGAGTTCGGCTTTTTCCTCCACTCATCGAGTGGAGATTTTTTATGCCTATCTTCCTTTGTTGCATATACGATCCCTAATTGTTTTTTATCTAACTAGTTTCTTTTATTTATCCTCCAGTTCACACACTCTTACACACACATATATGAATTTGTCGAGGTCAACTCACGAAACTTAATTCTCATGAACAAACCGTAAGCGTAATATCGTATCATAATATCTATTCTATTAAGTATGCTCTAGTTTCTTTCATTAACATTTATATGATATACTCAAGTATATTACTGTTATTTTTTTCATGCGTTCTTCCCAATTTGAAAATTTCATTAAAGTTAATAGCTCTTCAAATTAATTTATTATTTATTCAAGTCCATTAAAAGTTTGCAATGATCAAGGTACTTTAGAATAAAAAATATCGTTTTTTGATTGTAGCATGTTATCTTACTTTTGGTTAACACTATCAATCTTTTAATTAGATTTCGTCTTCAAATTAATTGAAAAAGCTGATTACTTTTGCTGAAGAATCCTTATGGTGTGTTGCTCTGAATTCGACTTTTTATTAGAATTTGTTCGGTGTGTGTATGTGTGTGTGTGTGTGTGTGTGTGTGTGTGTGTGTGTGTGTGTGTGTGTGTGTGTGTGTGTGTGTGTGTGTGTGTGTGTGTGTGTGTGTGTGTGTGTGTGTATGTATCATCGAAATACTAGATGAAAATAAATTATTTTATATAAAATTATAATTGTTTATTGGTTATCTATAAGCTATTTTATGCCCTACGTTTTCGTTTCTATTAAAGTTGATGTACATTAAACTTTGCATTATATTATATAAAAATAGATTATTGTATTCTTGCAATAGAGATTCTAATCAACAAAATTGGTACTTTACAAAGTCTTTACAAGTTGGTTCTGTGTAGCATCAATAAGAACAGCAAATAAGTTGGTACATATTGTTATAATAATATAATGAAATATTATATTAAAAATGAAATTCTTTATAACCAGATATAAATACAATTAAACTCTTACACCACCACTAACTACTAGGTATTTTATGAATATTATTTTTAGACCCCTTCTAATAATATCCAATTAAGATAGCTCCACCAAATTATGTCTTATGACAGAATCAAATAAAAATTTGTATAGTTATCGATATAAATAAATAGAAATGAATTGTCAAAGTTAAGTCGTTATACATCGATGACATAGAAGGGTATAAGGATTATGCGTTCGTATTTCTTCTAATAATTTTAATAATAAATGACAGATCCTTTCTAAAAACCATAATACTATCCAATATAATTATTAAGTTTATATCTGAAAAAAAAAGTACTATAGTCATCGAATTAATATAACAATGTTGAAAGAAAACATAACAATTAATCGTATTTTAGAGACAAAATCGTTTAATAGCGACGTGAAAAACTGTTTTTTCGTTATTTTTCTACTATTAAATGCAAATTATTTCATTTTCGAACGATTAGTCAAATATAAAACTATTTTTAATAAATGTTTAAGTTGGGTCGATGTCATTTATACATAGGTATGTCAACGGTGTCCTTGTGTGATGCGGTCCGTCCTGGTGGAGCCACTTAAAAAAATTTTTTTCTTATAATAATAGCTTAAACTTATTTACAATTTCAACTAATTCATTTCAATACATTTTTTTTAATTCTTACAAATTTTTATACAATTTTACTTAAGGACATTAAGGTCATTTTATACAATGTTTGTTAATGACAATGTTCAGTTACATCTACAATTACGGACTTCTTCCAACCAAAAAGAAAGTAACCTAATGCTGCTCCCAGGATTACTGCAGCACATAGCCAAGAATTATAAGTCATGAAAATCAGCATCAAAAAGTATGATAACATTATCTGCGTGATGTGTAATAGGGTTTGAAAGGCATGCATCCACGACAACATAGTTGGCCTAAAAATAAATGAATAATTTATGTATATAAATATACGATAGGTGTTATAGACCTTAAATTAATTATTTGCATTTATTCTATATTCATCAACCTATCGCTAGTTTGTTAACGTAAAAAGAATGTTTAGCTTTTTGAATGGATAATTGAATCCGGTTATATGATTAATATGAGATGTGATGATTACGTGATAGTAATAAGTAGATTTCTGATATTTTTATTCCGTAAAACCATCTTTTAGAAAGACTTTTAAGAGATGATATGAATTCGGTCGAGAGATCGGTCTTGATTAACAGATTTTTCAACAATTTTCGCGTGACTTTTCGTTAAGTCAGCGTTTAGTCCTTGAGGTGAGCAGATATTGAAACTGTGCTCTACCCGAAAAGCTATAATATTAATAAATCAAATGAAGTGACAGTTAAGTTTAAAATTCATTAACGGTACCTCAAAACAAAAGAAAAAAACGGCCGAGAAGAAAACAACGAAGTAAATAAGTTGACACCAAGTCCACTCCGATCTTCGTTTACAATGTAGAGAATATCAAACCGCTAGAAAATCTATTGAACACCATAGCCAAAGAAAATTACACCTTTAAGTAATAAGACAAAACAAAATTAAAATGCAGCTGACAACTTCGGAAAAATATTTGCCCATCATCACTGCATTGAAAAAAAAACACGCAATTTTACACTTACCAGCGCAAAGAAGCAAAAGGTTTCAAAGTTATATTAAAAAGCATTCACCCGTTAGTTGATATAGATGAATTAAAAACAGCCATAGAAGAACATGGACATAAATATTAATAAATAGTATAAATAGTAATAAATATTCATAATATAAGGCATCGCATCACAATACTACCATTACCACTTTTCATAATTGAAATTGAACATGGTTATAAAAGCCAGGAATTTTAAAAAGTAAACTGACTATTAAACACAGCAATCAAATTCAATATATTAAGCCAGTAATTCCGCATGCTCGTTTTTCTTTTCTTAATAATTTTGTTTTTTATAGGGCTGCTTTTATTTCATTGGTTTCTTGTTCTTTTTCCACTTAGTTGTTTAAACTTAGCTTGTTTCAACTGCTTAAACTTTTGAGCGTCGGCCACGTTGGCCGTGCACTTATTTATTTATATCTTTGAATTATTGCACTTGTAATTTAAATACATATTCAAGTTTATAGACACTTTATAACTAATAAGTAGATAACTTATTTGCATTTTACGGCTACACTAACACAAGCAGTTCAATTAAAGCAAGCACACGTCCTCTCTACATGAGTGTTAGCACTCAAGTCGAATTTCAATATATTGAATAAGTAAAATAAAAACAATTCTTTCCTAATTAGTCATGAAAAGTACGATAATTAATTGCTAATGATGAATTAATAAAACAAACTAAAGGTAACAATTACAATAATATTTAAATAGGATCAAAGGTATTTCTGTTATAAACTTTTAAATGGGCTTAAATGGTGAACCAAATGTAATTATGTAATTGGTTTAAATGGCGTACCAGGTGTAATTATAAATTGTTATTAGTTTCATCGCTTTGATACATTATTTCTAACGTATAAAATTAGAGTCGTACTATTATTTCTATGAATTTTTATATTATTTTATTATTGTTGATTAATAATAAATATAATTTGAAACCACACAGTGCTATAAATCTACTTAAAAAAACAATTTTCCTTACTAGCAACTGCAATGTTGAAAAGAATATCAATTCAATAGAAGAAAAAACTTACTGTATAATTCGATTGTCATCATTAGTTTTTTCTTGTGGCATTGAGACACTTCTATATTGTAAAGCATTATAAGTTTTCCAGAATAGATATTCTCTATAATATTTTAGCCCTTCATAAAGCGCAGCCATAATAACTATACCAATTATAGAACCAACGAGACCAGCAAGCGAAGAGATTTTCCATGCATCGAAAAGGACGACTTCACAAAAACCTCCATGAAAAGTCATCTAGAGAAGTAGAGAATAATGTAAAAATTAAAATTACCAGAGCATTAAAATATTTAAACAACTCACCGTCATTGCATTTGCAGCATGGGATGTGTGAACTGAACATGAGCTGTCAGCAGAAGTGTGTTCGAATTTCATGCCAGTATGACCCATATAATTATTTGAATTAGTATGTTCCGAATGAGCTATTTCGTGCATGTTGTTTACACCTCCATGTTGCTGTGAGTGTAATAAGTGACTTCCGTTGACGACAAGAGTGGTCAGATGAGCCAAATGGTCTTCATGCATGGACATTTTGTCTTTTCTAGAAAAATTATAACGAATTTTGTAATTCTTTTGTTATTAAAATATAAACCGAATAACATTATTAATAATTTTACTCAAAATTAAAAATATTTTATTATTTTATTATAGATATTAGTAAGCTTTTCATAAGTCGAAAAATTTATTAAGAGATGATATTTTGTAGAGATTTACCAGAAAAAGTTATACGAGAACTAACTCTATAATAACTTGTATATAGAATAAAGTAAAATAGAACTAAAATAACTCGTATAGTGAAACCATATATTGGTTACGCTGTTCTCAATACTCAATAAAAAAATCTCGATTACGAAATAAAGGCATATGTAACGATAAACTCTGGTAGCTGATTGTTTACATCGAAAATAATATAATTAACGCATCAATTATTATATTTTTAAATAATGAAAAATTGTAATTGTTATTGATAAACTTTAATATCTAATTAATAAAACATCTTTGAGCATATATATTGAAATATTAAATATTTGTAAGATAGTATCATAAGTGTAAACAAATTATGGTTACACTTTCTTAAAAAGTTAGCACCAAGTGTTTTTGCACCTGAAAATTAGAGGTCAAGTTCTTAGATTAAAATTTGAATAAGAAATTGCACATTAAGTAAGATTAGAAGTTCTCCAAGTTCTTTCGTAACTTCTTATGATCGGTTTTCGATTTATGAAATTACCATACAGTATAAGTTCTTGGATAAGCATCAGTTCTATACACACAATAACTAATTCATGTCTGTGATTTTTTTTATGTACTAACAATAAGTAGCCGCTGCTTCAGCTACGTGCAATTTATGTTGACCACAGAGTAAAACAAGATAATGAATCAACAGCGGAAACCCAGATAGGCAATAAAAAATATTTCAAGCTGATATTATTAGTTTCGGAAGTTATAATATTGCAGCTTTTGATTCGTACACATTTTTATTTATTAACAATAAAATGTACTTGAATATCATGCTTTAAAAAAATTAGCACGAATTATAATTTTGGTGCGAATTTGTGTCTAATTTATTATGGTCAAGAGATTTTAAAATTCCATACATCTATATTATTTGTGAATCGTACTTTTGCTATAACAGATCGTACTTGCAGATAAATGTATTCAATGAACGAATGGAAATTGTTCTATAAATTAATGTTTTCAGCAAGTAATACTTACGATTTCCTGATATAAATACTATTACGAATAATTAGAATATGCATGATGAATAACCATTAGCTTTATTAACAATTAGTGGTGTGGCATAAATAAATTTATAAATTGAAATTTCATACTTATTTAAAATTTCATATGGATATTCATGAAGTCTTATAAAGCGTACCAATTAAACCATTTGGTCCACACTTATAAAGTTAGATAATTAAAAAATTAATAGTGTAGAATAATTTTATGAGGTCAGGGTATTAGAGGTTGCAATTAATAAATAAATAGCAGAATTAATCGATAACTGAAATTATGATTTCTAACTAGTACACTTCCAACTGAGACTCTAACGCTTAGAACATGAACTCGGTAAAGGACTTCTGTGTCGTCACACAGCCGGATTTCTTGGAACTGACGCTAAGGGCTGTTTGAAGCCCGCTCTCGCTTTTCGAGGGTACAATCCCCTCTCACACTCTCAGACGCTTTTTACTATCTCGCTCTGTAGTTTTCCACCTTACTTACGCCTACTCAAGGACAAATCAACTGTCTTTTTCATTTTTTACTCTATCGCACTCCTATACATACTACTACAATCCCATAATAGTGTTCTTCAAATTAGGCCATTCAATAAATATCAACATAAAATACTATAGCTGTTAAAATAATAATATCTTTAAAATTGGAAATTATTCCTTATTATAAAATCAAGCGGTTTTTAATAATTCTTTAATATTGACCGAATTACTCTTTAATTGATTTTTAATTTATTACGTTGAGAGACTTATTATTTCAATATATATAATATTAATCAAAATCAGAAAGATACGCAACACTCCCAAAAATTAAAGGGTAAGTAACTTTACGATAATTTAAATTGATTTCAATTGGTATTTTTGATTTTTTTGAACCTATGAGACGATGCTTTACATCGTCATTGAAATCATCTCCACTATGCTTAAAATATGTATTCTACACTTGAACTGACAGTAGTAATGCTTGAATTAACTTCCATATACACAGTATATAACATTTTTTTATTGCACAAAGTTTATTTACAAACTGTCTTACAAATTTAAATAATAAGTAAATTTTATTGTTATATGAAATATACTCCGCAACAAAATTAACGCACCACTTAATTCTAATGAAAAATTGTTAATTTTCGAAGGTTGATATCTCAAGTAAAAAAGATCGTAAAACCTTCAGACAGCAAGAAGAATAGGGGTTCATCATTCGACTGTTTCTCGAGTTCTGTCTTGATTCAATGAAACAGGTGCTTATACTTAAAGAGCAGAGCAAGGTAGATGACGCATAACAATTGCTCGTAAGGCCCGTTGCATAAATCGTGCAACCTTGCGTGAACCGGTAAGAAATGCACAACAATTTCATTATTATACAAATTAGACATACGCAAATTAGTTTGCCAACAATAAGAAGACGTCTTTACAAATCAAGTTTAAGATCGCGAATTCGTGCTAAAGTACTTTTTCTCACAGAGATCTAGTCTGCACTATGCTAGGAATTATGGACAATGGACGGTTGAATAATGGATGAACATTTTGTTCACAGACGAGTCACGATTTTGCCTGTTTGGAAATGATACTCGAACATAAATTAGACGTCGACGCCGAAGTGGCCACACCAGGTATTAGAACTTTTCAAATAATCGGCTCTTTTAAAGACTACCCCATCCACTCACACACGTGCTAACACACGCGTAAACTAGACATGCACAAACATACATACACACACATGATAAACTAAAAAAGCGCTTTTTAAGATGATTTTTTAAAATGATGCCAATTTTTAAAAGACATTTTTAAAACACTTTTTAAAATGATGCCAAATTGTCAATAAAGTCGTAATCTTTCGTGTTTTACATTCGTTGAGTTTAATCTTTCGTCAAATAATAGGCAAATAGTTGTATTTTAAGGTGCAATGATAAAAATTATCAAGAAAAATTCACCTAGGTGCAGGTGCATTGCGAAATTGTGCAAATTTTGTAGTTTGAAAATTATCTGGACTTTTAAGCTCGCATAAGTTAAGGTTGTGTTATCTTAAAGTAGAGACTTTTTTCTTTCATTTAGAAACAACTTAACACTCTTAATTTTTTTTACAGATTGTACGTATATGAGATTCAAGAGAATACTCCAGTGAGTATTCTGTCTTTATTTTAGAATGTAATAAAAAGATTAGGATTTATCTATGCATTCATTAGTTTATGTTTCTTGAAATTGGTGTTTGTGATGGTTGTCTTAAGAAAATTGATGATAAGTTTATTTGGGTGATTTTATAGACTGGTGGTATATTTTGCGTAAAATTTTTTTATTTCTTCTTTAGCTATTGAAACCTATAGGTTATTTTGGATAATTTCGTTTGAGACGAACTATGAAGCCCGTACAATGTTACGTAGGATTCAATTGAAATTTTTCCAGGATTTCAATATTCGAGTTTGAAACTGCACCGCATAGTTAAATGCTATAAATCCATACTGGTTTGAATACAGCTTTGTATAGCAATAATTTATTTTCGGTTGATAGCTCCGATTTTTCTCCGATGAGCCAATACATTTTCCTCCATTTCAGTCTCAGCTGTTTAGGTTTCGTGAATATATATTCTTTCCACGTAAGTCTCAGATCTAGATATACACCTAAATATTTTACATGGTTGTTTTACAAAATGTATTTGTTGTTGAGTCTAATAGGTGGCGGGTGTCTTTTCGAAGTGTGTATTATTTAAATCGTCGTATGTATTAATTTGCTTTAATTTACTACAATTCTCTATGAGTTGAGTCAAATTTGTAGACCATTATCTATATAATTTTAACTAATTTAGATGCTGAAAATTTTTTTTAATCCAATTTTAGAGCCAACCCGTTCAAAAATTGGATTAAAAAAATTTTTTGCTGAACAAAATGGAGAGTGCTAATAATAACATAATTTAGATGCTATTTTTGCCTCACACACACACACACACACATACGCGCGCGCGCGCATATATATATATATATATATATACATGTGATAATGTTTGTATCATCTGCGTATGTAGCTGTTATGATGTTTGGAAACTTCGGTAAATCAGTGGTGAATAGTAAGTACAGTGTTCACCCTAGTACACTACCCTGTGTAATTCCAGCTTTTATTAGCTGTGTCGTTTCATATTTTTATTTTGAATTCAAACGCTCTATTTTGTAAGTATGATTGAAGTAATTCGTAGTGTATTTTTAAAACATGTTTGGATAAACTTGTTTGAAGTTTATGCAAAAGTATTTTATGTCATACTTTATTCAATAATTCAATGATATGACATCGGAATAAGTCGGTAAAATATTGCTTTTCCTCCATAGATCTCCTTGCAGCAGCTATTTTGTTTACTTATTCTATCATGGAGTGGTTGCATTTGAAAGCAAATTGATGGCCTGGCATTAGTTTTTTGTTTATTATTATGGAGTTAATTCTAACTAGAATTACATTTTCATCAATTTTTGAAAGTACTGGTAAAAGACTAATGGGTCTGTATGATGTGACTAGTTCAGTTTCTCTACCGGATTTAGGGATTAGTATAATTTCTACCACTTTCCATTAAGTGAGAAAATAGCATAGACAAAGTCATGCATTAAAAACGATTCTTAAGTACCTTATTGCTATTGTAGGTAGCTTTGTAATTATAGTTCCTGTAATATTATCAAAACTGTCTGCCTTTTTTATTAATATTTTTGATTAATTATAATACTTGCTTCATTTTAACTACTTCATTTGGTGTACTATCGTGGACATCGAGATCTTCTAGAAAAGTAATTTCTTCTAGTTTTGCGATAATTCTTTGATGAGGTTAGGATACTATGTGATTTGCAGATGTCTCAATTTTATCCTCGTCTGATCTGGTCCATTTACCATAAGCTTTTCTAATGGGCGGATAAATGTAGTTGATCTTTTTAGTCTTTTGGTAACTTTCCATAGTGAGTAATCCATTGACTCTGTTGGACTGATAGGCTATTACTATAGGCTTTTTGGGTAGACCTAAGTTTGGTACATCTGTTCACCTCGATGATCAAACGCTCAATAAGTGTATAACATGTCTGAGAGATTTTTTATATATTAACTAACCGCTGCTTCAGCCGCTTGCGAGTTACGATCAACGATATAAAAACAAAATACTATTTTTTAAGACGTCATTTGCCCGTAATTCAATAAACTAGTCCTCGAATGTATTCAATAAAATAAGCTTTTTTAATCTTATAGAGGTAGCCATTTGAAAATATTACGTTGTGTTCACATTGTTATACCCTAATTATAATTTAAATAGTCGTTGGCATCGAGCACTACGTGTGCGTTTATAATGAACTTTGTTTTAATTATTTTGCAGTAGGAATTAAAACTATATAAAATTTTTTAAATTATATTAGAGTTTTGATTTTGTTAGAAAATTTATTAATCTTTAAGTTATTTAAGCAAATGCATATATCAAATGTGGCGTAGGTTATACGCATGCAATTGTAAATGAGTAAAAGTTTTGAAATATCAAATAATTGAAAATAAATAGAAAATATATTTCCTAAAAACAAAAAAAAACAGGTATAAAGCATATAAAGATACCTATTAGACGCAATACTCATGGTATACAAACGATTTCAACCGATAATTTTATGATTGATTTTTTTTAAAGCAACAACTACTTACTGGAAGTAGTGCTATTAGATTCTTTGGTAAATGGTACACAGAGACAAAATATCATTAAGGAAATCTTTCATCAAGTAACCTTTGTCGTTTTTAACTTTGACCAATCCTGATATTTATTCCTCAATTTTCGTTAATATTTGCACAATGAACAAAGAAACAGAAATGTTTCCGTAAACATTATCAAAAAACATCAAGTAATATATATAATGTAAATTTAACCGTACATTAATGTGAATCAAACCGCATCAGAAGAAAAGAAAAAAGTTATCTTTAAAAAAATTAACTTTCTAGATTTATCAATGAATTATTATCTATTAATAAATTTATTGCATGATAAGTGAATATTACAAATTTTTATAATCAATAATTACGTAAAAAAATTGGATGTATTGCTGAATTCGTTATGATTATACTTCCAATCTGCTCTGATTATAAATTGTAATTTCGGACAAAATTAAAACTGATGTAGAGCAAAATCAAAGTTGACATCAATAGTCCAGTTATTCGCGTACTTTCTTTTTCAATTTCATATTGATATTGATTACTTTTTAATAATTTTATGTATGTTAAATATACAATATATCAACTTACGTTTGTTAATGTATATAAGTAGATTTACACAGTAAACTATTATTTAGAATCATAATTATGCATTTTCACGTGTTATTATTTGAATATTAAAGGCTTGCAATTAGCCACCGAAGGTTTCCAAGGTATCGTAAAATCGTAGGTTTTTTTTACGATTTTACGCTTTTCGACTGACAGTAAAACAAATAATCTGCAAAGAAATCATTTTTTATGATAATTAGGAACCAGAAAAATGTTGTTTTAGTTTTTAACCATTATTAATATATTGGTGCATTCTTGCAAAAAAATAATTTCATTCTTATAAATAACTGGACACTGATTTTGAAGTTACGTTTTCCCTCGATGATCTACAAAGACATTATTAACATCCTGGGCTTCCCACATTACTACGCCAGCGTAGCCAAAGAATGGAATTTCTGGAGTCAGCCGACGCTATATATTTTCAGCAGTGAGAAACAACCAACTATCGCACATTGGAATTTGATATACAGTTACTGATTAACTGACCACAGTTCAAGATAGTTGATTAGTCGATAAGTTACACCGGACGAACTGGATATGAACAATCATAACAACATTCAATTGTAAATTGCAAGTTGCTATTGTAATGCAGTTTATATTGGTCAGTCTTCAAGGAAGATAAAAACAAATATTTTCGAACATAAGAGTGATTGTAAAAGAAAAGACAAAAAGTCTGCTATAGCTATATATTGTATTAATACTGGTCATAATTTCGAATTTAATAAGGCAATGATATTAGATATAAAGTATAATTTGAATAAATGTTTATTTTATGAAATGGTTCACATTTATTTTCACAAATCAAACATTCACAGACAATTTAACACATTAAAGTTGAAAAATTGCTATAAAGAATTAACTGATAAAGTGTCTGAATGTTGAAATAATACTTTTGCAATATACAATATTTCGGCTAATATAAATTTAAATTTGAATCGTTTTCTTTGATAGTATTAAAGAAATTATAGTGAAAATCAATGATTAACGTTAATTATAAAACTCTTAAATCATTTTTACAGTGTTAGTTAATTATCAATTAAATTATTTGAATAAGTTGGTTTCAATCTACAAATCATAAGTCCTATGGTTTGATTCGTGTATTTTATTTCCGTACACATGATGTTCGCGCTTCTGACGTAACTAGTTCGATAAAAAAATATATCAATCTGACCACGATATTGATTTCTGATACTAATTTGTCAAATTTATGTTTTCTGATACCGTAACATCTAGAAAATTCAATTTATTTTCAACTTTAACATCCATTATAAATTTTAAGTCATTATGGTATTCATTGAACATTCGAATAATTGTATCTATTTGGCGACGTTTGATATTTAAAAAAGTATCATCCACATATTTTATTAATTTAAGAATGGATAAGTAAGTCTTCTCGATCCATTAGTATTCCTCTGATTTGTTAATGGAATTTTTTATCAAAGGAGAAATATATGTTATCATATACAAATTTTGTAACATTGAGGATTTCAGAAAATTGAATCTTGCAATTATACTAATATTATTAATTCTACGATCTAAGTCTTAAAGTACCGAATTAGGAGGTATATTTGTAAATAAAGAAACTACCTTTATTTAATAAAAATTCGTAAGTATTTTTACGAATTCAAAACTGTTGTGAATGTTTTATTCCAGAACTTTTCTCCTACGTTTAAGATTGTGATATAAAAATTTCGCTATGCTATATTTTCGGCTGTTGATTAAAGAAATAATTGGACGCAAACTAGTGCAAACTGTCTTACGTATTTTTATAAACTTTTGCTAAAGTTATGTCAGATTCAGTCAGAAATGTATAATTGTACTTGTGATCTTAATACTTATTATTGTTCATGGATCGAGGTGCTGTCGAAATTTCTGTTTTATCATAATAAAGTTTTTGAAGAGGTTAACGAACCTGAAAACTTTATGGCAGGTGAGAACGGTGGTTAAAAATCATAAGAATGTCATTAACTATCCTTGACATCAGTAATAATTTCTCATTTTCAATTTACTAACAGAAAACACCTAAAAATCGGAATTTTTGTGGAATCAAAGAATAGTCTCTTTTCTATATATCAATTGTTTTTGTCATTTTTATAGTGATGCGATCCAGAAGTTGTCTATTCGAAAATTTTACTTTTAGCGTAAAATATACGGACCGTAGATTTTTCGATGAAGATCCATATGATTAATAAAATAATCTACAGCATACATACATGTATATATTCAGAGAGGTTAGAGAACTGCATTTCACAATCTTATTTATGATGTTGTCAAAAAAATTTTAAATCTAACCTTTCTAAATCAGAACAAAGTAGTCGTTTGATAATTCGATATATAAGCTTCTATGTTTTATCGTGAATAACGTTTTAACTTTAACAGCTGCAATGTGAATTTCGAGTGCTACTTTTTGCTTTTATGTATACTATACTATATACGTAATACTAATGCAATACAGTACTACCACACCAGGGGCAGAATTCTAGATCATTTGGTCGCGCGTACGGTATTAACAGAGTTACGAGTAAAAGTTTACATATAAAACAGTAGCCGTGATACTATTGTCAAGGCAACAAACATTAGTCCATTCCTAAATATAAGAATGTGGAATATTCAAAAGTGGACAAAAAATATATTTTATTGATACGTCGTAAAATACCAATTAACTACATATGTAGTATGAGTACTTTATTTCCATACTTGTCCATACATATAAAATTAAGAATGTTTCATTTAAGTAATAACTATAGCTAATAGCAATATTAATTTATTCATGATTATATTCAGACCGTGCCAGCACGCTGTGTTATCTGAAAAGTTGGTATAGGAATGGTTCAAATAAATGTAATAAATATCAGAAAAATATAAAAGAATGAGCGCGCGAAGTGCGCTAAATGATACTAGTGTACAATAAAAATTTAACTTAACATATTCTTTTTAGACAAGTTTTCAATCAAAATATTTGAATTCGGCGCAACCTAGAATAAGAAACACGGTCAGCCAATCGTGTACAGTAGACCGAGCATTAATTCTGCGACGAGAAACCGGGAAAATGGCGGGATAGCATCGCTGCTTCGCAATTGCATTGCATGATCATCACAATCGCTGTATAAGACCCCCTCCGTTCCTGCCTGTATAATCTATATAAAATTAAAATAATTATATATAATTGATAGATTTTTATTTACCTAATTCAAATATGCAAGCCAATTTATTTGCCCCATTACGATTTTATCAGAAAAAATTAATAAAAGTGATTGCAATTACTGAAGACTTCAACGTGTCGAACTTTTCTTTAATGATTATTTTTAATTTTATTAAATTTAAAAAAACTGTCTCCGAGCTGATTTACTTCGTTCAATTAAATAATATAATTAATGATAAATGTTTTTTTTTAAACATTAATCAACTGTTTTTTGCCGAGAGCATATCAAGCATTTTTATGTACAGCGCATGCGTAACACAGTGAAGGCTGTTTTGTATTTTTATTCAAAATATTATATTCCATCTAGTTCTCAATATTACAATGTAGTTCCACGTCGCTCCGCGAGATGTCACACCTTTATCGACCAAGAAGAAAAGAGCGGCAGTGGCGTAGTTCGAGCCGGCGCCGTTCGCTCTTCGTACCGTACCTCATATCTTTTCGTGCGCGCGTACGAGTCACACCTTCTCGATCGTTGTCTTGCCGATATCGCGAGTGCTGGTGAAATCGTTTTTGTTTTCGGTTGAAATGACTAAGAGGCAGGCCGGTCCCGGTGACTATGAACGTTGGAAGCAATTCATGTCGGAATTTGGAAACTCTACCTCCTTTGTTCGACAGAAGCCCTCATACGTCTGATGACGAAGAGGTCAGCGAAGAAAATTCCGCGTCTTTACCTACTTCGCCTGTCCCAGAAAGTACACATAAGGAAGACAATGATAATATTGGTAATATATAGTTATCATGATATTCCTTTAATTCTTAGTCCTCGAGAACACCCCCCCCCCAACCCCCATTATTCTTTGTTTCAGACGGTGTTCCATAGCTGTGTTCCAGGAAATTCCAAATCATGCACTCACTTGTAACGTTTTTATTATGATCATAATAAAAATGAACATAAAAATTCTTGATGTTAAGAGAATTCATGCATTTATTATCATAATTGCATATACCTTATCAGGTCAAGGAGGCTTATAGCCTCCAATTCTTTATAACCATTAGTATAATTCTAATGTGTTAAAATATTTCAGACAACAGGGAGACTTTGCATGTGGATCCTGACATCAGAGACATACTAGGCTTAGATGAAAAGGACGACAAGGATAAACTTCCTGTTGTTGACCCAGCCTTAGTACTTATCTGGCAAAAGCTTATCAACACCGGCTTGAAAAAAGAAACTCACAATGAGATTATGCTGAATTACCCTAGGTAATTGAACCATAATATGATATTATATAATATCCTTATGGTGCTGCATTTCTTGAGATGCATGACAATTTATTATCATATAATTGTTTCACCTTGATGCAAGGATGATAATTCTAACTTCGGGTTAGAAAGTGGATTTATTCAATTAAATCCTACTTCTTCTCTTGTTTACAGCAGCCAATTAAAAATGAGCTATAACAAGCAAAAATGCTTAGCATTGTCGTTTATACTACATGCTCATTATTATTCATAATAAATATGAATTATTCATGTATATCTGTCATGGAATACCAGAATTCGAGCCAAAGAAACTGAACCCTGAAATTGCAGACTCGCTTGCATCTAATCATACTAAGAAAGATGCTCATATGCAGGAATTACAGAAAATAGCCGGATCTTCACTCATGGCTATAGGATCGGCACTATCAGTCATCATGAATGACGATGACTGCGACAAATTGCAGATCGTTAGATGTCTCAACGATGCAGCTAAAATGTCGATTATGATGCATCATTCTATATCTGTATCTAGAAGAGCCAATATATTTATTCCTGATTTAACACCTCAAGTCGTAGTACTTATTAAGAAGGCTGAGATTGACGATACTTTGTTTGGCAGTAACCTTGCGGATCGTATCAAGGAATCTAAAGCGCTTACTAAACTGTCTTAAGAGATAAAACTGAAGCCTAAGCCACATTTTAAGCCATCTATTAAGAAGCCTTTTTTTCGGAAGAGCCTGCAGCAGACACAGCCTCTCTCGCAGCGGAAGGGCAACTATATAGGCGCGAACCAGAACAAGCCTGCGTTCAAAAACAAGCAACAGTATTTCAACAATACCAAGACAGAACGAGAAAATACTCCTCCGGTCAACAAATAAATGTTAGTATTGCAGGCAGACTAAAATTTTTTGCTGAAGAGTGAGAGAATATTGGGATTAACAATCACGTATTACAAATAATCAAAGGTTATAAAATTTCCTTTTTCACTGAGACAATTCAGTTACACCCGCCTATTATTAACATTCCTAGTAGAGATGTAGAACGATACAAGATCGCCATAGCCAATTTACTTGACAAGGGCGCAATCGAATGCTGTAGCTCTTCTAATTGTCAATTTCTTTCGTCCTACTTTCTAATCCCCAAGAAAGACGGTGTTTATATTGATACTAAAATTTCCAAGAAATTGATAATATAAAATGCGTGAGTTCAATAAAAGGGGGATTGACTGGATAAAGCTGGGCAAGGTCCTGAAATCACAACTACAATAATCAAGAAGAAGAAAAACAAATATCGGTGCATTTATTAACAAAATTCAAAGTGATTTTTGAAAGCCTAAAAAATAAAACACAATTACATGTGAAAAAAGAAAGCCGTAAATAAATTATAAACTATGAAAAATTACAGTGGCGTTCATATAAATTTTCGCCGACTAAAGTTGAGACAACGAAAAACACATATTTATTAGCGGATGCATCTGAAAACGCACGCATACAGAGCTCTCTTACTTACGCTGGTATACCAAATGATAAACAAAAACGTTGATCGCAGAAGATGGCCAACACTTACGTGTCCTGGTACTCCAACGTCTTGGAGCAGGTACAGCCTTTGCACCAGGACCGCGTTGGACTGCTTACTGCGTGCAAGCAGCGCTGTCGCAAAGGTGGGACCTTGGAGTCGCTGCTGTTTTGCGCTGTGGCGCACAACGAACGCACTCCACGAAGCTGCAATTGCTTCGCCCGGATCAATAATGATTAAACACAACCACACACTAGAACCCGACACGGTATCGCAATAACAAAACAACACGAAGATTCGCGGATCGCTACAATATTGAAGACCTCGGGCTGCTACCGCACGCGTCGGACTCTCGCACGTTAGTGGAAAAATATTTGAGTCCGACGTCTTATTTTTAAAAAGTCTGCCGAGTGGGCGTCTCTTTGGGCCTTTGGGCCCCTTGCAGGGGGTCCAATTAGCGAGCGAGGGAAGAGTGACCCCGCGGACTCTCCTTGGACCGATGGACATCTGGCGAAGGTGTGTTGGAATCCTTTTTGTTTTGAGAGCCCGCACATCGAACAGCGAGACTGGGTCTCCTTTTTCAGGTGTCGGTGATTTATGACGACTGACAGTTTAAGTGGCACATGCCACTCGTTTCGGTTCCGGGAACTGTCTGGGTTTTCCCCAATATTCACACATTCATGAAGAGAGAAGGATATTGCTAAACACGTGTGAACAGCAAGAACACGTGGACACGTCGCTAGCGCAGACAGCGCGAACAGATGGTACTGATAGATTCATTCTCAATCTTAAGAAATTGAATTCTTTCATTCAGACTGATCATTTCAAGCTTGAAGATCTTAGGTCAGTTAGTCACCTCATTTCACCTGGTTGTTACATGTCTTCAATTGACCTTCAAGATGCCTATTTTATGATTCCGGTTAACGTAGGATCTAGAAAACTTCTTAGACCAATCCTACCAATTTACTTGCGTACCTTCTGGATTAAGTACAGCCGCTTTCATTTTTACTAAGGTTATGGAATCTGTTGTTCAATATTTAAGAATCAGAATCATTTATTTAGATGATTTTATTTTCATCACCGAAAACAAGTCTGACTGTTCTCATATTGTCCACACAGCACTAGAGCTTCTGACTAGTCTAGGATTTTTTATCAATGGGAAGAGCGTTCTAGTTCCATCTCAAAAATATAAATTTTTAGGTTTCAACATTAACTCAATTGATTTTACAATTGAACTACCAGACGATAAGAGAAATCGCATCTTGGAGCTTCTAGGTAACTTCCAGCGTAAAGCTCGCTGTTCTATTTTAGAACTTGCACAGATTGTTGGTAAATTGGTCTCTTCATGTCCAGCAGTTGACTACGGTTGGCTGTACACAAAGATTCTCGAGTCCTTCAAGTTTAATTCCCTGATACTGAATAATCATAATTACGCAGTCATTATTACTCTGCCATCTTACATTCATCAAGAAATATCATGGTGGCAGAAAAGCATCAGAGTCTCTATTGGTTCGATCAGATCAACCACCTTCGATAAGACTATTTTCACGGACGCATCCAACTCGGGTTAGGGTGCTACAGATGGCATGAATAGCATTCGCGGTGTCTGGGATGAGAATCAGAGGCACTTCCATATCAACTATAAAGAGTTGCTTACGGTTAAATTCGCCTTGCTCCATCTAGGTAATATCCAAGTAGGTAGCCAAATTCTTCTTCGCATAGACAATACCACAGCCATTTCCTACATTAATAAGATGGGTGGTATTCGGTTCTCTAAGTATAATAAACTCTCAAGAGAGATTTGGCAATGGGCTGAAGAAAGACGTATTTTTTTATTTGCCTCATATATCGCATCAGCCGACAACGTTGAAGCTGATGCTCTCTCTCGCATCAATAATAACGATACAGAATGGGTGATTTGCAACCGTGCTTATAAATTGATCGTTCATAATTTTGGTAACCCGGAAATCGATTTATTCGCTAATAAACATAACACTAAATGCCTTCAATACTGCTCATGGTTTCCCGACTCAGAAGCATATTTGGTTGACGCATTTACTACTAAATGGTCAGCCTTTTACTTTTATGCATTTCCTCCCTTTTCTCTAACACGCAGGTGTCTCTCCAAGATTGAAAGAGAAAAGGCTTCGGGTATTATAGTGGTACCAGACTGGCCAAATCGGCCTTGGTATCCACTTTTTAATTCTTTTATATCAGAGAAACATGTTTTCAAACCTAGACCTGATTTGTTATTGTCGCCTTGTAGGACAATTCCTCATCCAAGAGCGACAACTCTGTCCATGATAGCCGCAAAAATATCAGGACAGCTTACATTATGAATGGTATTTTTCCGGAAGCGGCGGAATATATATTATGGCAGCCTCGATCTCCAAGTCAACTTCGGTGCAGTACAATGTAGTCTACAATAAATGGTTCAAATTCTGTGAATGCCATAACTTCGATGCATACAAACCAAATAAGAATTCTATTTTACGTTTCTTAACGGACAGATACAAGGATGGAGTAAGTTATGGGACTGTCAATTCAGATAGATCGGCACTTTCCTTGATTTTGGACAACAAGATTGGAGCAGACGAGCACATTTCCAGATTTTGCAAAGGAGTTGCTAAGCTACGTCCGCCGAAACCTAAATACGCTTTCACATGGAATGTCGCTATTGTCCTCAATTATTTCAAGACTCTTCATCCGCTGGAAGAGTTAACATTTTCTCAATTATCTTATAAGACGGTTATGCTTTTATTATTAGTCACTGGCCATAGAGCGCAAACGATAGCTAGCATTAAATTAGAAAACATCTTATCTTCTAAAGATGGAGTCCTTATTTACATTACGGACAAAATGAAGATATCAGCCCCTGGCCAAATGCAACCACTGCTCTATTTACCGTTTTGTATCGATAACCCAAAGAACTGCGTGGCTACTATACTTCTCTATTATTGTAAAGTTTCTAAATCTCATAGATTAAACAATGAAAGAAAATGTTTCATCGCGACAAGAAAACCCTTTAAAGGTATCACTGCTCAGACTGTTAGTAGATGGGCAAAGCTGGTTCTAGAGAAGAGTGGAATTGATCTTACGATATTTTCTGCTCACTCGACTAGATATGCATCTACATCTTCAGCGCATTCTAAAGGAGTAGACATAGATACCATAAAAGAACTGCTGGCTGGTCAGCGGGATCTCAAGTTTTTGCAAGATTCTATAATAGGCCAATTGATTCTTAGTCTAGTAATTTTGTACCTTATGTCCCACGTATTATTATTAAGAACTCAAATAATAAATTCTGTAAATGCATGTTGATTTATTGAACTCTCTAAAGAACTACATATTAATATTGAGAACTAGATGGAATATAATAGTATAATCAAATGAACTTACCGTGAAGTTCGATTTAGATTATATTCCATCTAGTTCGAAGATATTACAACCCACCCCTTAAATCATTAGCCCTCGTCTCTCATGCTATCCCAACCCTCTTTTTCTTATTAATCTCACTTCAGTCTCTAAAGCATATTAGGTACGGTACGAAGAGCGAACGGTGCCGGCTCGAACCACGCCACTGCCGCTCTTTTTTTCTCGGTCGATAAAGGTGTGACATCTCACGGGGCGAAGGGGAACTACAAATGAAATGCTTCCACATGGCATACATTACTTTTTTATATGGGGATTAATCAATTATTATTATGAGTATTATTATGATATGATTTTATAAAATGGAAACTAAGCAGAATATTGATTAGGTTAGAGTTAGACGGTTAGTCTCGGAAGCGGGAGTTAATAGTGATATGATGGAATTGGTGTTGTGATTGAAGTTATTATATTGAACTTCAGATTTAGATGTACTAAAATCTCTCCTGTTCTCAACATTTGCAATTTACAAAACTATGTCATTTATTCCTTTGTGGCCAAATCTGCAACCGAGAGCTACAGATCCTCTCTGGTTCAATGCTGATAAACCAATTGATGATGAAAGTGAAGTAGTGTCATTAGAGCTTGAACATCAAACTTGGGTCTGATACAGCTTAATGTGTGTTATATTTTTCTATGTCCTATTTATAATAAATACAAATAAATTGCAGAGAGAACAAATTCAAGTGGAAGGGCATGACCATATTCCTATTGGCAAATCAGCAAGTGATGTAGGTTAATTTTGTTGCAGTTTACTCCAATTTTGAATACTACTAAACAAATTTACTTTTGGTATACAGTTTAGAAATTCAGAGGAAGAAGAAGAGGAAGAAGAAGAAGAGGAAGGTGAAGGAGAAGAAGAAGAAGATTCAGAAACACATGAAGAAGAAGAGGAAGAATTGGATGATATTGATATGGAAGTTAGCTATTCTCGTCAACAACAACGAACAAGTCCATTGGACAGTGGTACTGATTCCACCGTGATTAGAATGGTTAGTAGTTTCTATGATATATTTAAAAAGTTTTGTTTATTTGAACTATTAATAGTTACCACTTAATATAAAATTTTACATTACAAAGGTTGACCATTAAAAAAATGAGAGAATTAATTTTTTCTTTGTAGAAATATTACAAGGCAATATAAAATTTTATATAAAAAGAAATAACTAACATATCAGTCAATTAATAAGCAACAAATGTTAGTTTTATTTAGTCTTTATATTTTTGAATACTAATTCTGGCCAAAACTCTAATATTTACTATTTATTTTGACAAGTATACTTTTATTTCAGGATGCAACTGGAACTTGAAAATAATCTCAGTTTGTACAACAAAAGTTATAAGAACTTTCGTTGTTTTCAAACAGGTTGCACTTAAAAGTGATTGAAGAATAAATATTCCAGATAAAGAAATTATAAGAGGTAGAAAAGTCTGGTTGTTACATTTAGATTATATTACTAAATTAGATAAAATTATTTGAAAGTTTAATTTATCAACATTGTTTCCTTATTTAAAATTATTTTTAATAAATTTATAGTAATGTAATTATTAGAAATGTGATCTGCTAAGATTTAAACATTGATTAATGCGTTAAATGTTATTCGTGAGCTGATCTCAAGGTATCAAATAAATTGTAATTTGTTTATTAATATTTTCATAAAACATCAATAATTTTTGAAAAAATGTATATATTCTATCTGGAAATATTGATCAATCAATCAGTTTTTCGATTTATTCTAAACATAAACGTAAAACTAACTTTTTAATCTTGTATTTTCTTGAGTATTGTTGACTATGGCTTGAATCTAATTACAGCCATACAGTTTAGCAAATTTAAAATGGTGGAAGTAGAGTAATTATCGAATTGCTAATGCCTAATAGGTAAAAAGCGATAAAAAAGTTTGAAAAGTGAAAAAGGTATGAGGGAACAATATATCACTATTCGAAAGAAAGATATTTTTATGGATCTAAATCATGTGCCAGAAGTACCAAAATAAGTTATTAATATTTCTTAGATTTTAGCACTCATGAATAAACATTAATTTTAGAAAAAAAAAGAAAAATTAATATTTTTATTTTAATAGATGAAATCACCAAATTTATTTTAATTAAATGTCAAATTTTCTCTTTGACTTAATAACATATTATCACATTATTTATTCATAGTTCCATTTGAATTTTCTGTATAGTCTTTTAGTGGATATTCCAAGTAAAAAGGTAATATGGTTTACGCTATAAGAAATATATAAAATACATTAGGCTAGCGTAAGTGAAATATAGTGTCTCATTCGGAGAGTTGAAAAATTCGCCTGTCTTCGCACGACACGGCTGCTGGAAAAGGATTCTACATTTAGAAAAGATTTCAAGCCATGTATCGTTCATAATTCATTCATATAAAGTCTACCTACCTTATTATTTTTAAAAACAATGATTTAATAATTATTGGATCAGATAGAAATAAGTAAAGCTGTTCGACGATCGATCAATGTCTATTCCAGACATAACAGAACCATCCCGATAGATACACCGATACAAATACCTTTTTTGCTGATAAAATTGCAACTATTAAAAAGTTACAGCATTATGTTTTAATAAAAAAATAGTATTTTTATTTTATTTTATTAAGAATAACAAGGATGTCTTTTTATAAAACGTCAATAATAGTATAGAATTCATAAAAAAACTTGAACTAAAATAGTAAAACAACCGTTTTCAATTAACAATGAATGTATTGCATTTTTAAATTCATCCATAGGTATCTGCGAGGCTGTTCGGCCAAAAGTTTCACAGTCTTTTCAGCTGGTTAAGTTGTGTTAGTAATTATCAGTTGCTAAACATTTAAACAATTGTATCTGCGTATCATATTACTCTCTTGAAAGGGAAGCTTTGTTGTCGTTTTATTTGCAAATTTTTTAATATTTTGCTGTAGTTTTTTGTTCTTATCGTTTTTACAAGATCCAAATCTCCTGTATATAATTAATAAAAAGTTTTTCTATACATTTTTTATCAGAAATCTTGGGGCGAGATGATAAAGTCATGCTTTTATGGCATTTATCCGATGTGTGTGTAAATTAGTTACTATGACATATTTACTCGCGAGCATTTTAATAAATCTTTATCTTATATTCGGCGATATTGGAAAGTCAGTGAAAGATCTGTTTTTTTTTTGTTTCAAGAAGTTGGTGTTAACGTAAAGTAGGTGGTTCATATGGAGTTACTACGAGCGAAATTGCAGTAAGTTATTCTTAAGAAAGTCTTTCTTAATGTATAACAATAATAAACAAATTTAAAAATTGATAAATATATTAGAATTATTAGTAGAAAGAATAAATGTACATTATCAGGTTAGTAAAATATATATTTTAATAAATAAAAGTAAAATCATAATCAAGTGACAATATTTTACGCTAGTGAAATAGTACATTACGCACCAAGGGAAGGGAATTATTGGTAAGTTCATAGCTCGCCACTTTTCCTCCCGTATGCGTTTAGAAAAGTGAAAACTCCCACTCGTTCTAACAAAAAATAACTAGAATGTATTTAAAAAAAGTTATACATGACTATATTGAATATAAGTTAAGACATTCATGTAGTGGCAAGTTCGTCGTGATCATCTATTTTCACTTATAGTCATTTAAAACACTAGGTCGCCTACATTATGGTTCAAGGATTATACTGAAAATGTAAATTAATTAATGCTACTGATCTTCTGGCGCTAGTTCGAACTAGCGAAATCTCGTCAATGATATTTTATTTCTGTGTTGGTCATTACCAGTTTTACTGCTAGTAACAAAAAAGTAACAAAATTAAATTTGTTTTATTATGTATTTATCATATACAGATGTAAAATTTATGCCAAGATCATTGTTGGCGTTACGCGTTACTAAGAAAATTAATGATAATTCTCTGTTTCATTGATTTGTTGATTCGTTTTCTATTTTTCCAACGTCCTACAATATTTATCGCTAAATCCCTACGTTTATAAAAGTTAGTTATTTTCATATATATTGTAGCTTCATTTTTAGTTTTTTCCATACACTTTATTATAGAATGTAGTAATCGAATATGGAAAATGACCATAATAAAAATGGAATGATAGAGCAAGGAAGCGTCTATTAGATATTTTTAAAACAGAAGCAATCTTGAATATCAATAAAAACAACTATAAAATGTTAAGAGATATATGTAATATATTTATTTAACGATTCTATCACGAATATTAGGTAAAATAACGCATCTTCATGAAATCTTGGTTGTAATTTGTGTTTATATTCTTATTTATAGACTTATTTTATCTTGGAAATTAACGAATTTTTGCAATAGAAAATCGTCATACGCGTAAGAAATTTAAAAATGATGTTCAATATACAGGAATAACCAATTTAGAATGAGAGAGAGAGAGAGGGAGAGAGAAAGAGAGAGAGAGAGAGAGAGAGAGAGAGAGAGAGAGGAGGGAGATGTATCAAGTAGAGGGAGGAAGAAAAGTTGTAACGGTGACGGCATGGTGTGCGCGCGACTCACAGACTCAAAGTACTTGGCTGATCGTATACTCACAAGCCACGGCTCAAGCTCTGACTACCGAGCAGAGCGACCCCTGAGCTTCAGTCGGGTGAGCGTTCACAAGCACGCGACACGTGCAAATTGCTGCCAGAGTGTACTGGCTCAAGTCACATTGCTTAGAAAACCACGTGTTACTTTACTAAACCTGTTACTTGCCGTTTATTTAATTGTTGCTCTTAGACATTCCTTATCGAGCTTTCCCGCCCTCCTTGGTAACATCTACATCTCTCCTACTGTTTGAAACGCTTCATATTGCTAATCGTGCTAGAAATCTATTGTTTGCAAAAAAATGTGACAATTTGCATTATGAGTAGTGAATTGAACAAGTGTGCGTAACAAGATTTAATAGAGAATGACGGAATGAGCGTCAAGTAAAAGTAAGTCGACGAGTGATATATCAAATGGTTTTACTGAACACGTGCCGATTTAGACAAATGTACGCAAGTAATGAAAAAATTGCTCACGATATGGATTTGCGAAATGGCAAGAATTATGCGAATTCACGAGGACTACTCAGATATAGGCATAGCATATAATTTTGCTATTTCAGATGCTTAAACGGCACAACAATATAATCAACAGGCTAGGGCAGCCTTAATTAACGTGTCTATGCATAGCTTCGTTGACAATAACGACAGCATTGTAAGTGGAATGGCAGACACTGATCGACTATAATCAGTAAGTCTAAAACTGTGGATGCTTTTACAATAAGTGTTTTTTTTACGATCCGTACGTAATTTGAAATATTCTTTAACCAATTATCGCTACGCGCTGTTAATCTGTCCTATTAATAATTTTGTGATTATTATTTTAAGAATTATGCAAAATAATAAGCCAACCAATCGGCACAACAATTTTTTGCAGTTATTTTATTATTGAAAATAGTCAACAACGAATCTTGGGCAAGCAATGTCTTGATTAAAAAAGAAAAACGATTGAAGCATAAGTACAATTTCAGTAAGCTACCGAGAAATACAAATTGGCTTGTGAGCTGTAGCAAGTGAGAAATACTATGTTGTTTGTGCACGGCCCTGCGAGGTCTCTGACCGACCGTCCGCGCCTCTCAACTTGCCAAGCTTACAAGTACTTTGCTTTTTCTGGTATTATACGTTGAGCTTAGTCACTTTTATTTTCAAGTCAACTACGTCCATGTGCGCGGCTATTGCTTGAACATCGTACTTTTACGAGTCAAAATTTATTGCTAAATTAATTTGCTACCAAATGAATATGTCAATCTTGGTACTTCTTATGGGTTTTACGAGCAATGATAACTTGTAAAAGTCTGTTTGTATTTGAAATTTCGCGAATCATTTCCAAATAGATGACCATAAAGTTCGTGTTATATGAAAACTTGGAAAAGTTTCATGTTATACAAACGACACAAATGCTGTATACAAACCATTCGGGAAAATTATGGTAGGGCGCGAGTCAAAATACATATTTCTCGACTAAATAGCGTAGAAAAAAGTCTGCTTAATCATTCATTATTATACGAAAAGTTAAATCGCCAGTTGAACAAAAAAGTACTAATATATTCTACGAAAACATGAAAATCCATCGATAGGTCTTATGGACAAAAAGTAAGAAGAAGCACAAAAGATCTGAATGTAAATATAGTGGCGATCATCTGAGTTTGGTGGGGCGCTGTTGCGCCCTGCGTGAAGACTACCGCGTTGGTTGCTTGCTGCTCGCCTCTCCTCTGAGTCTTTGCCCGCTCTGGTGCATTGACCGCGGTTGACCACACGTCATCAAATGTGTGACGTCACGGCGACTACAGCAGAACGTAGTGTAGTAAGTTAGCCTACGTCACGCTTCGCCACCGCTGAAATTGTTCATCTTTCATTTTTCTTACTCGCTCCTGCAATTATTCTTGTCAAACATTTCCTTTTTGACAACACTACGATTCTATTCATCCAATATATATTGTCAGTCACATCATATGGCGAAATTGTGCAATTATTTTAAATATTTATGCTTAAGTAAGAACAATCAGAACAATAAGATTAAGAGCTTATTTAGATGTGAAAATTAATTGAAAAGAACATTCTCGAACACTGTCCGATCAAAGACAATTAATGTAAGAATTTGTTAAAACAACACAGACCAGTGTACACTATGTAGAAGTGCATACTGTGTAAGATCCTTTGCTTTCGAATTTACTGCGATTTCAATTTCGTATATTTCAGTTTGAATCGGTCATTTGTTAATTGTTTTAATTTAAATAAATTATTTTATTGTTAATTGTTCTGACATTCATGATTTTTATCATTGAAAATTCGATCCTTGCGTTATTGCAAGTGTCGCTTAACTATTTCAATTTTGAAAAAGACGCCAACTTCAACCGAAATACTCATCAACTAAAATCGAGCAATTTTTTGCTCACTGTTTGTTTCTTATGGGTACAGTCAGAATTGCTCGACTTTTTGCAATTTCTTTCGTCAACTTTTCTTATTCGATTTTGTGAGATCTTCCAGTAGGATACATACATTTGAAGCCATTCCAGACTTTGCACATATGAATTAATCTAA